GTTGCCAATTTGTTTAATTAATCTTTTTGACTCCCTGAAACCCAAAGAAAACACTGTCCATCCAGCTCTGGATGACCGCATAAAAGTGGGAACTGCTGTATACTGAACAGTGTCAACTTCAGAATACAGAACTGTTGCCAATTTGTTTAATTAATCTTTTTGACTCCCTGAAACCCAAAGAAAACACTGTCCATCCAGCTCTGGATGACCGCATAAAAGTGGGAACTGCTGTATACTGAACAGTGTCAACTTCAGAATACAGAACTGTTGCCAATTTGTTTAATTAATCTTTTTGACTCCCTGAAACCCAAAGAAAACACTGTCCATCCAGCTCTGGATGACCGCATAAAAGTGGGAACTGCTGTATACTGAACAGTGTCAACTTCAGAATACAGAACTGTTGCCAATTTGTTTAATTAATCTTTTTGACTCCCTGAAACCCAAAGAAAACACTGTCCATCCAGCTCTGGATGACCGCATAAAAGTGGGAACTGCTGTACACTGAACAGTGTCAACTTCAGAATACAGAACTGTTGCCAATTTGTTTAATTAATCTTTTTGACTCCCTGAAACCCAAAGAAAACACTGTCCATCCAGCTCTGGATGACCGCATAAAAGTGGGAACTGCTGTATACTGAACAGTGTCAACTTCAGAATACAGAACTGTTGCCAATTTGTTTAATTAATCTTTTTGACTCCCTGAAACCCAAAGAAGACACTGTCCATCCAGCTCTGGATGACCGCATAAAAGTGGGAACTGCTGTATACTGAACAGTGTCAACTTCAGAATACAGAACTGTTGCCAATTTGTTTAATTAATTTTTTTGACTCCCTGAAACCCAAAGAAGACACTGTCCATCCAGCTCTGGATGACCGCATAAAAGTGGGAACTGCTGTATACTGAACAGTGTCAACTTCAGAATACAGAACTGTTGCCAATTTGTTTAATTAATCTTTTTGACTCCCTGAAACCCAAAGAAAACACTGTCCATCCAGCTCTGGATGACCGCATAAAAGTGGGAACTGCTGTATACTGAACAGTGTCAACTTCAGAATACAGAACTGTTGCCAATTTGTTTAATTAATCTTTTTGACTCCCTGAAACCCAAAGAAAACACTGTCCATCCAGCTCTGGATGACCACATAAAAGTGGGAACTGCTGTATACTGAACAGTGTCAACTTCAAATACAGAACTGTTGCCAATTTGTTTAATTAATCTTTTTGACTCCCTGAAACCCAAAGAAAACACTGTCCATCCAGCTCTGGATGACCGCATAAAAGTGGGAACTGCTGTATACTGAACAGTGTCAACTTCAGAATACAGAACTGTTGCCAATTTGTTTAATTAATCTTTTTGACTCCCTGAAACCCAAAGAAAACACTGTCCATCCAGCTCTGGATGACCGCATAAAAGGGGGAACTGCTGTATACTGAACAGTGTCAACTTCAGAATACAGAACTGTTGCCAATTTGTTTAATTAATTTTTTTGACTCCCTGAAACCCAAAGAAAACACTGTCCATCCAGCTCTGGATGACCGCATAAAAGTGGGAACTGCTGTATACTGAACAGTGTCAACTTCAGAATACAGAACTGTTGCCAATTTGTTTAATTAATCTTTTTGACTCCCTGAAACCCAAAGAAAACACTGTCCATCCAGCTCTGGATGACCGCATAAAAGTGGGAACTGCTGTATACTGAACAGTGTCAACTTCAGAATACAGAACTGTTGCCAATTTGTTTAATCAATTTTTTTGACTCCCTGAAACCCAAAGAAGACACTGTCCATCCAGCTCTGGATGACCGCATAAAAGTGGGAACTGCTGTATACTGAACAGTGTCAACTTCAGAATACAGAACTGTTGCCAATTTGTTTAATTAATCTTTTTGACTCCCTGAAACCCAAAGAAAACACTGTCCATCCAGCTCTGGATGACCGCATAAAAGTGGGAACTGCTGTATACTGAACAGTGTCAACTTCAGAATACAGAACTGTTGCCAATTTGTTTAATTAATCTTTTGACTCCCTGAAACCCAAAGAAAACACTGTCCATCCAGCTCTGGATGACCACATAAAAGTGGGAACTGCTGTATACTGAACAGTGTCAACTTCAGAATACAGAACTGTTGCCAATTTGTTTAATTAATCTTTTTGACTCCCTGAAACCCAAAGAAAACACTGTCCATCCAGCTCTGGATGACCGCATAAAAGTGGGAACTGCTGTATACTGAACAGTGTCAACTTCAGAATACAGAACTGTTGCCAATTTGTTTAATTAATCTTTTTGACTCCCTGAAACCCAAAGAAAACACTGTCCATCCAGCTCTGGATGACCGCATAAAAGTGGGAACTGCTGTATACTGAACAGTGTCAACTTCAGAATACAGAACTGTTGCCAATTTGTTTAATTAATCTTTTTGACTCCCTGAAACCCAAAGAAGACACTGTCCATCCAGCTCTGGATGACCGCATAAAAGTGGGAACTGCTGTATACTGAACAGTGTCAACTTCAGAATACAGAACTGTTGGCAAATCAATAGGTACATTAAATAGATCATCCTCTGACGTTGACATATACGTTCTCATATACACACGAGTAAAGTTCACATGACAAGTATACTCATGTGTGTATATTTACACTTGTATGCAAATATACACACATAGAGGTGCATGTGAACGTATATTAGATGGTCAGTAGAACCCTTCAACCATTAAGGACTAATGTTTTCAACATGATTAAAGGAAATGACAGTTTTAAACTTTGAGATAATCTTTACCAAAATATGAAAAATATTGTTTACCAGGTCAAAAAGATATCTTACATTAGAAGGTAAAATAACAATTATAAAACCTCATATTATCCACCTTTTAACACACATCCTTGTTTCATTTACAAGCCCAAACATTTCTTTAAAAGACTGAATTCAATTTAAGTTAAATTGTTTGGGCAGGCGAGACAGAATTAATAGGAAAATGTTGACAAATGACTGCATTAAAGGTGGGCTAAAATTTACAGACTTGGAATCATTTTGCAAGTACAAGTATATGACAACAAAATGGATTAAAAAGTTTTTTGTAAAGGCCCATGGCAACATTTAGCTTACAATTCTATGAATGCATTTGGAAACATTGACCTTTTAAATTTTTAGAAAGACAATTTGAAAACATTAAACAAAATAAAACATATTTTAGGGAAAGATGAAGTCTAAAGCTACATTAGTATCAAGCCAAACGAAACTCATACTGTCCAAGAATTTTTTAGATTACGTACATTAAACAAAATAAAACATATTTCATGGAAAATGTTGTCAAAAGCTACATTAGTCTCAAATCAAATGAAACACATACTGTTCAAGAATTCTTAAAATTACCTACATTAAACTTTGTTCGATAAAAAGACCTAGGATTGTTTGATAAATGGTATTGATTAGGCTTAAAAGTATATTTAATGGGGATATTATGTTTAATACCGGAGATTAAAGAGTTTTGATTGACTTTTAAAAGAATTCTATTTGAACGAAACATGTGAACTCATAATTCAGTGCTATCTTCTAACAGATAGTCTTCAATCTGCAGATTGTAAATTCAGATATGCACCCTGGATGAGCCTCTTGATAACCTCCATAAAAAGAATCCCCGGGAAAATAAACTAGATATACTTATCTCCTGGAACACTTATGCTTTTTATTGATCTAGGTTAAAAACTGGTTTAAAACTAAACGGGAACTAATTTAGGTCAGACATTAGATCTCTTATGCTTGAAGCCCCCAAAGATAGTATTTTGCTAAACCATCTCTTTCTTATTATAAAACAATACATATATAATTCCAGCTATAATTGTACACACTCATCTAACAAATACAATATGGTACTATTTTAATCTTAAAAAATTATATTTTGGGAGAAAACAGCACTTTAATTCAACAGAAAATGGGAATGTCTCAAATTACACAAATCACAAATTCATTACACTCTCCCTATTGACTGTTCACTGTCTTTACTCTTTTCTCCCTCCTAATATTTCATGTATTTTCAATTCAATCAACCACTGAAAACAGGGTCACCCATTTTGTTTCTGTAATGACAGACAGACAGTTTTATTTTTTCAGTGTTTCAGGCCCTGTGGCCCAGAGTACAATCTTGCACACATTGCCAGTGGTGTGTGGAATAGAATTAAAAATGTACATCAATCATGAATTTTTAGAAGTCATTACATCAGTCGTTAAAATTTCAATTGAAATTGTATTACGATGTTGCATGAATAAACCACAATAATTTTTTTGTTTTGAAATTGCATGTCTTTGTACATGATCATGTGATAGTAATATTAGTATGGATAATAACTGCGTCCAGTGTCCAATATTGTGAGCAACAGCTCACAATATTGGACACTGGACGCAGTGGACTGTCTGGTCAAGACTTGATTATTTACAGGCTGTTGTCAAGAGCTAGAATATAGCTGAATGAGCGTTACAAAAAAACAAACACAGTCAGGCAAACATACACTCACACACACGACTTGATTCGAACCATGAAAATCATATTGAATTCTGAAAATGAACTACTCGTAGCACAGGACCCGTGAGTTGCCTCCCCTTTTCATACATTGCGTTTAAACTGCTTAGACGCTTTATAAGTCCTAAATATCAGTGTATTCTGACAAATCATATGGATCTACAGACTTGTACATACTCGGCATTGGAAATGTTCACTTTGGTTTTTTCTCATAAATCACTAGAATTGTCCAAAACAGTGTACATGAAAAAGCACTTGCCGTTCAAACGGCATGCTTTACTCTCAAAACAGTTGCCAAAGATAAAGTCCCTTATAAAGATAAAACAACAAATAAATGATCTGCAAAGAATGTATATCATTAATGAAGCTGCTACAACATACATTTTAAACGCATATAATCAAATACGGGCTACATATCTATTCGTTAGAACGCGAGATAAATCAATGTCTGTGATGGTTTAGAGGGTACTACAAATAGGTCATCCGATAGAGGGCGTTGCAAAGTTCACAAAATTTGAAAAGGTAGGTGACAAGTTTTTATGTCAAACGATGTTATTAATTTATTAACTGTACCTTCACGGATTGATATAGCTTGATTGGAAATATCAGATAAAACGAGTGATCAGAAGTAAGGTTTTGTAAACATTTTCAAGTCCAGGCAAGTTGACAGCTTTGAAAACCGATGTTGGTTTCCCGATATAACCAGCTGATCAAGTTGATGACACGTCCTGTGTTTTGCGTGTTGACCTGATAATATGACAGCGCAAAGTAGGTTTTTCTTAAAGGAAAAGATGACTGTTTGTCGAGAAATATCGCACTCTGCAAGTCTTTCACACGTTGAACAAAAAATGGATATTAATTTTGGTAGATCTACAGCATGTACAGTAGCAATGGTAGTCCAGCACCATGACTGGAATTTATATAATCGGATCATATATAGGTTTTCGAACGTCATACGTTTCGACGGACATGGTGATCACAATTACTCGCTCTATAACAAGGGGTGTGGCGTAAATACTCAGATGATGACCTGTTTTGAAGATAAAGTCATCTTTTATAATTGAGATATTTTACAGAAGTTCTTGCGAGTAACAAGAAAATTAGAAAGCTTCTTAGGCATCCACAAACCCACAACACAGGGATAAAGATAGTAGAAGCTAGTACTGGTAATTTGGGTACCCGGGCCGGGTGGGTACTGAGTAGGACCAGGGTACCCACAGGACTACCCGGACCCTTGGTAATGGTTAGTCATGTGATATATTGTTTAATGACAAAAATTATCTAGAACTCTATCATCTATGGTTACACTAAAGTCACTAATGTTCGCATTTCTTTCTGACTATGCACCCATTCATTCTGACCTTTCATATGGTTGAATAAAGATAAAACCAGATTGTTTAATACATGTATCTAAATACGTTTTGCAAGTGCTGTGGTAAAAAAAAATCCAAGTCCGACATTTTGTATCTCTTGAGACCAACAGTGGGTACCCGAGTAGGGTTGGGTATAGGGGATGGGTACCCGGGTAGTAAATTTTGACTCGTCCCAGCCCTTCTAGAAGCAGACTACTAACACTTTCCTGGGGGAACCCCTGGAAATTCCCAAGCACAAATACATACAGAAGCATTGTTTCTGATCATTTAGACCCTTTAATCTTAAACTCAGCATTTTAGCATACATTGAGAAAGTTCAGAGAGTATGACTGCATGATTGTTCACGAATATCCTCGCTACGACCAATCCTAGTGAACAAAATATAGAAATGCAAATCCAAACTATCATAGTATCGACTCGATCTGTGACAGTAACAGTCCACAGCAATCTATGAATTTACGTTAGTATCTTTTTGACACATCTCTATAGTCACTATTTTATGATCAGCTAATTGATCAGTGATGACCAACACATGTAAACGCCACAGGTTCATTAACAACTTTGGAAATCTCTCCCGTCACGTTTATTGCGTGAGCCATTTTGATGTCTTGTACTTGATCATGTTGATGTAAATGTATTACGACATACTTATCGCCGTTGGCAAAGGTAACATACTAGTACCTGCACACCCTCAGCAATTTAATCCACTCTTATTATAGGCATGGCATCCACATTTTGGTGGCCCATGCCTCTCCTTTGGCATATCACGTGATAATCAGAAATTATGGTTTACTGTTCCAAGCTAATATTCAGTTTTGTGAAACTATGATCAAATATGCGCCCATTTTTTCAGTGGAAAAAGGTGCAGTTGATTTCTACCATAACCCAAAGAGGTCAAAGGAATCAAAACAGTTAAAATAGAACTTTCCCGTTGACTAATTGTTCAAGTCATTCTCTGAACATTTGCCTCTTCAATTTGCCATTCTTATGTCCTCATCCTGCTTGGTTTTCATCATGGACGAACAGTCCACGTCTTCCCAGCAACCTACCTAAAGGTTCAGATGTACAGAAAGTTCTTTTGGCGAATGTGGATCCGACTGAACTGTATTTTTCTTCACAGTCGGACGTGATTCCTCCTTCTGCTACAAAGCTTTCAGGAAATATATTGCTTCTTCGTCACCATCATCTTCTCTTGCTGATAATATCAAGCTTTTTCCACTTCTTGTCATTCCTTGTCCTTGTCGACTCCAGATCCCATATTCATCATGTTCATCGTTCTCATGGCATGTTGATACGGTCAGACACAGGGTATTTGATACAGTACATACTACAGACGGAAATAAGACAGCAAAATTGATGAAAGCACTGGAATGTAAATGATATATTTAGCCAACAAACCGTAACACCATTTATAACAGTCGCAATGTCATGTCATCACTTTGAATATATTAAATTACAATCTTAACAGACTTTGTCGAAAACCTAGAAATTGTTTGTCCCCTGCATGCTAAAGAAATGTACATCTGATGGTGGTAAACATGCCTTCTAAATGATCTATAATTGTTCTCACAAATAATTCCTCCTAAAGTAGACAATGAACAGAAATATAAATAATAATGCATTTTTTTGTTGATACTAATGCTTATATTTTAAAATATTCATTGTGGAATAGTAAATATTCGAAAAATATCAGAGGATATATCTATATAATCTAGTAACATTAATTGCAACATAATTCGAGTCACAAATACTGAATTTAAAATACAGTTTCCGCTGTGCGAAGACAAAATGTCTCTGAAAATTTGCAAAATCACACGCCAACAAATCTCATTGCTTTTGGACCAGGGGGGTAATTTCTCTTATAGGTAAAATATTCCAGTATAAACCTTGCACAGTGTGAGATAGGATAGGTATATAAATATACAATTTATTGTAAAATTTACAATATTTAAAAATAACAATTGATACATGCTTATATCAAAAACATTAATTGCCTGTGGAGTTTGTGAAATATTCAGCCGATGCCTGTTTGAAAAAAATAGCTAAATTAGGTTGTGATATCATATTTTTCATATTTCTGATTGTTGAGCATGTTGAGGGAATTAACATCTTCCCATGGCAAAGGGGTTAACTGACTGTAAAAGTCCAGTTTCCACCATTGCCGAACTAGGCTGGAATTTCTTGGCTCGATCGTAGAACCACCAGTGGGTGGTTATTACAAGTTATGTCCCTTCTTTGTCCCTCCTGTCAGATTTCACCTCTCATATCACTTGCATTTCTTCAAACAAAATGATGGTGCCCATTGGAGATGATCTGATCTATAATCAAGATCTATATTGTAATAAAATGGGTTTGACTTTGCGAAGTGCATCAAATCATATGAGCACCTTGATTAAAAATATGAAGAAAAAAAGTTGATGGTACACGTTTTAGTACAAGTCCTGCAGTCGACTTAAATATGCACGGCAGTTTATGAACCGGATGTTGATTTTGTTATGCGTTTTTGATTGGACTCATTAGTCAATCCAAAATACAACTCAATAATTCCGCCAAGTTTGGCAAGGGTTGAAACTAAACTTTTATAGTCAGTTGACTCCCTTGCCTTGTGTAGATGGGAAAGTACTAGTATAGCATGGTATAGCGCAAGGAATAGTAGAGCAACATTAGCAAGGGATTTGTTATATCATCTTACATTTTTTTTCTGTCTTCAGGGTGCATGGTGTTTAAAATGTTTCATGTTCATATCAACCAACTGTTCAACAGTGAGTGCATTATAAATGTGACAACTTTTGTTTCCATAGAGAAGCAGCAGAAGCTCACAGCCAGGTGGAGCTGGGGGAGAACTACCGACATGCAGAGAAACAAATGGATGAAACATGTTGAAGGTGACATATTACTAAACTCAATACGAATACAGTGCTTATCCAGTGATTCAGTTGCCAATGGCAGAGTTGTCTCCCTTTGTTGTGCCAGGATCAACAAATCATATGTCCAAATCGTCTGCTGTGATGACTGGTTTGTTTGCACTGTACCCATGCATGCTCTCAGGTTTTGATAAGTGAAAAGCATCTATGACCTGAGTCTGTTTGAGCTTATTAATTGAGTGTCATCATGTCGAGTGCAAGGAGCTTTGTTCAAATTATCAATCACTTGTTTTGGGCAAGATTGTTTACAGGCAGGTGGCCCAGTCGCCTAAGAGTTGCGTCCATTTGGCACGCTAGAAACCTATGATTGTGGGTTCGAATCCGAGTTCCTCCCAGTATGTTTTCAGGTTTGTCAGCACCATACCCCTGCTCGCTGGTTTCACCGAAGTGGTGGGGGCGGTCGGGTAGCCTAGTGGTTAAAGCGTTCGCTCGTCACGCCGAAGACCCGGGTTCGATTCCCGACATGGGTACAATGTGTGAAGCCCATTTGTGGTGTCCCCCCGCCGTGATATTGCTGGAATATTGCTAAAAGGGGCGTAAAACCATACTCACTCACTCACCGAAGTGGTAAATGTCTTAGACCTGCATCATTTTGGGCTTTCCTCACACATCAAGCTGACACTCCGTGATACAACTGGAATACTGTTATAAATGGTGTTAAACCCAACTCCCTCACTCACTATTTACAGGCCACTGCAATGTCACTATGTGAGCTGCAGTATTACGAACTGTACTTTGTATTGTAGCTTCTCCATCATGAGTCAATTGCTGAACATTTCTTCTGTCACTTCACGTAGTTCCTGACCATGTTGGGTATGCAAGTGAGCAGTTAAATTTCTCTTTTGTAGAAAATGCATCTGAAAGTGATGCAGAATGTGGGATTTTGTTTTCAACAAGTCCTGAAGAGAAGATAACTCAGGAGAAGGCTCGGAGGGAAAAGCGCCGGAGGAAGATAGAGAGAGAGCTGTTTGAAACCGAGAAGACGTATCTCGGACATCTAGAACTGATACAGAAGGTGAACATTAAGCATGTTAAGACTCAATATTGATAACACGTCTGTATTGTCTTCTCTGTATTGTCATTATTATATACAGTATAATACATGTAATATCATTGTTAATGCTTCAGGGTCTTTAATCGCGGTGATCAGCTGATCATGTTTTCTGAGATGGGGGAAAACATTGTGTCATTGGAAAACTTGAGTTTATTAAAAATGTTAGCAAATTTTGGGAGCTATGCATTACCGCGCGTTATAACCAAAGCGTGCAATAACAAGGGAACACTATACATAACAACTTGTAATGTGTGTGAAAAGTCGTACAAAAATATGCTATTTGAAGGGGGCGTGGCCTAAATGCAAATGTCCGATTGGGATTTTAAATTTTCCGGACCCCTGGTCTTTATACATTACGTTCATCCAATACCAGTTGTACATGTTAGACCATACAGCGCTGCAGTGCTACTTTGACAAATGAACACTCAGTTCACATTGTTTAGAAACGAAAGTGGTTACTCCCATGTTGAATGGAGTAACAAGGAAATATTCTTAAGAGAGATTATAGATTTTCAACCTGACGTTTTGATATGGTTATCTGGACACAAAAATGTCTTTTATTCATTAAAACCAGTGGAGGAGAAGTGGTCCCATTAATCTGTTACAGAGTCAGATCAAATCTCCTGACTTGCAACCATCAGCTCTTCTTGTTGCTTCAATGTCTGCAGCCCATGCTTGCCGTGAAAGGCGACTGTGTTTGTCGTAAGACGGGATCGCCCTGGGTGGACATGCTCGCTGACTTCGTTGATGCATGTCATCATATCCCAATTGCTTATGATGTCAATCACTAGATTGTCTGATCCAGACTCTATTATTTACATACCACCATCATAAAGCTGGAATATTGCTGAGTGCAGCATATAACGGAAAGAAAAGCAAACAAATGTTACAACTATATAGGCAATGGTTGGTTTTGTGATAGGTTCCGATTTGACTTCCCTTGGTTTTACACAGCCTCATTTCAATGTCTGACTAAGTAAGACATGTCACCACTGCATCACAGCCCTTTTCACGTTTGATGGAGGAACATTGGGTATAGAAGCTTGTGAATATATTGGCACTGATGTGATATGATGAGGTATCTTAAGAGGTGAATGACAATTCAGATAACACAAACAATGGTTAATGTCCATTTTCAGTATCATAACTAGAAACTCAAATATTTGTTTTTCTTTCAGTACTTCGACTTCCCTCTAAAGTTTGCCTGTATTATTCCGGATGATGCTCATTCTCGCATCTTCAGCAACAGTGAGCAAATCTATGGTGTCAACCAGCGACTGTTTGAGCTGATGGAACAGACCACAGTGGGCCAGGCCTTCCACCATCTGGGCCCTTTCCTCAAACTGTACTCCACATACGCCAACAACCACGAACAGGCAATAAGCACACTGCAGGTATGTGACAGTGTGTTGTCTACTCAGGTTTTCTCCTTAACCTTTCAGCAAACTTTTCATCATTGCAGTAGACCAGGGGTCCGGAAACCGTCATATGCGCCGGACATGTCCGATTGGGAATCTCAAATGTCCGTTTTAAAATATTGCTTACCGGACATTTTAAAATGTATTGTCCGGACATTCTTAAATTTTGACCGGACATGATCAACAGTTAGGACTGAGCAGTTAGGACTGAGCAGTTTCTGTCTGCAGTTGCAACACAATGAAGATTAACTACACTGACAAGCTTTGTTTGTTTTGATTGCTGTAAATACATCGTACCTACATGATAGTCCAATCGGTCAATCACTGTAATAGGCAATAAACTGAGTTGACACTGATTAATCGAGGATTAATTACTGAGAACATCTTGTTAATTTGAGTGAAAGGTGTTTACAACTGTACATTAATACCTTGCATCATCGATGTACCTCATTATCCTCACAATGCTACGATACGTAACCTCAGACAAGAAGCGAAAGCGTGACGACAGCCAGTCGACCGATGCAGATCAGTCGAGCGGATCTGCCAAACCCTCAAAGTCTGGACGATCATCTTGTAAGTCGTGGCTAACGACTTTCACTTGGTTGACATACAATGAGGATTTGCAGATTTTATTGTTTTCAGTAGCTAGTCGTATATTGAATCTTGATTGACCGCCATTTTGCTTTCTCGGACAATCGATATCCAATTTTTTTATGGTCAATAAATATGTACAGATGAAAAAAGTATTCAAATAACTATTGCTATCAACGATATTTTAGTATTTGTGATTATATTATCTGTCTTGTTTTTAAAAAAATCTTCAGTTTAAAAAAACCATTTCCCGTGAGGTCACGTGATAACCAAATATGGGATAATAGTCTCGATCCAAATGTTACAACGCGTAAACTTGAGCAGACTCATGAATATAACCCATGAATATTAATTAGACCGTTCACTACTTTAACAGATCGTTATTATAACAGAAACAAACGTATGTTTTCCATGTAAATCTAAAATGATATTATTTGTTATTAATTGTCCGGTGAATTAAACAATTTAAATTGAAACAATTCATAATTCATCATATTATGAATACGTAAACTTGTAATTTGTGTGAAAAGTCGTACTAAAATACGCTATTTGAAGGGGGCGTGGCCTAAATGCAAATGTCCGATTGGGATTTTAAATTTTCCGGACCCCTGCATTAGACTTACTGTTATTATATTATATTGATTAATTTATAAGCTGAACTGACTAGATATGTTGTTTATATCCTGCCGAAGTGCTTGCACACGAAGTGAAGGATGTAGCATAAGAAGCTGTCCATCTGTTTCATGGTGGGTGTTAGCGGATTATCTTCACAACCTTGCATAGATTTTGGTAAAATTTGCTGCCAAGGTGTCCTTGTGTGTGCAGCCCCTACTTGATAATGGTGACCATGACCTTATTTTTAAGGTGATTAAACTGTTTGACCAAGATGCTGTTTGTTACTGAGTTATCTGCATAGCCTTTGCATTTTGATATATTTGGTTGAAATTTGCAACAAGTTTTCAGGGGGTGTTTGCAGACCCAAGTTATGAACTAAATGGTGACCTGACCTTATTTGACCTTCGATGCAATAATGTTAAAGAAAGCGTTAAGCCTTTGTAAATACAAGACTCTTGTAAAAGCTATAAAAGCTGTTAAAGAACTGGAATTCTGTTCAGATTGGCTTTCAACCCAACTCGCTCACTTTAACCAGAAGCAGAATAAGGCAGTATTAAATCCAGCTTGAAACCCATGTCAAAAACAAGTCGGTATAAAAGAACTGATTATGGAAATCCTTTTTTATTTTTATGTATTTAACATGTTAAAGGTAATCTGGAAACCTTGTAAACATGGTAATTTGAAATGAGGCCCTTACAAACATTCCATGTTTAAATTCTAAGGAGTGGCGACAGAAGAAGCCAGAGTTTGCAGATTACATTCAGCGACAAGAGTACAGGCCAGAGCTTAAAGGACTCAAGTTGAATGCCCTGTTGATAACCCCAGTCCAGAGAATACCCAGGTGAGTGGGAATAGGGCAGGACACAATGATAAGTCAAGGACTCAATTGAGAAAGTAAATTTTTGCAGGCACTGATTTAATCAAACTTGACTATTGTAGTACTATTGCAGTATTGTAGAACTGTTGTATTACCCCCATAATATGTAAATGTTCAGATTATCCTTTCTCACACTATACATTTCTTCCTTCTTCTTTCGATCCTTCTATGGAAACATGCTTGAACAAAATTCTAAAAACAATTCACCCAAACACATACCAGCATCATGATGGTCACTCATTGTAATTCTGTGCATACCGACCTACATGACTACCCCTGCCATATCATTTTGTCTCATTGCCACATTGTGGAGATTTATACTGAGTTCTTAGAGAAAACATTAATTTTTTTATTTTTTTATTCCCCTTCAGTATCGTATTAACATTATGTCAGTAACCTGAGGGAGGAACATGAAAAACGCCCGGCATGTCTCAAGTGCAGACAAACTTTCTCCACTTCGGATCTTCATGATCTCAGTTGATTGTCGCGGCCATTGTAGACAAATATAAGATGTTTGTAGTCTTCCCTTCTCACAGATAAATCCTTTATCATTTACCTGTGCAAATGCCACAAGCGGGACGTTGACCATCTCAATCATCTCAAACCATCTCCTGCATCTACCTTACATTCATTGTCCTGGCTGAGATTGCATCTCCGATAGTTTCCTCGTGGACGACGTCTCCACCATACCGGTTCAACAGTCTGCCCCCAGTGCGTCCCACGCCTACAGCTGAGCAACCAACAGGCTCAGACGACACAACCAAGCTAGCTTCGACAGCGCCACTGGTCGACCTCCTAATTATTCTGTTGCTCCTAAATCGACTGTGATGGATTCGACTTCGCCTCAGAATGATTGTATGTGTTCATCCTCTACCCCTTAAAAGATTTGCCATAGCCAGGATCACTCTTGGTCTTCTGCCATGGAATCCCCATTTTTCATCCAGGAATCACCCTTCCAAGGATCTACATTCTTAGGAATTCTCCTCTTAGAATCCAGACTCTAAGGATTGCTCTTCTGATGAACAACATTCCAAGGATTGCTGTTCCTGTTCGACAGTCACTGCACTCGAGATTGACCATCTCGCGATTGACACCTGGGTGGCCAACCTTCTCAGGATCAATGGTCTACTCAGTATCTATTCACTTTAGGATTCAGGAGGTTGCTCAGGTCGCTACATCCGACTTCAAAAGCAGCATTTGGAGGAGCCACCGAAGAGGTATTGACCTCAACCTCAATTTGTTCCTCCATGAAGTTCTGGGAGTGAAGACATGGTCTTTCGTGGCCCAGGGTGTGTCATTCACAGCTTCCAGGGATGCCAGTGAGTCTGCTAAGCACAGCAACTTGTCCTCCAAATGATTTGCATCAGCTATGGGATGACTGGGAACTTCTGTCTCAGGTTGTACCCATTGTATAGACTCCTGTAGGAGGAGTCTCTATTTGCAGTGAACTGGTCCATCCTGGCCAATCCTTTCGTTACACTCCTGCAGAAGGGTCACAGGCTGCTGCTGATCGGAAGTTTGTTGCTGATGTCATCCCTCAGCGAGTGTAAAAGAAACAATTGTTACACTGCTTTGAAACCATGTTATGAAATGACTAGGTCCAGACCCCCTGAGGGATGTGACTGCCTGATCTCCATGGTCCCAAAGAAAGACAGCATCAAGCTCCAGATGATCTTCAATATGAAGACATTCAACTTGTTTCGCATGACATATATCGTGCTCCTTCAACGATCATCTGACCTGATCTTGACCATCAGGAGCTCGGCCATCTCCTCCAGTTCATTTTCCAAGTCCGCGACTACCAATGGAAAAGTGCTCCTCTTTGGAAGCCCATTACGAAGTTCCTGCACATTCGAGGCATAGTCTTTGAGTCATTGATGTTCATTCCCTTTGGACAGGTGGTCGAAGATACAACTTTATGTGCCATTGGCACTCAGATAGCCTCTACCTCCATGCCAATTGCAACAGCTTCTCCATCTTCTGACTTCGGTGTACACCCTCACTCAGAGAGGTCAATTGAAGGCCCAGAGTTGGGTCCCTTGGTCCTGGCGTAACTGCTAACGACTGCAAACCAGTGCAGATAGATGATTCACTACCCACTCCTGCTACTCCATACTCAGTACCCTGTCTACTCAGAGGAAGTCTTGGAACTATCACTCCTGTGTTTATTGTCTTTATTATTCGGGTCCCAAGACTGAGTACCCATTTGAGTGTGAGACATCTCGTCTGTAGAAACTCTGGTCTTCAATATCACCGCAGTCACCGCAAGGCATGGCCAATTCGGCCATGACCCCAGCCCTTGCCTGCTCACCTCTGCTTTGTGCAGTATCGAAAGAAAAAGGATGATATGTGTGGTGTGAGATAGGATAAGTATATACATATATAATCTCATGTAAAATGTGCAATAGCAGTGTTCAAACTTGAGCATGAAAGTCAACAGATCCATATATTACCCTAAATGTTACAAATTTTAGGGGTTCCTAGATAATACTGGAGCAACTTTTAGGACTTAACTTCTTCAATTTCAAACGCTGTAATAGTATGGTACGGTTTCTTGCAAGTGTGGTAATATTGGTATGCGTGATTCTGCTGTTGTTCTGACTGTTGGTATGGTTGCAGATACAAGATGCTCCTGGAGGACCTGCTACAACACACCTGTGAGGACCACCATGATCACCACCACCTGGCAGGTAAAGATAGAAGGCTATATCTATTGCTGGTGTTCCCCCCCTGACACCTCATGGGGGTGTTGGGTTAGAATAGGTCCGCAGTAACATCTGCTGGTTGTAAGAGGTAACTTCATGGAGTGGGTGGTCAGATTCAGTGACTTCTTCGACTATGTGTCATCGTACCCTGATGGCGGATTGTTGCTCACAATATCAATCACTGGATTGTCTGGCTCAGACTTGACTGTTTACAGGCTGCGATCATAGAGCTAGAATATTGCTGATTAAGACATTTAAACTAAATCTTACAAGGATTAGGGTAGTGGAGCATCATAGCAGTTAATACATATCACACTGAAGACCTGGGTTCACACAAGGGTACCTAAACATTCAATGGATACTACATGCAAAGACCATATATATAAGAGCCAACGAAAGATGATTAGATGGTCAGGCTCTGCAATTTGGCAAGAATCCTACATTGATACAAATGCTTTCACTGGCTTGCCTGTTCTAGAGTTTTGACAGACTGTCCTCATATATCTGGAATACATTTTGTGAAGTTTGTGTCTTGTAATAATAATGCATCATCATGTGACCTTGTGCTTAAACTTTATTTAGTTCAGGGCATAAGCATGCATTTCTTTATACAGTGCACATTATAAAGGTAAATGTTCTATCAACACAAGTCAACAATGTATAATCATGTGCATTGTTTTTCAGAGGCGACAAGACAGATAGCCGAGATTGCATCCCATATCAATGAGCACATCCGGCAGCATGAGAACTTCCAGAAGATGCTGACTATACAGAACTGTTTTGACAGTTCTGCTCCCAAGATACTTGCCCCTGGCAGGGTCTTCATCAAGGAAGGAACTCTCAACAAGGTACCGTGTCTCCTAATAACTTGATCTGTACTCCCGATGGAAGAAATATGATCAATGTTTGGACATTCCATGTCAAATTTTCTTCATTCAGTCACTAAGTTTCCATTTAAAGAAGGGACTCCACATCTATAATTAGGCATCACACTTACTTCATATTTTATGTGTTGTTGGAAAAATGGTCAACCTGGCACATTCCTATATTAATGGGAATGATACAAAAACATTATTTATGAGTCCCCGGGACAAACAAATAGATAGAGCCAGGTCAGTCCCTGCTGATGCATATGGCTACTCACACTAAGCTGTCTGCGGTTTTGGGCCCTATCAACCTTTGCATACTGTTATGATAAATATCATTGTGAGACTGTTTTGTTTATGTTTGCCCCTCGTCACCTCTTTTGTTTCATTGCCCTTTAACACCATTTATTGAGCCACATGTGACACAAGGGAAATGTCTGGCGAAGAGTCCTTTGTTTAGAATGTCAACAAATCCTCAAAACAAAGATGTAGAATCCATATCGCAAGCACACGTCTATCACAGTGCACAGTGAGAAGAAAGTGAAGGGATCAGGGACAGATAACTCCTGTTGGTATCCAAGGAAAGGGTCCATCCAGGGGAGGAACAGGCATGTTTTGGCTTCTGTGTTATAGGACCCAAGTCCAGAAAGAAAATGCAATGTTATCATGAATATCCAACTTGATGTAGTTTTGATTCAATGCCATTTTTGACCTGTTTTGTTTCAATGTCTTTCAACACCTGTTTTGTTTCACTGCCCTTCAACAACTGTTTTCTTAGGTGGCCAGAAAGGGAGGCAGGTCCCACGAGCGGATGTTCTTCCTGTTCTCGGACATCCTGCTGTATGGCAAGCCGAAACTTCTTGATGGTGGTAGTCGCACCTACAACTGCTGCTGTGTTCTGCCTCTCAAACATTGTCAGATCCACCCAGTCTTCATCCCCAATGCGGCTCGCAGTGATGGAGGGGGCATGTTTCAGGTGAGACAGTCGGTACAATAAGTGTATTCCAGGGCAGGTGAGACAAACGGCACAATAAGTGTATTCCAGGGCAGGTGAGACAGTCGGCACAATAAGTGTATTCCAGGGCAGGTGAGACAGTCGGCACAATAAGTGTATTCCAGGGCAGGTGAGACAAACGGCACAATAAGTGTATTCCAGGGCAGGTGAGACAGTCGGCACAATAAGTGTATTCCAGGGCAGGTGAGACAAACGGCACAATAAGTGTATTCCAGGGCAGGTGAGACAAACGGCACAATAAGTGTATTCCAGGGCAGGTGAGACAGTCGGCACAATAAGTGTATTCCAGGGCAGGTGAGACAAACGGCACAATAAGTGTATTCCAGGGCAGGTGAGACAGTCGGCACAATTAGTGTATTCCAGGGCAGGTGAGACAAACGGCACAATAAGTGTATTCCAGGGCAGGTGAGACAGTCGGCACAATAAGTGTATTCCAGGGCAGGTGAGACAAACGGCACAATAAGTGTATTCCAGGGCAGGTGAGACAAACGGCACAATAAGTGTATTCCAGGGCAGGTGAGACAGTCGGCACAATAAGTGTATTCCAGGGCAGGTGAGACAAACGGCACAATAAGTGTATTCCAGGGCAGGTGAGACAGTCGGCACAATAAGTGTATTCCAGGGCAGGTGAGACAGTCGGCACAATAAGTGTATTCCAGGGCAGGTGAGACAGTCGGCACAATAAGTGTATTCCAGGGCAGGTGAGACAGTCGGCACAATAAGTGTATTCCAGGGCAGGTGAGACAGTCGGCACAATAAGTGTATTCCAGGGCAGGTGAGACAGTCGGCACAATAAGTGTATTCCAGGGCAGGTGAGACAGTCGGCACAATAAGTGTATTCCAGGGCAGGTGAGACAGTCGGCACAATAAGTGTATTCCAGGGCAGGTGAGACAGTCGGCACAATTAGTGTATTCCAGGGCAGGTGAGACAAACGGCACAATAAGTGTATTCCAGGGCAGGTGAGACAGTCGGCACAATAAGTGTATTCCAGGGCAGGTGAGACAGTCGGCACAATAAGTGTATTCCAGGGCAGGTGAGACAGTCGGCACAATTAGTGTATTCCAGGGCAGGTGAGACAAACGGCACAATAAGTGTATTCCAGGGCAGGTGAGACAGTCGGCACAATAAGTGTATTCCAGGGCAGGTGAGACAGTCGGTACAATAAGTGTATTCCAGGGCAGGTGAGACAGTCGGCACAATAAGTGTATTCCAGGGCAGGTGAGACAGTCGGCACAATAAGTGTATTCCAGGGCAGGTGAGACAGTCGGCACAATAAGTGTATTCCAGGGCAGGTGAGACAGTCGGCACAATAAGTGTATTCCAGGGCAGGTGAGACAGTCGGCACAATTAGTGTATTCCAGGGCAGGTGAGACAGTCGGCACAATAAGTGTATTCCAGGGCAGGTGAGACAGTCGGCACAATAAGTGTATCCAGGGCAGGTGAGACAGTCGGCACAATTAGTGTATTCCAGGGCAGGATAAGTGGCCAGTCTTTCATGAGAGAAGAACTTCAGTGGGAGTGTATGGATGCAACTTACCCAAGACGGTTATACGCCTCAAAAGTACATGGGACACCTTGCATCCCTAGAGTGGACACAGTAGTCACTGAGGATCAGTGGATTGTTGACTACCTGAGAAGGCCATCTTCCTGTCAGTTTAGTGTGACATTACGCCCCAATATCATGCAGCCCATGCTTGGCATGAAAAGCGACTAATGGGATCAGGTGGTCAGGCTCGCTGACTTGGTTGATGCATGTCATTGAATCCCAATTGCGTGGATTTATGATTGATATGAGTGATTGATATCATGAGCATTGATCCACGCATCAACCAAGTCAGCAAGCCTGACCACCTGATCCTGTTAGTCGCCTCTTATGACAAGCATGAACATCTGAAGACCAATTCTAACCCCGATCTTCACGGGTCTCTATCACATTTATGTTGTGTTTATCAGTGTTTATGTGTTGACCAGGTGACCTGTAAGGACGAGAGCCTACTGCTCTACTCTGATGACCAGCACAACGCCAAGGCATGGAGTGATGCACTAGAGAAAGCAGTCATGTGAGTTCTGTTTGAATGATAGAAATTTAAATAGAGCAGAATCACAAATACCCTATGTATTTCATAACAGCGGTTCAGACATGGCTGATTGTGTAATCATACCACAGAGGTTTTATATTGCTGTTCATGCTGTCAGACATTTGTTTTGGCTCTGATTTGATTGTTTGAGTCCACTTGAAAACAGGTATGATATTGCCAAAATAATAAACATTATAACAGAACATAAATTTTGACTATACTATTAGAACTATTAGTACTATTAGAACCAGGGAGCAAGATAGCCAGCCATCCGAGGTGGTGCTCCCAAATATAGATAGGGGCTAACTGCCTCCTGGCCAAATGTTACAATTTGGAGTCATAGATTATGAGCTGCATGTGTTATTAACAGTGTATACAGAAATTTACAAGGTAAATGTCTTGTATGCCTGAAGGGGCGGTGGGGTAGCCTAGTGGTTAAGGTGTTCGCTTGTCACGATGAAAACCCAGGTTCAATTTCCCACTTGGGTACAATGTGTGAAGCCTATTTGTGGAGTCCCCCGCCATGATATTGCTGGAATATTGTGAAAAGCAGCGTAAAACCGTACTCCCTAACTCACTTGCATGCCTGGAGACTGAAGGTCAAGGAGTTGATGTCATCTTCATTATGTTCAGCTGGAGAACTCCCACCATACACCCTCCTAATGAAGTAGATTTATCATTCCAAGTTATATTTGTGTATGACAAAAGCATGTTCCGATCTATCCAGTGGACTCTCGGTATGGCAACTATAAATGTGAACACCAGCAATTGTGATGTTACAAGCTATTGACGTGACATCAAACATGATTACATTATCATGACTGTACAGTCTGACCAGCTGACTTTTGTGGGTTGTGTTGTGTAGGAGGCCACTCAGATCTTGTGCCGATGTGGACATCCCATGTGTTATGTAGTGTACTGTGTGTGTTTGAACCAGGAAGCTGTGCACTGACCGGCAGACCCTACGGAAACCCAGCAGCCACAAGATGCCACTGAGGGGACGGTCTATCAGGAAACAGCTACAGAAAGAAAAGAAATCTGATCCTCTGGTGAAAAAGCTTTTCATTCATCAAGATTCTGGGATAAAAGTATGGGATATTTATTAACTTGTAAAGCTTTGACTGGCACTAACAAAGCTTTGTTCTGTATTGTCATGGGCTGAAAGCTGATTTGCTGCCGATATGCTATGCGCTGAGAATTGGTTGCCTGCAGTATATGTATGTTGTCATTGGCTGAGAGCTGATTGGCTGCAGTAAATTGTCATGGGCTAAAGCTGATTGGCTGCTGTTATTGGCTGGGAGCTGTTTGGCTACATATGATTATATTGTCATTGGGTGAGTGCTGATTGGATGCAGGTATATTATGGGCTTGGAGCTTTTTGGCTACAGATGAGTATATTGTCATTGGGTGAGAGCTGATTGGATGCAGGTATGTTATAGGCTGGGAGCTGTTTGGCTATAGATGAGTACATTGTCATTGGGTGAGTGCTGATTGGATGCAGGTATGTTATGGGCTGGGAGCTGTTTGGCTACAGATGAGTATATTGTCATTGGGTGAGAGCTGATTGGATGCAGGTATGTTATGGGCTGGGAGCTGTTTGGCTACAGATGAGTAAATTGTCATTGGGTGAGTGCTGATTGGATGCAGGTATGTTATGAGATGATTTGTTCATATTTCTTGGTGGTCATGAGCTGATTGCCTTCAGATGTGATTAGTGTGTGTGGGGGGGTGGGGGGGGGGGGGGGGGGGGTGTGGGGTGTGTCTGGTGGGCAAGTATGTGTGTAACAGGTATATTTTCATTATGACAACCTGGCATGTAATGCGGTCCATATGTTGACACGTATCTCATTGTGGGGACACTTATCCTTGGTTACAATTCTCCCTGCATAGGAGCCAATGAACAAAAACAAATCAAATTGAGGATAGATGTATTTTTCTCAAAGTCTGGTCAAAATTCCAAACTGCCTTTGGAAAGGGGTTCCAAACAAGTGTTGATTTTCTTCTCACCTTATAATTTGATGCCTTTGTAACAGGGGTAAATTTCATTCAGCATTTACCATGTTAAATGCAAGGTGGGATTTGAATGTTCATGTTGCCTGCCAGCTCTTGGGTATAGTCAAGATAAGAATTCACCCAAAGCACATGCCGTGTATATTTTAGGTGGCTGTTAGTTGCCCCCAAACCCCATTCACTATTTGTTTTATTATTTCATATTCATTCTCATTTTACTTTTTATTTATCTCTTTGAATAGCTTCATGCTTTTCCATACTCAAACCTCTGCACTGCATACTCTAGTAGTTTATGCACATAATAGAAAACTGCAAAAGAAAAAAATATATCCTTGTTTGTTATTTATAGCAAACTATTTGCTCATAATGGATTTAACGAAAATGTTTCAATATTATTTTTCATTCTCGATCAAGATATATGTGATAATTTTAAATGTTTATCACATGAAATTTTTATAAAGATTTTAATATGGCTTTTCTGTAATGTAATGTAATGTAATGTAATGATAACATCGTATGTTTAGGATGATGTTGACACAGTCATATTTTTTGGCAAGTCAGTCAGTATGTTGTTAATCCCAATGAACTGTATCAAACATAGAAAGCTGCAAGGAAGTTTGAAGCTCTGGTTGAGGAACCTGACTGTTCACCACTGAGAGAGAAACTGGCGCCAGTCAAGGACCGTATCCAGTCATGGTACGATGAGGATGTTGGTACATGTCTGTCACCATGGTCACCAAGAAAAAGCCAGGAAAACTTGGAGAATGAGGATATTCACAACATTTCGGATGATGTCTTCTCCAACAGAGTAAGTGGAAATAACTTTGATGGTTTGCTTTGGTGATTATGTGATGAGTGACCTCCCTTGGGTAGTCAGGGACTTTATGGTGTGCCCAATAAGTTTGGTAGATAATTTAATGATTTCAAACTGTTATCTCAAAATGTGAAAGTTGTATTCAATCCTGAAAGTACAATACACAGTCCCTGAATACATCCGATCCTAGTTGACTACATGTAGATCGATGCAGTTTGTGATTTTTGCAGTTGACATTACTTTTAGATGACTTTTATTTCTCATTCCAACCACATCAGTCTAAACCATGGATGCTCATTCTCAGAGGTGCAGCTACTTACACATTAATGAATAGTTTTGTTTTATTTGGCATTAAAAATATTTTCAAAGGCCATCATGATCATAGCCTTGAAATGTGAGAAAAGCCTTCAAATGAAGTGTTTTCACCATGTCCACATTCATAATGCGGGGCACCACTGGTCCAGTTGTTTTCAGCACCAAAGCTTACTGTTCAGAGTTGTGTCCCTTTGTGGTGCTGATCTTTAGTTCTTGATGATTTGTCGTTATGATCCATAGTTTGTCAGAACACATGATACACATGTACAATCTGCATCACACGTTAAGCTGACAGTAATGTGGAGTTAACGTGATGTCATCACAGCCGGGGCACGTGGTCTCATGTGCTGGGTCCTGCCTGACACTTCAGTGAAACAATTTCTTTCTCAGGTGGAACTCCGCAGCTTCATTTGCTGTCAAAAGTAAGCAGTAAATCCATTAACAATGATTAAGGAGTAATATATTTGATTTTGATTTTTACTAAAATTGAAATACTGTTTACTGTGTAAACCAAACTCACTCAACACTCTTCTCTGTTGTCTAGGCTTACAGTATGCCGTGTTTCCCGGAAGACTCCCTGTCTAACTTTGAGGACCCTGTTCCTAGTGTCAGGTCTGATTCACAGCTCACCGACACAGAGAGATGTCGACCAATGTCAGATCCTGGCGTAACATTGCCTGCAGCCTTCGAGCGATATGCCACATCTCGACCCACCCCACACCAATCCTCCCCACGCAGGGGATTAAACAGCCGCCTCAGGTCTTACATTCAGAAGCCAATACAGAGGTAAGGGGACAGAGATTGAACTTTCTCGTCATTATTACAGTTAGGTTTGATCTGATCACATTAAAGAAGAGATTAAACAATGTGAATTAGATTAAAGTTCTGATAAGGGGTTGCTGGAGGAGAGGCCAATATGTAACACTGCTGGTGACAGTAATTAGGGACATGGTTGTGTAGCCATTTGGCTTAGGTGTCAGACTGGTTTCATTTCCCAACTTGGGTACAATGTGGGAAGCCACTTCTATATGTCCCTGATATATTGCTAAGAGTGGCATGAAACCCAACTCACTCAAAAATTAGCCTGATATTAATAATGACTGATGTAAAGGTGTTTAAAAGATGAAGATAAAAGTTGTAATGTTTATGTCCATTATTTGCACAGTTGACATGATTGGGGATTTTGTTGACTGTTTGTTTACAGACTTCTGAGAGTTCGACACAATTTACGAGGTGCCTGCAGTCCCTTCAGGACATCATCAGCGCCATCTTCAGGCTGCAGCAGTCGACTCTATTCTAAATGACCTGATCAATTATACATCCTTATGATTCTGGTCGGGATAGATCGTTGGTACAAGATATTTGATTTACACAAGAAATTTGCTCATACTATTTTGGCTGCTGACCTCATCATGGTGATGACATTTTCTCCACTTCGTGAATGATATCAGTGTATTTTATAAACTAAACATTCATGAAGTGGGATTAAAAAACAGTCGGAATATGTTTTGTTGTAACATGTCTACCTGGTTAACATGACACTTAATCTTGTAATGAACAGACTGAGACATAAAGTCTGTGAAAAATAAACTTCGTTCACATAATGTTCTTGCTTGCAATAATGACTTTGAATGGCTGTTTTTAGTGTGTATGCTGTCAAATCAGAACACTCTTTTATAACTTTGTTCATCAATCCATGGCCCTTAAATACCAGGGTAATGAAAACTATTAGAATCAACAGTTGCTTGCTAATAGCATCTTGCCAGTTTCAAATGCTGTGAAGAATACTTAACTATATATATGTGCAGTGAACATGTTAATCCGGTTAGTACAGTTAATCGGGGCAAGTGAAGTTGTCCTGATTTACAGATTTCTTGATCAACACATCATGAGTGTGATGAGTGGATCACTTCTTTTCAATGTGTCCCCTGCCGCGGTATTTCTGGAATGTTGCTATAAGTGGCGTAATACCATATTCATTCACTCACTCTATTACGTGTAACTGTAATTGTTATGAAAGACTGAGTTTCAGATTAACTGTGCCCAGACTATTATTATCTCATTAAAATCAGATCTTTTACACCAATATGATACCTCCAATACGATACCATCAAGAGCTGACAACTGCTTGGTAGAAGGCCAAATCAGCTGAATCCTGAACATTCTTTGACAAATCTAAATCTATACTTAACGGATATTTGGGTTCATGAGCCAATCCGGTACCAGGTTTCTAAAACCCACACAAATATTCCACGTAATCCCTGTAAGTGTTAATGTCATGGTGCTCACAAACAACATGGTGTATAAAATATTCACAATATGAAGGTTTTGCCTTTTATTCTTTTGAGGTACAGGAATCAGATATGCTGGTCCGAATGCTTTGATCACTTATACCGAGAATTTAGGATCCTTGACGCTGATTGGTTTATTAGAAAATTCAACCGGAGGTATCGTATCTGAGTAAAACAACTGATTTTAATGAGCTTTGAACTTAGGTTTCAGTGTATTAGAAATTCACCTGAAAGTCACTTGTTTTAATGCAACAGTGTATTTACAAAGACATCATCGTAGTTGAAAACAATTGTGTATTTACTGAATTCTATTAAACAGTATGGAGTATATGCATACATTGTATATACGGTATGTATTACACACTTGCAATGCCTACAGTGATTATCTCCCTTCAGTATATATTGTTGTCTGTTGTACAAACAGAGACTGTTGACCAGATGTTTTGCTCAATATGTTAGTATTTGGTTCCTATTGTACAGAGAATGTATTGTTTAATGTATGTTAATGCTGTTCTATGGTGCCCCTCCCACAAGGCAGTCTCACCACACCAGCTATCATTAGTCAAGTATAGCTGTCGTAGTCTGAGATAGTTCTGTGAGACTGGTACCAGGGATTCAGTGAGCTGCAAACAGTAGTTTCTACAATCTACTTCTTGTTCTTTTACACCTTGTGATATGTTTGTGTTTTACCATGAACTGGTAATTATTTAGTATTCTGTACCCTGAGACTTACGGCCTGGTGTGTGGTTTTGTCAGTCATCTATCACAGTTTGTATCTTCTGTGACATTTACATTACTAGATCAACTGAAACACCAAATGATATTTACCAATCTTATATGTTCATATTTTTTATTAGGACTGGAAGTAAAAACTTGTGTTAATAATAATAATAATAATAATAATAATAATAATAATAATAACAACAACAATAACAACAACAACAACTTTGGACATTTTTGGTAAGACGAAAAGGTTTAAGTCTATTCAATGTTTGTCACTATCAAGCATTTTCATCATTAGATACTTAGGGATATTTAACATAGTTTGTGCCAGCTTATCCTGAAAATGAACTTTTATGCTTTCTTTATATATGATAACTTGTGTATATGATAGTTTGTAAAGGCCATACATATGCTGTGCACTTGACATCCCCCCAGTGATGAGGATAGAACCACACCTTGCCACGCCCTATTGCTTTGCTAACAGGGACTATTGTATATACAGACTGTATACCTGTGATCTTTGATTGTAACAGACAGTATAGACAAACATTCTTAGTGTAATCATTCCTTCCCTATTCCTTGCTTCCATGCTGTGCATAGACATTATATTTATACCTGTATTTATACTTTGTTTTGCCAACAACTTACGGACTTGTATATTATTGTATAGCCAATCTTCACACCTGAAGGTGCACACTCCAGATTCAGTATAGTCATTCCAATTATAGTGTAAATATTCAGAGACGTTTATACCAGTTATGTAATACTCCTTAAGTGATATCTGCTCGCTCTACCTCTCGGTCTTCTGGCTGTCTTCTCTCCATGACTGGACTTGACACATTCTCTGATGGAGCAACACATGCGAGTGCATGTTGCTGTTGGCTCATAAACATGGTTGAAAAGGATTGAAGCCTGGGAATCTTCGGTGCTAATCATTAAGTACAGACTTGATAAACATGATAAATGCATTCCTTGCTAATAAATGTTACCAACAGGTATTTAGCAGGTAAATATGAATATTTTATTCGTATCATTCCAGTACTGTTTCTTTTGTGTTTTCTTTGCAGATTTCTTGGTGATTTTGAGCATTTTGTTTCTAAATTACACTGCAAAGCAGACAACCTGTAATGTTATATCCTAATTCCTCCTGATTTTGGAGATTTTATTCAGGTGGGTTTTAAGAGAAAATTAGAAGGTTATTGGCTCTGGGAGTCCTAATGAAGCAAAATGTTCACTGAAGGTAAAGGTCGTGAATGCAACTATGACAAGTGAGTTCAGTGGGCCTCCCCTGGCCCTTACCCCCACCTTGGGAGTACATAGTGAAGACGGTTTATCATATAATGGATAGTGTTACCAATGCGATTGAGTACTTTTAGCAAACTCAGCATGTCAATGTGGTATTTACTTCCAAAAGAATTATGGCATAATGTTCCCTGTATGATCAGATAGTGGTTCCCTGTATGATCAGATAGTGGTTTCCTGAATGATCAGATAGTGGTTTCCTGTATGATCAGATAGTGGTTCCCTGTATGATCAGATAGTGGTTCCCTGTATGATCAGATAGTGGTTTCCTGTATGATCAGATAGTGGTTTCCTGTATGATCAGATAGTGGTTCCCTGTATGATCAGATAGTGGTTTCCTGTATGATCTGATAGTGGCTTCCTGTATGATCAGATAGTGGTTTCCTGTATGATCAGATAGTGGTTCCCTCTATGATCAGATAGTGGTGGTTCCCTGTATGATCAGATAATGGTGGTTCCCTGTATGATCAGATAGAGGTGGTTCCCTGTATGATCAGATAGTGGTGGTTCCCTGTATGATCAGATAGAGGTGGTTCCCTGTATGATCAGATAGTGGTGGTTCCCTGTATGATCAGATAGAGGTGGTTCCCTGTATGATCAGATAGTGGTGGTTCCCTGTATGATCAGATAGAGGTGGTTCCCTGTATGATCAGATAGTGGTGGTTCCCTGTATGATCAGATAGTGGTGGTTCCCTGTATGATCAGATAGTGGTGGTTCCCTGTATGATCAGATAGAGGTGGTTCCCTGTATGATCAGATAGAGGTGGTTCCCTGTATGATCAGATAGTGGTGGTTCCCTGTATGATCAGATAGTGGTGGTTCCCTGTATGATCAGATAGAGGTGGTTCCCTGTATGATCAGATAGTGGTGGTTCCCTGTATGATCAGATAGTGGTGGTTCCCTGTATGATCAGATAGTGGTGGTTCCCTGTATGATCAGATAGAGGTGGTTCCCTGTATGATCAGATAGTGGTGGTTCCCTGTATGATCAGATAGAGGTGGTTCCCTGTATGATCAGATAGTGGTTCCCTGTATGATCAGATAGTGGTGGTTCCCTGTATGATCAGATAGTGGTTCCCTGTATGATCAGATAGTGGTTTCCTGTATGATCAGATAGTGGTTTCCTGTATGATCAGATAGTGGTTTCCTGTATGATCAGATAGTGGTTTCCTGTATGATCAGATAGTGGTTTCCTGTATGATCAGATAGTGGTTCCCTGCATGATCAGATAGTGGTGGTTCCCTGTATGATCAGATAGTGGTTTCTTGATGTGTGAGTGCTTATGTAAACAGCCATGGTTGCAAATCATTTGACACTATATCATAAATAGGGCAGTTCACTCAAGCATTATATTCCTACATGGTATATAATAAAGAGATTATTACTCCAGTGTGTTTCTGTATAGTAAATATCATATATAAGGTATAAAAAATATGTGTTACGGTCACCAAAAGCTCGCATAATACTATTTTTGTTCCTAATATATATTTACTATACAAAAACGCACACGGCTAGTAATCTCAATTTCCCATATTTTCAACATTGGGTCTCATTAACTAGGGTTTAAAATAAACCAATGCTGAATGGGGCATTGATGGCCCAGCGGCCCAAGGTGCTTCAATTTGCTATGCAGTCGTTGTATTCTTTAGCCAAAGATTGCATGCAAGGATCCTATGGTCATAGTTTCAAATTCAAGGTTTTCCCTGAGTATGAACCTTGGTCTCAACTCGTTCTGTCAGGCCTCAAAATAGAAGTTCACATCTACAAATTGTGTCACTCTTTACTTTCTTCCCATATTAAGCTGACACACTGTCATGTATCTGAAATACTGTTCAAAACAGAGACATGAAGCACTCAACGAAATCCAAAGACACAACAATGACCAAAAGCAAAGTTCCCAGAATCTCCATTAGAGGATCAGCTTGATTCTATTTTAATGTACCGGACATTAGAACTGTCTATATACAAGTATATTATAATAAATGTAGATTTTTGATGTAGACATTCTCACATGTGTTTAACACTGAAGAAGGGAGCTTACTGCACTGAATAGTGCAATCTTGTTTTGGAAATTTCCATGTTTGCTGTTGTACATACAGTATGAAAGAGCTGCTTGTAAGATTAAACCATCTCTTAAAATGTTTTATGTGTTTGTTATTTCTTTGATGTCTGTAAATGATGTCTTCCTTGTCTCAACCCAGAAGTGGGCATGGATGGCCGAGTGACCTAAAACACTGCTATTTGCTGTTCAGAGTCAATCGCATCTCTTACTTGGACCTGGATCTGCTCATAATGGTTTGAAATAACAGACTCTCCTTGATTATTATCTTGACATGTGAGCACCATACCGCTACTCATGGGTTTCACGACAGTGGCACACATGTACATCCTGTCGCTTTAGAGTTTTCCTCCCACATTAAGCTGACTGCAGAGATAAAACTTAAAATGTTTAAAACCATGTTAAATTATACTCTCCCACCCATACAAAGAAGAAGCCAATCACCAATATGAGTTTAGCAGTGTGCATGTTTTCATCTGTTATTTCGGTGCAGCAAACAGTTTGAATGACCTCTGAGAACCCAAACAAGTGAACTCCAACACAGGGTTGATCCTAAAAATTGCAGCTGGATGTCTTGTTTGGACTCGTCTCGTTTTAGCCCATATTTCACATGATATTTTATATTTTCATTGACATAAGAAAATATTGTGGGTGGAAATTATAATTGAATAGTTCATTTTTAATCTTGTGACTAAAGTGGTTTAAAATTGTGTTAAAAAGAAAGTTTAAGTAGTTGCTACACTGAAGTGACATGAGGGGGGGGGGGGGGGGGGAGAGGCATGCATGTTACTGTATTGACTTACTGTTGATGACCTTACGACATGAACATATGTATCATTGCAAGGCAACGGCCTGACAATATCACCACCATATACATCCACTCCACTCCACAAATCTATTATGTTATTGTCTTACCTTTAATCAAAATAATATTTTCAATGCTTTATCTGTGCTTGGCGGAAAAATTAGCATTAGCTAATTAACAAAGAATTAGACTAGGAGAAACACAAACAATCACAAACGAAGAAAGACACAAACAATGGACAAAAGTATGCATAAGCATTCATGGAATTAAATGTACAACATTCCTCATCACATATATAGAGGTGTTTTTGAACGTTTTGATTTTTTTCGGTGAAACAACTGCCCACCTTTGAATGTCCGAGGCCTGGTTAATTTCGAATTTCCCGCTCTTGAACTTCTCATTGCAAAAACTTTCACGAGAATATACGAGATCCAACATGTCCGCGCCCATGCAACATGTGTTGTGACATTTAGTTGCCAGGCTTTTCTGTCGTTGATATATTTGGAACCATGTTCACGCAAAATATATGCACATCATGCTTCAAGAGACTGGTTTCTAGGTCTTCTTTCGATGTATCCAAGTTTGCAATAACACAATCGAATCTTTCGATAAGGTTACAATTGAACCGCTTCTTACGAACCTCACATTCACTTGTGCAGAAAAACAATCGCTATTCTGACAAACCCGACACACAGTTACCGGTGAGGTATTTGTACGTACATACGTCGATAGGCCGATGGGTTGATATTCCAGACGGACTGGTGTTTGATGTCGGGTACGGTGACTCCATGCCGGACAAGCCGTGGACCCGTGCCACGCCCACTGTCCTCGGGCTCCACTCCACGCCAGGGTCTCATGAAGATCTGGGTCCATTACTGCAGCCGTTTGTAAAACTTGGATGTAGAGTAATTGCCCCGAACTTTCCAGGTACAGGAATGACCAACCCATGAAAAAATTACATTGACATTTTGCTTCCAAGGCCGTGATCTATGTATGCTTATATTGTTTTTGTTTTTATTAAGCAAAAAACCCCCCCCAAAACAGCCATTAGTCATAATTAGTTCCCATGAAGTTCGGTGCTAATCAGGCTCAGGGTTACAAAAGTAATTTCTTTTCTTTACATTTTGCAGTATTTCATTCAATTTGCAGGCATGAATCAAATTAACGTGGATTGATGTGTGTGTGTGTGTGTGTGTGTGTGTGTGTGTGTGTGTGTATGTGTGTGTGTTCTATGCATAGAGTGTAAAAAAATGACAGCAATATTGCATGAAAGACCTACATAGCTTGCACTGATTGATTCACTATGGCATTCTGAATGAAGTATTGCAGACAAGTTAATAATTTTGTTGCAAATATATTGAAATTTATATAGCAACTCAAATAAACACATATAGTACATGTTAGCTGTAGTAACTGTATCTTTCTGTTGCTGCCATTGATATCGACTTGTCGCTGCACAGAGCTATAAGGGCTGTCGCATCTATAGTGTTATCCCAGTAGATTCCTGATTTGTAACACACTGCCCTGACAACCCTTTTATTAATGTACTTGAATCATAATCCCACAAAAACTGCAACGCGATTAGCTTCCTGGAACACTTGCATTCAAATATGTGTACTTATATTTTCAATCAAGCAACTTTCTATGTACTTTTTGGGTCGGAATCAAGAGGGTACAGACTTTTGGCACTCTGACAGCAATAGGGGATAAAAAATCCTTACCGGTCCAGTTTCCAACTTGATAAGTAAATATACTGTTGCACAATCTAATACATATGTATGTAGCCTATTCCTATTTGAAGGCATTTGTCTTTGGAAGTGAATCATGTTGCGTCTGTTGTTAGATCATGACGCATGCACTTTGTTGAAGCATATAAAGTGCATTGCAAATTTGGATCAGTGATCTATTGATCTAACCCCATGGGACAGCCCGTAGCTGTGTAGTGTGACAAGTGAATATCAAAATCATTTCCAGGGAGCAGCACAGAGACATGGTTACTGCAGCTAAGTACATATCCACATGCTTATGGAAATAAGATCATTTGAATATTTCGCTTACAGTGACTAACAGAGAAACGAGTCAAACTACAGCATATCCTGACATGTAACTACAACTCAACAGCTAAATCTTAAACTAAAAATTGTTTTTCTTATTTCTGTTATTTCTCACTTTTTTCTGTTGAAATCTCATTCAGCACATCTTGTGATTTAAAGATTTATAACTATATAATTTTCATACATCGCTTACATCACTGTTGACATAAATAGTTTGACAAAAGGCTTTGAAATCCCCAAATCCTTTAGCTATTTTTCCTGTTAAATACAGTGAAGAAATAACAGGTAACCTAAGGTGTTACAGTGTCTATTTCACACATGGTTCTTTCACTGGAATTGAGCACCAGGCTTGAATATATGCATAAACTTATTTTTTTATTTATGATTTCTCAGGCTTTGATTACACAGAGGGTATAATATCTCCTTATAATGATGTCTTCACTCACTCCACTGATGAAAAAGCCGAGTTCGTCAGAGATTTTCTTCATAACATGGGTGTTGAAAGGTGAGTTCATCTGAAGTACTTGATGCTCATACTGCATGTTCATCCCATGTTGTTCATAAGAGGGACCGCCTCCGTGGTCTAGTGGTAGAGTGTCCGCCCGGAGAGCGGAAGGTCCAGGGTTTGAATAATGATCCCCGGCTGCGTCGTACCAAAAGACATTAAAAGATGGTACTTGTTGTTACCCTGTGTGGCGCTCGGCATTAAGGGGCTAAAGCAAGGACTGGTCGGCTCGCAGTTGGTATACTGTGTCTGAGTGGGGTATTCATGTTAAACTGCGGTATGGTATCTCAGTGGGCTAGCACTATAAATCGGCATCAGTCCGGACTAGTACAAGCAGCCACACACACACACACACACACACCAACGTGCATGCACGTCGTATATAGGTGCAATAATCTTGTTCATAAGAGGCAACTAAATGGTTGATTGTGTGTCATTGAATCATGACGGCATGTTACTTTGGTCCTAATATCACTGGATTGTCTGGACCTGATGCAACTATTTACAGACAGTCATGTTGCCAGAACATTGCTCAGTGCAGTATTAAAAAGCAAACAAAACATTTGGTCAGATGTGCTGTTGCAATCATCGTGTCATAAAAGCCGACTGATGATTTAGTGAGTATGGTTTTACGCCGCTTTTAGCAATATTCCAGCAATATTACAGCAGGAGACTTCACACATTGTGCTAATGAGGATTGGGTGGTCAGGCTCTGTAACAAATTACATCAAAATCACTTGGCTCTTCTTAGTTCCTCTTTCCTTGACAGAAATTGGAATAAAAGATCTAATTGGCTCTGTGACTTGGCTGATTGCATGTCATCATCCCGATGGCCAGGAACTTTGTTTGAGCTTTCAGTCACAATAAGTTGTAGCATGATCACGAGGGGCTTATGGGGTTTTATGCATCCTGCATTAGGTTTTTTAGCACAAGACGGGGTGAGTGGTATAAAACCTAACGAGGGACGCATAAAACCCGATGTAACCAAAGTGATCCTGCTACAACAAATTTATCTTACATCATGGTTTTATATGATGTTGTATAAGAATTCAAACACATTGGAACTTGATAGAAAACAGCTGTTTGATTGAGCTGACGTTAGCTTGCGCTGTGTCATGTGACTTCCACTGACTCGGAAAAAGTATGCAGCTTTTTGCTTAGAAGCGGGGTATAAGGGATTTATTCTGCCTCTCAGAAATCCACATGCGGCCCGATTTGCTCGTGGTGGAGTATAAGAGATTTATTCCCCCGCCGAGAAATTTGGTGGGTTACACAGTATTTTATCAAGATCACGTGGACCAATCAGATCTGGACTAGGATCTCAGACATGGAGGTATGATAAAGACATTTGCTTGTTGCTTTGATGAAATGCATTTGTTCACTTTCTGATAATGATGATGGGTGCTTTTTCAGCGTGGACTTGGTAATTGGTCACGGTGCAGCTTGCAACCCACTGTTACGACTCGCTACCACCAAGGAGACAGCCCACTTGTTTAAGTCAGCAGTGCTAATCTCCCCTTGGCCTCATCGACCATTTCGGTAGGTTTCCTGCTGCAAGTTAAATATATTTGCGGTTAAAATATGTTCCAAGTTCTGAAGAGCATGCTTAGAAATGATATTTTTTAACAGCAACTTCATACCTTATATAAATCCCCAAATAAATGTGACAAACACATAAAAAGTTATCAACATGTTTATTGCACAGATGATTCCCAAAATAGATATGGAAGTTCTTAAATGTAAAAGGGTATTATCAGTCTTACTGAAAAGGAAGGAGGCAAACTGTCAAAATAACATGTGCATATAATCTAGCATTGATGAAATGACATTCACCGCGTTGGATGAGGGATCAAAATTATTATTCTAGTTGGCACCCTTGTAGGTTGGTTGTTTCTGTAAATCCACGATTCGCTGTGCAGAGTTGCGTCCCTTGGGCACGCCAGAAACCTATGATTGTGGGCTCGAATCCCGGTTCGCCCCCATTATGTTTCTAGGTTTGTCAGCACCATACCCGTGCTCGTGGGTTTCACTGAAGTGGTAAACATCTGAGACCTGCATTACTTTGGGCTTTCCTCCCACATTAAGCTGACACACCACGATATAACTGGAATACTGTTAAAAGCGGCGTTAAACCCAACTCGCTCACTCACTCAATGTTTCTGTAAATAATGTCAAACCAATTTATTTTGGTATAATAAGAATGCCTTGTTTGACTGGAAATATTTGTTGGTAGTAGTTTTCTTGTAACTGTTAATTATAAAGTTTACTTTGGTAAATTAACCTCAAGTCAACACTGTATAACCTTTACAATCTCGTTAAAATCAGATCTAAGTGCTTGCTTGTGAAAACGTAGTCAAATTTTAATGAGACTGTTAACTTTCTAAATGGCTTTTGTTTATTGTGGACAAGATCTCACATCGCTTTGTGAAGTCATGCCACTTGGTACAGGATTAAATCTGCATAATCACATTTACTTATCTACAGGGGAATAAATCCCTACAGCTTACACCAACGAATAACAGCACTCTGGGATCGGCCCGCTCTACGCTTCATGTGTCGACTACTGGCCAGGCGAGCTGCCAAGTCACTAGGCCTGCAGGGACACAGCATAAACAGTGTCATAAGAACATCTCAGACTGTCACAAACATGGGCTTTGATGAGGTTTGTTTGGTACACAGTGCTTGCTATTTTAGGTGATGTCAGGTGTGTGTGTGCAATAAATGTCAGTCAGGAATTGATGTGGAGCGAATGATAGTTTGGACAGTGGACACTGTAGACTATTTGAATATTTTTATATTATGAAAATGGTTAATTGGATATGAAATGGTTTTACTAAGACAAGTAACTAGGGCTATGTATTAGCAAAATAATTGTATTGTTTGTTTGTTGTTTAACGCAGCACTCAACAATATTCCAGCTATATGACGGTGGTCTGTAAAATATTCAAGTCTGGACCAGACAATCCAGTGATTGAGATCATGAGCATCGATCCACGTAATTGGGATCGATGACATGTATCAACCAAGTCGGCTAGTCTGACCACCCGATCCCGTTAGTCGCCTTTTACGACAAGCATAGACGCCTTTCACGGCAAGTATGGGTTGCTGAAGACCTATTCTACCCCAGAATCTTCTTCACGGGTCATATTGCAATATATTGCAATACAGGTATTTGTATTGTGATACATATTGCACTATATTGGGTGCCCAAGTGTTTCACACTGATTGACTTTGCTTGTACATGCAGATCTTATTATCGACTAATGTAAATATCACACAGCATAATCAGTTGCCACCATTTTGTAGTCATGGAAAGAGGGGAGATAACATGGGAGAAAAATTGCTTTCCCTGTCTCCACTGTTTTGTCAATCAAAGGGAAACATTTGTGAATGAAACTCTGGTAAGGTTAAACAATTTAAATAATAACGAAACTTGTTATATGTATTTTTTACCCAATTTACTGGAACACAGAAAACATATTGCAATACTTGTTTCAAATGTGTATTGCAGTATACCGGATTACCTAGTAATAATGTGCTGTCCTTCAAGTAACCGGTTCAGGGTTTTTCCAAATGTGTGATGTCGTCCCAACTAACAAGGACTTACATTCATCCTATCAGATTGCAGGCATACTGATTGCTGCGGACATGTTGATGCTCCCGTGTGCTGTGTTCTACTCTGGTGATGACAAGTTTATAGAAGAAGACGTTTACAAGGAGTTCCTCCATCTGATGGGCATCAGTGCTGATCGAGAGATGTTGGTTGGGGAGGATGGCAAGATCTGTGTCCCTGGTGAGATATTTCAGACAAAATGTTACACATCATATGTTTGTCAAATATGAGGATTGAAACTTGAAATGAAAAATGCAAGGGTATGGTGCAGCCCGACCTCTAATCTTGATTGGGGCAAATCTGTGATCTGAACGAACGTTGAGTGAAATCCTGGCACAAACAAGGGACAGAACTCTGCATAGTGAATTGTTTTTCCTTAGACCAGTTGGCCACCCATGACCCCGTCATGAAAGTGGAAGTACATCCTTCTCTTGAATACATAGAACCTAAAGTACATGCCAGTACAATTTAGCTTAAACACAGCATCACCCGGACACAGTATAATGTAGCCTCACCTGGACACAGTGTAATTTAGCCTTGCCTGGATACAGTACAATTTAGTAAGTCTTGCATGGACAATCGTCATAAGTTGGTTGTTAAACATCATGTTAAAAACCTGAATGACAGCTGTTAGGTGTTATTTGTCAAAGTAATGGTAGAGTATTTTCTGTTTCAGCTTCTGTGGAGGGCTTCCCGAAGACACTGAGGTTTGAGAGTGGAGGTCAGGACCTCCACACAAGGTACCCCGGACTCATCAATGCTGTGTCCTGGAGCCTGCTGCAACATGTACGTCCTGACGCAAGATGATGCGATGTGTTCACAGCAGACAGTGACTGGATAGATATCTGTGGTTGGATGACAACTGTGATCAATTCTCCATCTTGAAATGAAGGTCATACTGTTTATACTGAATATACATGTCTGGGTTTCGAGGATTCATCAAACTGTAGGACTTCATCCAACTGATGAAATGTATCCAGATCATTAGTTCAAGATTCAATATGCGTGATTCAGTTGTAAAGCAACTATGACAATTTCCCAATTATAAACAATGGTCTTGATAAAGATCAAGTGAATTTTTTCACTTAGATGAGTGTCTATAGTGAACATTGTCTTGAAGAGTGTGCAGTATAATTGGTAGTTGCCCAGTTTGTGAGGTCAGGTTGTGGATGAGTATATTTATATGCTAGACCTTACAATCGAGGGAGACCCAGTCAGCATGTTGACATTGTCGAGTGAGTGAGTTACCATTGCTTGAACATTATCTCGGGTTGCATGACAGTGTGTCAGTTTCATGTGGGAGAACAGCCTGAAGTGATGCCAGCTGTAGACATTTACTTCTTTGGGGAAGTGGTGAGGTGAAATGCTTAACATTGCCTAGAAGATTGTTGCAATTATAGAGTTATGTGCATACATGTGTGCTTGCATGCGTGTGTTTTCTTTCTCATCCCCTTAATCCAGGGTTCCAAGTAGGGTAATAACAACTGCCACCCATTAATGTCTTTTGGTATGATGTGGCCAGGGGATTGAACCACTGACCTTACGTTGTATCCACTTGACCACCGAGGTGAAACCCACGAGCATAGGCATAATGAACTACAGACAGTACACTTCACTGGACTGTGGTTTTGCAACAGCTATATTCCAGCTTCATCATGGCATCCTGTAAATAATCAAGTCTGGGCCAGACAATGCAGTGATTGATCTATTAGCAGTGTCCAATGTTGTCAGGGTAGGAGGACATGCTGCCAAGTCAAACAGCCTGAACATTCGCCTGGTACATAAATAGGTGGCTCGGTGCTGGGGACCAATTCTTATCCGGAATCTCCACACAGCTCACATGCAAGATGAGTACCCTGGCCTGCACATATAAAAGTGAGACCCGTGAAGATCCGGGGTAGAATAGGCTTTAGCAACCCATGCTTGCCATAAAAGGCGACTATGCTTGTCGTAAGAGGCGACTAATGGGATCGGGTGGTCAGACTTGCTGACTTGGTTGATGCATGTCATCGTATCCCAATTGCGTGGATTGATGCTCATGTTGTCAATCACTGGATTGTCAGGTCCAGACTCAATTACTTACAGACCGCCGTCATATAGCTGGAGTATTGCTGAGTGCGGCGTTAAACAACAAACAAAACATATAAATGTGGAGTACTTGTCACAGTATTTATTTGTCTGTTCTTTGTCACCGCGATCAGCTACATAATGGAAATCTGTAAGTGAGTCGGTTGGTGTATGATTACATGCCTCAACCAAGTCACAAAGTCAGACAATCCGATCAATTATGTCACCTCTTACAACTAGCATGGGTTGCTGAAGAACAATTTGAACCAGATCTCCACGGGATGTTGTGACAGGACATTATCAGGACGTGAATGTCCAGCATAATGAGGAAAACTGCTTGGCTGTACCTCCTATGTTTACACGAAGATCCGGGTTAGAATAGGTCTTATAGCAACCCATGCTCGCTGTAACAGGCGAATATGCTTGTCGTAAGAGGCGACTACTAATGTATCAGGTGGTCAGGCTTGCTGACTTGGTTGATGCATGTCATCGTATTCCAATTGTGTAGATCGATGCTCATGATGTCTATCACTGGATTGTCTGGTCCAGACTCGATTATTTACAGACCGCCGTCATATAGCTGGAATATTGGTGAGTGCAGCGTTAAACAACAAACAAACCTCCATGTCCTGAACTGTCATGTGTTGAGAAATCAAATAATTGACAATAAAAACAATGAAAATATTAAATAGTTTATTCTTTCTTTCACTCTCAACCCACAGTTCACACTATCAGTAGTGAAACAGCATTTGGTACACACACAATGCATATATAAATACCCACAGGCACCACCTCAAGATGTATTTATACAATGTGTCATTTATACATATTCACTGGTCTGTTTTTGTCTCTGATATTTATATACAAATTTGATCTCTATGTATAATATGTTATTTTTTTTTCACCAGACAAAGTTACATAAATGTTAATTAGGAGATAAACATACTGTGTTTCAAATGTTGAGCTAGGTTACAAGTAGATTTAACTGCGCTAAATTGAATTTGGCACTGAACACGCGATGATGCGGCTGTCAAACCAGCGGTTTCATTCAGAGGGGGTTTATTGTGATTTAATAGCCTCTGATTAACCAATCAGAATCGAGTAATTTCCAAATTCATGGTAGAATTGGCATTATCACTGTTACTAGATGAAGTTTCATATGTGATTATTGCAATATGTGAAGTGTTCATACTCAGGATTAGTTAGTGACGTAAGCCATAGTAAACAGGGTAAAGAAATGTGACAGCTTGCATGTTCACTTTTTATGCAAAAGAAATACAAGACCGGTCATAAAATTGAACATTTATGTACTATTATAGATGACACACCACATCTTTGATGATCTGACAATTCTGTAATTCTTGCCAATAATTGTGAATATTGTGCTTTCCAAAAACTTATTAAAGCCCACTGACATATGGTCTCTTCTAAACAAAAACAAATCAGTACACACAATTTAGACCCAGGACAATGATATGTAATGCTAAACAAACTCAGGAACACTTGGACTGAACACAGCATTTTGGGACAGGCATTCCACGTGCAACGGAAGATTCCATTTCCATACAACAGGGGACAGAGTTGGACACAGATGCTGTGGTTGTTCACATGACATTAGTAAATTGTTAAGAGAGGATTATCTGTCTTTAAATATGTTGGACTCCTAGAAATCATCTTCCCGAAGTAAGGGGTTTAACGGACAATGAAAGGCCAGTTTCCACTGTTGCCGAACTAGGCTGGTATTATGGAGTTATATTTTTGCATATATGCATAGTCCAATAAAAATCGTGTAACAAAATCGACATCCGGTTCGTAAACTGCCATGCAAATTTCGGTCGATTGCAGGATCTGCATAGCATGTGTACCTTCAACTCGGCGTCAACAGACATTTTCCAAATTTTTCATGTTTTTAATCAAGGTGCTCACATGATTTAATGCACTTCGCAAAGTAAGTCCCATTTTATGACAATGTAGATGTTGATTATCGATCAGATCGTCTTGAGTGGGCAGTGCCATGTTGTTTGAAGCAAATGCAAGTGATATGAGAGGTGGAATCTGATTGGTTAATAAGAGACACATAACTCGTACCAGCCACTGGTGGTGCTATGATCGAGCCCAGAAATCCCAGTCTAGTTCAGCAAGGGTGGAAACTGGACTTTCACAGATCAGTGAGTTCACTTGTCAAGTCGTGTTTCTAAGGTTGTTTAGTAGGAACATCCTAGACAGCCACACTATTGGAACATCACCCACTCACTTGCAGTAGGACATGAACAAACAAGATACTAGCGACTAGGTAGAAAATACTAGAACAAAATACAAACTGATAAACCTGACATCACAATTATAGGACATATTGGGACTTCAGTTTTCACCTCTTTTGTATGCTGAAGTGTGTGGAATGTTTCATAAGGTTTTGAACTGGTATACAATTCTCATAAGACTTGGAGAAAACATTTATATGCTGACCTGTTGGGGTCAAATCAAAAAGTTTGAAAGTGGAGAAAAGAAATTATCACTGAATCTTACAAATGAAAAATCTCTTTGGATGCACTGAATAATTTACATAAATATCAATTAATCACTGAAACCTTTTTCTTAAATCTATCCAGTTTTCAATCTTTCACACAGACAGTAGCACAGAGATTTTTTTCACTTGGGATCTACAAACACTTTTTTACACAAAATATATGCATAAACCAGACACAAAATGGTGCCTGAAGTCAGGATGAAATGTTCATTGAGATCCAATACACATGGCCTATGTCAAACTTATTACAACCTCATTTCTGTAAGTCTTTGGGGGCGGTGGGGTAGCCTGGTGTTTAAAGTGTTGGCTCGTCCCCACATGGGTACAATGTGTGAAGCCCATTTTCCGTTGTACCCCGCCATAATATTGCTGGAATATTGCTAAACGCGGCATAAAACCATACTCACTCACTAAGTCTTTGAACAAGTGTATGATTTATGCTACTCCACTTTAGATAGGGATATAGTTATCTTTCCATGATACCCAAACAAACTGCATATTTAAATATATATCTGACATACCGTATTCGAATTAATAAGCTCTAATAAGCGCCCACGGCGATATTTGCTAATATATTGGCTAGTGAACAATCCCAATTAGCACCCCTTCCGATTGATCAATGTACACAAGGTACCTAGGTATTTATTCACGTATAATACACACTCGTGTGTTATATGCACCCTAAATTATGGGCAATTAAATTTTGGAAAAATATATGTCGTATATAAACATTTCAGGCATTAACCACGAAATTTATCCTTAAACGCTGTATTTTTCACCAAAATAATATTACATAATATTGTAATAAGAGCCCCCTATTTCTAATTTTGAGAGCGCCCTGGGCGCTTATTACTTCGAATACGGTATCTGATGATCCCTATGAAACACTGAGTAGTACATATCACTGAAACCCAGAAATAAAGAAGTCATTTCTACAGTATCAAAACTGAACATTGTTTGCCCTGAAATTTCAGTATCTAAAATAAATTCAATTACTCAACAAACACATTCATAACAATTACAAGTTCACAAATTAGAAAACAAAATATTTGGGTGACAAGCAAAAGTATCTTGTGACCCTATCAGACTTTTAGTATGGTAACTCAAAGTACAAATAGGGTCAATTGTCATGAGATAAGCAAGTGACATCACTGTATACAATAATGACGTCATGATGTCCGTAAGGGCTGGCCACCTATATTGGTTTATCACACTTTGAGGACACAGATTGGGTCAAAATCAATGCAATGACATAACACCAATTAATACAAGAGGTTACCACTGACTGATACACTATGTAAATAATGATACTGATTGATTTATCATTTATACTTGGAAACAGATTCATTACTGTTAAAAGGTGGAAAACTATAACCAAAACTTGCTTCCAAGGCAATGAATATTTGGTTAGGACAAGCTTTGGGTTTAGAAAGTTATTTTTGTCAAAATAAAACAAATGCAATAATGCCAGACTTTGGGATGTTTTTTAACAGATATTTTGCCCCAAAATTTGAAAAAAATAGAAATTAGAACATTCAAATTTCGAAAACACATTTTTTATTTCCTCAAAAAAGTAGTTTGTTAGATACATTTTCAGCAGATAGTATTTAAAAAAATTTATATACTTATAAAATGATGGCGACAAGAAATTATTAAAAAGAAATATATTGTATAAAAACTCACTTCTTAAAGTTCTTTTCCTTCTTTTTTTTTTCACCTTTTATTTTTTTAGAAACAGCAGAATCATAAACCAAGTCTAAAAATAGTCTCACCTAATATGGAATACTGATGCAACAACAATATATTTTATAACTAAATGAGGAGGCCATGATGTGTTTTGACATTTTAGATAATAAATGTTCTTTCATGGCCACTTTAACAAGTTGACTGGTAGAGATCAAATCAAGGCCACAAACAGTAAGTATTAGATTTTCATGAATCTATTAAAAAAAAAATGGGGGAGGGGGGAGGGGAGGTGAGGGGAGGAGGAACCACAGTGATTTTTGTCTGTAGATTCTTGGAGACTACAAAATTATGTCAGTTTGGGGGAATGAAAATCTAACAATGTATTATGGCCCTACAATAACCCTACTGGGACTTGTCAGCATTCCTATATCACATAAGCCCTATGGAATCGCCAAGTCGGTGTAATCCAAGCATACTGATGAGTATTTGAGATGTCTTCGCAACACTTGTACAATATTATGACATGATGAACAATCTTAAATAGGTGTACATGTACATGGACAGCAATAGGACCCTGTATATACACATCCTCAGGGACCGACCATTGGATATTCTGTTGGGGGCCTGGGATTTTGTTTGGTGATTAGATTTTAAATTAAAACTAAAAGCCTAAATATTTTTTTAAAAACACACCTTGCAACATTGTACTTTTTGATGGCAGACAATTATTTTTTCGTACTGTCTGGTGTTTAATTTTTTTTTTTTCAAGCATTTTCTCGGACAATTTATTTTTTTCAATAAAATCTCAGGCCCCCACCAGAATATCAAACGGTCAGTCCCTTATATTTAAGCAGCACTAATTACACAAGGAAATATTTACAAGAAGAAATTGAAATAGAATTACCATTATTCAATTTCAGGAATAAATAATTGTAAAAGACCAAGTTCAGCATCCCCTAATGTTGTTAAAACAGACTCATTAAATGAGATGTCTGGAACAAAAGTGAAAATGGAACTTAAATTACAGATAAACCATTATTTGTAGGGCTCTGATGGGTACTGGGGTACTGGAGTAATCGAGCACGGGTCGTGTTTAGATAGACCAATGTCAAGGTCTTGAGTACCCAATCATGGGAGATAACTAACATCTTTACTTTTCAAACACTTGTGTTGCAGACACAGAAGAGAAACAGTACAGTGTCAGGATGCATTTTAGCTAAGATGAAGCTAAGAAAAAGACCAAAAAACGTTGATTGTGTGGCATATTATCGTTAAATTGGGTACTTAAGTCCAGATTACGTTTTGAGAAATGGGTACTCCAGTTCAGGTTGGGTTATGAGAAACGGGAATTCCATTCGTCACCACTCGCCCCTTTCCATAACCTGCAAGAAGACTCGTCCCCCTATCGATGAATGTTATGTGTGAAAATAATTTCAATAATTCCCTAAGCAATAATTTTTGATTTTACATATGTCTTGCATCAAAAAATATACCCAAGATACAGTTAAATGTGTTCAATCATACTGTATAATACCTTAAGTCCTGATGTGGCTTAAATAGCATCTGGAATACATATGATAGCTGGGAAATATATGTGAATCATTCTTTTAGCTATGCTCGTTTGCCCTAAGACGGAACCCAGTCGCAAAATTGGCCATGAGAGGGGCACGAGTCGCTATTCAGCATGTCCCGGAATAACACGAGTTGGTCACGAATGCGGAAACTCAAGTCCATTTGTTTCTTCTTGTTCGAGCCCTAATTTATTGACATACTATTTCCATGAAAGCAATGTCATCCCTCCATGGGGCTTCCAGGGCAACATGACAAAATGTGTACCTGGCAGTCACAATGGCTTCTGAGCCTAGACAGACCTGGGTGGGCTGCCGCTACCATGGAAGACCAATTCTAAGCTGTGAGGTTTGAGAGTGTATCAATACACAAATATAGATAACACTGCAGCTCATTTTGAAAACATAATACGGTAACATTGATGTCATTTGAAAAAATAAAATGGTAACAGCCCAGCTGTTTTGAAAACAAGAAACTTTAACTTCTTGCTGCTGGGCGATACTTTGGTTTTCTCTGTGAAGATTGCTCACTCTATCGACCAGTGGTCCGCCTGCCTCAAGCCGGTAGCACTTTACAAGCTATCATGATATATCATAGATACCGCCCATCACTGGGGGTTATCACTGGGCAATACTTGTTTTCTAATCTCTGCAGGTTGGTACTCACTCTATCGACCAGTGGTCCACCTGCTTCAAGCCGGTATCACTTTACCAGCTGCAATGATTTATCATTGATACCGCCCATCACAGGGCATTCCCACAGGGCAATACAGGGCACCCACCCCCTGTGTAAATATTAACTGATTAGAGATGTCCTCGCCCATCTGCTACCCACCATCACAATACAGCAGTATTATAACAGCAGTATTATAACAGCACAATACTACATACAGCCTGGCTTACACCATTCCGCTTTGCTTGAAGGTAAAACCATTTTGGATACCCAAAAATGATATGAACAAAAGTGATGATTGATGCATGATATAAAAATAATATTAGAAAACAACTTCCTCGCTCTGTCAAATCTACCCTGATATCTTGGATATATACAAATTTATACAGACTAATTTTCAAGACTTTCTTTTGCACCACGGTGGTATGGTAGAAATGTGGAATGAATTCCTTACCTCTAGTATGGTTGTATCTCAACCTTTGCCTGTATAAATACTGACGAAACACAAAATCAGAAAATATGATCCAATTTTTTCTTCATAGGTCTGCAAAAGTTAAATATTTGGATGAAAATTAGTTTGTTAATTTGTATTCCATATCAACCTGCTTTTATATCTGGTGGTCAATAAATACAAGATACATGTGATGTTTATAGAACTCAGCCAATAACACAGGCAGCATGACTACTGCACAACTTCTACACACAGCGTTTCTGTTACAGAGGGACTATGGTAAGTCCAGATGTTGCAAGGTCTCTGTACAAAAAGGTAATAAGTAACTGCTCGACTCATATCATCCTACCCTTTGAGTTAGCATACAAACATAGTGGTGTTTTATCGAATTAAATCAGTGGTGTTTTATTTAATGAAATATCACTTGGTAGGACTGCAAATAACCCAAGCCTAGTCCCCCTGTAACAACTTAGTAACATCTAAAACTGTGGAAAAACTGTTAAAATTGAATAATCATTGAAGACCCATTTATTTTCCTTGTTCCAAAAAAATATATATACCGGTACTGTTTGCTGCATGAAAAAGCATCTAACTTTTTTGTATTGTTGTGTTAAACTCTTATTTCAAGAATTTTGACATCAAATCAACCCTCTTTACAATTTGTAAATGAATATTGGTCTGGCCCTACATGATGCTACCAACTTCCAAAACCTATATCATATATACCAGGGCTGCGTGTTAACCTCATTAAACACAACTCTGTCAACCCGAAAAAATCTTTAACTTCTGCAGATTCTTTGAATGACTTTATCATACAATTAAACCACATCATAATATGCATACCCTGCATTCTGCTAATATGGAAAGACTCAAGAAATACACATCTGTTGCAAAAACTAAAATTGTAAGTGATATGTTTGTGCTGAGATCATCTGTACTAAGGCACCAGATATAAAAGTAGTTGTATGTCGTCACTTATCACAACTCTCTGCCATGCTTCACAGTAAGGAGTAAGAAGTCCACTTAGAACTTCCTCACCTCGATCACAAGCAAAGCAATGACAATAACAAGAATTATAATAAGCAGAACCAAGACAACATCAGGGGAGATAAGCCAGAGCAGGAACCGTCAAACAGGCAGGAGAGGGCTTTGTTTTGATTGGCTATTGGACGATCCACTTCCATTGGTCGAAGAGGATTCACCTTCCTCATTGGCTGGCCCACTTCCATCTTGATCTTTGTGGGATGCTACTCTGACAAGTCTGCGATGAGCAGCTTCGATCTTTACAAAAAAGAATCAACAGCATTACGTAATATGATTGCTGAATTTTGACTATTTTGGGTTGGTTAAAACTAATGTGATATCAAATATTTCCAATAGGATATTGCACACATCAAGTAGGACACTGCATGCATATTTTATTTTCTGACAGTGCAATTCCTATAGGATATTTCTATTATGATATCAAAATTTTCCACAAGGGTTTTGCATACCTTCATAAGTACATTGGACATGTCCATTAACATGCAGCTTATTTTAATTGACTAGAAGACCAGACATTTCCATGAGAATATAATCAATTTCCATCAGGACATTGAGGCAACCTGATGAAGAAGTCCTACCTTATCTCCGAAGAAGGACACAATGGTGAAGATGACCAGCACAATGAGAGCCAGATGGGTCCAGAACTTCAGCCAGTCTCGATACTGCCGCCTACAAAACACACTCACTTGTCACAGCAAAACAATTTCCTCAATTTTTTATTTTATCAATCAACCCTCATACAATTAATAACTCAGAGAATGAACATCTTTTGTTGTACAGCCTGATTCTCTAGTCCCTGCCTTTTTAATTAAATTTTCCAATATGTCTGTCAAGATTTGAATGCACAGCAACACATCCAAGATGGTGTCCCTATCAGCATTTCCTGTTGCCTCTGGCTTGGACACTGATTACATTGGCTCCAGTATTAGTTCAAGTGTGTTTAGTGTGCAAGTACCATTTTGTGAATGTCATTAAAGCAGATTCAACATACGTATAGTAATTATACTGAAGATAATGCACTTGCATCAAGTCTTCCACATTACTCACCACTCTCGCAGTTCATCTGTGTGAAGGAATCGGTTTCTGTATTCACGTGGCAACTCAAACTGTGATGGTATTGGGAAGAGCGATTCATAGAAGTCCTGAAGAACTGCTTTAACCTACAACACATGGAGTGGCCCACAGAATCAGGGAGAGGCAACACAAACAATGGCAGGTTGTAAGGAAGCATTGTGAAAGGCGATACCCAGTCTGGCACCAACACCAACACCCACCCACCCACATCCATCCACATCCACCCACATCAACATCCCCCATCCACACCCATCTACACCCACACCATCACCCACCCACACCAACACTCACCCACCCACACATACCAACACCCCTCAACACCCACCCACACCCTACCATCCACCCACACCCACCCACACCAACACCCACCCACACCCACACCTACCTACACCAACCAACACCCACCCACACCAATAACACCCACCCACATCAACACCCACCCATCCACACCCACCCACACCAACACTCACCCACACCCACACCCACACCCACACCCACACCCACACCCACCCCTACCCCTACCCCAATTCAATCACATATACCCCTTCTACACTATTATTTTCTGTAATGTACACAATGAAATACAGACGATCACGTAGAATTTGGTCAGAGAGCACTTAATGGAGCAAGGTGCTTAATACAGCAACTACGGTATATTATTTCTACATCACAGAAACAGGCTCGCAACAGTACTTACAGTTCTGGCTTCCTCGGATCCATGCTCGATGTTGTCATTGAGACAGATGAACTTCCTGTAACGAACACAATCAGGTAATGCTACTGTTAGTCCTGTATGTGAAGGAGAATGTAAGAAAACTCGCACGTTGAATCACGCACGCACGAATACGGTGTTAGGGTTGGGCGTCTCAACGTTCGTGATTCCCGTGCACCCTTTTGAGTTGAGTTGATTGGTTCAACTGTGTCATATGGCCCTGTGACGCAGGGGTAGCATTATGCAGATGGCTGTTTCAATGAATGCTCGTTCCACCCGTGACGAACAGGTCTGGTTGTTGATGAAATATAGTGAAATAGACAGATTTTTTATTCATGCACCGATTGTCTTTAAATGTAATATCCAGTTATGTATGACTGTTTAATAATCTCATACCAACTTTGACTGGAGTAGGTCCGATAGTTTTTCAGATATTGTAGTAAACATCGGTACCTTAAATTACCTTCCAGACCATAGAGTCAGATAACACCTACTGTTTCAGCTGGGTGATGTTTGATCATATGGAGAATACATGATATGGAGAATTTGTTAAATCTTTATTGACAGATGTGTTCTTACTTGGAGTGTTTGCGGACATTATCGAGTTGACCGACTACACTTGAGACGTTGGTCCGGATCATGTAGAATGTGACGTCAGAGTCATCCACAGTTGTATATCTGGAAGGGTAGTGTTAATAGTGAAATAGAGCTTCTTCTGTTAGGCTAAAAAAAATAATAGTCTTGGTTCTCAGTCACTGCCCACATATGCATAAAGGTCTTTGCACGTGTTTCCTTTTTCAATTTTCTTGATGCATTGTGTTTAAGTATGAGGATTTTTATATATTTTTTTAAAAAATGGAAATAAAAACAAAACATGTGTGAGACTTTATGATGATGCGGGTGGTGCATGAGAACCATCACTATTATTTTTTTAGCCTTACAGACAAATTTCATTTGAGACCAAAGGTACACACAATTACTTTAAACCCAGTTGTATGATCAAAAATATCGTTTACTATTTTTGTAAAAAGTTATCTACATATACGAACAATTTATTCACTATTTTATTCTTTCAGGACATCAATGTTTATTTCAATATTTTTTACAAATATCTGCACATTCCTGTATTACTTATTCTTTCTCTGCATATGAGTCTGTTGGTCCCTCTGGCTTCACGGTATTATGGTTCAGGGTCAACATTTTCGTCACACATGGTAAATCCCCGAATTTCTCACTTACTTGAACTTTGGTTTAGGCTTGAACTTGTCCTTCACCAGCTTCAGCACACCCCCACAGCTGAGAAACAGATGCCTTGTCACTTGTGGCTAAACAAGAAATACTGCAACGTTACCCTGACAACAGGGAATGAGAGCACAAACCCACCCTTGTAAAAATGCCACCATCTGAGGAAACTTAGGTTTATTTCAAACATTTTAATTTTTCAAACAACAAAGCAGTTGCCCTTATAACATTTTATTTGTAGAACCCCTTGAGTGGAGAGGGGATTAGGGCTTGGACGATTCCAAATTTACTACCCGGGTACCTGACCCCCTATTACCTGACCCTACCTGGGTACCCACTGTAGGTCTCAAGAGTTGGGAACAAAATGATCAGATCATGCGAACACTGAAGTTGACTGAAGCTTTATCTCTACTCAAACATATACAAGTCAAAAGGAATGTGTGCATCGTCAGAAAGAAATGTGAACATTAACGACTTGTATTGTAACCATTGAGCTATAGTGTGTTTTTGTCATTAAACAATATGTCACGTGACTAACCACGGGTGCGGGTAGTACTGGCGGTACTCAGGACCCACCAGACCCGAGTACCCGAGTCACCCGTCCCAGCCCTAGAGGTGACCTACCATGGTTTTATCGTAGTACACTTCCTGTGTGGGGGGCGCATACGCAGACTTCTGCTCCTCTTGAAGATGGTTGGAACAGTTGACAAAGATCTGCTCCAGTCCCTGCAGAGTCTGTCAAACATACATGTTGTCATAACAACCACTACCTGCACCCAATACATAATACAATACATAATAATAGTCAGTTGGGGCTTAATATCCTGTGAAGATCCGGGTTAGAATAGGTCTTCAGCTACCTATGCTTGTCGTAAAAGGCGGCTATGCTTATTGTTAGATGCGACTAACAGAATTGGGTGGCCAGGCATCGATGCTCATGATGTCAATCACCGGATTGTCTGGCCCAGACTCGATTATTTACAGACTGCTGTCATATAGCTGGAATATTGCTGAGTGTAGCATTAAACAACAAACAAACAAACCTAGATATAGTCACATGAAAGTCCTTTCGAGTGAGTGACTTAGTAAATGAGTATAGTGAACGGTTTTACGCCGCTTTTAGAAACATTCCAGCTATAGCATCGCAGGGACACATGACATGGGCTTCATCGATCCTGGGTTGAACGAATGCTTTGACCACCAAGCTACCCAACTGCCCCGCAAGCCCTTGTGAGCTTGTGAGCTTAAAGCAATAGTCAAGGCATATCTGGGTTGGGGAGACTGAGAAATGGCTTCACACCGAGTTGAACTCGGGACAATCAATGTGATGAATCAATGCTCTCACCATTAGGCTACCTACCAGGACAATGTGGTCATGGATTTTGATCACTTAAATTCACACCCATTTAGGAGATAAACCTACTGTTTTGAGGTAGTCCCATTTTAATTTGGAGCCAAGCACTCTCTATGCTTAAACATTGTTTTGTCACATCATTAGTAATTTCCAAATTCATGATAGCATTATCAATAAATACTGATACCTAGCTTAAAATAGTTTTGGAAAACAAACAATGAAACATATGAGAACTTCAGCTGAACAACAAAAATCCTTACCTCCAGATACAGTGGCAAGTCATACATTCTAGCGGCAAACGTCCTCAGTTCTCGATCAGATAAAACACTGAAACAACAAGACAATGAGTGAGCTAAAATGTAACTTCACATTGGCATTATTACAACAAAACAAAGTCAAAACAACTTAACAATAATATAAACACAAATACCCTTGCAACAACACTTTACTAATTTTGAAGCAATAGCACAGACCTGGTCACTAAAGAATAGGCTTCCAACATGTAGCCATGTTCAGTCAGGTTGTAAAGCATGTAACTCCATATGCAATGTATGCTCAAAGAGCTGCGTTATTATTACCCCAGTCAATTGATCAATGTGCACTCGATTTTTCATACTCAGCTCCCTGGGGAGTATACAACCATAGCTACCTGTAAGTGAAACAGTAACATCACAATCTCATCCTACTGTGTACCCATTCACTGCTGGATGAACACAGGCATATATCGAACAAAGTCACTTGACTAAAGAGACACTACAATCACTTCATGTGCTTCGGTGTGGGGAGGCCTGAAGCCCGAAAAACTCTTGGGAGCCTATAGCTGCCGGACACTGTCACCCATCCAAGGACGCTCTACAACAAACTTTGCCTGATTTGTGACGTGTGTGCTGTACACAGGACCCCGTCCCATTACAAATGAAGCCACCATTAGGCTACCTCACAGACATGAAGCTGATGTTATCTCCCAAGGAGGACACAAACATGGGATAGTCAGTTTCAATATGTTCAGAAATAACATGCTTACCGTGAGTGGTCTGTGTCCATCTCATCAAACACAGACTCCGGAGTCACTTGCTCGGAGACGCCCATCAGGTAGTAGAAGTAGGAGAAGGCGTACTGCATGTCCTTCGAGTGTCGCACCTTGTGGGAAGACGTCACGTCCCACTCATTGGGAAACCTGAAATCACCATGTCTCTGTTACACAGGTGAGCCATTGTAAGATTGTTATACATTGTTCATGTCAATCATGTGACTGTACTGGGCCTGTAGATAGGTCATAGTGTGCCTGTCAGTCATGTGACTCTCTGTACTTACTGGGCCTGTAGATCGGCCATAATGTGCCTGTCAGTCATGTGACTCTCTGTACTTACTGGGCCTGTAGATCGGCCATAATGTGCCTGTCAGTCATAATGTACCTGTCAATCATGTGACACTATGTACTTACTGAGCCTGAAGATCGGCCATAATGTGCCTGTCAGTCATAATGTACCTGTCAATCATGTGACACTATGTACTTACTGGGACTGTAGATCGGCCATAATGTGCCTGTCAGTCATAATGTACCTGTCAATCATGTGACACTATGTACTTACTGGGCCTGTAGATCAGCCATAATGTGCCTGTCAGTCATAATGTACCTGTCAATCATGTGACACTATGTACTTACTGGGCCTGTAGATCGGCCATAATGTGCCTGTCAGTCATAATGTACCTGTCAATCATGTGACACTATGTACTTACTGGGCCTGTAGATCGGCCATAATGTGCCTGTCAGTCATAATGTACCTGTCAATCATGTGACACTATGTACTTACTGGGCCTGTAGATCAGCCATAATGTGCCTGTCAGTCATAATGTACCTGTCAATCATGTGACACTATGTACTTACTGGGCCTGTAGATCGGCCATAATGTGCCTGTCAGTCATAATGTACCTGTCAATCATGTGACACTATGTACTTACTGGGCCTGTAGATCGGCCATAATGTACCTGTCAATCATGTGACTATGTACTTACTGGGCTTGTAGATCGGCCATAATGTACCTGTCAATCATGTGACACTATGTACTTACTGGGCCTGTAGATCAGCCATAATGTACCTGTCAATCATGTGACTCTGTACTTACTGGGCCTGTAGATCAGCCATTATGTACCTGTCAATCATGTGACTCTATGTACTTACTGGGCCTGTAGATCGACCATAATGTGCCTGTCAGTCACGTGACTCTATGTACTTACTAGGCCTGTAGATTGGCTATAATGTGCCTGTCAATCATGTGACTCTGTACTTACTGGGCTTGTAGATCGGCCATAATGTGCCTGTCAATCATGTGTGGCATGTGAGCGGGCACCTTCCTCGCCACGAATCCAAAGGCCTTGTTGAAGAGCTTGTTGACGTGACGAAGAGAGTCTCCAAAAGTGTCCAGCAGACGGCGGCCATTGTGATGAGGTGACTCAAACTCACTGGCTCTCAGCACATTCTCTCTCATCTGAAACAGCACCATATGACTGTTGATACAACTTTGTGGCATGTCAGGAATTCAGTCATTGTCAACAACTAGGAAAACAACAAAATCAGTGAGTGACAGTTGTTGTATTTCAGATGTATCACAGCAGTCTGTAAGGAATAGAGTCTGATAGTTTCTGATAATATAAGAAATGATCAATGCTGTATGATGACATACATTGTTATCACATGGTCGTTATTGGTCTGCTCTTACACCAAGCACGCAGTACAGAGGCCTAGTTTGCCCTGAAATCTCTACAAGGAGACAATCAAGCAGAAGTGGGGTCCAGTTTACCCTGAAATCCTGACAGAGACAAGCATGCAGTACTGGGGACCAGCCTGCCCTGAAATCCCTACAGGGAGACAAGCATGCAGTACTGGGGACCAATCTGGTCTGAAATCTCTACAGGGAGACACACATGCAGTACTGGGGACCAATCTGGTCTGAAATCTCTACAGGGAGACACACATGCAGTACTGGGGACCAATCTGGTCTGAAATCTCTACAGGGAGACACACATGCAGTACTGGGGACCAATCTGGTCTGAAATCTCTACAGGGAGACACACATGCAGTACTGGGGACCAATCTGGTCTGAAATCTCTACATGGAGACACACATGCAGTACTGGGGACCAATCTGGTCTGAAATCTCTACAGGGAGACAAGCATGCAGTACTGGGGACCAATCTGGTCTGAAATCTCTATAGGGAAACACACATGCAGTACTGGGGACCCATCTGGTCTGAAATCCCTACAGGGAGACAAGCATGCAGTACTGGGGACCAGTCTGCCCTGAAATCCCTACAGGTAGTTTTGAGTTATCTGCCCTTGGTGTGTTCTGAAACAATGAATCTGAAACGCAAATTCAAGATGATTACAAGATCAAGCTGTAATAATGCTCTATATCTACCTTCTGCAGTTCACTTAACAGATTCTTCCTCTCCCATGGGAGAACACCAGTCTCCTCGCCAACCTTCACCTTGTCTAGAAAGTCTTCCACAACCTCATTCTTATTTCTACCATAGATCCTATCTGACATTGCTGCCTCATCCTGGGAATATGTTATCAACTCCGATCCTTTCTTCTCCTGTGGCTTGATGCTCATAATCTCCTGGCGCCAGTCCGATGGTATTGCCAGAAGCTTCCTTAAATTCTGGTGTGCCTCTCCATCTGACCCCTGACCTTTCACATTAGAACCTTGCCCTGTGTTATTTAACTCCTGACTATTATTAGAAATGTTCTTTGTGCCATTGAGTGACTGTTTTGTTTCCAGTGGATAGTTAGGATCATCTTTTATTTTCATGTACTTGGCATAGAGAACCTTCCATTTAATTTCAAAACCTTTTTGTGTGAGGTCACCTGAAAACAGTTGAGAACATTATTTTTCAACATAATCAAGTGCTTGAAACAGAAACATCTATTTATTTAAAATCATTCAACACAATTATTAAAAACTTAATGAATCAGCATGCAATGAATTGAATATACATTGTTACTTGTTTAATGCAGCATTCAGCAATATTCCCAACCAGTGGTCGATATTATGAGCAATGATTCACTCCGTCAGGTGCTCGTGGGTTTCACCGAAGTGGTAAACGTCTGAGACCTGCATCACTTCGGGCTTTCCTCCCACATTAAGCTGACACGCTGTGATATAACTGGAATACTGTTAAAAGCGGTGTTAAACCTAACTCACTCACTCACTCACTCCATCAGGGTAAAAAGGCACTCAATCAAGCATGCCACTGGGTCCGACCACCCAGTCTATTCGCCTTACATGGCTGCATGGGAACCAACTCAGAAATTGCATTGGGTAGAAATTATATCAATAATCTTAGTATGTATATAGTTTATATTTTCCTACCTACTTTACACCTTGTGGAAATTAGAAAATATATTTGCAATTTAAAATCTATTTAAGTTACCATATATATCTTTCTGATCTACCAACCTGAATTTTGGGGCTAAAACTCTTTAAACCAATAAACAAAGAGTCTGGCCTCCCTGACTAAGTACCACAACAATAGCAAAGTAGTAAACTATTACTTTATATAAACTCTTTGTTGTCCCTACCTTCTAGCAAGGCCTTGTTCAGTGCCCCCAACTCATGTCTGATGACAGCTGGCACAATCACACTGGTCAGGTTCCGGTCAACACCTGGGGGGATGACTGGTAGACCTGCTCCCACCCCCCGTAACCCTTGCACCGGTCTGGGCTGCCTGGGAGGAAGAAAAATATGAAGGACATCAAGCAGGATAACGACCACTCCAAGACAGAGAGGATGATCTCTAGATAACCAAGTCTCGGAGGGAACATGTGTTGTATGACTTGTATAAACAGCATGGGCACCAACCCTCCAAATACAAGACTAAATGTTTGTTTGTGTGTTTGTTTGCTTGTTTTTTTTTTTTGTTAAACGCTGCACTCAGAAATATATCCAGCAACATGATGACGGCACAGTAGCACTGTAAATGGAATTGTTTGATGCTATTGTACTGCAAGATGACTATGTTCCAAAAACTGCAAGAAATCAACTGTAGTGCTAGGACTTTATCAACTCCCATACTTTAACAAAGACACAATGACCATCTCACCTCCCATACAAGTTAGGGTAATCATTGACAGTAAGGCTGATATGAATGATAACAGTTTACTTAGCATATAAAAGTAGGTTTTGAAAGTTTTGACTCAAGGACTCCTAGATTGCCAGTTATTACACACCAGCCATAAAGTCCCATTTCATGACAAGTCGCAACTCACTGCTCTTCCTCTGGCACTTCCTGTATGACCACCAAATCGTCCTCCTCATCCCAATCTCCATCCACAGCGTCGGTGAGGTTCATGGCCTTCTTCTTTGCCTGCTTCTCATACACGCCCATCAGGGTCTTGTTGGTGTTCACCGTCAGCGTGAAGTTGAACTGAAGACAGACACAGACTCTGTTAAGTTGCCAAGCTGCTATATGCTGCCATTCAACTTTAACTCTCAACAGTATCAAAACAAAAGAAGGGAGCATCAGGTTAAATTATTCCATATAAAGGTTGCTTTTCTATTGATCTGAGAACTAACTCACATAAACTTACAGAGACTTAGGATTGTCTTCACACAACTGTCGTAACTCACACACTTTAACATAGTGAGTGAGTGAGTGAGTGAGTGAGTGAGTTGGGTTTAACGCCGCTTTTAACAGTATTCCAGTTATATCACGGCGTGCCAGCTTAATGTGGGAGGAAAGCCCGTCCGTGATGCAGGTCTAAGACGTTAACCACTTCAGTGAAACCCACGAGCACGGGTATGGTGCTGACAAACCTAGAAACATAATTGGGGTGAACCGGGATTCAAACCCACAATCATAGGTTTCTGGCGTGCCCAAGGGACGCAACTCTGCACAGCGAATCGCGGCGCCTTAGACGACTGGGCCACCAGTGCCCCCACTTTTACATAGACTTACGACAGTCTAAGTGTTAGACTGACGAACTCCATAGTTCACACAGACTTAAGATAGCTGTTTTTTAATCCACTTAAGTGAGTGTGAGCGAAAGAAGTCTAGCAACAGTCAGCTATATATTATTACCCTGGTCACTGGATCAATGGGCACTCAAGAATCATTCTCAGCTCCGTGGGGCGTATACAACCCAGGTATGCCTGTTAGGCACCAGAAGTTTCAACAACCACATTGCCATCTCATCCTTCCGGGTACCCATTCAATGCTGGGGGAACAGAGGCACATTTTGAACAAAGTCACTTGCCCATGGACACACCACATGTGGTACATGTGCGTCAGTGTGGGGCAGGACCTAAGCCCTAGAAACTCTCAGGAGCCAAGCTGCCGAAAAGCAGTCATCCATCCAAGGACTCCCGACTGACGTTGCTTAACTTCACGTGATTTGTGACCTGTGCACTGTGCACAGGACCGTGTGCCACCATATTCCAGCCATATCACGGCATCTGTTATTACTCTACTTCGTGTGGTCATACGCCACTTGTCCCTCTTAGAAGTTTGCCACCAAAGTGGCGCCATACGAGAACAAGCTGTCAGCAAACTAGTTAGCAGGCCAGAGTCTCTTGACTGAGTGAGTGAGTGAGTGAGTATAGTTTTACGCCGCTTTTAGCAATATTCCAGCAATATCACGGCGGGGGACACCAGAATCTCTTGACTGAAAGCATGAACAAAGATCCTGGCCATCAGGGCCGATGACAGCAAAGCCACAGAGCCTGACCCCTCCCCCTTCTCCCGACCAGTTTAGTCGGCTCTCACCACACACACAGGACTAGGGAGTAGGGCTTGGATGATACACCAACTGTGCAATCCGATACATATCACGGTACCTGGCTCACAATCCGATAACGATACATGCATGTGCTCTTATCTGTGGTGCGTACGCCACCTTATTTACAGGCAGGATGGCCAAATACCTGGCACACCGATGATTTACAGTTGGCAGTGTCAAGTATGACGCAATGGATGAAAATATTTATGTTGTCTCCACTAATGTTCACTATTAATCAGTGTTTGGTGTAACGGTTATTAAAGCAAAAAGTTATGGTAAGAATCGCTATTTTATACTTTGTGTGTGACTGTGATTGATACTTGTATGGAGAAGTGAAATATCGTGATCCATTGATGTGTAAGTGTATCGTCCCACTACTACAAGGGAATTACCTTGACCTTGAAACCAAGGGGGTAATCTCTGTTTAAGTATTTCTTACATTATCACTCTTATCATTATCATTCTTACTCTGAATCCTCTATTCGCTCCTTGGTGGCCCTTCAGTTGGAAGTGCAAGGTCGTTTCATTGTGGTCATGCTGCAGAACGATGGTCATGACCTTATACTTGTTGCCCACGGCAACCTGTCTGATGATGCTGCTGTCATTGTAAAATGCCTCTGTTATCATCCCATCTGACATGACTATGTCCGTCAGGTTGAAGAAGCCCACAAACTCTCCTGTCAAGGTGAAATATATTACAGTAAACGATGTTAATAACAAACAAGCTTATAACAAACTGTCAGATATAACAAACTGTTTTCGTTGGTCCTGTCCATTTGCTGTATATAAGCTGTATATATCCTTATAATGAACTACTGTTATAACAAACTAAAATTAGTTGTCCACTTGAGTTTGTTATAACCATAGCTTACTGTATATCAAAACTCTATCAATTTATCAATAGAAGGAAGACATTCCACAAAACACTATTATCAGTGGGTAATCAATTATTATGATGAACATACAATAAATATTCTCTTCCTTCTCATAAAGGAAGAGTGAGAGAGCCCAGCAGAATGTGTGTTCGCTCATGACAAAGAGCGCTGAGTGAGTGAGTGAGTGAGTGAGTGAGTGAGTGAGTGAGTGAGTGAGTGAGTGAGTGAGTGAGTGAGTGAGTGAGTGAGTGAGTGAGTGAAGCCAAATGTCAAGTCAGGTCTTAAATGTTCCATCACTTTGGTGAAACTTCTGACCACCAGCATGGTGCTGACAAACCAAAGATCCTATGATCAGGATGAATCTGGGATCCAAACCTAGGACTTAGCAACTAAAGGGGTCAACTCTGAAGTATGTTCTGAATGTCAGTAAGCAGTAATGAAATGAAATATCTCACAGAAAAAAAAGTGGGTAAATTATCTTAATAAAAAATAATAAGGAGCCCATAGACTCTCTTCATTTTCAGCAGTAAACTAGACTTGCAAACTAATTAGACTTACATGGGATGTATTGGATATATCTATTTCAGGGTCTGTGTGACAGATTATCAGCATGTTTGATTCCAAGGAAAGTTCTATTTGAGAGGCCTGCCCATTCTCAACATCAGAAATGGTTTCTCATTCTTCCTAACACTCCTAACCTATTTTCAAAACAAAAGATCCTGGGAAAATTGAGTGAAATTTATCCACATGTCTAAAACATCCTTGTACCTGGTGGAAGTCGATAGTTAATCTCTGAAAATGACAGAGGGATCTCATACAGCTCTTCGTAGTTCTTGGTTCCGCAATCACCAGCGTCAAACCCACACTTCTTGATGTTGCAGGCCTATAAAACAGCAACACATTGTAGGTCACAGCAAGGGTATATGTGGATTATAACGGAAACCTATTCGCCATGTTTGTTTGATGATACTAATAAAGTTGCACACGTATTTTGCATCTACTTTGGTAATTAAACATTTTATTTACTTATGAAAGTATTTAATTAAAGATGCTGACTGGGGGGGCAAGCCATCCCAAACCCCCTGTTATTTTAGCAAGCGACAAAAATGGCATCTGAAAAACTGTTACAAAGGAATGAACTCGTGCATATCCCTTACCAAAATGGCAGAAGGTGTCTGGTATACTGCATTCTTGCCCACAGCAAGTAACACCAACAATATTAAAAATCCACTGATAACAGTAAAAACATCCTGGCCAAAGCCTCAATCAAAATCATTCAATATTAATTGACTTCTGGTGATCTATTTGTTATCAGAAGACACAAGAGTGAAATTCTCTGTATCTATACTCACAGTATCACAGTACTTGTCAGCTATCCAGTTGTTGGCACATCCAGTATTACAGTATGCTAAAAAATAGACATTTAATAAAAGGTTTACAATAGACAAGAGTAATCCATGAATTTTCATTTTTTTCTTCAATATTAATAAAAAAATTCACGTCACAATTATCAGATGTGCTGCATTTCCTAATGTTGTCAAACTGATCTTTCATCATGTTTACCAATGCTTCATGTATTTTACATGGTTTTGGACAAAATGTGACTTATACTGGACCAACAATTATCCAAGATAGAGCGAGACCACTTATCTATTGCCTGGACACTCTGATCTCAGTGACTGCACACCAAGTTAATGGGGGTGTAAAATGATTTTAATGGGGGTGAAGAGTGGTTTAATGGGGGTGTAGGATGATTCAGTGGGGTGTAGAATGGTTCGATGGGGGTGTAGAATGGTTTAATGTGGGTGTAGCATGGTTGTGTGTGTGATGGGTTTGTGGTACCCACCTATAGCCTGTAGACTTGGATCCCATATTCTCCCTGGTACCCACCTATAGCTTGTAGACTTGGATCCCCATATCCTCCCTGGTACCCACCTATAGCTTGTAGACTTGGATCCTATATACTCCCTTGTACCCACCTATAGCCTGTAGACTTGGATCCCCATATCCTCCCTGGTACCCACCTATAGCCTGTAGACTTGGATCCCCATATCCTCCCTGGTACCCACCTATAGCCTGTAGACTTGGATCCCCATATACTTCCTGGTACCCACCTATAGCCTGTAGACTTGGATCCCCATATCCTCCCTGGTACCCACCTATAGCCTGTAGACTTGGATCCCCATATCCTCCCTGGTACCCACCTATAGCCTGAAGACTTGGATCCCCATATTCTCCCTTGTACCCACCTATAGCCTGTAGACTTGGATCCTATATACTCCCTGGTACCCACCTATAGCCTGTAGACTTGGATCCCCATATTCTCCCTTGTACCCACCTATAGCCATTAGACTTGGATCCCCATATACTCCCTTGTACCCACCTATAGCTTGTAGACTTGGATCCCCATATACTCCCTTGTACCCACCTATAGCTTGTAGACTTGGATCCTATATACTCCCTTGTACCCACCTATAGCTTGTAGACTTGGATCCTATATACTCCCTTGTACCCACCTACAGCTTGTAGACTTGGATCCTATATACTCCCTTGTACCCACCTATAGCTTGTAGACTTGGATCCCCATATACTCCCTTGTACCTACCTATAGCCTGTAGACTTGGATCCTATATACTCCCTTGTACCCACCTATAGCCTGTAGACTTGGATCCCCATAGCCTTCCTGGTACCCACCTATAGCTTGTAGACTTGGATCCTATATACTCCCTTGTACCCACCTATAGCTTGTAGACTTGGATCCCCATATACTCCCTTGTACCTACCTATAGCTTGTAGACTTGGATCCTATATACTCCCTTGTACCCACCTATAGCTTGTAGACTTGGATCCCCATATCCTTCCTGGTACCCACCTATAGCTTGTAGACTTGGATCCTATATACTCCCTTGTACCCACCTATAGCCTGTAGACTTGGATCCTATATACTCCCTTGTACCCACCTATAGCCTGTAGACTTGGATCCTATATACTCCCTTGTACCCACCTATAGCCTGTAGACTTGGATCCTATATACTCCCTTGTACCCACCTATAGCTTGTAGACTTGGATCCTATATACTCCCTTGTACCCACCTATAGCCTGTAGACTTGGATCCTATATACTCCCTTGTACCCACCTATAGCTTGTAGACTTGGATCCTATATACTCCCTTGTACCCACCTATAGCCTGTAGACTTGGATCCTATATACTCCCTTGTACCCACCTATAGCTTGTAGACTTGGATCCTATATACTCCCTGGTACCCACCTATAGCCTGTAGACTTGGGTCCCCATATCCTTCCTGGTACCCACCTATAGCCTGTAGACTTGGGTCCCCATATCCTCCCTGGTACCCAGCTCCAAGCTGTATTCTGCCTGCATCACCTGAAATAACACATTTATTGTAGACAAGTGAGAGTTTTTAATGTCAAACAACTGAAACAAATTCTGTCTGTTTAACATGTCAGCTAACAGGACCGGTTGTGTGCACCTGATAACATGAGCATAAAATGTAGCAGTTTATGTTGAAGGTCATTCGTGACCAACTTGGTTATTCCAAGACAGGCCGAATAGCGACTCGTGCACCTCTTATGGCCATTTTTGCAACCGGGTTCCGTCTTAGCGCAAAGGGGCATACCTCGTTACGTAATGGTTCACATATCTTGCCTCATATATTATATATATTTCAGATGCAATTTAAAGCACATCGGGACATGCGGAACTATACAGTATGATTTAACACATTTAACTGTGCCTTTGGTATATGTTTAGATGCAAGACATATGTAAAATCAAAAATTATTTCTGAAGGATTCTTTGATGAAGAACTTGAAATCATATACGCATTCTCATTGGGCTAAGATAATTGATAGTCTTGATTCTCAGGCACATCATAATGTTCGCCGTACGTTTTGGTTTTTTTCAATTTGTAAAAAAATATATATAAAAAATCCTTAAATATCCAACTTGTTTTCTAGTATTTTACTCATCAAGGAATACATTTATGGAGGGAGGCCGTTTTCCAGGTTGATTGTACACAACTGTTTTATAGATTACACAACTGTTTATTGGTTACATACTAGTTTGTACAACCAAAAAAAAAGACACCGCCCGCCCGCACTATATTTTCAAAACCCATTGCCTGAGAACCAATTCTTTTATTTTTTTAAGCCTTGGTTCGTCATACATAGGGGGACGAGTCTTCTTGCAGGTTACGGAAAGGGACGAGTGGTGACGAATGAGTTGAAGACATGTTGTTGGAACAGAGAACACACATGCAGAAGACAGGGACTCCATATTCTCAGTTTGTGAACTGTCCTCAAAATTGAGTTTGCGCTCTTATGTTTCCAGGTCTAGAGTGTCTAACATACCATCACAGTCTCCTGCGTCCCAGTCACACTCGGAGTTGTTACAAGCCTTGTCACAGTAGCCATCTTTGATCCATGTGGACGGACAGCCCTCGTTACAGTTGGGCACCGGCCACGTCAGATACACCTGTACATTACAATCACATACCCTGTACTTCTGTAGTAAACACAGCCATAGTAACACTCATCACAGTTGTTCTAGAACTTGAATAGAGGTGTTGAAGTCACTTAAGACTTTCTACAATTGTCTGTTGCCAAATGCTCAAGACAGTGCCATTTTTATTAAGGATTTGGGTGCCATATCAAAGCATTGTTTATTGACAAAATTCCTAATATATTTCACTTTAACTACTGGCAGAATTTGGATCAAAATTTAAAATAATTCACCCAAATTGGAATGGTTGGAATCTCCACAGTAAAGTGTAAAGGGAGACTACCCAATCAGCCTTGATAAAGGCCAGTACATTTCTCTGCCACCTGCCATGTCATATTATGAAAAACTTCATGATTTACCGGGTGTAGAAATAATAGAAAATCAGAACAGTCACAGTGAAAGAATCTTATGAACACGAACAACCTCCAAAAGTAGAATCTGAAATATATCTCTTTATTACGCATTTAGTGATGAAATACTGTATTTACCTGATAAAAAATTTACATCTAAGTTGAAACGACACTTCCTGCCAGAACTACCTTCAGTCTACCTCTGTGACACTAAGGTTTTCAGAGAAAGATTGTGGAAAGATCAGTTAGAAATACATGATAAATAAAACCAATGTCCTTTCTTGTGAAAAAAAGGTTTTTCACTTCTGTTTGCAGCCATGAAAACATCACCTTTGTTCGGTGACTTGATGAGAAAAACATGTTATTTGACAGGGAAATCCAATATACTCTGTACCTTCTGTCCGGTAGCATAGGAGAAGAAATCATCAGGCCACACTTCTGATCCGAACATGACATCGTCATTGAGGTAGATGAACTTGTCTGACAGCCCTGGGATACGGTGAAGGTGGCTCTCAATGGCCGGGGAACTGTAGGTTGGCAAGTGGCTCTTGTTGGGGAAAATCTCCTGCAATGAAAATAGAAATATTCAGCCACACCAGGCAGTCAAGGGGCCAAGTATTGTAATTGCAGATGAGGCCTTTACCTCCATTTTCTTCTGCCAACCTTTTGACCTGGTACCCATTAGAGTTAAAGGCTTGATTTATTACAGGGAGAGAAATATACCTGTTTCAAGTGTGTCACAGAGCACTGATTATGATCTTTTAAGAGTGCCCTTTGCAATTTAAGTGTGCCAATCAGAAGACTACTTTTGATCCATGTTCACAACTGCTGAATGTCATGTCAACATGAGCTCGATAACAAGTGGTTGTTATCCAGAAGTTTGCCACTTACCTTTTCATTGATAACATCTGTAAATTTTCTGAATCCCCAGGTTAATTTCATTAATCATATTGTGCCTTAAGCATGTCTGTATATTCAACTCAAATGTTTGCAAAGATTACTTATGCTAGAGATCATTTATCACTGGCTTCGTATATAATACACCTGAAGTCCGGATAACATGCGTACTGGAGCAAAATATGCAAAAACAAATCACCATAACTCACTTGACTATCAGTCAGGTGAGCTAAAAAGGAGAGAGTTCTTTCTCTGAGACATCACTGTAATATTCTCAGGTTGTCGTATCAGCTGAGAACTGCATAACGAATGCTGGGTTTGGTTAATCACTGTTTACTGATATACTAAGAGACATCTGTACAGGCTGACGGCTTACTGGGACTCACGCCGCGCATGCGTATAGATGTCAATGCTGATAGTCTAGTAGATGCTAGTATCCTGACGGATAGTTATGGATCATATATTATTATAGGTATAATAACTTGGGAGTTAAATATGCAAAAACAAATCACCATAACTCACTTGACTATCAGTCAGGTGAGCTAAAAGGAGAAAGTTCTTTCTCTGAGACTTCACCATCCATGAATTTGACTTTCTGGGACAGAGCGTGTTACCTCATGAGTGACGATGGTGACTCGGGAACTCTCCAGGTCCAGCCAGTAGGGCAGCTGACCGTTGGTCACGATGTAGATGTGGCGCACCCAGGGAGCGAACTTCTCTACTGACCGGAGGGAGTACCGCAGCTCCTGAAACACAGACACAGTTGGTATTACCTCTGTCCCTGCATACCAAATGCTACTTTTGTTTCTCATGGCAACCTGTAAATAATTGTGTCTGTACCAGATAATCATGTGAATGAAACAACCAACAACACACACCCTCATGGTACGTTGAAATACATCAACCAAGTCACTCATCCATTAAGTTGCCTTATACAACAAGCATAGGTTGCTAGGTACAATGCTAACTTGGAATCTACACTGTTATACTCAATGGAACATATCCTTTACTTTATATGCTGCAACAAATGTATTCTACTTCACTGGTGGATTGAGAGATGGGGTGCAGGGGGTGCAGGGGGTGCAGGGGGTGCACAGCCCCACTTTTTTCAGACACTGTATATGTTAACTTCGCCATCGGCCAAATCACTTTGCGACTTAGGTATTATGTGAACCCCTTTTTTCAAAATCTGCCATTTCTCGAGGATGAGCCTTCCACCTCTCTCCATCCATGACCACATTACCGTGTCCTACTCTTACCTCATTGTCCTCAAAGCGACTGGCAGCAATATCTTCATCTCGAGAAAACTGCAAATAATGGGAATTAAATTGAAACAAATACCAATGATGCTTATAACAAACTGATGTAACATGGTGATCATCCCATTGGTTTTACCTTCTTGAAATGTGGAATGGGAGTGCATGCCTTGGAAAGTTCTACAGCTATAGTATGGCAATCATTCGTGATTATCCTGTGTATAATATATGTGCCTTTAGAAATCGGACTCAGATTGAAACCATGGTTGAGAATGAGTGAGTGAGTTTGATTTTCTGCCGCTTTTAGCAATATTCCAGCAATATCATGGTGGGGGACACCAGTAATGGGCTTCACACATTGTACCCATGTGGGGAATTGAACCCGGGTCTTCGGCATGACGAGCGAACACTTTAACCACTAGGCTACCCCACCGCCCCTGGTTGAGAATCAGGCCAGGGCATTTATCATAATAGGATCAAGATACAATACACTGTGTAATCAAGGATGGATGGAGTGCTGTGGGGAATCGAATCTGTACCGGAGTCCTCCCCCTCGTATGCTTCCTGTACTTACATCGCGAAGATCCCACACTAGTTTGGCAGCATGCAGGATCGGTTCCTTGCCTTCCAGGGTGAAGTTCTTTATCTACAGGAGACAATGATATAACAGAATGATTCAACATAGCGAAAGAATGATTCAACGAGGTAAAAGAATGATTCAACACATTGAAAGAATGATTCAACAAAGTGAAAGAATGATTCAACTCATTGAAATAATTATTCAATACAGTGAAAGATTTATTTGAAACATTGAAATAATTATTCAATACAGTGAAAGAATGACTCAACACAGTGAAAGAATGATTCAACAAGGTAAAAGAATGATTCAACACATTCAAAGAATGATTCAATACAGTGAAAGAATGTAAGTAAGGATAAGATTTATGGATGAACAACTACTTTATTACAATTAAGAGCAACGTTTCGGTGTAGGTTCTTACACCCTTATCAATTTTTTAAGTAAGTGATATCCATAGTAAGGTAGAATGCCAGGTAGGAGGCAATGTTTATACAGTACAGTAGATATCAGATGTAGTTGTACTGGAGTGGAGAAGCCTGTTATGGTTGGTTGGTTGGTTTGTTGTTTTACGCTGCACTCAGCAATATTCCAGCCATATGACGGCGGTCTGTAAATAATCGAGTCTGGACCAGACAATCCAGTGATTAATGTCATGAGCATCGATCCACGCCATTGGGATCGATGACATGCATCAACCAAGTCAGCTAGCCTGACCACCCGATCCCGTTAGTCGCCTTTTACGACAAGCATAGTGACCTTTTACGGCAATCATGGGTTGCTGTAGACCTATTCTACCCCGGAATCTTCACGGGTCTGAAGCCTGTTATGTACACAAAAGGGTAGTAAAGACAATTATCGGCAAAGTCAGTAACATACACAAAAGGGTGAAGCCAGTAATATAAACAACAGGATAATGATTGATTGGGGTCTTTGATGAGTTGATGGTACACTGGGGGTAAGTAATAGCCTTGATCAACCGTGACCAAGGCTATTACATACCCCACCTCACTGATACAATGTTTTGACTGCACATACATGTCTATGTCAAATCCTATTTCTTAGGACAGGAAAATAAAACATATTTACACAATCATCAGCTATATCATTACCAGTCCGTGCTAAAAACACTTGAGACTATTAATCCGAACTTGGCTCATAACATAATTTCCAGTAGAATTTCTCGTATTAGCTGAGCTTACTAGACCAACCAGAATTTTACGAGACTCTGGCTTTGGACTAGTGGCTAAAATCGCAGGCTGCATCACAGATGATGAGCTACTCACATTCACAAGACTGTCAAAGTCCTCTTTCTTTGGTACATGCAGCACAGCAATTCCTTTGTCTGAATACAAATCAATCTGAAATGAAAAAACAACCCCTGATCAACTAAAAATTAACTTTCATTTTGTGTGAGTATGAATTTTCACAGAGAGGGCTTAACTGTATAACGTCAAAGCTTGCGATGACATTCATACAATGGAAAAGCTGTATATTTAAACATTACTAAGAAATGAACAATCTGACTTCCTGAGCATATCAAAGACAGGAGACATTCACTATAACTGGCAATTTTACATTGTTCAAATGCTTAAATAAAAACCTGATAAAACTGCAGCAGGGCCGGGAGACATCCTGCAGATGACATCCCTACTATGTCACCTTGCTGGGTTAACCTGTTTGGTAATATTGACAAGGCACATGATCTCAGATCAAATGGTCCATGCCTCGACACCTATCATCATGATCATAGGTTCAGATATTTTATGGCTGCAACATTAGCATATTCGCTGCGACTTTCTGATGAATAGTTTATAGAACAGGAATTGTGTTGTACAGTAAACTACGTTTATAACCAACACGCTTAAAATGTACTGAAGGATATAATGAATTGTTTTTGGGTCCCATCCCTTTGCTGTCTATATGCTTATAACAAACTATGCAAACGAACAAAAATTAGAGGCCCCTTTGAGTTTGTTCCAAACGTAGTTTACTGTAGTTTGAGCACCAGTGACTTGCCTTGTGGACCGGGTTCGGCAGCTTGGCGGTGAGCTCCTCCTGCGTGTACTGGTGCGGGAACCCTGACATGAGGATGGTGTCTTTCAGCTGTATCCCCCTCGGGACAGAGGGGTCCGACGTCTGCAGAGATGGAGATGGAGAATGAGTGTGACAGTTCTATTCTACAAAGATTGTACTGCTGTCATAAGCTATAGTTTGTCTGTGGGAATCATCCTTGTGATCCTATATATAATATTTCCATACTATTATGATAAATACCCTGGCCCCGTTCGTCACAACAGCTTAGCTTAGGAAATTGTGTCACCATCTCTGCCTTGTCCCTAACTTAGCATAGATTTTCTCTGAATTTCAACAGGACCCTTTTGAAAGAGAGTTCCACATAAATCTAAATTAAAAATTGTGGCCTTGTACAAGTAGGCCCTTATATAAACTACTCCTATTCTTTCAGATTACTGAAGTTCATCTGTCATGTAATATGAAAGAATGGTGTTATTTAACTTCTTTTGAGTAGTATATATATATATAATTAATCAAATTAATAGACTGTCATGGATGAGGTGGGTAGGGTCCTTACACTACAAGAGGTCCCCAGTTGTATGTGAGATGAAACGCAATAAGACATGATGAGCATTGGGGATCTCAATGCCTGCTTCACACAAGAAAAAACTCAAAACAAGGTATGGTGGTGAAGATTGACTGCTTATAATATGGGTCCTCCGACAGTGGCCAAGTTACTCACATAGAAACCTTTAGACACGGTGATATTCATCCCATATATCACAAGGCTCAAGTCAACAACAGGATTCACTGCAAAAAAAAATAAAATAAAGATTATAGTTTATTTTATATTCCAAAGTCTTAATGAGTTATAATAAAAACCATAAATGCGAATGGTTGGCATTCTATTTTTTATATTTATTTATCTAAAAAGCGGGTTCCATGCATGTGTACATTAATCAACGGATGTGATCATATGACAGGTGAATGGTTCGAAGGACTACCATACTTGCTGTAATAAGTGCCCTGGGTGCTTAGAAAATTGAGTGAGTGAGTGAGTGAGTGAGTGAGTGAGTGAGTGAGTGAGTATGGTTTTACGTCGCTTTTAGCAATATTCCAGCAATATCACGACGGGGGTCACCAGAAATGGGCTTCACACCTTGTACCCATGTCGGGAATCGAACCCGGGTCTTTGGCGTGACTAGCGAACGCTTTAACCACTGTGCTACCCGACCGCCCCTTAGAAAATTGATAAAGGAGGGGCATTTATTAAAGTCATACACAACAAGTTAAATTTGTTGTCAGAGATTGAATGGTAGTGGACAAACATAGTTAAACTATTGATGAAACTGAAACATTTTCCTAGGTAGTTACTAGGCATTATTATTATAGGTATTATATACCCCTTCTGCACATCTGCTTTTTGTGAACAGATCTGAAGTACACACAAGAAAAACACGGACTGTCATGTCATGTCTCAGTAGTGGCGCTTATTGCACATATGAAAAGATGTTCATGTCTCCGTTATGTCTGTATAATAAGAGTAATCAGAGCATAGGAACAATAACAAACTGTCACACACAAGTTGAAGGCTTTACATATATGATGGGAAGAAAGCAGGTAAGGGAAAATCAGCATGAAATATGCCCAGCTGGAGATTTGGAACATCTGCTTATAGCTCCTGTTTAGTAAACATCTGCAACTGTCCCACTACAAAGTATGGATTGGCCCCTTGCAAACAAATATTGATCAAAAGGTAGGCAAAATAAAGAAAATAAAAATACTGGATGACAAAGTTTGGATGAGTTTTCTTGATGACAAGTTACCATGGTTATAGATATAATCCAAATGTCATGGTTGCACATAGTTGGTTGAATGAATGAATGAATGAATGAATGAATGAATGAATGAATGAATGAATGAATGAATGAATGAATGAATGAATGAATGAATGAATGAATGAATGAATGAATGATAAGGATATCTTTCCATGATACACAAAAATTATGCTCATAATTTGTCAAGTCTATACTGAAATGTATCTGACATATCTGATTATCCCTATCAAACGTTGCCTGGTATATTTTTCCCTAATACTGGGTCCCAGCTCAACATACCATGTGTTTCATTGCCGAATGTCACAACTGTGATATTGAGCTTGTCCTCTCCCTCAGACTGAAGGTCAAACAACGAGGTCGCATCTGAGAATGCTGGGTAGAGTTCCACCAGCTGGGTCAGGGTCAAGGCCATTGGTATCATAGGATTAAGGATGGCCATAGCAGCTGGGATGCAGTTGCTGAATGAACATTTCTCCTCCCTGAAAACATAGATGGTAACATGAGTACACACACAATTCCCTGAAAATGTTTTGTGGTTTATTATTTGACAAAACTTCAATAATTCAGTATCTATATTATTCTGTGTAAATCAATGTAGGAAAAGCATGCTCTACTGACTTCCTCGCCATGTAAATGGCTGTCATTGACTAGAAACTGAAAAATATTGTGACATGTCTATATGTATATATTAACTATTGATTCCATCAGGAGCATTGCAGACTGTTTTTTTCTCTCTTTAAATCTTTACAAAATTTTCAACTACAAGGTTGATCTAATACCATCGTTACCAAAATTAAAAATAATGTAATAAAAGTTACAGTGGTCTACACATGACATAAGTTCAGAAAAAATTCAGGTGTAATATTCATATTTGTATCAATTTTCTCATTTTGGTAAGAATTCAAAATCTGGAGACACTTTGTATCGACATCACGATATACTGAGTGTCAATGCAAGCCCTGGACCCAGATTTTATCATTGTCTCAACCACAATCAAATAATGACTGAAGTACATTCAGCAGTTAAAACTTCAGTCTATACCCTTGTATCTCCATACAAACATTAGCTCCCAACATTGCGTTCAGAAAGGTCTGCAGCTTGTTGACATAATGTTCTCGGAAAATACTTTCTTAGATTGATACTAACAGGGCAATATATTCCCTGGGCAAGTTGACATGTTATATCACACTGATAACTGTTGAAGATTAGTCCTTTAAGTAGGATCAACAGTAGAATTCAGCTGCTGGAACACTTAGACACTAAGATGCAAGATGGGGTTAACTATGATGGGTTATGGAACTGTTCAAGGCTAGTTTCATGCAGTACACAGTTCAAATCTGGATTTGGCTTGGAGCCTCATCTGTTGTTGCTTCTTCAGCATGAGTGAGTGAGTGAGTGAGTGAGTGAGTGAGTGGGTGGGTGAGTGAGTGAGTGAGTGAGTGAGTGAGTGAGAGAGAGAAACAATCATTGAACAAACATCAGGAATCGAACCCACCGATGGGTCAATGCGTTTACTACTTGGTACATTTGTTGGGCTGGTATGAGTCCAAATGTACTACAAGGAATCCTGACCCCAAATTACCTGACTCTACCTGGGTCCCTGCTGTAGGTCTCCAGAGTTGTCCAATTGTCAATTGTTTTACTGGAGCCATGGCAAACACTATTCAGATACAAGTATAACACGACCTGATCATGCACACATTGAAGTTGATTGAAGCTTTATCTTTACTCAAACAAATAAAAGTCAGAAGGAATATGTGTAAAGTCAGAAAGAAATATGAACATTAGTGACTTGTAGTCTAACCCAGGAGTTGTATTGTTATTGTCATTAAACAGTATATCACTTGACGTAACCATGGGTCTGGGTAGTGCTGTGGGTTCCGTGGGTCCTGTTCAGGACTCACGATTCTGGCTTGTCTAAGGGACGTAACTCTGCAGAGCAAATTGTGGGACATTAGATGACTGGGCCACCTATTTCACTGGACTGTACATGTGAACACAAACGAGTAACTTGTACTCACATACACAGCAGTGTACACCTACATGAGACTTGACATTGATTACAATGATGCAAATAATTGAACACAAATTTGATGAAACCGATAATATTCACAGATGATATTGCATAGATTGTCATCTCCAAGCTGCTTAAACACCAACCCGAACACGGAAACATTCAACAACACACTGAAAGCATCCTTATATTGCGAGGAGCATTGGAGAACAAAATCTTCTGTTACATCTCAATCCACCACCATGGCTAAGGCTAAAAAAAATAATAGTCTTGGTTTTCAGGCACCGCCCATATCATCATCAAGTTTTCTGCATATTTCGTTTTATTTACACAATAAAAAAAAACAACCTTAAATATTCCAAGTCCAATGGTAGTCAAAAACTGTATTGAAGTATTTAACTCATCAAGGAATACATTTATGTAGGGTGACCCTTTCCCAGGTAGATTGTACGCAACTGTGTATTTTGTTTTATACTAGTTTCAACAAGCAAAAAGAACAACAACGCCAGCCTGCACTATTTTTTCAAAAGTCTTTGTCTGAGAACCAATTCTTTTATTTTTTTAAGCCTAAAAGGTGATTTTTAAAAACATATATTTAAACTTTGTTAGAAGCCGTTGATTATTAACATAATAACATGATAACAATAAACATGATGAATAATATAGTGATACAAAAACATACATCTACTGTCTGTTTGAGCATGTGAATATATAATACTGATTTTACACAACATTAAAGTATTTGCACAACAATCATAAGTTTATTATGTTTATCATTGTTTATTCAAGACATATCACATAAACCTGCAAGATTGTCAGAGACTGTATGGGAAAGGATATGTATCCTGTGATCATTGTCTTCACATTAAACATCACCATATACTGTCCACTTGCCACATTTATACTTCTGGTAGCCATTTTAAAGGGTCAAGAAAATTCTAAAAATCTAAAGAGAGGACAAGTCTATGGATGTACAGGAGTAGCCTTTGTCATTGTTGTTTGTTTGTTGTTTAACGCTGCACTAAACAATATTGCAGCCATATGACGGCAGTCTGTAAGTAATCAAGTCTGGACCAGACAATCCAGTAATTGACATCATGAGCATCCATCCATGTAATTGGGATACGATGACATGCATCAACTAAGTCAGTGAGTCTGACCACCCGATCCCTTTAGCATGTTTAGTCGCCTTTTACGACAAGCATAGTCTCCTTTTACGGCAAGCATGGGTTGCTGAAGACCTATTCTACCCCGGATCTTCAGTAATCTTAGTCATAAAAGCTTAGGACTCTGAATGTAACTATTTGTATATCTTCCCAGACAGTCATCTTGGTAATCGATGCAGACATTGTGTCCACCTGATCCCCATTTGGTACTTGGGGTCTATACTGTCTTACAGACACGATGAAGAAGGGAGTCCTTGTGTTTAAACTGTCTTGTTGAATGCACAGGAAGAAACAATTGACATGATACATACAGAATATAAGTGAATGTTTTACTTACCATTTTCTAAATGTTCTGCATATGAAATAAGTGACTTTCATTTCAATGCTTTTCATATATGATGCTATTTGAAACAGTCTGTCAAATAGATGACAGTAGCCTGTATAAAGTGCAGTGAAACTTCAATAATTGGGATGGTACTGTTCCAAATGAAATCATCACAATTAACAAATTTCCAGATTAAAGAAACATGGTTGCCGGGTTACTTTGCTTTCAATACAACCTTCCCAACAAGATCATCCAGAAGGTGAGCTTTCAAACAAGCAATTATGGAATATCCGTCCCGAGTAAAAGGGTTCATTCACAAGAACAGGTATTCCATCAGTCTGGGTTTTTAATAGCTTATTCTCTATAATAAGACAGATAATGAAGTACAACTATGAAATGTCAACCTTGCAGAGAAATTTGCCTGGTCAACCTATTGTTTATTTTATGACGTCTTGAACAATGGATGACATCTCATCATATTGTTCTCAACAACTGTGACATCATATTGCTTGAATTGACAAATCAGTATTACCATGATTACAGGGAACACTTGATGCAATTGAGTGCAAGAGTGTTCTCATTTTTGAAAATATATATTCATATCATATTTTGATATATATGCATTAAATTTCTGAGTTGGCTGTGTATCACTGTCTGTCAATGATCCTGTTGATCCTGTTTATCCAAAATAAATAAAGCACTGCAATATATTATTACATCAATGTTAGTGATATACAGGTAACAATGTTTCCAACTAAATTTGAATCCATTATGGTGCCCTGGAAGGAGTTCCCACCTGGTTATGTTTAGCTCTCTCTCCATGTCCCTCTTAACTCTGCGCAGCTCCACCACCAGACTTTCATCTGTGCCATTGACCCATGTATACACAACGTCAATGGGCACTGGTAGACATAGCCTAGAAAAACAAAATTTGTCTGCAATTTCAGAAATGTAAAGGTTAAACATGTTAAAAGCGCTGAAGTAAAACTGAATGAGTGGGTTTTTAGTTATATCACAGATTCTATGCTCGAAATTCTGAAGGGTTAGGAGGAAGGGCCAAAGAGATTGATGAAACCAATGAGTATTGCTAGTATTTGAGCTGACAAACCAAGGATCATAGTCAGCAAAAGTCTGGTATTCAAACTCACTATCATTGAATCCTGATGCAGCTAGGGACACAGAACAATTTCCAGCACCTACGATGACTGGGCTACTGTTGTGTTCTGATATGAAAGGATCGCGTATTTGAGGAGAAATCCCAAAAATATATATTTACTGTTTTCATAGACCTCACAAGAGGTCTTTTAACCTGTACATGTATAAGTATAACCTAACGCCGTCATCTAGCTGCAATCCAGATGTGTGTCTGAGTGATAACATCCTATTATAATTCATCATTGTTTCATTGGCTAGCTATTTAAGTACCGGGTAAATGTTTCTAAATCTTTTGTCATTTTCACCCTTAAAATTCTGGGTTTGTAATAATTAGATTTCGAAAGATAAATATCACCTAAAGTTTGTTTATGTGCTAAGTAAGTTACACATGATGCACATGCTGAAGACATTGGTTGGCTCACCTCTGTCTGAAGGACCTTCCAGCAACATTGTCACTGAAGGAGTTGAAAACAGCTGCGTACTTCTCCCTGCTCCAGTCAACCACAGCCTGTGAAATATTGTTGATGTTATCATGGTTAGAAGATGTACAAGAGACAACTATGAAATCACTTAACCAGTCAGAAGGGATGGAAATGTAGTATATATGAAGTGTGACACAGTTTGACTATTTCCCATTAAGATAAATAGAAATTAAAGCATATGGATACATGTACAAATATATATTATGGACACACATATTACTTTAAATTAATTAAATCTGCTCTGATTCTATCATATACTTAGCTGGTTGGTCATCAGCCGCTCTGAATAATTTCATGTTCCACAGTTTGAATTAAGGAAAGAAAAGTAAACCCATTGTCATAGGCCTGTAATATAACCACTAGAATTGTTAAGTTGATAGGGTATATGACATTTTTCCATACACGTCTTGAAAATGTTTAATTCATTCTACAGTAAAAGCAGATTGAATACTCCTGAAAGTTAAACTTGAAAAGTGGAATTTCTTGATGCTTAGCAACAAAGTCAATGATAGTCCATGTTTATACCCGTTATGGTATGTAGCAATTGTAGAAAGGGCATAAACATGGCCTATGGTATTGTCAATGTATATTGCTTAAGGTCAATTACAGACAGTCTAGTAGTAGCTAGCCTGCTTGTAAACATAAGAAATAATCTGCAAGACATGAACCATGATACATTTTCCGAAGACAGCACTGAAAAGAATTTTCTACATTTGATACAAAACACCAATCTCTATTGTGTCGACATGTAACACATGACCATCTAGAAGTCTACTCGTTGTGAGCGCATTTATCCACTTATGTTTTTATGAGTTTACCTCCCCGAAATGAAACGCAGATATTCCAAGAGCAAATACGCCGAAAATCACTAGAATGAGGCCGTATTTGTGAGATAGGACATCATAAATCTTCTTCTGAACGACTTTACGGAATGACGAATCCATCTTAGTGAAAAAAACATAGCTAAACAATGGACAACATCTCAAAGCGTTGTTCTCTTCATGGGCGCTGCCATCTTGGATCAGAGTGCATTGTGGTATAGGGCACGTGGCAATGTTTATGTTTCGGGGGGCGTGGCATGGTCACATGTGGTGCACAAATTCCAGGTGTTGCAAATATTGATTTAATCCGGTTTAAACCATTACATACTTCTTTGTTTTGAAGAAGAATAACATCACAAATGTCCCATCTCATGTATTCTTTCACTATAGGGGATCCGTGTGATAGTTCAATTTAGCAAAAGCGATCGTATAAAACTGATATTCAAATTACCATGGGCGAATTGGCGATAAAGTCAGTTAAACCATTTTCGTCCGTCTATTGACAGAAAATAATATGATCTATATCAGTTAGGTACGGAAGCGCCTAGCTGGGATTTGGTAAGGCAGTGAGTTCCGGGTCAACGGCTTGCTCGATATTAATAGAGGCTCGGGCGTCTTATAGAGGAAATACGGTATGTGTATATCACTGACATTTTGAAGATGTTTGTCAGGCGAGATGGACTGTATTGCTAAAAAAATGTTTTGGTTTCTTTCTTTATTAACCATATTGAAGAAAACAAATCAGATTAAGTATTGAACAGTAACCCTATTTGTGTTGTCCTCTCTTGAAGTTTGGGCCTCTTGCAGACATCTCAATATCCTAAAAGATACTACAGAGACAATGTGCTGGCTGGATGATACCAGTCACACCACTTGCATCTGTGATTCAACAATCAGTACGTATAGTCTAAAGCTACACAAAGCTTTAGCGACGGATAAATGATTCAAACATGGCTGATGTTGTGACTTGGGGTGGGGGGTGGGTGGGGGGTGGGGGGTAGTAGTCAAGTGATTTGAGTAGTTTGGTGCAAAGTCATGCCACGAAACGCAAGGGAGAACGTGAAAATTTAACTAAACCTGAATGTGGCTTATGTCTTAGTTTTAGTTATTCTTGCGAATGTTTGTTTGTTTCTTTCTTTAAGTTCTAAAATTCAGTGAAACAAAACATAAAACATAAAATATGATCCCCTTCCTTGGAAAATTGGATTCTGTCTTAAACACCACAGTGAGTGAGTAAGGTTTTACGCCGCTTTTAGCAATATTCCAGCAATATCGGGGGGACACCAGAAATGGGCTTCGCATATTATATCCATGTCGGGAATCGAACCCGGGTCTTCGGCGTGACGAGCGAACGCTTTAACCACTATTCTAACCGACCGCCCCTCTTAAACACTACAGTAACATCAATACCATCTTCCCGAGGCAAGAGAGTTAACTGACACTCTTGCCTCGGGAAGATGCATCAATACGTGGAAGGGCTTCTTTCTTACCGTAATGTAATGAAAATATATAAAAATATGAAAACATAAAAAAGTCTAAGGTCTGAACTTTGTGGTTTGTTGTCCGTGGTGGAACCTTAAAAATCATAACCGTGATCCTTACACAATGCCAATAGACGAATTGTGCAATATTATCAAATATATGTGCTAAGTTCATACAGTTGTGACTCAGACTAAGGCAATGCGTGTTTAGAATAAGTATAATGATCGAATATATTTATATTTGGTAGGTATCATATGAGAGGCTACATGCAGGAGGCCTTTGTGGCCTCTCCACACTAGAGAAACGCAATCATTCTGATCATTGTTGACAGTTTTATCCATCCCAACATTCCCTGTTCTTTCCATGTATCCCCATATTTTGTTTCGCAAAACCATATATACTAATTCTCTCCCTGGAAGCAACACCACGTCAACATCCATAGGGATCAACTCTCGATTATTTGTCGTATTGAGACGAGCCAAATTAATTAACAGAATATGAAGAAAAATGTTATCCCTCCCAGAATTTTACTTTAGTTATCTATATACAATTAACTTGATAACCTGTTATTTCCAAATATGTATAAATCAATAAACTGCTGGGCGGTCGGGTAGCCGAGTGGTTAAAGCGTTCGCTCGTCACGCCGAAGACCCGGGTTCGATTCAAGACATGGGTACAATGTGTGTAGCCCATTTCTGGTGTCCCCCGCCGTGATATTGCTTGAATATTGCTAAAAGCGGCGTAAAACCATACTCAATCACAATCACTATATACTGCTAGTAAAACTTATAAAAAGTTTTTTTTATTTGTGGTTTACGCCGCACTCAGCAATATTCCAACTATATGACGGCGTTCTGTAAATAATCGAGTCCGGGCCATACAATCCAATTAGAGACATCATAAGGATCTATCTTATAACCGTGTTTGAAACTTCCAGAGCAAATCTATGATGGCCTAGTAATTGCCACCATTACCAAATGCGTCATTATGTGTGCACTTTCGCAGATCAGTGTAGGTTAAAAAGCGATTTCCTAAAACCTATAAAATTAACACTTTTGACAAATTTGCCTGAACACGTCTTATTTGATCTTATTAGTCCAATATAATGTGTTGCGATTCCAATAGGCCAGTCATATCCTACCTTGCGCTTATCTATAGAACTGCGGACACGGTTGGCCAAGTCGTCTAAGGTGACGCACATTGGCTGTGCAGAAATCTGTCATTGTGGGTTCGAATCCCGGTTTGCCAAGATTATGTTTCTAGGTTTGTCAGCACCGTACCCATGCTCCCGTGTTTCCACAAAATGGTAAACATCGGAGACCTGCATAACTTGGGGCTATCCTCCAACATTAAGCTCTCACTAACTAATCTATTGGATGAACGAGACCAATGACGTGATTACACGAAGCAGCGCGAGATTAGCACCATCTCCATAGCGACAGTTGTCTACACAAACGACGCCATTTTGTTGTTTATTGCTGAAGCAATCTCACGACTCTGCTCTTCTTTCGCTCTGTGTTTCACACTCCTGCTGATTTCTGCATCATGTATACAACTGCTGCCAGGGTTTATCACCAAGGTAATTTTCTGTGTTCTTTGTTTCCTCGGTTTTGGCCCGTTTTCGATGTAAATTCCTTTTCTAATCAAACCTATACGAACAGTCATATTCCGTCACATCATAACAGACAATAATAATGTTTTTGATTATTAAGATCTTCTTTCAAAACTGATTTATGTTACGTATTTCTTTTCTTAACCCTACGGCAGCTTCCCTATTCGCAAGCACGCATTAGCGTGCCCAAATTCGTTCGGATGCATTTAGGCCTAGAGGCAAAAGAACAATGACGTTTCTCCAGGGCCCACTTGCACAAAGCGATCTTAGCGCTACGACTATGTTAAAGTATGGGAGTTAAGATCATCTTAGCGCTAAAATCGCTTTGTGCAAGTGGGCCCTGGTCTTCTTTTTAACAATTGATGCATCATTTTTTTGTTAGGTGCCTACGATTCCCCCATACCGGAACCTTTCATTCTCATAATGATTTTACATTAGTTCTATTTCAAGTGAATACACAAATGAATTGAAATGCGGTTATTTTCGCGCCACGTATGTTCATCGAGGCCTAGCATCCCTAAAACTGTTCTTTTGTGAAGGTTCGCTATTTTTAGCAATTTCTGTCTAATCTGTTTTGTGCATTTTTTGTGCATCGTTGGAGATGAATAGGAGTGCAAACAAAATAGAACATGAGGTACCATTTGTTACAGATTATTATCCATCGCCTGGAAGTGGGAGGGAGATAGGAGATAGGAGATAGGCCTATCTCCCTCCGACTTCCAGGTACTGTCCGTCTGTCCTTCCGTTCGTCCGCCACGTTTCGTTTCCGGAGCATATTACCTGGAAACCGTTCAATATTGTATTATGAAATTGGTTAACTGATGCCTTTTGATGTCTTGGTATTTCTACAAAAACTATTGTGTTTCCTTGGAAACAAGTTGAACAAATATGTGCAGTATTTGTTTCCGGAGCATAGGTAGAAACCGTTTCATATTTCAAACTTTGAAGTGAGTATCAAACACTGCTGAACTAGTGCTGTTTGATGTGTTTGAATTTCTCTCTAACTCTCTCTCTCTCTCTCTCTATATATATATATATGTTTCCTTGAATTACTTAGCACTTCTGTTGAAGTTACATGAATGGAACTTTGCATGCTTCTCAGAGATAATTGTCAAGACTAAAATTGATGCAGTATTTCTTTTCTTCTGAAGTTACCCTCCAAAATTATACCATATCAAATTCGAAGGTGCCCCCATGGCGGGGGATAGAAATAATCCTGTTTTCTTGTTACTATTTAGATCACGTCATTAATGAATGTCTTCTAAAGCTCACCTAAATATTTGTTTCTTCCCACAGCTGAGGACAAGCTCCACAAAAAAGGATTTCCCAATGCAGTCTCCCAAACGGTTCTCCCTGTTCCCCATCCAGTAGGTCACTTGTAGAGAACACAACCTGTGTGTATTGCACTTTCAAGGACACATATGACAAGCCTTTTATCCAGCTTATAACAAGAGTACAGCTTTTACTTGCTCAAACTATTCCAAAACAATAGTTATTATGACCAATCATATACAATATATCTAGCATTACTATACTTTTTAAGTCATCTGCTTTTTTGTTTGCTCTTACTTGGCATTATTACATCACAATTAAACACTCTTCTTTTTTGTCTCTCTGTAAGTGCCCCAATACCGAGTGGATGATCCACACCAACCCCCTATCAGTCCTGCCCGACCCCCTGACCCCTGTCCCAGCCCCGACCAGCACTGGCTATATGGAGATAATTCTTGTGGACGAAGAGGCCTTGAGACAACCACGATCATGTGTGTCCACAGTATTTTCCTTCTTGAAGAGTCTCTTCACTGTGTGTTAGGTGGCCACTGGATGTACTGTGTCAATCCCTTTTAGGACCTTTCCCACAAACCTTTTGGACACATTAATTTTTGGACATTTGAACAGTTAAAACTATTATCTATTAAACTATGCGTTACTTCAAATGTGTTTTGATGTTTTATTTATTAAACTTTGAGTGTCTAGGTGATGTATTGCTGCTGTATCTGAAGAACACCATTGAACAGAAACGAAGACATTTCATATTCAGAGAGGTGCACAGGCAATGTCATTAACAGTGACCCTACGTCGAAATATATTACCTAATATATGTAAATAATTCAGTGTCTCAATCAGTTTAACTTTCAAAACAATATGGGTTAATTAAACCTTCCGCAAAAGACTACAATTCAAGAGGTTGCAGGCTCTATTTCGACCGAGGTTTAACATTCTTTGTGTTTATTAATGTGTTGTCGCTGTATGCCGAATAGTATATCTCTTATACAGGAAGCTGAGAATGAAAGTATATCTGATTGCTACTTAACCTTTATTTAGTGACGTTCAAGGCCACCTTGAAAAAAAATACTAACTGATAAGTAAAGTCTATGAACATGTTTGTGTCTGAGTGGACAGTGAAACAAACGATTTCTGTCAATGTGGGGTACGTAGTTTGTTATGAAGATCCAGTGAGAACCATATCATGAACCAATGAGATCTCAACATTCTGGAATTTGTATTTTGTATTTGTTTGGTCCAGACTCCATTACTTACAGACCGCCGTCATCTACCTTGAATATTGCTGAGTGTAGCGTTAAACGACAAACAAACCGCCTATATAATATGGGAACTGATTAATTTATAAACTTTAAGAGTTCTACATTTTGCCCTGTATATACAACTGCAGTTTTATAGACAGTTCATTGTTGAAGCTATATATATGTGGCAGATCCATATTCATGTGTGCAATAATCTTGAACGCGACGTTAAACCCAATTTCACATCACTACAATAATCCAATCCATGTGTTCAATTGCAAATTAATCTGTTTGAATTATTTTGTTTTCCCAGATTTGGCCATGTCGGAAGTGAAACTGTCGTCCTCGCCCCAGAGCCCTGACTCTGGATTCGTAGACGACTGGCAATCGGTAAAAACGTTGACCGAAACCAGTTTGCATTTTCTGGTCCAGATTATTTACATACCGCCGTCATAGCTGGAACAGTGCCGAGAGCGGCGTTCAACAATAAATAAACACACTAGTATAGGAACACAGGTGTATGGTCCAAGCTGTAGTGGACATGCAATTAAGGTTTAGTATTGTATGCTTCGGTCAGAGGTCAGAGTCTCGTTTTGGAAATTGACCTCGTGCGAGCGGGTATCAGTGGCGGCGCCCTGTGTTTTTTCGTTAAAAGTCAATAAAGTCTTCATCTCATTCTATCAAACATCACATCATTTGTCAACAGTCAACAGATCTAGGAACGACAATATTCCAGCCCTATCTGAGGCTATACACAAACGCCGGCATTTGACCAACAGTCACGCTCGTACCGTTTTTACTTCTCTCCGAGTTCCGGAAGTCCAATACGACACCATCAGGGCAACAGATCTGAATATTACCCCCGTACCCAGCTCTCGAATCTGGTCCGAGAATCTTAGCCACCAGGGTGTACCACACCCCAGCCTTGATAGCCACGGTAGCGTTGTACATCACATCGAACACCTCGTCGTCGTCGTCCACGGTGTAGGAGCTGTCCAACACGGAAGAAGGGATTGAGATGTTGCTATCGAGGATATTCGTTATGACGTCATAGTTCGCTGAGCCTCTAAGGGGACCATACAACTGAAATCCATGGAGGTTGATTTTCTTATTGCACCGGAATAAAATAGCATCTGAAAGACCGTAGTAGGTGTAGCAGTTACGTGTTGTTTCATAACGTCTTTCTGACGTTTGATAACTTGACGTTGACACGTCAGCTGTCTTTTCAGGCACTTCGTCACTCATCGTACCCTGATTTCCCGAAGAGATAGTTTCTAGAATGTTTATACAGTCGAACTGCGACAAAAGATCAGCTTTGATTCCTTGGGATCTAAATCTGTACTCTTCACCCTGAACGTGATAAAGCATGTTCGCGGCTCTCAGTTCTTGAACTAAAGAAGAATCTAGGTAGCACGTCATCTTCTCCAAGGTCCTACCTAGAACGGCTTTCTTTGATTCCGGAGTTATCTCCCTTCCCTGACGCCGACATTCATACTCCGACCACCGATATAGGGCGTTCAACACCACATGGTTGAACGCGATGAGATCAGAGGAGAGGATTATCTGATCTACGAGCTCCTTGCTGAGCATCAGGAATCCCTGCGACTGGAGACACCTCTGACCTTGACCTTTAACAAACACCAGAGCCGCTTCAAACAATTCTTCATATTCGTACCGATATGCTATATCTAGAACACCACATGCGTTGTCAACACTGAGGTTTAGTTGTAGAAACTGTAGGCACTTGTCCTCCAAGAGAGTGACGGCGTATTTCCTGGCCGCATGCAGTAACACGGTGGCGTTGTCAGAGTCCAGTGATGTGTCATCTGTGTAGAGGTATCTGTGAAAACAGTGATGTCAATTCAGACCAACAGTAAAGCGAAACCAAACCTGTTGAAAACACACCTGACCCATTTTACAGGACAATTCACAGAACGACACAAAGGCAAAGGTTTACAGTGTATATACTCAGCTAATCGTTAACAGAGACTGACACATTGAGATAAATATTGCCACCGTATGTCCTTGTATCGTAACAATTCTTCTTCTACAACGAATGATGCAAAGGTAAAATAGTATTTAACCATACATAGTGCACCGACTAAGTGACGAAGGTGGGGTTCGTGAGTGAAAGGTGTGTGACACCAACAAGCTGGTGCCCGCAAGATTGTAGCTATATATCACGACATGGACCTACTTATAGTTGACAGATCAACATCTACACTTTCTGGGGTCATGACATAATCAACCAGTGGGCCCGAGCAACAAAACGGTCTAAGCAGCCTTAGAAATCTTTTTTTTTTAAAAGACTAGTGTGAAGCTTATCTCTATGGTAGTCGGGGTTAGCAGCAATTCTTGCTGGAACAAGGCCATTTTTTTGGTCAGTTTTATTCAATTGTAGCAAATTTGGAGCAAAATGGAGCACTGAGAACTGGTTCAGAACCAGAGCCCTCAGAAACTGCTATAGTCAGCGAGGACTACCATCATCGGATTTTTACTTGAACCCATGACAATTTAGTAGTCTCGGGTGGTGGGCCAGCGTGAATTTCGTAGGCTGCTAAACTCGACGACTGTCGGATAACAATGTGTAAGTATGACAGTAGTGTTAATATAGCTTCATCGTCATACATTGAAATCACCGACCCCTCTTTTCATTGGCTCTTATACAAAACGAATGTGCTTTTGTAGGTCACGTGTCGAATGCACATTAATAATACGCCATCTTTGCGTAACCTTCTACGTGCCATGTTCACAGGTAATGTTTCAACAATGTAAGACTGACGTTAGATAGACACATTTGCAGTGTACGGATATGCTGCATTTGAAAAATGCGTGGGTGGCACGCTACACGTACATGACAAGCTGCAGTGTGACGTCACAGTTACCTTTGTACTGTCCTATAATTTCGACGGAATATCTTTTCTGACATATTCATCGCGAAATTTGCAGTTGGCTATATTTAAGTATGAATTATTTCCAGGGGAACTTAACTTTGTGTATTTTATTGTATTTCATTTATCAGGAATTCCTATAGCTGAAAAGGAGACATTTTAACTGATGCTCAAATTCCAACACCACAAGACCTAGGTATACATGGGAAATGAAAATAAATTAATGCGTCCTATGAATCTATGAATTATCTTACACCAATTGATTGTTGAGGTCTATAACTCCTCAAGTAATACTTGTTAAACAGATAGTCACACAACGATAAAAATTGATTCTTGGGGTCTTCCCATGTGGTACTTGATAACAGATATCATACATTAAGAATTGCTGGAAGTGGTTCGGTGTCATGTCTGGAACACTGACGTCGGATGACTTCGCCACATCATCAGCAAACATGGCATCGAATACGCAGCTTCTGCTGATGAGCATGTAACGGTGGGCTTTGATCATATGACGCTCGCTTCCAACCAAGAAAGTGACGTCACATCCATCTTCTGTATTGAGCATGCGCATGTTACATTCAGCAAGACTCATCCCAGCTTGCCAGTTGTCGCCGGAAGTCATGTGTTCATGGGGCACGTTGGTCGTTGCTGTTTGCCCTGCAAAAGATTTTGACTTACCAATTAGACGAGGTGAAATGGGGTTTAACGTCACGTTCAAGATTATTGCACTCATATAGTTAAGTGCATGCACGTGTGTGCGTTCCGCTTGTATAGTCTGGACTAATGCCGATTATTAGTTCTGGTCAACTGAGATACCATGTCACAGTTTAACATGAATACCTCACTCACATACAGTATACTGACTCCAGTCCTTGTTTTAGCCCCTTAATGCCGAGCGCAGGACAGAGCTACAACAGGTACCATCTTTTAACTTCCAGGCAGGGTAACACAGACCATAGGCAGGATAGATATATATACCTAACTAACATACTGTACTCTCGAAAAATGTCGAATATATGACATGCATATTGATTGAATCTGGACAGGGGAACCGCTTATGGAGTGGCTAAAATCTCCGCAATTAGTCACAATTCCAATATGAGATTCGCCCTACCCTAACTCGTTGTTCTCACCAAAGTGGAACATGCTCAAGGCCTTGGACAGGGTTTATTTTAAAAAACATTTCATTATTTTTTTCGGATCATTCTGAGCTATTCCCCTGATTTTAGGTGTTAAATAGAACACATATAATATGCTGAGCCGCAAAAGAAACGTCTCCATGGATAGATGTGTGAGAAACCTTATTTGTCCAAACACTGTAAACATACTTTGAGACATATTAAAAGACGAAACTTGGCAAAACTGATCATCAAGGTTGAAATAAAAGTGTCAAAGGTTCTTAAAGTGAAACACAACACTAGTCTCTGAGAAAATGGCATCACATGTCAGTATCTCGTGTGTCCGCCATGATGACTGCCGTGCAACGTCGATACATGGAATGGATGAGGCGGTTGATGAAGGCCATAGGAACGCCTGACGCAGTTCAGCTGCAGTTGTCGGCCTTGGTCGGACGTCAGGTATGGCGTGTGGTCTCAAGACTTGATCAATGTACCGAGTTGATGTGACACTATTGCCTCTCCCTGGAATGATGTTCTGGAAGACCACAGGGCCGACCCTCTGTGCAAGATCAATTCCACCCCACACCATGATGCTCGGACCACCCCACGAATCTCTCTCAACAACACAAGCATCCGAATAACGTTCCATACGGCGTCGCCAGGCTCTGCCATCTGCTCTCGTCTGAGAAGAGGACTCTTCTCCACTGCTGGTGGCGCCATTGCTGGTGCTGTGTTGTCCACTGTGTTGTCCCGGCGATAACGTGGTGTCAGAATGGGTCCTCGGTGTGGCCTGTGACAGTGGAGGTGTCTGCTCGTCAATCGTCGACGCACGGTGTCCGCACTAATGTGTCGCTGGTGTGTCCCCATGGTCTGTCGAGCAGTTTCCGCAGCAGTAACAAAGCGATCTTGAAGATGCTGTCGCACAATCTGACAATCCTGACGTCGGGTGGTGACACTTGGTCTTCCACTACGTGGTCGGTCATCTGTAGTGTTGGTGGTCTGGTACCGTTGCTGGAGCCTGTATATGGTCCTTACGTGGACTTGAAATGCATTGGCTACTTGCCGGGCGGTTTGTCCGGCTTGCAATTGTCAAAGGGCTTGGTGTCGCTGATTTCTTGTCGATCTTGGCATGTGGTAGCTATTCAATAACGAAAGAATGATTACCGATCTGGGTGGATTTTTATAGGGCAAGAAATGGGTGAACGCATGTGCATTTCAATTTGCATGGAACTCACGTGCATCGGGTTACCATGGCCGTTGTCGTGATGCGTTTGGGCGATCGGTTTTATTGTCATCTGCTTTGTTTTTTATCATCAAATTTCATTTTTCCGGACAAGGTAATGTTAAATTTTAGAAACTGTGTCAAAATTTTACGAGATATTTCAATGACAACTTTTCATGCAAAGTTACTTTGGGTGACGTTTCTTTTGCGGTTCAGTATACGTGTCCGAGTCCTTCCGAGGAAGGAATCTAAGACTGGTAGTCCATGATAACTTTGGCCATGGCCGAAGAAAGGTAAGAAATTAAATGGTTAATTCTAGCGTAATATATTGTAGATGAAGACACATTACGTCAAAAGCATATATTAGAGGGTGTTAAGCTTTCTTGTCAAATAAAATGTTTATATCATCGAGTGACGGGACAAAATTGATATTTTGACCAGTGGCGCAGTTACCAGTGAAATTGTCATTTTTTTCGGGCCACGAGGTGAGATAAGCAGGATAGTTGACAAGAATAGCCAAATGTTATATATGTTATGGATTTTCTCACCTATCTGAAATGTCTTAATATGAAAATCAGTGTCAAGCAGGAAGTAATTCCGGCAAAAAGTAAAATAAAACACGATATCTGTTCACCCGAGTGATATATCGATATCAAATTGTCAAATACACATATCTATATACATAATAAAACATTTTCACATGTACCTGTATCGAGGAACTCTAAACACATGTTTTCAAGTTTGGTGACAGAATACTTCCGACTGAGGTCGAGAAGGGACTTGGCATTGTCTGTGTCCATGGAGGTGCTGTCTGTGTACAAATATCTGCAGCCAGGACGTACAACATGAATAACATAAGACTAACACCATGCAATCTGGATACAACTTTCATAAAGACTTTCCTTGTAAAAGACACATAAACCTCGAAAATTGGAGGTCTTAATCTATAACAAATGAATTGAGATTCGTCGACTTTTCAGTATTATAGATGGAACATCCCCAAAACAAACTTGCATTAGAAACCTTCAATATATTCCCTTGACATATGTTCATATTTTAAACCCGTGAAGATAGACTAGGTCTTAAGCAAACCATACTTGCCGTAAAAAGCGACTATGCTTGTCGTAAAAGGCGACTAACGGGATCGGGTGGTCAGGCTCGCTGACTTGGTTGATGCATGTCATCGTATCAAAATTGCGAGGATCGATGCTCAGGATATCAATCATTGGATTGTCTGGTCCAGACTAGGTTATTTTGCAGACCGCCGTCACATGGCTGGAATATTGTTGAGTGCGGCGTTTAACAACACGCAAACAAACAAACAAATCTTATCTCATGAACTGATTGGATATCATGCTCTTCAGACAAGCACTCACAAAGTCCAGATGCTGATGACATAATCCTATGATTGATGCTGGCTGACATCGAAATATTGATCAGCAATATCGACTTTGTGCCCACTGCCAACGATTTGGAAATATTATTATAGAAAAAGGATGTAGTATTTCACTAGAATGCGAAACCTATTCAGAGCTTTGAAATAGTGAGTAGGTTTAACGCCACTTTTTGCAATATTCCAGCAATATCACGGCCGTGGACACCAGAAATGTCGGGAATCGAACCCGGATCTTCGGCGTGACGAGCGAACGCTTTAACCACTGGGCTACCCGACCGCACCAGCTTTGAAATAGATATTTACATACTCATTTTAATGTTAGCCACACGCATACAACATCTACTGAATTATTGTATTCATGTAAATCTATTAACGAAGGTTTCAGTAACGACATACGAACATAACATTAACACCCATTGTTATTCATCATTATTCTATATGTAATTTTGAAAAACCGAAAAACATGTAATTTAATTTATTTTATGGATCTTATGCCAACATTCAGGCTTTAATGTAAAATATCTTCGATTGATTGTTTCTGGTAATTTTAATACACACTCTAGTTCTAGTTTTAATATATCAAGTGAATTCTCATTGAAATTAGGCAACAAAAAACCACGAACTTCAATACATTAATGGGATTGGAAGCTGTGCTGAGCCGGTTCGTGAATTAGAATTCAACGTGCACTTTAAATAAACTGTTCCTTATTTATGCGGTTTCTGGTTTTTTTCTTCTAAAAATGGATTTGGCATAGAAAGAAAACATCGCAAAGGACCACGTGGAAGTCGGGAGTGGTTTTGTTTCTGGTCGAAGGGAGGTAATCGTGTTTACATACTTCCCTTCGACCATCAACGGCACGGCTCCTCAAATCCATGCGCATTGTTGAAGTATGTAGGCAACGGAATAAGCTGGTTGAATCCGAATGACATCGTCGAATATATTAACACTATTCTCAACAAATGTACACTTACATAAGAAACTGTTTGAAAGTATCACTGTTATCTGCAGGCATGGTAACATCAGATTTCACCGCTAGGGGATCAGACAAAATGGCATGCAGCACACAACTCCTGCTGACGAGGACGTAGCGGTGGGCGTTGATTGAAATATCTTCATTTTCAGCACGGAATATGACGTCAGAGTTGTCTTCCGTATCAAGCATGTGTCGATTACATTGTGGTAATGTCTTTCCGGCCTGCCAGTTGTTGACAAATCCAGTTAAAGCCACTGCTCCATTGTCTCTTGTGGTGGCCATTCGTTTCTAAATACAGAATCAAGGCATTCAAAATAATACTTTACATTTGTCTACTCACGTCAGGACATTATATAAAATTAATATTCAATATTTGAAACACGATTTGAAATTGGACGCAAGAGGATAAAAAGTCATCTCAACACGTTACGTCTTGACGCTTATCTCTATTTCTGTCCGTCATTTCAGTCACCAACCATAAGACCGCCTCCGTGGTCTAATGGTAGAGCGTCCGCCCGGAGAGCGGAGAGCGGGGTTCGATCCCCGACCACGTCATACCAAAAGACGTTAAAAGATGGTACTTGTTGTTATCCTGTCCGGCGTTCGGCATTAAGGGGCTAAAACAAGGACTGGTCGGCTCGGAGTCAGTATACTGTGTCTGAGTGGGGTATTCATGTTAGACTGCGGCATGGTATCTCAGTGGGCTAGCACTATAAATCGGCATCACACACACATACAGGTGCATGCACGTCGCTATATAAGTGCAATATTCTTGGACGCAACGTTAAACCCTATTTCACCTCACCTCACCTCACCAACCATAAACGTTTTTAAATAAATGAATTGGCAACTGAAAATTAATAACAATGTTGTTTGTTGTTTACTGCCACACTAAATATCACAGCTAAATGACCTCGGCCTGTAAATAATTCACACACCAGTGACTGATATTGTGAGCGACGATCCACATTGTCGGGGTACGATGAGATGCAATCACTCAGTTCACCAATCCGATCCATTTAGTCGGTGCATTAATGTTTTAAATATTTGCAGACTACAGGCGCTTGTGCTGTTTCTCTATGGTAATAACATAACCTTCCAACATATAACCATACACAAAAATGGTTATGTGAATATGCAGGGGCTGTCATTACCATAGAGGAACGATACGACCACCTTTGGGCCAGCCAAACAAGACGTAGATAGCATGAGCAACGATCAGGTCCATGTGGGGCATGATGACACGCAGTCATGCAAGCCAGGTTTCACACTGTAACAGGCCGATCCTTATTATAGCATCTGATGACAAACCTATATATTGCCGCAGAATCCCCAGGAGATTTTGACTTAATAACTCATTAGGGGCACGGGTAGACTAACATTTAGTCCAAGAAATAAATTTATCTTATATAAAAGATATATATATATATATATATATATATAATAATATAATATATATAATATATAAAATATATGTACAAAATATTTTCCAAATGGCCCCCAAAGCAATGCTTAATTTAACTGATGCATCCTAGACTTGCCAAATCAATATAGACTTGAGTTAGACTCCCTATTTAATAACGTGTCTAGGGTCACGCGTCGCTGTCGCTGTCTGCAATTCGCCGAGGTGGATCCCATAGGCGTGGGACCTAGGATTGTGGGTTTGAAAACCTGAATCTCCCTGATTGTGTTTCTCTGTTAATCATCTTCACACAGGCTCGTGGGTTTCACCAAGGTGGTAAATCTGAGAACTGCATCACTCCGGTTTTGCTGGAATATTGCTTAAATCATACCACCTACCCAGGTCAAGCTGACACGCCGTGATACATAACTATTGTAAAGAGTTGCTAAAGCAGAGCCAAACTCAACACTCATCACACACCACATCGCAGCTGTGTAACTGAAATACGGCTTACTCACTCACTAGCTCACTCTCAGGCTTATATAATGCAATTCGTATTCCTAAAATATTTACGGTACAAAAACACACTCGGCTACTAATCTAAATATATGACATGTATAGCGACCAGCAGATGTGGGATAGTGAAAGCGGGGCAGCATAGCTACGATCTCCCAGTCATATTATACTGTCGTCTGCCAGAAGTTGTATTACTTCCGGCTTTACATCGCACCACTCGTAACAGGTTAGAATAGGGAACAAAGTGATTGGTAATGTACTGTTAACATGGTGATGTGTGTATGCAGAGACCATATACCGGCGTCGGTATATGGTCTCTGGTGTATGTGGTGTTGTAGTAGTATATTGTCGACTCGAACCCCACCCGACTCCGTGTTAGAGGGTAGCCTTACCTCGACCTCGTCTTGTGTCGGCCAGTTGATAAACAGGTCAATATGACAGTCACGTGATGTACTTTCGGTATCACTGTCACCAGATATTGCGTAGGTCCTTTATTAACACAGCCGTCCACGTCACGAAGATCGTTATATTTAGAGTATCATTAAGGCGAGTCATTTTTTTATCTGCTGATAGGAGGTCACGAATCCAACACAAGCAAAGTGTTTGATTATTGCCTACGTGCATGCATGCATTCGGGAACTCGTTGTTGGTCAGTTAGTAAATGTATCCCCTCTATATTCTCTACTTATATATAGGGTTTATATGCTTTTTATTTACTGAAAATACCGACTTCCTGCGGCATGAATGTATGAATGAGTGAATCCATATAACGTGCGCACATAAATAGAGGAGACTGCCAAATAGGATGTCATGCAAGTATTGTCCAATGAGAAGAAGTGCCTTATTCATAGGACACTTCAATTTTAATATCATGACTTATGAGACAGATGTTATAAATGTCACATTTTATAGGAACAGAGCAATGCAAGTTCGAATATGTGTGATGGTGCACGCAGTATGTGTATACAGGCACATGGCTAGAATCCTAAGAGGGGAGGGGTTCATTTTAATGTTATTTATCAGTTCGTTTAAACACATTTCCTTAAGAGATTCGTTGGAGGATGATACCGTATTACAACCCCAACTCCGTTTTCGAGACAAGAAAATCAGAGATGCTGGTCTGAACGTTTCGCGGACTCCTACAGAGAACTTGATTGGCTGATTACAAACTTCTCGAGATGCGACCACAGAAGGGGTTGGTATGTCATCTCACAGATTGGTATCTCATCGGAGTAAAAGATAGGATTTTAATGAGATTGGTGGTGTATGCAACATGGCATAGCAGTACCCATCTAATTCTCTTTTACAGTAAAAAAATTAAAGTCCAAAGAAATTATTATTTTTTCTTTATGAATACACACTCACGAATTACAAAGTACACTGACACAGCACTGGAACCCAATGAAGCCCCAACAGCCATATTATGGCCAAAGGACTTAAGAAGCATTAAAGGCAGATTACAGAAATAGCAACAAAAGAGGTATCGAGAGATGGATGGATGGATAAGAAAAAGGAAAGACTAGGTGCAACGTGACAATCAACAGAACATGTTGAAGGTGTAATTTAAGGCTGCAAACGTCCAAGAAAGACGACAGAGGTGTGTAGTCAACAAAATGAACGTTTGCAATGATTTGATCAATCATGGGACATAAGCCAGGATTGGTTAAACATTCATTTTTAACGGCCTAGCGTGGTCCGAATCAGTCTCCCAATGACAATGTAAGCGAGTCTTGCAGCGTTTAGCCCAGTTCGACTAACATAGCGGGTGGCTTTGACGTTGGCATACACGTCTCCCAATCATGTCCCAGACGTGATCTATGGGGAAAGGTTGGGACTCGTGGTTAGCGTGCCACTAGCTAGAGCGTTATCGTCTTGAAAGACAAAACGTGAACCAGCATGCCACACAAACGGCACAGCTGTCTCGGTGGTACTGTTCAGTGACCTTTCCATGGAAAATATACTGTGGCGTTTTGGTAGGCATAGTAATCACACCACATATCACTGCAACTCATCCTTTAATGTTGCCTCGCGTTGACGTTCGTGTTATGACGCCTCCAGACGCGTTCACGCATATCCAGAAAGTCCAGAGAGAATCTGGACTCCTCTTAATAAATTACACGAGACCATCGGCTATTCCCCTGGTTTCTATGCTCTATACACCATTGGCGTCAGGCTAGAATGTGTCGATTTGTTAATTGTGGTACATCATGTGGCTGCCGAGCATGCAGACGATTTCTAATCGTCACGGCCGGCACCTTGAACTCCGGTGTCCTGGCGTAAATGAACACCGATTTGATTGGCTGATTGAGCTTTCTATAGCCTGGTTTCTGATAAATCGTCAAGGGTCCTTTTCCACAAAGCGATCTTAGTGCTATTAGTGTCGTAAGCCTGTGTTAAAGTATGGGAGTTACGATCATCTTAGCGCTAAGATCGCTTGTGAGCAGAAACCTATTCCAAAGTCTGCAAATCACAGGCTGACACCCATTGAACACATTGGCTACCTCACGCACAGTTCTACAAGTTTGAAGCATTCCAATAGCCGTTAGGCGTTCATTTCCTATTTGACCACAAATACTGCATTAAAGCAATAGTATAGTGCCTACGTGTTACTGTGGATAATGAAAACCAATAATACTCATGGCTCGGGGAGATTTGACGACCCTTCGCTGAAGTATCAATATCAGGATTCACCTCCTACCCACTTGCACGAAGGAAGTGCATGGCCCACGAACAATGTTTTGGGTGTGTTTGGACGTTATAATTTGGTTCCGAAACCGTTCTATTTCTGGGAGTCATTTTTTCAAGGCGGAAATTCCTTATGACGACCGATAATAATATTTTATGATCCACTACTTTTGGGCGAATACATATGCATGCATAGATTGGGTTTGCTAGTACTTCACGTTTAGCAAACTTCCAGCCAAATCATGATGTGGGTAGTGGGTGGGAGGGAGGGGAGAGAGGGCACGAAGAATTGGCTTCACATGTCGTCCGTTGCAACAGTATTGCTAATCTATTACTTATCTATTAGTGGCTTTAAACCAACTAAATTGATCACCTGAAGATACGGCTTCTGATCTGACGTCAATTGACATACATCCTGGATTAATATCCCTTTACTTGTATCTTAGATGAAGGTCGCCCTTAAATGTTCACTTAACATCCAGCTCTGAGCAGTGGGCTGCTTTTGGAATTACACAGGCGTTGTCCACACAATAACAATGCTTCTTCAAGATGAGAAACCAGTGCCGGGATCTGCTCCTCTGATGCACCCGTGCCAGTTGTTGTTGTTGTTGTTGTTGTTGTTTGTAGTTCCTGAAAATAAACTGAACCTGTCACCGCCCAAGCTTCTTACCGTTCCAAAAGTAAGGCGTAATTGTATACGAATGACCAACATCAGCACCAAAAGTTGACATACACACAATAGATCCATATTTGTTGAATTTTTTTAATTTTTTAACATGGCATGTGTATGAATTTAGTTTCTCCGACAGGCCTGCAACAAAACTGTCTGCAGTTCCCAAGCAAGTCAAAATACATTGGCAAGTCTAGATTTTAAAGCATAAAAAGATGAGTTCTCTGCGTTCCTTTCTATTATATACTTAAAAAATAATTTAAACAAAACAACTCAAAATATTTTCATTTCAGAGACAGAATGTAAGTCTAATTTGCACTGTTTTAACTTCTGAGGACTGAGGTGATGTATCCATACCATCGGGCATCGGACCTGAACAATCAGGCCCTGAATAAAGACCTGCTTCTTGACGGTGACGAAGGTGATGATTACAGATATAAATATAAATGTGCTTGGGTGATCACGAGACTCGCATTCAAACTCTCTGTGTTAATATACAGGAAAATAATAATGGTAATTTTTTTCTTTTTTCAACAGTTTTGTCTTTGTGGAACAACGCAATATGCTGTGTTACGTACATCCACCTGTGTACAGAGAAGATATTTGACATTGCTTTTTCAGATAACACGTGAGTGACACGAGAAAGTTATATTTCATGAGCGAGATAAACATGTGATTTGACAACAAAGAAGACAAGTTCTATTTAATGTGTATCTTCTTTCTTGTTCTTACTCTGAGCACCGAAGTTTATCCCAGGAATACTGAAAGTAGTTCCGGTATAAACTGTGAATCGACTCCATTGAAATATCGATGTTTCATTGTCAGGTAAATATTGTATTTGTTCACTTGATACATAGATGCAAATAACCTTACGTCATGTGAGTCAGGGGCGGTCGGGTAGCCTTGTGGTTAAAGAGTTCGCTCGTCACGCCGAAGATCCGGGTCCGATTCCCGGCATGGGTACAATGTGTGAAGCCCATTTCTGGTGTCCCCTGCCGTGATATTGGTGGAATATTGCAAAAAGCGGCGTAAAACCATACTTACTCACTCACTCACTCACTCACTAAAGGGTGTTCAAAATGATTACAATATACTTCAAATATATATACTTCAAATTTATTCAAGAACCAAATAGATCTTGTTAGTTTCTTATCGCTAGTTTGGAGATACAAGATAAATAGAACGAAACACGTATTCATTCATACCTCATCAGCAATGATATTGCTGGAATATTGCTAAAAGCGGCGTAAAACCATACTCACTCACTCATGTGAGTCAAGCTGTATATGGAAGTGTTACTGTATACACTTGGTTACAACCCGGGGCGTCTAACGTGTAGAGCTACACTATGCCTGGGTTGTCTCGCCCTGCATGAGTGTTTTTTTTCATGGCTCAGTTTAATCCGTGTACTCACAGACCCGTATAATCTGTTTGGGAGAGACTATCAACGGGCATAGGAGTGTTTGGGTTGGGACAACATAAAAAGGTGCTACAGTATAGAGATTAACAGCACTATGAATGATTTGTTTGTAAATTTGGTCCAACTCCACATTGACAAGAAGAGACCCTTTATCTCCGAGGACACATTTTTTGGACAAAGAAATATTTCTGATGGACTATGCTGATCGAGTTGTGGTCAATTAATCTTATCTTTAATCTTTAATTTCGTGCATCCCTGTTCACAGTAAAATGGGTTGATCTACATGCCTACTTCGTCTAACAAGCAAATTCACTCATCCCTAACTCTACCTGGATTGTCTTATATAGCTACTGTTTACCTGTTTAAAAAAATAAACGAAGCGGGTTTATACTATTCAAAAAAAACTTCTCCGATTTATGGAGCCCAGTCGTCTTAGACTCCGCAAATCGCTTTGCAGAGTTGCGTCCCTTTGACACGCCAGAAACCTATGATTGTGGGTTCGATCCGATTTTTCATCTGTCAGCACCATACCCGTGTTCGTGGGTTTCACCAAGTGGTGGAGATCTGAGACTTGCATTACTTTGGACTTTCCTCCCACACTGATATAACTGGAATACTGTTCCAAGCTCCCTTGACCCAACTCACTCACTCACTCACTCTACGATACATGTATTACCATTCTTCTTGAACAGTGTTTAAACCTCTTCATCTACAAGAAAAATGATATGCAAAACGGTGTTGGTTGTATTTGCTATATGTACACAAGACTCTATGTCTTGGTGAGTGTGTGTGTGTGTGTGTGTGTGTGTGTGTTATTTAAAATGTTATTGTGGTCTAACACATCTGATTGACCAATCAGATTCGAGTATTCACAGAATACGCGATATTGCTATGAGTCGAAATTTCAGTCACGTCAAAACACTTCTATTACTCACATTTCTGCCCCAAGTTCCCTCTTTTTCCCTGATTCTTTTATTTTAAAATATTTGTCTGCTGCTCTAGATTTGTTCGGGAGTCCCACTTCATATGACATCACACAACTCAGCACAATTGGATGTTTGAACCAGTGGCGTCATTATCTGCTTGAACTCTAACTGATCCTCGCGTTGTTTGCAACCATTCCACTGTTGATACGTCCGTCGCGATACCCTTTCACGTGATGCCGAGGCAAGTCACGTGATACACGGAAGTGATCGTGAAAGGTGTTGTTGGTAAGTGGTGGTTCATTCTGTCTCCGTGTGTGATGTTATCATATCGATGTTTACTACAAATAATTGTGACGCTAAATGAGGACGTTGTAACTGAAATGGCATGGCCGTGTCAACTATGCGTAGCCGCTGTTGTATATACACATTGACGCATACTGCGCTACTAATCCGCAGTGCAAATGTCATTATTGGTCGTGGGCAAGGGAGCTAACTCATGTTGGCCTTGAATAACATTGCAGTGAAATGCAGGTGCCTCTTACAGTCGATCATGACGGTTCAAGGATCGATTCCAGTGTTGGAACATGATACGTATAATCTTACAGATGATATCATTTTTCGTGGCGTATTTGTCACATGGCAGCATGGATCTGTAAAATAATCTGAAACTGAAGCATACGTCAGAAACTCAATGTCTTCAGTTAGCTTCATTGTAGCCACCTGGCTGTGCGTCTTATTCATGATGAGACATCTCCATTAAAATATACGTCATACGGTGAAATACACTGAAACTTCCGTGGATAAATGACGGTGCTTTTTTACCTTCATAATTCAGTATACTCACCTTTATCCTGTTCACTGTATTCAGAAGGTAAGATATGGTTATTAGATAACATTTTTTAAATTTAAAATGTTATTTAAAAAAATCATATACTTTGAAATATAACATTTTTACAAATTTTAAAATCATATACTTTGAAATATAATCGCTCTCATGTGGCCGGAATATTGCTGATCGCGATGTTAAACAGCAAATAATGATGCTTGATTGTTGTCTTTGTACCCCGACACACCCAGTGTGTTGCTCATAATATCGATCGCTGTTTTGAATGGTCCAGACTCGATTAATTACAGGCAGCCGTTGCATAGCTGGAACAATGCGTTAGACAACAAGCAAATACATACATGTTTCTTTTGGGTACAGCGGGGTAAACTCGGCGTTGGAATCCGTCGATTCTTACATTTACACGCCGCCTAATATACGGATCGGGTTGCCAGGTGCTGTGACATTCCTGATTGTGTGCCAACGTTGCTTACCCATTCCCAGGCTGGTTTTCCTGGCCGAGACTCTATTACTTACAGACTACAAATTGTTGTTCACAGTCAATCACTCTTTCAGTCCTGGTACGCAAAGGTCCCACACATTCAATCTTATATATAACTGAGGTAGTACGACAATAGCAATGTGGTTGTGGGATATGACAGTCATTATATAAATCATAATGTCAACTTTGGTTCGGTTGCAAAAAATGTTGAATAAGCTCACTACACACGTACTTTGGTCAGCACTGCCCAACCGCCTATATTTGACCCGTGAAAATCCGGGGTAGAATAGGTCTTCAGCAACCCATGCTTGCAGTAAAAGGCGACTAACGGGATCCGGTGGTCAGGCTCACATACTTGGTTGATCGTCATCGTATGCCAATTGCATGGATCGATGCTCTTGATGTCAATCACTGGATTGTCTGGCCCAGACTCGATTATTTACAGACCGCCGTCATATAGCTGGAATATTGCTGAGTGCAGCGTTAAAAACAAACAAACACACCGCCGATATGTTATGGGAACTGATTAATTTTATGAACTGTAAGAGTTCTAAACTTTGCCCTGTATGTACCTACAGGTTTGTAGACAGTTCATTGTTGAAGCTATTTACATGTGGCAGATCCATATTCACGTGTGCAATAATCTTGAACGCGACGTTAAACCCAAATTTACATCACTCCAATGATCCAATCCATGTGTTCAATTGCAAATTAATCTGTTTGAATTATTTTGTTTTCCCAGATTTGGCCATGTCTGAAGTGCAACTGTCGTCCTCGCCCCAGAGCCCTGACTCTGGATACGTAGACGACTGGCAATCGGGTAAAACGTTGACCGAAACCAATCTGCACATGCTCACAACTCAAAACTCATGTGACGTCAGCTTCCGGGTCGGGCCAAACGAAAAGGTCATCCAGGGTCATCGCTATGTCCTTATCAGCCGGAGTGCTGTGTTCCACGCCATGTTGTCAGGCCCCCTGGCGGAGAAGGATATCATCACAGTCCCCGATATTGAGGATGAAATATTTTATGAAATGTTGAAGTAGGTCACATGATCACATCCTTACTATTCCCGCTACCATAGTATTTACAACCAACACAACCACAATAATTGTAATAATAATACATGGTTACAATGGACGCTACATGTAACGATGGACGTTACATTCATGGTTACAATGCATGTTACATGTATCCAATTTTGTATGGGGGCGGTCGGGTAAGCCAGTGGTTAAAGCTTTCGCTCGTCACGCCGAAGACCCGGGTTCGATTCCCGACATGGGTACAATGTGTGAAGCCCATTTCTGGTGTCCCCCGCCGTAATATTGCTGGAATACTGCTAAAAGCGGCGTAAAACCCCACTCACTCACTCAATTTTGTATGGAATCTTGATATTTTTTCAGCTACAGCTGCAAAACAAGATATTTTGTAAAAATATAGCTATGAGACTCACGCTTTTTTTTAAACAACACCTTGCAACAATGTATATTTTGTGGCAGACAATATATAGTTCTCTCAACAGTCTGAAGCATGATTACTTTTTCAAGCATTTTCTGAGACAATTTACTTTTTACACCCAAGAGATAAAATGGTCTGTTTAATGAATGTATATCCTTTCAGATATTTATACACAAATGAGGGGAACGTCACTCCTGAGAATGTGACAGGTCTGCTTTATTTGGCCAAAAAGTACTCCATCGGCGGTTTAGAACGCCAGTGTTTGGATTACCTGGAGAAATCACTGAGTGCCGATAACGCGTGTGTGATCATGGAACAAGCCCACAGCTTTGACGAGACTGAGCTTCAGGCCAAGGCGCTGGAGATCGTCATCAGTGAAGGTGACGTCAGTCTCAGAACATCAGGGTTCTCCCAGCTCTGCCACAGCTGTTTCCACAAGGTTGTGACATCGGAGGACCTAGCCGTGAAACCGGAACACATGTTCAGCGCCGCGATGTCGTGGTCGGCGGCCGAATGTGAGCGCAAGGAGTTAGAGGTCGTTGCTGTCAATCAGAGAACCGTCCTTGGCGAGTCCCTTTACAACATCCGCTTCTCAACCATGTGTCGCGAGTACTTCGTGAAACAAGTCGTTTCCACTGGGGTCCTTGTAGCAGAAGAGAGTAATAAGATCTTATGCAAGTTTGTCTGTAGCGATGTGGACGTATCGCCGTTCACTGCCGACCCGCGACTAGGGGTGACGAATAAGACATTTACCGTTTCCAGATTCCGTTCAATCAGCACGACGTCACTCTTATGTCAAGGTGATGTAGTAGATTCAGTGACCTTGACCTCCAGTCATGACCTTTACCTTCACGGTATCCAGTTATACTGCCCCTTTAACGAAGTAGTCGCCATGTACAGCGTATTCATCTCTGTGCGGATCAGCCCCGGAACCCTAATCCCCGGATCCTGCTTGTCAACAACCATTCAGGCAAAACCCTTTGAGAAGGCGGTGTTTGACGTCTACCTCAACGCACCTGTGATCATTCGGAAGAATATCCAGCACAAGGTCGCGGTGTTGATCAACGGAGGCTACACGTATCAAGGCACGACGGGCCTGTCACGTGTCATTTACGGATCAAACTGCTTTCAGTTTGCAGTTTCAACAGGTGGGCGCTTCAGGAGTTCAATATCGGAAGGGCAGATTCCAGGATTTATTTTCAGTGAACCATGATAGACAAAAGTATGCAAAATGGGTGGAGAAGACAGATAAAATTTTCTCGGACGCTTGTACAGGCGATGTATTGTGACATTGACACCACATTGCTCCACTACTGTACCACCAGTATCCATATCAGTCACTTAACTGCAAAAACAAACTTAAGAAATACTCACAGGTGAACCCGCGGATCTGCATAATGCGTTCATTCAGATACATACGGGGATCCATCTTCCCGAGGCAAAGGAGTTAACTGACTATAAAAGTCCAGTTTCCACCCTTGCCGAACTAGGCTGGTATTATAGTGTTACGTTTTGTCTGGACTAACGAGTCTATGAATAGTCCAATCAAAATCGCGCACCGAAATCAAAATCCGGTTCGTAAACTGTCGTGCAGATTTCGATCAAATGCAGGGTTTGCAAAGCATGTGTACGCCAATTCGTTGTCAGCAGATATTTTCCAAATCCTTTCATGTTTTTAATCAAGGTGCTCACGTGATTTGATGCATTTCGCGATGTAAGACCCCTTTTATCACAATATAGATCTTGATTATCGATCAGATCGTCCTGACTGGGCGCCACCATTTTGTGTGAAGCAAACGCAAGTGATACGAGAGGTGGAATCTGATTGGTCCATAGGAGAGGCTTAGAAGGGACATAATTGGTAATAGCCACTGGTGGCGCAACGATCGAGCCCAGTAATTCCAGCCTAGTTCGGCAAGGGTGGAAACTGGACTTTTAAAGTCAGTTAACTCCCTTGCCTCGGGAAGATGACGGGGATCCAGAGCAGGGTGCAGGTCTGTGCAACCCCTTTTTGGCTGCTGATATTCCAAACACTATCTTAAAGGAAAGAAATGAATTGAATTGAATCAGTTGGTGAAGTTTTCAAAAAACACCAACAATTACGTGTCCAATCTTTGGCTTACAAGCGCACATTGTTCCCCGAATGAACTACATGTATTTGCATTCATCTTGCATTTTTTAATAATCCGTCTCCTTTTGAAAAACGCTGTATCCGCGCCTGTGTCGTTAACAACAACAGGTGTGGAAGTTAGGGTTAGGCGCTTTTGTGGAGTCGAGGTGGTGCACATAGAGCACCAACTCCATGTCACAGCCCACCATAGTCTCCTGTTCAATGACAACGCCCGCTGTCCCACGTCGCAGTGTCCACACAGATGTTTCTTAAGTTTGTTTGGCAGTCTCTTTACTAATGTCAGATCGCCCTAATTCGTGACCACTGCTGCCATTCCGACCACTCTTGCGAGCAGGTCACGGAAATGTCGAGTGGTGACGTCTTAGATCGGCCTAGTTTAAAGCTTTATGTCATACAAATGTTGTTTCTAAATGGCCAAAGAATTGATACCCTCGTTCCGTTATACCACATGCCTGCCCATGACGACTTGTTCGTCATGATTCTGTGATATTACCAATGACACCATACTGTGCTATTCTCTTCATTGGGACATTTATTATTTTTATTCCGCCAAACAGCTTTCCCCATCAATATAATAAAATCTTTATAATACTCAAATTGAAAACTGTCCCTTCTTCTTGTTGCCTGCCTACTTTTGTGAGGTAATCCCCCCAAAAGAAACTTAAAGTAGGATTTTATTTTTATTTTTTTACCTACCTACCTGATTTGTTTGGACAAATGTCGTACATCTGTAATAATGGCTGTCTGTGTTGGTTGTGTTCCGTCAAATATAAGACATTATGTACTTTACATATTATTCGTTGTGTCGGTTATATATTTTGTATGCTTCATATCATTTACTTATGTGAACACCCTTTTGAACAACTTTATATAAGTTTTATGATTGTTTTCCTCAATGTACAGTTTTCGCGCACTATATGTTTAAGCAATACATGCAATACGATGTGTTTAAGAGGTACATGAATTGTAATACAAGACGAAGGCATGACAGCTTTTGATGATTCTTTTTCAGACGTGTTTTACACCACTTTTCCTACAGTTTTAACGTTAACCCAGCACGATATGGTTTTGGTAAGAACAACCTTTCACGAATGAGCGTCTGTGATGAATAATGACTATACATTTTTTATTCTCTTCATATTGTGATATTCCTTCTCTCCGCAGTAAATAGATGGCAATGTTGGATTTGTTCTTCATTAACGTTAGTCCTGTATAGTTCTTTGTTGTGTTTATATTGCATATATTTTAAGGTAGTTAACACAAAATAACCATCTTGATCCTACCAGTTATGTAACTAAGTCGAGTTTGTCTGTAGTTTTCATCTTAGCTGCCAGACTCACGGCCAGGCCTACGTTACACAAAGCGATGTTAGCGCCATGCCTATCGTAAAGCTAAGCTAATATCCCTTTTTGGAACGGACCCCCGCTGGTCTCTCTCTCTCTCTCAAAAAGACAATTACTAACACATACGTTGTCATGGTAATTTGTTCACACACAACTTTGTCAGTGATCGTCTTTCGCGGCAGTCTATAGGTCCGCCCGCAAGAGTATTTGCCCTTTTTTTTATTAAAAGGAAGCTACTCTGTCGTTGAGTTTGCCTGGTCTTATTACATTGACACGACGTTACGGTATTTCTTCCAAATTCAACCACTTTCTGTTCTGTAAGTTTAAGATCCCAAGCCGCACAGGTATTGAAAGTGATAATTTATGTCTCCAATGTTGCCTACACTTGTAAACGGCCTCATAGACGCCCCAGTTACACGCTGATTTTTGGTATCTCGGACCATTATTAGGACAATGATAATTATCCCAGTAATCTGTCTAGATCCCCGATGATCAATCCAGCCTCAATATGCTCCGATAGACAAAGGCGACGCCATGTTTGTTTGTAAACACTGACAGTAGTACTATACGTCTACCTGACCTTTATATTTGCATTTTATCCGTAAATGACCCCGACGGATACGATTTTTATCCGTTGGTGTCATTCTGCCGACAGACATACCCCTTATGATAAATGTTATGATGTGTACCTTATATATGTATAAAGGCGTGCATGATTTGACGTACAGTATGTGTTATAGCGCATATATTATCACGTAGATATCAAATGTGAAGATCCGGGTTAGAATTGGTCTTCAGCAACCCATGCTTGTCGTATGAGGCGACTGACGGGATCGGGTGTTAGGGATCGCTGACTTGGTTGATGCATGTCATTGTATCCCAATTGCGTGGATCGATGCTCATGATATCCATCACTGGATTTTCTGGTCCAGACTCGAATATTTACAGACCACTGTCTTATAGCTGGAATATTGCCGAGTGCGGTGTTAACAACAAACAAACAAAACAAACAACGTTTATGTTTTGGTGTATATTATTTGGCTTATATTTCATGACGTATATGTTTTAACATGTCTAGGCTTATATGCTTTGACGTGTTGCTATTTCTTGGAGTATTTCGTTTGTTTGTGAAGCACATATTGGCATATCAGTTACCACAAGATTATCAGCTATAAATTGTGTAGGGTCAGTAAAAACAAGGGACCAGCCATTTGATAATCGGGGGATGGGGAGTGGGAGCTGGGATTTTGTATCGAGAATAGATGTTTTTAGCAGCTACAGCTACAAAACCAGATATTTTTTTTACTTCAAACTATGAGTCTGAATTTACAAATAAATAAATACACCTTGCAACAATGTAATTTGCGTGGCAGGCAGTCACAAAACAGACTGAAGCCCCCAGAATAGAAATTGGTCGGTCCCTCACGTTTTTTCAAAAACTGCATCTTTCTTCAGTTGTCTTATCTAGTACTTAACGCATTTCTTGTAATCCGTCCTCAGCACGTGCATATATCCATCACAATTCCCCTTGGAACTGGTTTTTTTCCCCGTTCTTGTGTTGGATGCATCGATATATTTCTATGTTGTCCGTTCTGATGAATATGTATCGAATGATCCCCTGATGATGTTCTTATATTGGAAAGTGGTATTGTCCTTAAATTTACATTCCCACTTGAATAAATAAATTCAAAGGTTCCCTTAAGGCATTGTAGGGAGTTTCCAGTGGCATATATATTAATATTTATTGAACAGCTTTGATAACTTAAATGACAGAACAGTTTAGCTCATATATACTGAACAAAGAAAGTAAGGGATTGTGAGAATTTTGGGGGATATTTTTACGAAAGTGTGCGCTTTAGTCTTCACAACAAAAATACCCCCCCCCCCCCCAAAGAAACGTATGATCGTGAGTTCAAATCTCAGATTTGCCCCATTTATACTTCAAGGTTTTATCCCGTGATTTGTACGCGCCGTGAAAAGACTGAGACACTTTTCAAAAGGATGACAAAGCCAACTCATTCATTCATTCACTGAAAGAAAATAGTTCCGGAAGGTAACTCCGTGGTATGTGCAAAGACGCATATTTTATGTTATCACATTATTGCTACTACGCTGCACGTATTAACGATGCCCTGGCTGTTCCAGCATCTGGAAAGATGTATTGTTTGTTTTCGACTTTGGACATTTAGATAAGTAAGTTTGTTACTTTTGTATGTTATGAGTTAATTTTATTCCCACATATTGATTTTCATGTATCTCTGATTATTCAGTTACAACATAAAATACTGCGCTGTGTGGTGTATGATTTGTTGTTTGTTTGTTTGTTTAACGCCGTTGCATTAGTCCAGCTTTACGGACTGTTAACACTCGAGTCTGAACAACACACTTCAGTGACTGATATTGTAAGCAACCATCCACACAGTGAAACCAACCTAGTCTCCGACCAGACCACCCGATCCATTTGATAGCCTCTTACGACCAGTATGTATACCTGGGAAACCCCATGGGGTGATATATGAAAAGTAAGCTTGCTGTGGTGATGTTGATCCTGATGACCAACATAATTGTTGGTGGAAATTACCTTGTGATAGCTTTCCATATATCCTCGCCATCTTACATTTCTATTTTGTACTGTGTATTGACCTATTAACAAAGCATGATGAAAACCGGGTAGCCCTAAGTTGTTTTTTTTTAATTTTTGTAAGACACAACTGATATCGGCTGTATCATGCACATTGTATAAGGGATGGGGGTGGGGGTGGGGGTGGGGGTGGGTGTGGGGGTGTGATTATATTGGGGAAAAATACTTCAGACTGTTAAAAAAAAGACATCGCCTGCCATAGTTGTTATTTATTTTAAAAATAAAATTCAGGCTCGTAGGTTTAAATAAATAAAAATATACAAAAAAACAAAACAAAACAAAACACAGCTCATAATCTCGTGCAAAAAAACCCAACTCGACCTCAATATGGCCATCCTCATCAATGCAGTTTTTCGTGAGCAAAATCATAATCTTTGACATTGAGACATGAATATGAGAGACCGTATACCTGTATTAAACACTTTCTTATTAATAATCATTTCAACTATTCCATTTCAAGAGGCCACACAGTCGCTGTGTTGTATCCTTGGACATGGTTGGTAACTTCACTTGTCCCACTGTGATATGACTGAAAGTTGTTGACTGTGACGTTAAGTGCTTCTACCGGCGTTGTAGGTCTCATCTGTGTTCAGTTCATTAACTCTCTCTATGAACCAACCCTGGCATCAATCTCGTTAAAATCAGATCTTAGTCTGTTTGGCGGTAGTGAGAGCTAAGATCTGATTTTAATCAGATTACCTGGGCAATGGCCTGTCACTTGCTGCGATACTTTGCTTCAGACTAATCCGGAAACATGCACTGTGACATACTGTGGGGTCGAGTATCTGTCGCTGAAGTGTCATGCGGCCGCTAGCCATAATCAGGATTAACCCTAATTAAATTCTGGTCTACAAACTACAAAACATTACCACCTACACCATATTGAGATTAACATAAATTGCCGTGCAAAAGAAAGTATACACTTGTAAATTGGAGTTGACCAAAACATTACAAACGTTATCAAAACGTCATACATGACTTGGCTGAAGACAGTCGCCGAAACACTGCAAACTTAAGGTTTGTTTGTTTGTTGTTTAACGCCGCACTCAGCAATATTATAAGGTTCGAAACACAACAATGATACCCGTATGGAAGCCATCACCATCTGACAACTATCTCTTGTTTGTTTCATTTGTATCCATCATCAAACATGGGTGTATACTTTCCTTTGCTCGAAGTGTATGTCAGCCGTAGGATTAACATCGCTATATGGACTTGTGAATAGCAGAAATTCGTCCGTTTATTATTCATTATTAAAAAAATGTTACGTCAATTGTTCGTCTAACTCGATGAATAATAACTTACTACGATATTTAAGCTTCGATCAAGGCAATGGTCAAGCTAAATGTCCTTAATATCAAGCATACAGGTAAAATGTAGCGCGACCACTATAATGTGTTGTCCAGTAGGAACAACAGAGTTTCCTGTTTGCGGACCGTGTGGGGGTGTTTGTAGAGAGCTCTGTACAGGCTTGGATTCCTCGAGACAGCCTTGTCCGTCATCAGCTCAAAGGTGCCGGGACGAAGCTGTACGATGCGGGGCTTGCTGATGGTGCCCTTTTCACGGAAGGCTCGGTACGTATCCGACATCCGCTTCAGTTGGAAGTCAATCTGGAGTACACACAAGGGAGGAATATAGATTTATTTATTCACAAACTAAAAACATTTATATTTAATCTTGGATATATTTGGTTGTTGTTTAAAGCTGCGCTCAGCAGTATTCCAGCTATACGACAGTGGTCTGTAAATAATCCGATCATAACAGAACAGAACTTTATTACACACAGGCCGAGAAACAGGTACAGACAGAGATAACAATGTGAGGCGGACAGAGAATTAGCCGGGAGCTTTAACAACTTTCATGATGATATCAGTATGTTTACAAAGTTTTGTTCTGGACAGAGATGTTCGATGAGTTAATCAAGTGTGATCAGGAGACGACATATCCCCATCTTCCCGAGGCAAGGGAGTAAACTGATTTTAAAAGTCCAGTTTCATCCCTTGCCGAACTGGGCTGGAATTCCTGGGCTCTATTGTAGCGCCACCAGTGGCTGTTACGAGTTATGTCCCTTCTGAGCCTCTCCTTTAGACCAATCAGATTCCACCTCTCGTATCACTTGCATTTTCATGAAACAAAACAGTGGCGCCCAGTCAAGACGATCTGATCGATAATCAAGGTCTATGTTTTGATAAAACGGGTCTTACATCGCGCAATGCGTGAGCACCTTGATTAAAAACATGAAAAGACTTGGAATATATCTGTTGACAACGAGTTGGCGGTGCACATGCTTTGCAAATCCTGCAATCGACCGAAATCTGCAGGACAGTTTACGAACCGGATTTCGATTTCGATGCACGATTATGATTAGACTATGCATAGACTCGTTAGTCCAGCCAAAATGTAACTCCATAATACCAGCCTAGTTCGGCAAGGGTGGAAACTGGACTTTTTTAGTCAGTTAACTCCCTTGCCTTGGGAAGATGACATATCCTTCGGTCGGGTGCAGTTCGGAAATGGAGTTACCCTCTTTTGGTTCATAACCACTGGACAACTTCAGTTCAGTGAAGAAAGCAATTGTGCTGTTCAGTAATTTTCAATATCCCAAATCATCAAAAGGCACCAGTTCATGACTAGACTGATCTGTACAGCAAGTTTCATCCAGAAATAGTCGACGGTTTTGTAGTTCTGGCTGCCGTTGTACAAAGCGATATTAGTAATAAGGTGATTGTAACTCCCTATCCTTAACATAGACCTACGACAGTCGTAGGTTGTTTAGTACAACGGCATCCTGCTCTTGAAACCATCACGACCCTAATTTCCAACTTGTCATCACATAAAACAGCAGCAGCAACAACAACAACAAAAACTCCATCAAAAGACACCATTTCACGACTAGACTGATCTGTATAGCAAGTTTCAACAAGAAATATTCAACGGTTGAAACGGAAAACGACCGGCGCACAGACGGATGGACATGCTGATCACTATATCCTCCATTTTTCAAACAGGGGGATACCAATTATATGAACTTTAGCATATTTGGTTTATTCCTATATTTACATGGGATATACAATTTACGAACATCGTTAAAATATGTACATTAAAAAAAATATTAGTCTTCGCTACCTACAAGCGGTGACTAGCGGTGACGAATGTTCGAAAGAAGAGAAGTGTAAGAGCTAATAGGAAGGGAATATTAAACAAACATGATTCAAGCTTATTGTCAATTTTAAAGATTCGATATGTAGAACATTTAGATAAATTTACAATACCCGCGTTCCAAGTGTTCATGTGGTTTGCGTGAAAAGGGTTACTTTTAACAAGGAAGATGATGTAACACTCTGCGACAGCCATACATAGCCAGATTGGTCTAACATATTTGAATAAAAGTGAGCCATTTGTAAATTCCACCATTGGTATTTGTATCTGTACCCAAGAGCATGTATAACATATGGGACAGTTAACACCATTTTCCGGGCCGCCTCCGTGGTCTAGTGGTAGAGCGTCCGGGGTTCGATCCCCATCCGCGTCATAGCAAAAGACGTTAAAAAATGGTACTTATTGTTACCCTGTCTGGCGCTTGGCATTAAGGGGCTAAAACAAGGACTGGTCGGCTCCTGTCTGAGTGGGGCATTCATGTTAAACTGCAGGGGCCTGAAGTAAGCAGCGGGTTCGTTATTCGTTATTCGTTTTTCGAATAACGAAAAACAAGCCAGCATCGGGTTCGTTATTCAAAGGTTGTATATTAAACAACTACAGTGATGTGGTCAAATACACTGAAACTCATTTAATATATGACAGCAGGTTCGTCTTACATCATCATCCAAACGCTGTTTAGTTATTCAGTACTTTTGAATAACAAAAAAAACCAAACCAGTACCGGGTTGGTTATTCAGTTTATGTCCAACAATTCTATTAAATATAAGATAGTCTATAGTCTATGGTCTATCTCCCAACTACTGTTAAGCTATTCAGTACTTTTGAATAAGGAAAACTAACCAGCACCGGGTTCGTCATTCAGTTCATGTCCAAGAAAATATGTAAATAAATAGAATAAAGAATCTGCTACTGTTTTTAGTTATGTACCTATTTACAATAAAGGCTTTAATTGTGGGAAAACCTTTGCTGAAGTAGCCCTCATTATATATAGACTGTATTTTAGGACAAATAAACAAATTTATAATTATATTATGATATATTTAATTTTACAATGAGTGTGGCCTCTGCTCGTAGACCCTGTCACTGTATCGCTTTCTTCAACAACACCACCTTTATCCGTTCCCACAGAAAAAAACGTTTCTGGTCAGTGTCAATCATCACCCACAACAGAACAGAGTCTTACAGTGTATCTATGTTTTCATGAATTACGTGACTGGTCAGTTTATGGTGGTGACATATCACACACAGCTGCAGTAAGATGTCTTACTACTCTCCGAATGTCTGGTAATATGACATTAGATTTGTTTGGGTTTGTAACGTTGATCGTTGACCACGACCTGGAATGGATCCTATGATTGTATTCATCTTATAGGTGACAAGTTAACCTCACGTTTGTTTGCACAGTTCTAGACAACCACTTGCATAGTGTAGTAAACTTAAATTATAGTTCAGTAGAGTTCAAGGCTTCAGTAAACATAAGTGTACATTGTCTGTATAGATACATTGCCATTTAGTATTATACCAGTCAGAAGGATCAGTTTTGCATTGTGACGTATATAACTTTCTGTTCACAGCAAACTTACCTGTACAATGAACATAACTGCTATCTGGCGAAAGACTTTTTATAGAAAATACCGTCTGGGTAACTCACTACATTTAACTGTAATGAAAATTATCATACCAGAGTGTAAGTAGTATTGTAAACCTTTTCTACAAATAAAGTGAATACAGTTTGGTCTATCCCCTTTTCGTTCATTTTTATTCATCCATAAATTGCCAGAAAGAATCCGACTGAATAGTGTTATTGATAAAAGATGAATGGTGCTGTTTAGAATCCAGTTGCTGGACAGCAGTTAATAACTAAAAACTGCTTGAACATAGATTAGACTACCTCGCATTTGTCAATCTGTTGAACTGAACTGAAAGCTAAAATGCTGCAGTTTCGTTTTTCGTTATTCAAAAGTACTGAAAAACTAAACAGCTTTTAGACGATGTAAGACGAATCTGCTGTCATATATTAAATGAGTGTATTTGACCACATTACTGTAATTGTTTAATATACAGCCTTTGAATAACGAACCCGGTGCTGGCTTGTTTTTCGTTATTCGAAAAACGAATAACGAATATCGAACCCACTGGAAATGCGGTATCTTATATTTGTTATACCAAGTCTAAATAGCCAACCCGGTGCTTGTTTGTTTTTCGTTATTCAAAAGTACTGAATAACTAAACAGCTTTAGGATGATCATGTAAGACGAACCTGCTGACATATATTAAATGAGTTCCAGTGTATTTGACCATATTACTGTAGTTGTTTAATACACAGCCTTTGAATAACGAACCCGGTGCTGGCTTGTTCGAAAAACGAATTATTATAACAAATAACGAACCCGCTGCCAACTTCAGAGCTAGCACTATAAATCGGGGGGGGGGGGGGGGGGGCACGGGTGGCCCAGTCGGTTCGCCCCGATTATGTTTCTAGGTTTGTCAGCACCATACCCGTGCTCGTGGGTTTCACCGAAGTGGTAAACGTCTGAGACCTGCATCACTTCGGGCTTTCCTCCCACATTAAGCTGACACGCCGCGATATAACTGGAATATTGTTAATAGCGGCGTTAAACCCAACTCACTCACTCACTCACTATAAATCGGGATCTGCCCGGACAAGTTTAGAAGCGATTTACGGAGAACAAAGTACAAGAGGGCTGTGTCATCCGCATGTAACAGTACAAACAATATTAGCGAAAGAGTGAGTGAGTGAATATGGTTTTACGCCGCTTTTAGCAATATTCCAGCGATATATATCACCGGGGGACACAAGAAATGGGCTTCACACATTGTACCCATATGGGCAATTAGCGAAAGATCAATCATAATATCAAGAGAGGGCGAATTAAATTGAAAACCAACGCAATTGAATTTATGTTCAGTGACATAAGATCCAATATCATTAATGTACATAGATAAAAAGAGGCGACTAACGGGATCGGGTGGTCAGGCTCGCTGACTTGGTTGATGCATGTCATGGTATCCCTCTTGCGTGGATCAATACTCATGATGTCAATCAGCGGATTGTCTGGTCCAGACTCGATTATTTACAGACCACCGTCATATAGCTGGAATGTTGCCGAGTGCGGCGTTAAACAACAAACAAACAAACAACAAATCATCTCAAATAGCATTCACATCATCAGAGACAATAGCTTGATGAAAATGATACGCTTTGCCATTGTCCCAGCGTCTATTGCTGCACGAAGAGTTCGTGCACTTGTCGTCCATTTCACCCGCTGATTGACAGTTGAATTCAGCTTGACGACTGATCAGTGTCGTGTAAAACACAATGTGCATCAGATAAAAGTGGGTCAAAATCTTGCACCGAAAAAGTAGTAATAAATTTGATATATCTATAGATGATACGGCATAATTAATTAAACTAACATTTTTTCTTCAAGTGTTTTGTCCGGTACCTTTATCTTCCCCAATTCATTCATTTATTATAAATAAGTTATTTTTGTTTGTTATTTAACGCCGCACTCAGCAATACCCCAGCAATCTGATAACGGTCTGTAAATAATCGAGTCTCGACCAGACAATCCAGTGATTGACATCACAAGCATCGATCCGAAAAGGACAGGATGACATGCATCAACCAAGTCAGCGAGCTTGACCACCCGATCCTGTCAGTCACCTCTTACGACAAGCATAGTCGCCTCTTTCGGCATAGCAGGCATTGGTTGCTGAAGACCTATTCTAACCCTGGTCTTCGCGCTGTTATTCTTTGACTAACCACTGTTAGATCAGTCAAACTCCAAAAACTCTTGATATAATGGATACGTTACTGTTGGTTGCAGCCGACAATCGGAATCGACATAAGTATAAACTTTATTATAACAGGGGGTATTAAAATTAGTTCTATGTAGCTGATGTTGTGGTATAACCGAATTCGTGATATCCGGAGTGTGGAGAGCGTTATAATTTTACATCGTGTCGGCAATATTGCAGCCATATCGCGATGGCCCGAATGTATAGGAACGTGGGAATTCGAGGTAAAAATGGTTCTCGATGCTGGCCGTAGGTCACGCTCGTATATTGCGTGTCACTGTACCCTTAAGGACGCTGCTCATAATGTCAGTCATTGGTTTGCCTGGTACAGACTTGATTATTTACAGGCCGCCGTCATATAGATTGAAAATTGCTGAGTGATGAACAGCAAAGATAGTATACACAAACCTTTCCGACTGCCCCATACATTCATATATTGTATATACAGTTCTCCAGTTAACCTTTTCTTCTTCATTACACGCACGTGATTGAAAAAACTACATCGAGTCTGTAAACAGGCCATTATATGATCATAATAGCTCAATGGGGATGGGTGACCTCGCTGATTGCGTGACATGCATGTCGTGGTGCTCCGGCGGCTTAACCTGTCCTTGACTCGATTAAAAATAGTCCGGAATATTGTTGTCAACAAACATAACAAACAATGTGGTGATATGCGACAGACCACGTGATATTCATGGTTGGGGAACTGCCTATGTTAAACGATCACTTTATAACAAACATAATGCATTAACAAACACCAGTTGATGCTCTTTGCAGAGAAGAACCTAGTTATTAGTCTTGAAGCCAAGACTAACAAAAGACTGTCCGTAAAAAAATAGAACCGACCAACCCCCTCCCCCGACATGAATCACAGTATAATCCATCGACTCGTCCTTGAATGATCAGACTAAGAACCTGTTGACGATGAAAACCAAGATTTGACTTTACCAAGGCCATCTGGTGTCTCATGTAGTATCTTGTTTATCATTCACGGTGTAGGTGGCGGAATTGTGTGAACGAGACATTATTCCGCGTCACATCTGTCTCATGTCGGATAACAAGCTATACTCCGACCTAGGAACTGTCAAACCAATGCTAAGTGGTGTGAGCACCGATTTTCAAAGTTGAGTTAATACTCGAAAAGCTGAGAGTTGAATTTTAAAGCATATAATATATTCAAGGACTACAGTATTCAGAAACCACTGGTACCTCTAAGTGAGTGAGTATGATTTTACATTACTTTTATCAATATGCCATGAAAGGTAGAATTAACCACAGACAGGGCCGATTTTACTTACCGACGATACCTCGTCTTGCAACAATGGCTGACCGGAATCCGTCTCCACGAAGATGACGTAATATAGTGCGTCATTGCTCGTGTCTAAAACAAAACAAATACCTTACATAGTTAAAAGGCCTAGACTTGCATAACTCACATCAAGCTGACACGAGGGACGCCATTTTTCATTTTTGTTCTTTCACGCACGTCGGTGCCATTGCTTCCGATGTATATTCCTCACTAGGGTGTTAAACGGGCGAACTGGGACAGGCTGGTACCAACATAACCAAATTGTTGATTTAGAACAAATCGCGGTTCTATAAGATATAGCCTGTATGCCCAACAAGAATTAGGCATAGGTGGTGCAGTGGTCTATGGTGCCTCAATTCGCTGTACAGAGTTGCGTCCCCTATGCCTGCCTGAATCTTGGGTCAGTGGTTCCAATAAAAGCTTCGCCCTGATTGTGATTCTTGTTTTATCAGCATCAACCCGTGCTCGTGGCTAAAGACACCAAAGAGGTACACGTCTAAGGCCTGCATCACTTCGGATACCCCCACCCCCCATCACGCTGACACGCCATGATATAACGGAAATAATATTTACCTGTGCAGAATAATTTTTCATCGATGTTTCAAAGAAAGCAACATCTGAGATTGGCGTGATATAGTTTAGCATTGGCTTTGTAAACATCATTCTCCAATTATCCAGTATATCATATCTCCATCGCATTGTAACACGATTCGGGATATCTTGATCATTAGCATCAATCAAATACAGTAAACTCAAAGGGACTAATAATTTTAGTTCGTTATAACCGTAGTTCGTTATAAGCATATATATAGTATAACTACGGCAGATAGTTGGGACCAAAAAAGTAAGTTCGTTATATCCGTCAGTTCGTTATAAGCGTGTTCGTTATAACCGTAGTTTACAGTATTCATAGCTGAGGCCTCGTCCGATATATTTAATCGAATAAAAGGACTGTTTTAAAGGACTTTTGAACCAGACAATATGTTTTCCTGAGTACAAAGACAGAAGAGGAACTTCTTAAGCTACGTTACATATATTTGAATGGGCAGAGATTTCTTTTTCTAGTTTTCTCGCTTTTGTTATTGTTCTGTCAAGTGTCCACACACATCATTTTGGCAAAATTAATTTGCCTTTGCGATACAATATCCCGACTGTAAGGTCGCTATACGATACACGATATGCTACATATCTCGATAGTAAGGGAGCGGTGGGGTAGCCTAGTTGCTAAAACGTTGGCGCGTCACTCCAAAAGCCTGAGTTCGATTCCCAATATGGGTACAACGTGTGAAGCCCATTTCTGGTGTCCCCCGCCGTAATAATGCTGGAAAAAATTCAAAAGGAGGTGAAAAAACATTCTCACTCGATAGTAAGGTCGTAATAGGATACACGATATACCACATATATCGATAGTAAGGCCACAATGCAATACACGATATGCTATATATCTCGATAGTAAAGTCACGATACGATGTTCTCGATATGTGACACTTCTCGACAGTAATATCGCGATACGATGTACTCGATATGTTACACATCTCGACAGTTATATCGCGATACGTTGTACTCGATATGTTGCACTTCTTGATAGTAATATTGCGAAACGATGTACTTGATATGTTACACTTCTCGACAGTAATATAGCGATACGATGTACTTGATATGTTCCACTTCTCGACAGTAATATCGCCATACGTTGTACTCGATATGTTATACTTCTCGACAGTAATATAGCGATACGATGTACTTGATATGTTACACTTCTCGACAGTAATATCGCCATACGATGTACTCGATATGTTGCACTTCTCGACAGTAATATTGCGATACGATATACTCGATATGTGACACTTCTCGACAGTAATATCGCGATACGATGTACTCAATATGTTACACATCTCGACAGAAATATCGCGATACGTTGTACTCGATATGTTGCACTTCTTGATAGTAATATTGCGAAACGATGTACTTGATATGTTCCACTTCTCGACAGTAATATAGCGATACGATGTATTTGATATGTTCCACTTCTCGACAGTAATATCGCCATACGTTGTACTCGATATGTTACACTTCTCGACAGTAATACACGATATGCTATATATCTCGATAGTAAAGTCACGATACGATGTTCTCGATATGTGACACTTCTCGACAGTAATATCGCGATACGATGTACTCGATATGTTACACATCTCGACAGTAATATCGCGATACGTTGTACTCGATATGTTGCACTTCTTGATAGTAATATTGCGAAACGATGTACTTGATATGTTCCACTTCTCGACAGTAATATTGCGATACGATATACTCGATATGTGACACTTCTCGACAGTTATATCGCCATACGATGTACTTGATATGTTACACTTCTCGACAGTAATATCGCCATACGATGTACTCGATATGTTGCACTTCTCGACAGTAATATTGCGATACGATATACTCGATATTTGACACTTCTCGACAGTTATATCGCCATACGATGTACTTGATATGTTACACTTCTCGAGAGTAATATCGCGATACGATGTACACGATATGCTACAAAGCTACATGAAAAAACCCACACTTGACATCATTCCCAGCATCAATAGAAATGAGCCGCATTTTAACTAAAACATATTTAGTAGAGTTGAGTCAATTAATACAGAAGGGGTTTTATATCCATTAGGGGCGGTCGGGTAGCCCAGTGGTTAAAGCGTTCGCTCGTCACGCGGAAGACCCGTGTTCGATTCCCGACATGGGTGCAATATGTGAAGCCCATTTCTGGTGTCCCCCGCTGTGATATTGCTGGAATATTGCTAAAAGCGGCGTAAAACCAAACTCACTCACTCACATATCCATTACATCTACAAGGCGAAGATAGAATATAATTAATGTTCATATCATTTAAACTGTTACTCTTGTAAAGCCTTGTATAGATACATGACCTACCTATACAATACACGTATCGTTACCACGATATCGCGATGCATTGAACGTTGGTTAAATCGTTACACCTCTAGTTCTGGAATAAAACAACTTGACAGTTGAACGACGAACCATTGTATAAGCTCTTGGGTCTACATGGTAAACAATCATTGTGTAAAACATGTACTCTGAAAACTCTGTCCATACTCGTGTGGGCACATTGGAATAGGCTAGTGATAAATTCAGGGCAGTGACCTGTAATCACCTGTGACGATAAAAGCCATTGTATACGTGATGCTGACAGCGGGGGTCTTCTAATGCTTCACCGGACGTTGTTCCGCATAATTCGGATTGGCTCGGATTGTTGCCATTGTATTTCTCTCACGGGACCTGATTACAACGGTGTCTATCTCGGGTCTTAGAGGACAAATTAATCCATAAAGCTCTCATCAAGGTTAAAGATCAGGGCCCTGTTCTACAAAGCGATCGTAGCGCTAAGATGATCGTAACTCCCATAATTTAACATAGACTTACGACAGTCGTAGCACTACAATTGCTCAAAGCAATCAAAGCAATCTTAGCGCTAAGGTGATCGTAAGTCACATACTTTAACATAGGCTTACGGTCATTGTAGCGCTAAGATCGCTTTGAGGAACGAGGCCCAGGCCAGGTTCAGTCGGTCTGTGCCAAGTGACGAATTTCGGATTTTTTGTGATAAATTTAACAGTCCATGTGCTCCAGCAAATTATATGATTAATGAATTAAAATTTTTAGTTCCTATGTTTAACAGTTAACTTGACCCTGACATGGGATTTCTGCATTACGATCCGTTAACATGTTCATATAAACATTTCTCTCTGCAAAGCATCACACAACAGTGAATATATAAAGACACGTGTGTTTGGCTTGGTGAATAAACTGAATGTTTGAGCGAATCGGGGCATACAAATAACCTTAAAGGTGTTTTTCAACTTCGCCCAAAGTTAATTCGAAGATGGGAGCAAACTGAAACTTGGCGTTTTGGGAAACAAGACAGGGCAAAATGGAAGTCCTAGTTTTATTCACTGAAGTCACTTAAAATACATTTGTTCATTTGATTAAATATTAATTATAACTGAAATGTTATATGTAGTGATCTAGCATTGAATGACTGAAACTCAGCAGAGTAAACCGAGAGCCTTAAGGGCCAGCACATTTAAAACATTGTACGCACAGTTGAAAAAACTGTAGGCCCAATCGCAACTTATGTTTAAAAATGGAACTTCCTACTAGGTTATGACCTGTGACAAAGATTTATCATGCATATATTTTGGCATTAAACATCGTGTCCGAGCCAAACAATCGAGGCGACAAATGCCGAGATGTTAGTTGACTTACATGCCACGATCGCACGATAAGATAGAAATAGTAACTTAGATGTAAGTTTGACAATTTTTAGAAATAAGTTAAACTTTGTTGATTTTGTTTGTTACTTTTTTCTATTTTTTCGATTAGCTTGAAACGTCTTTATATTGCTCTTTGACATGTTCGATATGGAGCTGTTGTCGAAGCATGTGTCCCAGAATTATTATTTTTTCAATTTTTCAATAACATTGCTCGAAATAGTTCATAATTAATAATCTATTTATAACATATGATAAACTGAAATGAAGTACGTATTTTCTGACTTTGGGAAAAGTAATTTGTTTTAATAAATGAATAACATGACAGGTAGGTTCATGAAACTATATATTATTTTGACGTGGCTACGGTGTGGCCGGTACACCGGCCTGTGGTGTTGAAAGAGTTAACGAGCGGAGTACTTTGAAGCTGGGCCCTGTTTCACGAAGCAATGTCAGTGTTATGATTCATTTACCACGTTTACAGCTTAAAATAACTACAGGCCGTAAGGGCCTGCTGAAAATTAAAATTATCAGCCCTACGGGCCGATGACTAGTTTATAAACTGAGTGTACGCAAGCCCGTGATGTATTGTCGTTGTTTCACAGTTGGCATTAATTACCTCCAGACAGATAGATCTACGCCTCTCAAACTGAGGCGGAAGTATATATACATGAAAAGACAGCTTCTTCATACCTGTCGCAATGTCTACATGAATATTCTCTGTAGCCGCGAAATTGACCAGTCTTCCGGAGGTCCATTGACTGCAAGCTATCGATATCGCCTCGCGCATTACAGCTTCCGGAACTTTCTCAAAGGAGACATTCAAGACATCTCCGCGCCTGAAAGTCAGAATGATGTATTCCTTGATCGGTAACGTTTGCAACCTCTGTGTCGCCTTGTAGCCTGATGTAAGAGTTGTCAGCTTACCATGACAACCATTCTGACAATGTAATATATATACATAATTGTGTTCAGACACTGTAATAACACACAAATAATTCGCACTATTAGGGCATTGTGGGTAAGAATAGATACCCAGTACGAGCCCTTGTAAGAGGTCAGTCGAATGGGGCTCGGGTGGTCAGACTGTGACTTGGTCAAGTACCTTCATGCTTCAGTCACTGGTTAGTCTGGTCCCAATCCCATTAAAATCAGATCTTAGTTCTCGCTATCGCTAAACAAAGATCTGAGGACATCCCATTACGGGTCACATCAGAACGACCTTTCATTCGACCAATCAGAGCGTCGCTTACCAGATCATGAAAGTGACAGTCGGAATGTGTTTCTAATCAAGCAACCTCGAAAACGTCAACACGGGGTATTCCGAACGACAGTTACGACACTATCTCTCGCTTCAGTGGGATAAACATTTGAACGGTGGAGGCGTTGAACAGTATGTGGGGAGCACTGCTATACAATATCAACCATATATTAGACATTCCAGAATGTTCGTTTGGTCATTTTTCAAAATTTTAATCGAGAACTGTGTCAACATATTTTTCAAGCGTAGTCTGAAATGGAAGTCGCCTGGTTGAAAAGAGTGCCGTAAAGCTCGAGAAAGCTGCTTTCTATCTGGCTGATGTCGACTTCTTTTTAGTCATCTCAGTGGTCGGTCAAAGATCGCGAAAGGTCGTTCTGACGTGACCCGTAATGGGATGTCCTCAGATCTTTGTTTAGCGGCAGCAACAACTAAGATCTGATTTTAATGAGATTGGTCTGGAACAGATTTCAGTATTTACTGGCCGCCATGATATATCGTGAACATTACCGACTGCGGAGCGAAACAACATGCACTCACTCCCAAGTACATTCATGTCCTTTAGGGAAACCTATTGGTTTGTTGAAGCATTCGCACGTCGTGCGCAGATCCGGGTTCGATAACTGGATAACAATCACTGGATTGTCTGGTCCAGACTCGATTATTTACAGACCGCCGTCATATAGCTGGAATATTGCTGAAAATATATTCCATACTTCAACATTGACATACGACAGTCACGTGGACTACATTAGAAATATTATTTCCGATATTGGTGACTATTGTGGTTCATAGTCAGTCCTCACCTGTGCAACACCTTGTATTTCGGTGCGTTGCCATAGAAACCACACACTCGCACCATGTCGCCCGATCTGTATCTGTAGAAACCACGTGGTGTGGTTACAACCAGCTCATACTCCCTGCCCACCGTAACCTATGAAAAACAGTAATAAGCGTCTATAAAAATACTTTATTATAATGGTAAATGATGCTTGTTCGTTCTAGTCTAAGGCCTTTAGGGCGGACCATTTGATTTTTAGGGGTGGTGGGGTTGGTAGAGTCATGTTGTTGTTTTCTTCATATTTAGAGGCTGAGATTTGATCCTACATAAAAGAGTGCTGAGATCTTTTTTGTCACAATTCAAGACATGAAGAGAATGTTAAAATTTTCTCACTGTTCACTGAAACAGTATATATGAGGGTGATTATAAAACAGAACATTGAAAATTGCAGCATAATAAAGCATTTTTATATTATGGCAAAAATTGACCAACCTTACATGTTTGTACTCCCAACTGCCCAAGGAATGTTCCTCTCAGTTACTAAGAATGTGGATGATGGACAGTTTTGATGAAAACCTACGAATGGACGTTACCAACTGAAATTTGGACACGTTGGGACCAAACACCGAATAGTTTTACAAAATGGTTAAGAATCAATCGCCGAAAAACACAACCAAAACAGTGTGCTGGGTAATGAACGTGCTACCGTACCCACATCAAGGGACATGAGTTGGACGTGAATCTTACTGCATGCCAACCTACAAAAATATGGGTATCAAAGGAAATGATTTGCTGTTCATTCACACCCAAACCGTTAGACAGAAGCATGCTAAGATTAACCCTACAACAGAGAGACTATAAAAGTCCAGTTTCCACCCTTGCCGAATTAGGCTTGTATTATGGAGTTACAATTTGGCTGGACTAACGAGTCTATGCATAGTCCAATCAAAATCGCGCACCGAAATCGAAATCCGGTTAGTAAACTGTCGTGCAGATTTCGGTCAATGCAGGATTTGCAAAGCATGTGCACCGCCAACTCGTTGTCAACAGATGTTTTGCAAGTCTTTTCACGTTTTTAATCAAGATGCTCAAGACCCGTGTTATCACAATATATATCTTGATTATCGATCAGATCGTCTTGACTTGGCGCCGCCATTTTGTGTGAAACAAATGCAAGTGATACGAGAGGTGGAATCTGATTGGTCCATAGGAGAGGCTTATAAGGGACATAACTCGTAATAACCACTGGTGGCGCTTACTGTCAGTTAACTCCCTTGCCTAGGGAAGATGCTCAAAGACAGCTTTTTGAACAAAGCCACTTGGTTTAACATTTTCAAATCAGGTCTTCAATCTTACTTTTTTGATGAACCTCTTTCCCCAGGATGAAATGACAGGTTATTTTTTCCTCCGTGTAATTTGAAGTTTCCTCCGACATCAAGCTGGCACGCAGAAATACAATTAAAATTCTGTTCATAAAGGCGTTAAACCAAACTCACTCTGACACTGCGCGTTATACCTGGTGAGCTAAGAGTGTTTCTGGCTGTTCCTCCTCAGTGTGTTCGGCTGGTATGAACTCGTAAAAGTTCATGTTGGCAAGGATGACGTAATCCTCCCTCTCGGCGCCTGTCTCCGGGTCAAGGAGACCTCCAGTGTGCAAAATCAGCCCGAAGAAGCATTCAGTAGACAAATGGCCGAACGAGTAGAGTGGAACGTCGCCTAGGTATCGTTCCCTCGCTAGTCTCGCCTGCAAGAAATCCAAATCGAAAGTAAATACTATTATTTGAGTCAGATTTTCTAATGTCTATTTTAAGTTTTAAAAATCGTAAAATATTTATAATAATCACACTAGTGATTTCTTGATTAAACACACTTTAGGATTATTTGTAGTGAATTAATATAGTTTCAACAGGGGAAAAACAATTTAATGATCACAAGGAAAATTTGGCATATGCATATTTTGCATATACATATGTTAAGATGTAACACACTAACTACATATATGTATTTTCCCCCACCCTCACTCACACACTCTATGTATGTGGTACGTGAGCACTAAAGTGTTTGACGTCAATAACGTATGTTGAACGACAACGTTAACATCTGTTCAATGTCAACAAAGATGTCTGTATTGCCTCACAACTATTAAATGGTGTGGGCAGTCGGGTAGCCTAGTGGTTATAGCGTTCGCTCGTCACGCCGAAGATCCGGGTTCGATTCCCCACATGGGTACAATGTGTGAAGCCCATTTCTGGTGTCCCCCGCCGTGATATTGCTGGAATATTGCTAAAAGCGGCGTAAAACCATACTTACTCACTCACTCACTCACTCACTCACTCACTAAAGGATGTTCAAAATGATTACAATATACTTCAAATATATATACTTCAAATTGGTTTATATGAACTCGGTTATCATGAACCAAATAGATCTTGTTAGTTTCTTATCGCTAGTTTGGAGATATAAGATAAATAAAACGAAACAAGTATTCATTCATACCTCATCAGCAATACATGCATTCTAGTTAATATACTGGACAATATAATACAGTCAATGCAAAAATCGAGGAAGTGCTGAGGGTTCCACCGAAATCCACGTAATGTAAACCTTCTCCACGAGTAACCAATCTCATTACAATCAGATCTTTTACTCAGATAGATGCCTCTGTGTGCTAAGATCTGCCATCCTCAATGTCAGGTTAACCCGTAGCCACTCGATTTTAACAAAGGAAAACCCACGCACAACACAAATATCCCTTCGATGGTATTCCATTTTGTGGTTAGATGTCATTGTGTTCAGAAAGGACAGTGCATATAAAATATATCTACATCAATATAATGGTACCATCTTTATTATTTACATTTGGTACTGGCCGTGTAAATTCGTGTTCGAGATGCTGATCTGAATGCTACGCTCACTGGTACGGAGAATTTAGAAGCTTCGGCGCTGAACGGCTGATAAGAAAGTTTACCTGACGCGACATCTCATGGAGAGGATGTCAGATCTTTACTCAGACAGGTCTCGTATCGGATTTTAATGAGATTTTACAAGGAACAGACTTACTTGCAGAGCAAACGTCCCAGTGCTGATCGCCGACATCCCACCCAAATGCGGCCAGATTCTCGGCACCATGCCCCTACAACTAGATCTGAAGATTTCCTCCAGTTCATCAGCCCTCTCAGGCAGAGGTGTCAGGTGCATGTTGAGAGACTCCCTTAAGTCCTGAGCGATGTCCAGATCTACATCCAACTCTCCTCTGCGAATGTCACGCACAAGTCTACTCCAGTTTTTTTCCACGAGAGTCAACATTTGTAAGATAACCGTTGACGTCATCGCGAAAATCGTCCCCAGCTCTCGCTCGCGGAGTGCAAACAGCATGTGGACATACTGTCCATCGTGTTCGTTGAGTATGTTGTAGCCGATCCTCGGTGTGCAATAAAACGTTTCATATCTCCAAAATGTCATAGAAACTGACCCTTTGCTGACCCCTCTATCCGTTTTCATTTTCTTCCCGGGTATTACCATGTATTCCGCCATCCTTAGCTGCCTAAGTTTAGGCGCTGCAGAAAGGACTGAAGACATCGGCATAACCAAATATGGACCATATGATGAACGGTTTGAATTTAAATTCACAGGATATAACTTGCTGCGACCCGAAGTAGTACCAGATGTTGCTGCAAAGAAATCCACTTCTTGCTTGAAAAATATGTTTCCTTCGCCAGCCAGACACCTTTCTACGTACGGTTTATAATCTTTAAATTCAGTCAGGCGCATGCGCGACCGGAACTCGGCAACGGATGCAATGGTCGCTAAATCAAAGTCTCGGCCATACACCGTGGTCTGGCCTGATTTGAGCAATTTAAATAGGGTCTTTGTTTGAGCTGAATTCACGTCCCGACAAAGTGAATTAAATCTCCATAAAATGAAACCCCCAACTATTCTGATGACCCTTTGTTGAAAGTACATTTTGAAGACTGTGGAAAGATTGAGGTTATGAGCTGGCTGTAGACTCCAGATGTGAAGTAACACGCCTGACCACGCCAGCAACACCAATGAGGCTGCATATCCTGTAGTGAGGGAAAATGGTGAATATATCAAACGCGATAATAAACCACATGAGAGTGAGTGAGTGAATATATTTTACGCCGCTTTTAGCAATATTCCAGCAATATCACGGCGGGGGACAGCATTTTACCCATGTGGGTAATCGAACCCGGGCCTTAGGCGTGACGAGCGAGCGCTTTAACCACTAGGCTACACCATTGCCCCATCACATGAGACGTGTATTTCTTTGAACAGATGAAATAGTTGTTTATTCTTAAGTTGTTCAGGGGCGGTCAGGTAGCCTAATGGTTAAAGCGTCCGCTCGTCACGTCGAAGACCCGGGATCGAATCCCGACATGGGTACAATGTGTGAAGCTCATTTCTGGTGTCCCCCGCCGTGATATTGCTGGAATATTGCCAAAAGCGGCGTAAACCCATACTCACTCACTATGATTGAATTTGTTTTGTGTGTTGTTTTACGCCGCAGTCAACAATTGTCCTGCTCATGTCGTTCAAATCCGTTTGGGTACGGTGACATAGCAATAGGGCTGTGAATTTATTCTAACCTGGATCGCCATAGGGGTACAAGCAGTTGTATAATTGTGGATGGCCAGTTGAGAGTATGATCATCTCAAGCAGTTGCCAGTCATCATTCATCGTGGCCAACCAACCCCAACTGACTAAGTGAGTGAGTGAGTCGTGTTCAAACAGTATTTCAGTTATTTCACTGCGTGTATACAAAGCAAGACAGGTCATTCACGTTTACTACTTTGACGAAACACACTGGTGCTGAACACGCGATTGTAGGATTTTGGCACGCCAAAGGGACGAAACTCTGCACAGAGAATTGCGGCGCCTTATACCACTTTAATCAGCGACCCATAGCCCGTCTCTCATGCCCGACGATGATGTCATGATGTGCATATAGACCTACTCGAACCAAGACTTGTTCTAAATCAATCTTATTTAAATCTTTCAATAATTTTCACCCCCATCAGACGTGTCTCTCCGTCAATGTCTGATAAACCCTGTAATTAAGGTCGCGTCAGATGAATCCTGAGAGAATTTCATAATAAAGGATGCAGCTCCGAATGCTTTGCTCGTCAGAATTTATAAGCATCAACGCTGACTGGCAAAATCTGATGTGGATGAGCTTGGTTCTAAATAAAGAATTTGGTAAGTAAAATTAGCACCAACCTGTCAGTGTCGATGTGTCGATGGCCACTTTGACACCTACGGCTGCACATGACCCCGCCAGAAGGAGAAAAATAGGCTCCCACTTCATGGTCTCTCAAAGAAGGACCAGGTCTGTGAGGAAATGTTACCTGTTTGATAAATCTCAATCCATTATTAATAAACAAATAAAATAAGTTTAACGTGTGTATAACTTCCTGTATTCCCGTGTCTTGACATCAATAGAGCGTGTTAGTTGTTACCAGTGTGCAATGTTGGTGTTTCCACCAGTAACTTTACTGTAACCTACTTTGGACATGAACACAAGCAATCTTGTGAAACTGACCAAGTATATATAAATATATTAGATTTGAACACGTATCTTGAATTGTCATATCGAATAACGTTCCTTACTTTCATCCTCGATATGAATACTCGATGTGTTCAGACAAGAGGGCGTTCGCGAGAGTTAAAGCGAAACTAGTAAAGTATCTTTTCTCATTTTACTTAAATTCTGCTAGATGAACTGTGATAACACTACACTGTATTGATCTTAACATTTAAGATGATTTTTACATGACACATGTACAAAAAAGCATCAATGACAAGAATATATGTGAAATTATCGTCACCTGAAATCCAGTTACGTACTTCACATTAGGAAGATGACTGTGACAGTGACATTGTCATAAATGTGACTATAGCATGCAAGCATTCAGAAAGTTGTCATACGTGTTGATGATATGTATTAACGTGCTTGGGGTTTACAATGAAGGCCAAGCAGACCCGTGCATGACAACACGCTACATAAAATTGGGGGTAAAAGGGGGTTGTCGGCAAAATATGAGACTGTCCTAAGACCAATCTCACCGGACCCTACCCTATGATAAATGATCAGTCCATTACAAACAAAGTCTAAAACCACCTAGTGCCGTGTAATAATACATTGGTTATTTGTGACTAAACATTTTATGGAAACATGAGGAATATGCTGATCGTATAAGGACAACGTTAACTTTTAACACCAGCTGTATCTGATGGGACTCGTGTAGTACTCGCTGTGGCTATATTTCTTCTCAAGTAGGCACCTGTATCTCAGTCTGAACATCAATTTCCCTTTACGCGAGTTTCTAAAACAGGCAAATGTTTTCTTATTCACGGTGGCTCGATCTCGATACATCACCCGATCTCTGAGTTGCCGATCAACAACTAAAATACAAGATTTTAGAGTTACTTCCCGTGTCCAGCGCTCAATCTCAAGAAATATTGCATACACCTACACGGAGAAAACATGTCTATCAAATAAATATAAATATGTGCTTATGTATGTTATAATTTATACTTTTGTTGCATTTATATCAATGCTGACGGCAAATCAGATGGATAAATTATATCTTGTTAACTAAATCAAATGACCTGGAGCTATTAAAACTCCCGGTACATACGTGTCTCAAGTAGGTAACTTTATGACTTAATGCAGGTGTCGTCATAAGCTAATGTTTACATACCTGTCTCGGGGTGTGTGGTAAACAATCCTCCGCACGTACCAGGGGATCACACTCCGCATATGACCAGCATATCCTGTAACTGAACGCCCACTGTATTCATCATATGTTAGCAACTGAAATCTATTGAAATGCAGTAATGGGGTCATATCTATATATAGGTCCGCAATTTTGAAGACGTTATAATGAGGTCAGGTATGAAGTGCGTTACCGGTTGTACAGCCACACATACACACGTTACAGAAAGTCATACACCTCAAATGGTACGGACAGAGACTGCGTTAGATGGAGCGTTATAGAGAGGGTGATCAAGATCTATTTGGGAACTTGTCGTACAAGTTTTTACATGTTTACATTTTCAATGCCTATCCTGGATGTGTCTATGTCACAACTATGACACATTTTGGAACACAAGACATGAAAGAAGTACACAAACAATGCTTTACAAAAATAACGTAGTGAAGTGAATGAGTTGGGTGAATTATGTTAAACGTCACAGTCAGCAAAAATCCAGCTACCGTAGTTTCTCGATTCAAAGCTCTGGTGTAAATGTCTGTCACACACTCTTTACCCCCGGCATTTAATCACAAAGATAATAATGGGGAAGTTCCTTGCATGAAAACTACCCGGCGTTTAATCAATGTCTGGTGTTTATTCGAAAACCCGGTGTTGATTCGAGATACCGGCGTTTACTCGAGACAATACAGTATGTCACCGCGCTCTTTAAATAATCGAGTCTGGAACTAAGACAACAATTTGTTGAGAGTGTAAACAACGATCCATATCGTCGGCTTACGACAACACACAACCAGGCAGACCGGCAGACCATAGCTATTCATTTTAGTGGAGATTGTGAGTGAATGAGTTGGGTTTAACGCCGCTATTAACATTATTCACGGCGTGTCAGCTTAATGTGGGAGGAAATCCCGAAGCGATGCAGGTCTAAGACGTTTACCACTTCGGTGAAACCCATGCACGAGCACGGGTATAGTGCTGACAAACCTAGAAACATAATCGGGGCGAACCGGGATTCGAACCCACAATCATAGGTTTCTGGCGTGCCCAAGGGACGCAACTCTGCACAGCGAATCGCGGCGCCTTAGACGACTGGGCCACCCGTGCCCCCAGTGGAGATTGTGACCAGCCGATACCCTCAGACTGTACACGTACCAAGTGTAAATCACAGAATATTGAAGACAATAACTACGCTTATTCACATATATTTAAGGAGTTGTTTATCGTGCAATAAAACACTGCAATGTGTATAAACCACGAGGGGCGCAGCCGCGACTGAGTTATATATTCTCCCTGCATGCAGTGTTTTATTGTCCGATAAACAACGACGACGAGTCGTTTATTTCTTATATGAGATGTCAACATTATGTACAGCCTCTTTAAGGATGATGATAAAATTACAAGCTTTGCAAATATTTACCCGTATTTGAATAATGATGACTATCTCAATAGAATTCGATTCCGGCAAAGTCGGACAAGTCCATTTTATGCACGGGTGGCTATTTCCCGCATATTCTCACAATCCTCACGTCGATTTCCTGTACCTTTTCGCCCATTGCCCTCTGTCATATCTCTCCAGCTTTTGAATGTGATAGTTCGGCCATCACGTTTATCTGCTTTGCCATATTATACATCTATGGGGAACAACTCACTAGACAGTCCCCTTTCAACTATAACGTCGTCCAATTGAACATAAGACGTCATCAAGTTGCGAGCGCATGTTCGAGTCTCCAGGAATGACGTCATGATGGGACACTCACTCAATAATTGTTGTTGTTTTACGCCGCATTCAGCGATATTCAATCTATAACACGACGGCCTGAAAGTAATCGAGTCTTGGCCAGACGGAACAGTGGTTGATATTATAAGCAACGGTCCATCCTATTGGCACACGTTGACAACAATCGACCAAGTCTCCTCACTTCACCACCCAATCAGGTCCGGGTTAGTATAGGTCTTCAGCAACCCATGCTTATCGCTCTCAACAATATTACAGCAATATGACGGCGATCTGGAAATACTCGAGTCTACTGACCAGACAATCCAGTGATTGACATCATGACCATCTATCTACGCAACTGGGATACGATGATATTCATCAACCAAGTCAGCGAGTCTTACCCCCCGATCCCGTTAGTCGCCTCTTACCACAAGCATAGTCGCCTTTTACGGCAAGCATGGGTTGCTGAAGACCGGATCTTCACGGGTCGAGACTGTTACTAGTATCCTAGTACCCACGTACAGCAAAGCAACGTGTCATCATTTTTGTGTGCTTTTGTTCGTATTTTTGCACGGCGCTTTAATTGTTTTCGGTTTGAAAAGTTTCATGGGAATGAGTAATATTTAAAGATGTAAACACACTTTTAAAAGAAACCGTTTCTTTGCCTCATACATGTACAATGATAAGTGTACATACGAAATAGATAAATAATTGTGAAAATATTTTTTAAAACATTCCTGTAAAAAAAACATAACTGTAAATTATCACACTAAACATGTTTGTGTTAGTCGGGCACAATGGTCCGAGGGCGACAAACTGTATGACATGAGTAATTGTTAGTTAGATGGAAACACTTTTTAAAAAGAAACCATGTCTCTGATTCACACATTATTGAATAATACTGATATGTATACATACGAAATGTATAAATCATTATGAAAATATTTTACAAACATTCCTAACTGTGGACTATTACACGTCTGTGTTAGTTGGGCTCAGTGATGAATGGGAGAGAGGCAGGAAAATTTGACCCAGCTTCTGGGTAGCGAGGTATGAGCACTTTTGTACAGCGTGAATAATTGACGTGTCAGTCTTCAGGAGTAAATACAGTAGGCTAAGCATAAGGGCGGGGGGGAGGGGGGGGGGGGGGGGGGGGGGATAACTATCAGAGAGAAGGTTTTATTCATGGTCATATTAAGACTACGCACTCACAACGTTGTAGGTTTCAATTTTCACAATGTGAGCATGTCTCTACTGATCTAGTTTATTATATAACAATATTACAACAGAGTAACTATTACTTTGAAAAGATTAATTCTGAAAAATATTCTTTTTATTAGCATTAACATCATAATTATTATTTTAGAGTAATATATATCTCTCTATATCTAACCATATACATATATCTATATATATTAACTTCTACCTGGAAGAAGTCTCTCTCTCTCTCTCTCTCTCTCTCTCTCTCTGTCACTTGTATGAGATTATAACCTTGTTTTCTTACATCTACAGTAGACGATTTCTTACTTCAGGTAACTCCGGTCAATGCCAGTTTTTTTGTGTAGGGGGCGTATCACAAACTTGCTTTTGAGAGTAAAGACATTTGACCATAATCATTGTTCACATTTATGGTTCACATATATGATGTGAATATGTGGTAATAAAATCATGTTCACATATTCGACAAAGAAGTGCGTCGAGGTGAATATGTTAGAAGACGAAAACAGATTATGAAAAGGTTGAGACTGTCCCCATCAAGCACAAAAAATAGATGATATGTGATTGGTCAATAATCGTGTCATCGAGATACGTTTTCAATATCCGCCGATGTACTCTGAATGTAAATAGCGGATATACGCGATGTTAAGCACATGTAAAATACTAACTCCGTAACAACTTCTTATTATTTAATCTTCTGCTTAAATCCCAACATTAATAATATCATAATTTTGAGATTTTTTTTATAAACAACAGTAGTATTTCTATTTATTTCATTGTATGTGTATGGTCAGCATTAAGTACTGTTCTTTATTTTCCGGAGAATAGGTTTTCAAAAGCATTTATATAAGTTGTTGTTCTGCTAGTACAACATCGATGGATAGGTCACATGACATCTGTCATCAACTATTTTGTCAGGCGCTGAGGTTTATCGGTAAGACAGTCAGTTTTCATAGTTCCATGTAACGTGACAGTTCACGTATCTTGCAGATAGTTATGCACAGTCAAACACTTATCTAAATTCAACAATTACACAGTTTTGTTCTCGGGCATCGATACGTAACTGGTAGTCTTTTCGCACCCGGGAAATTTCCCCCAAATGAGGTCAAACCGTTCAAACAGCTGATTTGCCCAGAATTCAGTGAACGATAACCCGATGTTACGATGTTTATTGGATGTCTGTATATACTTTTACTGTTAATACATCATGGTAAGCTGCACTATTGTCACACGATTAGACCGTTGCTGAATAATGACAGAATTCCTTCAGTGAAATAGACGAATGTTTTGAGGCTAGTCAAAACTCGGTGCTCGGTGGATTAGGAAGAGACAATGGGTTGGGGTCGTTTCATCGTCAGTGGCTATTATACGAATTAATGTCAATAAATCATTTGTAACTTCTGATTATATAAGTAGTGATACTTTGGTACATCGAAAATTGACTTAATGTCCCAGCTGGGTTGTTTTCCAGTCAGATACATACAGGTATACATGATTATACAATAGTGATATATGGTGTATAGCTTGATTTAGCACTTAAATTGTTCCTTTAAATATGCAATTTGGGAGCCGCAATTTGGCATTGGGAAATTTCCACAAAAACATTCTTCACATGTTATAATAAAAAAGAAAACTTTATTGCATGCAGATGATCAGAATACTGTCTACACTTTCATCCTGCAGGGGTAGATACATGAAGAACCAAAAATTGAGCATGTTGAGCTGGTCAGCAATTTATTCATGGTATAGGCTTGCTAAAATCAATCTCTTGTTCTCCTGACCTGTCTCCCACTTATATTTGGCCCTGCCCTAATTTCTATATATCTCTTTTCTTTCAAACACTCTTTGTTTACAAATGGTTTATGCATGGTATGGGCATTTAGAAGTTAGATATACATATGACAAGGAATATTATGGAGAGCATCTGTTATATTGTATCTACAGAATGTTTCAGGGCAACTTCTTGCTCCTTCTCAGGTGAAAATGGTCTTGGTCCAGTTTTGCATGGGGACTTTTTTCTCCTGAGCCTGATAAGCACATATAATACATCAATCAAAGTATAACAACCCAAACAGTAACAGTGTTACCCGATCAGCATGTGACATCATGAAATTTATTATTTCAGTAGTACTCAACTACTCATTTCCGAGATGTGGAAATTGCATCTGTAATGTTTGGTTGCGTTGTATACTGCTCCATTGGTATATGCTGTTATCCTGACCTGCTGACTACCATGAATATTACAGTCTTTAACTTTTCACTCAGCAGATGAGTCGAACCCTGTCCTGTAGCTACTTAGTTTGCATGTACTCTTGTCATGCTTACTTATGGAATTCTTGCTGCCTCATGCACTACAAGAAAACATATACTACTCAAAAGAAGTTAAGAACCATCTGATTCTTTCATATTACAATAGGGGGCACGGGTGGCCCAGTCTAAGCCGCCGCGATTCGCTGTGCAGAGTTGCGTCCCTTGGGCACGCCAGAAATCTATGATTGTGGGTTCGAATCCCGGTTCGCCCCGATTATCTTTCTAGGTTCGTCAGCACCATACCCGTGCTCAATACTGTCTGAGACCTGCATCACTTAGGGCTTTCCTCCCACATTAAGCTGACATGCCGTGATATGACTGGAATAATGTTAAAAGCGGCGTTAAAACTCAACTCACTCACTCACTCACTCACTCATATTACAATAATTAATGTGACATGCCATGACAGATTCACTGAAGTAATATGAAAGAATTCTTTTCAGTAGTAATAGTAGTATATATCATTTTTAGACACAGATGCATTGATGTGAAAATCATTTTACATTTTACAGTTGTTGTGTACACAATGTTCCCTAAAATAACATGAATGACAACCCTTAAACATTTGTTTAATATCCAATTCTTAGTTTTTTCATTACATTAGCATGATATACAATGACAAATAATAAAATTCCTACCGATTTGTATTACAGAAACCGACCATGCTTCCTTTCTTTCTTTATCAGGTTTACAGTAACAGTATGTCAGTGTACTCTTGTGGCTGCTTGAATGTTAAGATCCATACAAGGGACATCCACCCACTTGACAGTAAGTGAACTGTAGCATTACATCACTGTTCATCATGATCATGTACAGGGGGCACGGGTGGCCCAGTCGTCTAAGGCGCCGCTGTGCAGAGTTTTGTCCCTTGGGCACGCCAAGAACCTATGATTGTGGGTTCGAATCCCATTTCGCCCCGATTATGTTTCTAGGTTTGTCAGCACCATACCCGTGCTCGTGGGTTTCACCGAAGTGGTAAATGTCTGTGACCTGCATCATTTCAGGCATTCCTCCCACATTAAGCTGAAACGCCGTAATACAACTGTAATACTGTTAAAAGCGGCGTTAAACCCAACTCACTCACTCATTCATGATCATGTACAGTAAGATCATGTTCAATGTTCATGATTACATTTCTGTACTCTTTCATTGTATATGATCTCATGATGATTCTCAGCTTTTGAAAGGTAAAGAGATGCTGGCATAACCTCTGATCACCTTTCACTGAGACTTGTTGATGTTGACGACATACTTTGTCCATTGACACACTTATGTTGCATGATTTCTTTGAATTGTTTCACCAGACTATTTTTGACATGTTTTAAGCATGTTATTGTTAAGGTATGTTTTTCATAATTATTTAACTATCCACATTATGAAAGCTTAAGTAAACCATTCAAGGCTCCTCTTATTTTTCTCACTAGAATGGCTTGATTTGCAAATGTTTTATTTAGCTGTTAATCATGTTGAGTTCAGTGTTCAACATTGATACCCTTATTAAGGAAAGCGGAGCTGGATCTCCCTAATTTTTAACACTGAGCATCATGTTGCCATGATTGCTGCAAGAAGTAAGAGAACATCTATTGATCTAAACACCTGCTGAAGAATCATAACTCATACCACACAGCATGCACACAAGATGCTAAAACAGTTGCTGTGATAAGTAGGGCTGGCTAAAAAGATTGATAATCTCAATTATCTTTGATGGGAAGAAAAATTTACAATGATCGATATGAAATTGTCATTGATAATAACGTACATGAATAAATGTGATGAAATATAGTTCAGATTTAACGCAACAGACTTGCTATTGCAGAGCTCCAGATAAGCTTTTGGTGTGGGTATTTTACCCATGCATTTTAAAATCATTGGGTATCAGTAATTCTATCTGGGTACTCAAATTTATGTTACCCACTAGTTTTTACACATGTGGGTATTTAAGTTAAATATTTAAAAACACTATTCATCTAGTCCCTGCAAACTGGTATCGTGTGGGTTCGAGAGCTTTATAGGACTCGAAAATACCACGATACTTCCAGAAAAAAGTGTGATGGCAAATGATCATGATGTAACTGTCATCGTGAAGTTTGGCAAGGTTGATGGAATGCCCGTTTATCATGTTTATAATTTCAAAATAAGTTACTGATTTGCAGGGTTACTTCACAATATTTTGATGATACGCACAAGTTTTATTTATGTAGCGTATCTGTAACGTTCGTTGCGTATTTGATACGCTTGGATTTTATTTTACCGCGTATGTCTGCATTTCTGATGTGTATTTTATGCAGATACGCAGCTTATCTGGAGCTCTGCTATTGTCAATCCTGACAATTGTCGAAGATGGAAAGCAACTGTGTTTGTTATATCCCAAATGTCTACAAAGTAATATATGCATAAATGTTTCACTGCTCACCAGTGGCGTGAAATATGTTGATTTCTTTCAGGATTTTCATGTATATTTGCTTAAAGTTACTTCTCCAATATTTACTGATAATTAATCGATATGTAGTTAGTGATTATCGATCTCTATGATCCATATCAGTAGTCAGTCCTTATGATAAGTATAGAAAGCCTCTGAATTAAAAACATGAGCTACCTTGCTATTTTGAAACCATGGTTACCTAGTATCATATGTTTCAGATATTGGTGATGATGGTTCACAACCATTCCTTGGTCGGAGAGTTGCAGAGGCAATGCTGGATGACAAAGGCATTGTCATAGTAAGGATCCAGCATCAGACATGTTTGGTTTATCAGCTCTTCTTTAGAATTGACTTCAATATTTTTGGCTTTTATGGAGATATACATGTGATGCCCAATGTGCACACTGTAAGGCAAAGGGTAGTCTATTAGCATGGTTAGTGGGTGTGGCCTATTTTTACTATTTTGTTGTTTGGGGAAACACAAATGCACAAGGAATTGCTTCATTAGCCAATAAAATGCCACAGAATCACTTGCATTTGTTAATGTTATGTCAAACACTTCAAAGCAGTTATCATTGTTTATCTTCTGATCATGTAAATGTATCACAGTGTATGGTGGCCGAGAGAAGGCAAGTTTTCAATCAGATAGTGAGCAGAGTATAAAGTGATTATTGATGATCATCATGATACATTTTGATTAGAATGTGTTCCAAAGAATCTGGATACATTTTTCATTATGTGGATTTGGTGGAATCCAATTATATTTCTTTTCCAAATTGTGTAAATTGAACAATTTTGTGGGATTAAATGAAGGCTATTTCATTTTTTAGCTTTTTAGCTGGTCACTGATTCATGCATTTGCTCTCATTTGATGGTAAAATGTTCATTTCAATGCCACAATGAGGCGAGTCTAGTGTTGTTGAAAAGTTTGGAAATATTGTGTGCAGATTGGCTTTTATCAAGTTTAAAATTGACCTTTTACAGTTGGTTTCATTACAAATTTAGTGCACTTGAAAACAACTGCATTTGTGCTGCTTCTGAACATTTTTAGATGTAAATATTTAACCTAGTTTCAGTCATTGCAGTAAGTCAGTAGCCAAACATTTGCTGGATCTGATTCATATTAACTAGCTTGGCCTTTTGAGAACAGTATCACCATGAGGTAGTTGGTTATAGTACCATTCTTTATAATGCCCATAATGTTACATTTGATTATCACTATAGAATGTATAGGTGATGTGTTCCTCAATGTTAATGTAACATTTGAAAGAATACCAAACTGATGCTTTAACCATGTAAACTAATTGGCTGTCCATGTGACTTAGGAGCAGTCCTACCTGCTGCACCGACAGAGCACCAGCTCAGGATGGGTGCAGTATCAGTGCGTCAACTGCAACTGGCGCACCCATGCAGTTCGTACGTCGGACACCCGTTCCGTGCTCATCAACCTCCAGTTGGAGTCAGACCCATCAGTCCTCCTTCGCCTCACCCGGTCCCCAGACTTCTCCTTCGTCTACCACATCGTCATGCAGAATCACAACTTCCAGGACGTTCCCATGCCAGGTGATTATGAATAGTTGACTAGATATTCATGCCATTTATATATACAGTTGTTAAAACAACCCAGCTATAACGTGTATGCTGCCTTGGTTACAGGTGGGTCTGTGAATTATTTTTTTCAGCATTATGATGTAAAACAGATCAATGGTGTACAGTATGTAGGTGTTATAACACTCCTAACTATAACATTATGTTGGATGTCTCTAACATCATGATGCTGCAGATCAAAACTATAGTTGTTATAGAGCCCCTGCTATAACATGTAAGTTGCGTTGGTTACAGATGGGTCTGTGTACGAGTCTCTGGCATCAGGGGTCTCAACTGTGGAAGATCAGGCAGACAATTTTGTTGAGCAAGAACAGTCTGCCATGGAGGAACGCATCAGGTAACGATACTACCAGTATTTCTGCAGCCTAATGAAGCGTGTGCTTTGTTTGTTGTTTAACTCCACACTTAGCAACATTCCAGCTATATGACGTCAGTCTGTAAATAATCTAGTCTGGTCCAAAAAATCCAGTGATCATCATTAAGTCCTCCATGCATTTTGGACACGATGACATGCATGAACCAAGTAATCGAGAATGATCCCCCGATCCCATTGGTCGCCTCTTATGACAAGCATAGTCGCCTCTTATGACAAGCATAGTCGCCTTTTACGGCAAGCACGGGTTGCTGAGACCTATTCTACCCCGGATCTTCAAGGGTCGAGGAGCAAGCAAGATATAGTGGTACAGTTATCAGTGAGAATCTGTGTTGCCTCATATAACTTGTCACCAGCAATATTCAAACTATATGACAGAGGTCTGTAGATAATCGAATCTGGACCAGACAATGGTTGATATTATGAGCATCGATCAACCAAGTCAGTGAGCCTGCCCACCAAATCCTGTTAGTCGCCTCTAAAAGCATAGTCGCCTCTAAAAGCATAGTCGCCTTTCAGGCAAGCATGATTTGCTGAAGACCTATTCCACCCCGGATCTTCAGGGTATTATGAGTAAACAAGACTGATCGCATTATCAGATAGGTATTGCAAGTGAGATGTCATCATGTGAGGGATTGTCAAAAATACATTAACCAGTACTGATTAGTCTAATCATGCTAACTGTTGAATTTTTTACTAATCCTGCATTACTCCTTAATGCATTCACTGCTTACCTTTAGACAACAAAAAGACAGTGTATGGCGAGTGTAAGATGTTTCAAAAGTCCTACTCCTGCCTTTTTGCACTGACCACCTTCCTCTCATCACTGCCTGCCCCGCTACAGCAAGGACGTGTCTCAGCGGAGCTCTTCAAATCGGAAAATTTTATACCTTCAGTTTTGGATATAATTCTAAATTTTATCTGCGATGGGTGGTGTATTCTTTTCATATTACTTTCACTAAGTTGTGTAGTTATAAGTGGATTATTTAGGCGTAAAGAGACTTTGTCTTTTTTCCCCGCCACGTCCTCCTGCCATTTTGAATTTGTGTTACAATTTGTGATCCATGCGACGCCGGCTTGTGCGTCTTAAGATGCCTTGATGGGAGTAGCGCAGACGCAAGCCATGATTCATAATGAGTTATTCTAGGAATGAGCAGTCACAAGCCATTATCCAGTCATCACCGATGAGCATTGCACCTCATAGGCCTGCACCGAGCGCAGCATCTGCCTACCACCCAAGCGCTTCTACCATGTCTACAATTACATCAGCCCCAGGGCCAACAGCGTACCCTGTTACGCAGGCGACACATGATCAGCTTAGTGCTGTTCAAACCACTTATCCAGCGCAGCAGCTGTAATTGGATGCAACACTAATTGGATGCAAAACTTTATGCAGTACAAGTGGCAGCAGTCTTTTTCACACCTGTATCCTGCGCCTGCGCCTATGCGGCATGCCTATGTACCAGATGCCTGCGGCAGCCATGGCACAAGTGTTAGCGCCTAGACCTTGTGCGTTCTGGTTCAGCACTTACATCGCTGGGCAGCAGGTCATCAAAGCCTTCTTATAGAGGAGACGCTACACACCAGAGCAGAAGCTGATCGCCGTCTAGGGGAGGATGGCGATTCCTCTGTGGAATAAGTACCCAATTGGGTAGCAAACTGTCTCGTGTCAGTGGTGCCCTCCCCTGGTAACAAGGTGGATAAAAGGGACACCATTTGGTCACCTCCCACATCCCACATTCCACATCGATTCCGGTGGATCCAATGTTGACATTCTCTCACAGTCTATCCCAGCGAGCTGGCAGGTCAGGCAATTATGAGCCAAGACGCGCGTCTCTCAAGGAAGGCCAAGACCAGGATTCCTTTCATTGAAACGGGCGTGGCAGAGGGAAGCCTCAAGGTTCTTATCAGTCCTGTCATGGTAAATATCAAGTCGGGGTAAATACCAAGTCAGGGGAGGTGATAAGAGGGGTAAACACTGAAGTGTTGGACAGCCATGTCTGGGAACATCCTGCCCCCAGTCGTCCCAATTGTCGATTCCCCCGTAGGTGGGAGGCTGAATCTGTTTTGGAAAAACTGGACCATTCTCAAGGACAATTACGTACTCAACGTACGACGTCACGGTTACTATCTAGACGAAGAGGTAACCCCATTGTTGACCACAGCTCCTACGCCTTGGAAAAATGCAAGAAAGCAACATCTACTTTTAAAATCCAACATAGGAATCCAACAAGTTCTGTCCCCCTGCTTGGGACTTGAATGTGGTACTTTGAGGTTGGCGAGGACCCCCCCTTTGAGCCCCTCTATGCATCCTCATTTTATGACCTTACCCAGAAAACAATATTTCTCTTGGCATTAGCCAAGCGAGCTACATGCAATCGACATCACCCAGGTCCGTTTTGAGCATGGTATGCACAGAGCGGTACATCTCTGGTTGTGCTGGGATTTTATAGCAGAAAATCAATTACCAGGCCAACCCAATCGTTCCTGCACGATCCCACCCTTATCAAAGAGTAGAAGATGAGGGTGCCCAGTGCAAGCACTTTGTGTTTTCTTTCGCCGTGGCTCTAGGAAATGGTTATTTATACCAGCCCTAATACCCACAACTCCTACGTCCATGGCCGAAGTCAGTAGCAACACCATATCTCTATGGTTATGCGCAGTCATCCTTCAGGTTTATGACATCGCCAAATTTGATACCCCAAGAGCGAATAATCCCCATGAGATCAGGGCGTTAGCCTCGACCATGGCGTTACATAGTAACTGCTCTATTAAAATAATCATGGAAGGATGTTTTTGGAGGTCTGACACAGTTTTTTGCATTATCTTGCGATGTGACTCTCGAGGATGTCGAAGGTGTGCAAAGTTTTGGCCCTCTGGTAGTAGCCCAGCAGGTAACTAACCCTCGTCACAAATAATGAACTCGTCCTATACGGATCCAGTCTACTTCCCACAAAAGTCACTGAGATTCGGCCAGTGGAAGAAAGTGAGCCATGCTTTTCTACCAGGCATTGGCTTGATGACTTAGTAGGTAAAGAATTAGCTGTTTAGCTGGTATTTCTTTATAACTAAATATGTATCGGGATCTACCCTTTAATTCCTACATTTCTTCTATAAGAAGATTGAACTACCCTAACGATACGGCGTTTTTTCTGAGCTTTTTCCGCCTCACAGATTATTGAAGAACATGTGTCATTGTTTTGGGGTGTGAATTATTGAGGTTTTGGACTTTCTGAAGGTTACCGCCTCCAAACCGTCCGATACAGATCCATTAAGAAGTAATGCAGGATAAGTAAAACATTTTAGTTAAATCTAAATATTTTTAACATTTGTATACTTATCCTGCATTACTACGTTTAAGGACCCACCCGTCGCAGACTTGCCTCCCCACTTTGGCTTCAGAAACCTCAAAAGTATGTTTTTTAAGCTCTGGCGACAGGCAGTGATGTGAGGAAGGTGATGAGTCATCAAGGTCACATTGACAGCGGTTTTGCCAGTGCAAAAAGGCAGGAGTGTCCCCCGCTGTGATATAGCTGGAATATTGCGAAAAGTGATGTGAAACAGTCACTCATGCATTGAAGCCCCTGTAGCTGTTCCAAATGCTTGTTTCAGGAACTTTGAGCATGAGCAGAGGACGTTGTTTGGGCAGCTCCAGGCGAGGTGCGACAAGGAGAAAGCACAGATGTTGCGGTAAGTACAGGTAGATGATGACGACATTAGACAGTAAGGGGTTCTTGTTATAACCCTCACGTTAAAGGGTTTTATGCGTCCCTTGATTCACACATTACAGAGAAAACCTATGGCGAGTAAAAGATTAAACACTGCACTGTGTTACTTGCTGTAGATCTGATTTATTTCATCATAAATTATATACCAATTTGTTACCCTCATTACAAAACCTGTGTTCAACAGTTGGAAATGAAAAGCCATGTCGCTGATAGCACCGATGCACAGCACAGCATGCTCAATAAGAGCAAACCAAACCATAGGTACCAATTCATGAGGAGGCTAAAAATAATAATATTTTTGGTTCTCAGGCACCACCCGCATCATCAGAACATCTGCAGCACGTTTTGTTTTTATTTCCATTTAAAGAATAAAAAAATCCTCATACTTTAAAACATTGCGATCCAATTCGGCACCCAGTTACCTCCCTTTACATGTGCACTGCTCACTCTGCATCTTGTGTTATGGTTATGGCGGCAATAGGAGTTTGTATGCTTGTTTATGTAGGGAGACCCTTTCCCAGGTTGTTGGTACACTGTTTATTTGGTTACATGCTAGTTTGAACAAGCCAAAAAAAAAAAAACCACCGCCCACCCTCACTATATTTTCAAATGTCATTGCCTGAGAACCAATTCTTTAATTTATTAAGCATGAGACAGCCAGACCTGGTCTGAATGTATGTCTTGCTTGTATGTATGAATGTTTATGTGTTCATGGAAAAATGGACAGTATATGTTAATTATCGTGTACAAGGGAATTCATTGAATTGTCTGATGTATAGTTTTCGCAAGAATGTTTGGCATGAATACTTCACAATTATGCAACCCCACATTGTAAAGCAGCATCTCTGATTTTATCGTGATTAGTGAATTTGCATTTAGAGAATAGGTCAAAGGTTACATGTCAAGTCGAAAACTAAATTTTTTGAAATAAACACTCAGCATGCTCAAATCATATTCCCATTGCAAAAATGTATGTTGAAGCCAAAGTACATCTCACATTGCCTATAATAGTCACAGGGGTGGCCCAGTCATCTAAGGCCACACAATTTGATGTGGAGAGTTGCGCCCCTAACGCACGCCTGAAACCTATGAATGTGGGTTCAAATTGATTTTCTAGCACCATACCCATCCTCATGCGTTTTACCAAAGCGGGAAAATGTCTAAGACCTGCATCACTTGGAGCTTTTCTCCCTCATTGAACTGGAATCCTGTTCAAAGCGCCGTTAAACCCAAATCACTCACTATCATAATCATGATAATAGCGCTGTTTATTTTTGGAGTTAAAGTATGACGATTAGTGCTGTTATTTTTGCACTTGAAGTGTTAAAAACTCGGACAAGATTGAAAACTGTCAGTGCCCCCCACTTTTAAACTATTGCAATTTTATTTTCTGTCACACATTGAACTTTTAAAACTGCTCCCATACTAAAAATAACATCCAAACATGCTTGAATATGCAAAACAATTGCCTTAAGGACAGGATAAATTAGCCTCACCTTTTGAGTATGTGTTTAGTGTAAAATGTTTGTTAATTGGTTGTTTCAAATTTCAGCCTTTTGATGAAGGCTGTCAACGATGTGCCGCAGTCAGACAGGGGAGACAACTCTGGAAAGACTTCAGGTATGATTATGACTAAATACATGTAAAGTAAACTACGATTATCACAAACATGCTTATAACGAACTGACGGATATAACTAACTGTTTCTTGGTCCCGTCCATTTGCTGTATATATGTTGTACATATGCTTGTAACAAACTATGGTTATAACGAATGAGAAGTAGTGGTCCCTTTGAGTTTGTTATAACCGTAGTTTACTGTATATAGAAGTTCTTTTTTAAGTGTGTTTTATGAGATAATTTATTTCCTTGCTGGAAATGTCCTAATCATTGACAAATTATGGCATTAGTTTATTTCAGAGATGTGTAAATGATTATTTCATAATTAGAACATCTACTTACTTTGTCTGTCATGTAGACGTTAATCTCTATTTGTTTCAGAAACATCTAGATCCCCCAGATCCACAACCAATCCTGCCAAAGTGAGTGAATAACATTGTCGAACAACTTAGCAATGATTACATACAGATACTTAGGAGAGAAACATCATGTGTTTGCAGGTCCATCCCCGGTTATCCAGGATATATTATCTCCATTCTGTTTTAACACACACCCAGGATCTATTTACCCCCAAAGCTTTGTTGCAGAGGTGACTTCTCATATTTCTTATCATCAACTTTGCACAGAATTCCTCTTGCTCATAAGGCTTTAAAAAAATTAAAAAATGACTTTTGAAACTAAAGTGCGTCCAGGCAGTATTTTTTGTGTGTTTAAACTAGTATGTAACCTAATAAACAGTTGTGTACCTTTAACCTAGGCAAGGGTTAAACGTAAACAAGCATACAACTTCCTATTGCTACCATGACCATAACACGAGATGTGCAGTAAAGCAGGGCACATCTAAAGGGAAGTAACTGTTTGCTATATTCGATCGCACTGTTTTTAAGTATTAGGATTTTTATATTTTTTTAATAAAGGAAATAAAAATGAAACATGCGGCAGACTTTCTGATGATGCTGGCAGTGCCTGAGAACCAAGACTATTATTTTTTTAAGCCTAATCTACACCGTAAAAGGCGACCATGCCTATTGTAGGAAGCGACTGACGGGATAAGGTGGTCAGGCTCGCTGACTTGGTTGATGCATGTCATGGTATCCCAATTGCGTAGATCTGTGCTCATGATGTCAATCACTGTATTGTCTGGTCCAGTCCAGATTCAATTATTTACAGACTGCCGTCATAGAGCTGGAATATTGCCGAGTGGGGCATTAAACAACAAACAAACATCTAGAAATCATTAATAAATCAAAACGCCTCTCCTGAATGTGATCCACATTGAAAATCATGTTAAACATGTTCAAGTCCTCAATGTGTAATCAAATCAGAAGGCAAAGGTCTCTTCTTGAGTGTTAAGACAGGGAGGAAAGCCCTCGTTCCTAGTTGTGTTTGAGATGGATCACAACAAAGGACCTGAATACTGGTGATATTTTTACTTATTTCGATCATGACAGAACAGGGTAATTTGATTGAACTGCTTTTTTTGGAGTCATTCGAAAGGAATCAAAACGAACCTATGGTGGTGAATGGGTCCAGATTATTCATCATAATAACATGAAGGTATGATACAATAGGCAGAGGCAAAATGACTAATTTGTTTTGGTCAAGGTAAATTTCATACTACCTGTATTAATCTCCTCAATTGAAATATGTTTTAACAAGAAAATCCAAACAAAACAAACTTTACAGTCTGTGCCAATACACATTTGGTGCCTCACTCTGAGAGTGTTGGTTCAAATCCCAGCTCTTGACTGGTGGCCGCAAAGAATATTTTAGCATGTGTAAGAAAATCCTATTATCCGTCACAATAGCATTTGTATTGTTTTTCATTTTGTTGTACTTTTGCAAAATATTCCATAAACATAAAACAAAGAATTAAATTGGTCTAGCCTGATCATGTTTAAGCATTGAAGTGGCATGCTACATTGCACTGCTCTGCAGGATAAAGCAACTGTACTGAAACAACTAGCAATGCTGTAGTCATGGTAGTGACATGGTTCTTCTCTTCCAGTCTTCAGTCGGAGGGCGCAGTAGTGCCAAGACACGATGTTATAGCGAATATGATCAGAACCCTGACTCAGAAGGTAGGAGGATGTTGTCATAGTTACTTGTACATTATCAGATATTATGCATTTTTAATTCTTAGACTATATCAAGTTGTCCTCACAGTAACAGTCAGATGATTTCTTCTTTCAAATTTGTGGGGTCTGGGGGGATTTGTCATCTTCTGAAGACTCTTGTTTCTTTGATTCCATCTAAAATGGAACCCCATGTTTTACAATCCGAGTCCCGGTCTCAAAAACTTTATTTATAAACAACAATATACAATCCATTTTAGACCATAAATCTCACATATAACCTGTTAGGCTAATGTCTCCTTAATTCACATGCATCAACAGTTATTAAAGACTGCATTTAGACATGAAGAGAAACATGAAATGCCAATCAGTTCAGGGCACATTTGCTCCTTGTGTGGTGTGTGTACTGGTATCTCCTTGTCTCCCCAGCTCTGTTCTACCTGGATGAGTTGGAGCCGGAGCTCGAGGAGCCTTTCTATGAGTCAGATGATGATGTGCCTGGTAAGTGGGGTGTGTTTCTCCCATTTTTTACCTTTAAGTTCATGATGTTTCAATAATGTTGAAAAAAATGCATTCATATCATCTTATCGTGAAATATCCCGTGAAGATCCAGGGTAGAATAGGTCTTAGCAACCCATTCTTGCCGTAAAAGGCGACTATGCTTGTCGTAAGAGGCGACTAACCATGCTCACTCACTCACTCACTCACTCGGGTAGCCTAGTGGTTAAAGCGTTGGTTCGTCACGCCACTCACTCACTCACTCACTCACTCACTCACTCACTCTCACACACACACACACACACACACACACACACCACACACACACACACACACACACACACACACACACACACACACACACACACACACACACACACACACACACACACACACACACACACACATATATATACATGTAGAGGCTAAAATCCACTTCAGATAACTTTGACTGCCCCAGCTCACCTGCCCCAGTATGCCTGTCTAATTTTCTTGATAAATATCCACCTCCTTGAACACATAAAAGTAGGCCTTGTTATTGTTATTATTATTTGCCACCAGGAAAACTCTCCGAGAGCAGCTCGTCACACAATCGGACTCTATCTGGCAGCGGAAAAACTGATCTCTACTCCACATCAGTACCAATCTCTGTCCCCATGTGGCGAGGTCGAAGGTCATCCAGCACGGAGGAGGAGGAGGAGGAAGAGGTGAGGATGATGGGAATAAAGTTATGTTACCATGTTTACTTGTTGGTCGAGAGAAGTCTGAAAGAACATGGTATAACTAAATTTGATGATTTGTGGTGATCAAGAATTGTATTCTAAGTTTAGATAATTTTGTGTCTGATAATCATGATTAACCACTGCTATGATTGGGCAAACTTGATAATTGACAAGCCAGTTTGAAGCATCAATTATCCCCTCGCTCACCTTGTTACCATGGTAACCATCTTTGCTCAGGTGACCCCAGCTGACCCAGACCAGATGGCAGCAAACATGCAAGCACTGGCTCAGAGCATCACCGACACTGGGCGCTACATCTTTGGTGAACGTCCACGTCCTCGTCTGAACACCGGTGATGCCATGACCCGCTACGCTGAGCGACCACGACAGAGGCTCAACACAACTGACTCGGTCTCTCGTAGGAAGTGAATCTGGAATGACTGTGCATTGTTTGCTACTTAAGGATTGATGTTGACAATAACAGTGTTGTGTAATCGTAAAGGTGTTACACTAACGGGTTGCGTCAGTCTAGGAACAAGTTACAGTATGCTTCTCTTTCATAGATCTCTGAGACTCTTCAAAAACAAGTAGGGATGCAGTCTCTGTGGACTCATTCCATCCGATCTCTTGGCATACAGAGATTGCGTTGTCCTCGCTAGGCTTTCACAAAATATAAGACTCAGTATTTGGTTGTGAGTTATCTCCCTTTTCAGTGTCAACTAAGTATAAGATTATTTCATGAACATATATCATTTATGACATTTTTTAAGATATTGATACAAGCCTTTAGGATGGATAACATAAGTTATCATTTGAGAGGGTGTCCAAATATGATGGTAGTACATTTTGTAGGGTTATGTTTTTGAGTTGACTCATGGGTCCGTGTCATCATTTATTATGGGAGTGTGTTTTCTGTAAAGACAAATCTTGATCTGTTAGCTTTTGGAATGCAGAACATCATTTGTCATAGCTTCAGTCATGATTTGGTACATAACTTGGATATGGAGAAAAACAGTCACCATAGAAACGGTGAATTGGTGAATACGCCACAGGGATGAAGATGATGGCCACTAGACAGTTCACGTTCATTAAATTGGTTCATAAACTAGGAGCTTCCATCCATGATATATGTTACAGGATATGAGTGTTCTGTATATATGAAACGGTTGGTGCACACTGGTTGGTTGAAACAGGGCATGGGAGCTTGTTACCATAGTTGCTGTTTGTGTAACTGTATGCCCAATGAAAGGCCATGTTGAGGACGATGCTGGCAGTGAGCAAACCGGTCCTTGGATTTAGCTCTCAAATTATTCCATCTGAAGAAAAGCCTGAGATAAGGGAAGAAGACCTTTTGTTTTGTCTTCGTCAAACATTCATTTATAAAATTTAGTTACAGGTGTCTTGATATTTATAATGTTTAAATTGAATTTGCTATGGCCGTTTTTACCGACTCCAAGTGTCCGTTTCCACCAAATGCAAGTGGCTTTTTTCAACTGAAGCTGTTTGGATACAGATTTTGGGCTGACACAAATGTCCAACAACTAATCATGATCACACATCAAGATAGATGAGCAGTGTCTCTATGAAAATAGTCACTTCCTGTATGATGCAGATTGCTGTATAGTATTGAACCTAGTGATGTAATGAAGCATTATTGGAGTCAGTGTGAAATCACTATTATCGGTGATTGTCATACTGATTTTAGAACTCATCAAGTGCCAATGTTTGATTGTTCCTGCTGTTTATATACTACTCAAAATTTGCTAAGGAACAAAAGTCATCTGTAGTCAAAGGTGTGATCCTTAGCAAATGTTGAGTAGTATCCATGTACATAGATGTGAGGAATGTGCTATTTGTTATCACTCTTTTAATCATCAGACACCAATGAGTATGGGAGTCACCAACACATTATGTTTGTATATAACTGTTGTGACTTTATCCAGGGTTTAAAATGAGGTCCTGTTTTGTCTTAGACCCATCTGAAAGGGCAAACAAAGTTCTAAATTGTTTGATAATGTGTGATGTGTCCTGCATTTAGTCCATCTTGTCCTGCAGCTATTTGAGAATAGTCATTCCGTGACAAACGTACATGTCTGCTAGACCAGAGGTATACAGAATCCAGTTCCCATCAGCCATTTCAGGGACTGTTGATAGTAAATATATGGGAGCTGCAGTCATCCTAGCACTACGACTGTCAAAAGTAATTATAATTAATATTTGAGAGGGATACTGGGCTATTTCATGCTGTTATTGAACTACATCTTAAATGTCAAATTTGTATTTTCCAAGTTTGTGTAACGATGTGTTCCTGAAGAGATACGATGTAATTTTTTTTCTGCGAAGACAAACACGCTTTTGTTGCAAATGTAGGGATGGTGTTTGCATGGTGCTGAGCTTATTCTGATTCACTTTATAGACGGTGTATATAAATTAGCATCAATTTTTTAGGCTTGTACAGGGGGGTCCCTTTATACATGGGGTTGCTTTATCGACAGCGATATATGGTACTTACATTTATCATCGTTATTGACTTCAAATATAGCTGTATGGCAATATAGGATACTAATTGTATGACACCATCTCCAAGCAGCCAATCACTCACATTCAGGTCCCATGCACAGAATATCCCTATCAAATGTTTTGTAGTATAAACAGGAGTTGCAGTCATCTTAGCGCAGATTGCTTTTGTGGAATGGGGCCCAGGATAATGATAATGGATATTTTGACGTGGTGGTTTGACTTGCGCGCACCTATAAAATTTCAGTCTAATTGTTTGCTTGCTTTGTCAATATGAAGGTGTGAATGCTTGTTTAATACTTATGCTTTGTAGCTGTCAAGTTTCTATGGATCTGTGATGTTGCTGTGGAGTTTATCCTATTTACAGCTTGAAAAGTTTTCTATTTCTAAAACCGTGAATATCAGTGTATTGCGAATTTGTAACTTGTGTTTTGTTAAGGTGATGACAAGTTTTGCCAAAAGGCAAATAATACACAAAGACACGCACAAATGACAATGACTGTCAATTGCCTAAAATTTGTAATTAATACCTTAAACATGCACGATTTCCAAATTGCCCTGGATAAACTTGAATAAGCCATGTTGATATTTTGTATTAATGCTGCAAAACATGTATAATATCGTATAAATACTTGGTTGTTGTTTTACCTTGGTTGCCAGTGATGCACCATCATTTTGAATGGCTTTTGTCATTTTGTGTGAATTTATATGGTGACCTTCACATTGATTTTATTACTTATAATGATGTACGGTCCTTAATGACTTAACTAAAATTGACTTTTTTGCCTTCATGTACAGTGCTATGGCCTATGGCTGATATTTTCACAAAAGTCGCCAAAGGTATCACATGTGGACAATAGTCATTGCATCAATGATTTGTTACCATGGTTATTACATCGTGTACATCACATCAGCTGCTTGTGCACCAAGGCTATGAAACTATTTACAGAGGGTAGGGGTGAGCGAGTATGGTTTAACGCCGCTTTTAGCAATATTCCAGCAATATCACGGCGGGGGACACCAGAAATGGGCTTCACACCTTGTACCCATGTGGGGAATCAGTGTGAAGGGCGAACGCTTTAACCACTAGGCTGCTCCACCGCCCCATAGAGTGTATGGAGTAGTTTGAGCCCAACCATGATAACAGTTATTGTTACTGGGGTATGATCTACAATCTCTTTCTGACTTATCCGAATCCATTTGAACTTGGTTGTAGTGCTAAAAACCCTAGCCTCCAGCAATACCTTAATGACCTACGATAAGGTGAGGATTTGTGAAAAATATTTTTCCATGAAGTACTGTGTAATCAATGGTGCTTGTTACATCTGTTCCAGTGGGCAAGGTGCTTCGATGGTGTAATGGTCTCATATTATGTTTTGATTGAATGTTTATGAATTGTTTTTGGTTTTCAGTGCTATGTGAAAATAATCTATTTGTTAGCATGTGTAATTAGAACATACCTTAATATTAACATGACATAACAGAAGAGACAATTTGTAGACATAGGTAGCTTGAGAAACTATTTTCAGAGATTATGATAAATGTCTTAAATCAAACCTGCTGTATGGGGCATTTCATATTTGTTTCTGGTCAGTGGTTTGTGCAGGAGTGAGTGAGTGAGTACGGTTTTACGTTGCTTTCTGCAATATTCCAGCAATATCACAGCTGGGAACACCAGAAGTGGGCTTCACTCATTGTACCAATGTCGGGAATCGAAACCCGGGTCTTTGGCGTGGCGAACGAACAATTTAACCTTCAGGCTACCCGACTGCCCGGGTTTGTGCAGGAGAATTATCAGCAACTGTATGGGGAGTCCTTGTTCATGTTCACAGAGGAACAACTTGGAGATGTCTTGTGATGTAGATAATACCTGAAGAAGGAGGCATATATCAAATACACCAGTGAATACAAGTCATTTGACCTGAGATGTATATTTATTATTTTATGGGCAAAGATGTCAAAATACTTTTGTGTGGAGTTATTAAATTAGTGTTGGCTGACAGTGTTTTCTAAACTGTTCAGTTAGTGTCTCATGTAAGGCTAAAAAGAAATAGTCTTGGTTCTCAGGCATGGCCTGCATCATCATAAAGTCTGCCGCACATTTCGTTTTTATGTGCATTTTCAAAAAAAAATCTTTTAAATATTTTGCATCTCGAACACACGACCCAAGCAGTTAAATGCTACAATACCTTAGAACATGATTTCCCTGAAATTATTGTGAACAAAATTTGGTTACAGACTAGCTTAACAAAATAAAAAACAATAGACTGCCCCCCACTCTCACAATAATCCCAAAAGCCATTGCCCGAGAACCAGTTCTATTATGTTTTCAAGCCTAAGCACAGTCAGTATTGGTATCCTAGTGTATGTGGGCATCAGTTTCATTATTTGTTACAGAATCTAGCTGTCTGATTGGTCAGTTACCACTTTGTGAACACCCATGAATATCGGCTTGCTGGCCTATACGGGTATCAGGTGTTTGGTAGGATGTCATTCGCTTGTCATGTCACAATTTACCCTGTTCTCACTTTGACTCGATAGTGGTGAAGATAGATTTAATTGTCACACAGAAGAGAGAGGAAACCTGTCCCTAAATTCTTTGTAAGAATTCATATGACAACCAGCCTGAATTGTTTTGACTAAAAGGCTGTAGACAAATCCAGTTTTAAAAAACAATCTTCCCCAAGTTAATAATTTGTCAATTTTAGTGAGCCCCAAAAGACCCTTCCTTACCTACCTCCTCACCCTTAGAAGAATAAGGTTTGCTCACCCTTTGAAGAATTAGGTTCGCTCATCCTTTGCAGAGTGAGGAATCGCTCGCCCTTGAAGAAAAAGGATCGCTCACCTTTGAAAAATAAGGATCACTCACCCTTGAAGAGTGAGGATTGCTCCCCCTTGAAGAGTAAGGATCGCACAACCTTGAAGAGTAAGGATCACTCACCCTCCAAGAGTGAGGATCACTCACCCTCCAAGAGTAAGGATCGCACAACCTTGAAGAGTAAGGATCGCTCACCCTTTGAGTATAAAGATCGCTCATCCTTTGCAGAGTGAGGAATTGCTCACCCTTGAAGAGTGAAGAATTGCTCACCCTTGAAGAGTAAGGATCGCACAACCTTGAAGAGTGAGGATCATGGTGGATCGAATGTTCTTATTTATAAGGGGAACCATGGTGTTTGATTTAAGATGACCAATCGCTGACTTGCTCCTCCATGTCGGAATAATGCTTCACCTGTTGCCTAAAGCTTGTGTCTGAAATATTTCATCACAATTCATCTCCACATGTAGTCTTGACAACAACACAGGGGCGGTCGGGTAGCCTAGTGGTTAAAGCGTTCGCTCGTCACGCCGAAGACCCGGGTTCGAATCCCGTCATGGGTACAATGTGTGAAGCCCATTTGTGGTGTCCCCCGCCGTGATATTGCTGGAATATTGCTAAAAGCGGCGTAAAACCATACTCACTCACTCACTTGACAACCACAGTAAGTGGCTTGTGTCACTTGGCTAATGTGTGCTGTGTGCAGTTGTGAAAATATTTACTATTTGATGGTTCTATTTGGTTGAAAATGCTTTCAGATTTTAATTAGATTCCTTATCATCCTGTTTTGTACATTTCAACACAGACTTGTGGCAATTGCATTATTATCATTGCCAAAATATATTTTGTTTGATTTTTGGGTGGGTTGATGGATGAGTGGATGGACTGATGGATGTTTTCCCACTGCCGTATTGCAACCAACATTGGTTGCTCGAGGTATAGGGATGGGAAGTCTGTTGCCAGAAGGTATAGGGATGGGAAGTCTGTTGCCAGAAGGTATAGGGATGAGAAGTCTGTTGCCAGAAGGTATAGGGATGGGAAGTCTGTTGCTAGAAGGTATAGGGATGGGAAGTCTGTTGCCAGAAGGTATAGGGATGGGAAGTCTGTTGCCAGAAGGTATAGGGATGGGAAGTCTGTTGCCAGAAGGAATAGGAATAGGGATGGGAAGTCTGTTGCCAGAAGGTATAGGGATGGGAAGTCTGTTGCCAGAAGGTATAGGGATGGGAAGTCTGTTGCTAGAAGGTATAGGGATGGGAAGTCTGTTGCCAGAAGGTATAGGGATGGGAAGTCTGTTGCCAGAAGGTATAGGGATGGGAAGTCTGTTGCCAGAAGGAATAGGAATAGGGATGGGAAGTCTGTTGCCAGAAGGTATAGGGATGGGAAGTCTGTTGCCAGAAGGTATAGGGATGGGAAGTCTGTTGCCAGAAGGTATAGGGATGGGAAGTCTGTTGCTAGAAGGTATAGGGATGGGAAGTTTGTTGCCAGAAGGTATAGGGATGGGAAGTCTGTTGCCAGTGTACATTGTTTTTATTATTACTGATTACTGCAATGATCATCATCATTATTATTCTCGTGTTTTGTGTCAGTGCATGAACAAATACTGTTGATGATTAATGACAATGGTCTAGGGCATTATGAGATATCATAATATTATACTTATAACACTCCAACCCTATAGTTACTTTCTGGACAAGATTATGGCTTTTCCTACAATGTAACCATGGCAACCATTGAGCTAGTGCTGACAAATATGAAATCAGTAATAAATAATTTGGCTTGGTTGAATCTGTTCAAATAATGATATCAATCAAGAATAAGTTATCATAGATACCGCTTGTAACCATAGTAACTGAGTACATGCTAACTGTGGAACAAGAATGGTACACTTTAGAATTTATTTCTCTCTCTGAAAGCTGCAATCTCATCCCTGATGTAATTATTTTGGATCTTGACATTATAAATGATAATATACAAGAAGTGCCTGCAGAAAGATATGTTTCATTAAGTTTATTGTGACAAGTTTTATTATTAAACTAGAATATTTTTTTAATTTGAAGTTTACACAATATATGGCTTTTCCATTGGACGAGAGGCCAGTCACATGGCACGAAATTGAAGTTCATAAGTGTGTGAATGACATAATTTGATGTTTATACGTTTTTATTAGGATTTCTTGAAATGATTACACATTCGTGGGGAAGCATTCTGTCTGATCATTTAGACCCTTTAATCTTAACCCCTTAATATAAAAGCTTACCTTGTTCAAATAGTTAACAAGCCTTTGCCGGAGTTATCTTGGATGTATTGATGTAGTATTTCCAGTGCTAAGTGAAACATGGAGATTTAGGTGTAGACCAGATTGTCCAGAGAGTTCCTATTTTAAGTGTGGCATTTATTGTACTCTTTAATATACTGTTCTGTATATATTTGTGTGACTTATAGTAAACCGAAATTGTTGTGCCATAGACACATGCTTCCATCCAAAGTCTGACAATACTGCACCACATATTGTCCAAATTGTTTGTTATCTAGTGAGAATTCTAGCATTGTCCCTGTTGAGACCACCCTTCCAAGATAAGGCTATTACAAAGGTAAAGGGCTTCCATGCTGGACACGCCTGTACAGACCCATCTTCCTCTCTGCAGAATGGGTTAACTTTATTAGGCAGTGGACCATTGTGATTGAGGTTCACTTGAACAGCAGTGATAAACATAATACAGTGATCCCTCGATATACCACTGTCATCGGGGTCCAAGAGTCCGACTCGCGTTCTAGGAAAGAGCGTTGTACAGATATTCATTGCTGAGGTTCACATTACGTAATGATGGTAGTGAATGGAACAGTGGCACAATTATTTCACAGTGGCATGGGACATGTAGATCTATGTAACACTGATCGTGGACGATGATTCAAAATGCATGCGTAAAAAAATAAAAATACTTTGTGTAAATTAAGCCAAGGTTCACCCCACGGTGCATCGGGAGTAGCGGTTCATCGAGAAGCGTTAAGTCGAGGGATCACTGTATCAAACTGGCTTTGTATGCCTTAGACAGTATCTAGTTGATTGGGCATTGGGACGCCAGTATTGCCAATATTGATGTTTTTTTCTTATTCTAATTATATTCACAACACTTTTCATTCATATTTTGAAAACCAAAATATTATTTAACTTTACCTTTCTATTTTCAGTTAAGGCTGTTGCTTTCACATTTCATCTGTACCAGTGAAAGTCTGAAAGTTAATATCACCTTTTATGATTGTATTTTCCTGAATTTGAGCAGGTGTGTTTTTGCAATGTTGTTTACGGAGTAAATGTTGATTGGCTGATGTGCACAGTTTTATGAGAAGGGCTAGCACTAATGGCCGTGTTAGTCTTTATTATATACTGCTAAAATGAAGTTAGGACCATCCAATTCTTTCCTATAACTACAGTTAACTGTAGTAATATGAAAGAATTGAGTTGTCCTTATCTTTTTTTGGTTGTATATAAGATAACCATATTGTGCTATGTATCCAATCTCATTAAAAGCAGACCTGTTAATCCGATTTGATACCTCTCCAAGATGGAAGTATTAAATCAGAATAAAAGGCCTGATTTTAATGAGATTGCTATGTATTGTGATAAAGCTGCACCACATAAATACACGCTATCAAATTGCTGTATTTCAACTGTTACATTTTCCCACCATTTTCCTACACAGTCCAAAACCTCTTGTTGATTTCTATGATAATCTCAGTTATTTAGTAACATTCCTCAAGAATACAATGATAAATAATTAAAAAGATTCACACTGACTTGCCTCCAGTGATTGTTTACAAAGACCAGTTGACAATGCAGTCAGTTCATTAAAGGCTGCAGTTGAATATTTTGGATGTATTATGTTTAATTCCATATTTCTGAAAGACCATGTTATACAACTAGTTGACCTATTAGATCAATATGAATATTATGAAATGTAATTTAGAATACATTTAAACAAATTAAGAATTGCATGTAAGTAACATAAGGTTTTCATTTTATCAATTACCTTTACTTACGGATCTGCCAACCGAAATTTCACAATTATGGATTTACATTTAAAAGATTTATCCAGTAAACCAATTAAATATAGATAAAGAGACCTTTGACCTTACAAATGATTGAATAATAATGTGAGTATTCTTTCAAGATTAAATGTAGCTGCAGTATGTTTGATTATCCTGCTTATTATGGAATTTGTATTAAGGGATATTTTAGTGTCATCAGCAAGGGAAGTGATTATCGTCCTCTAGTCGTTGCTGCTCAGAGAAAAGGATGTAACATATCACAGCATCTAGCATGATGGTTTCCTAACAACTGTTTCTACAGAACTTGTTGTGAGAGACTCCAGTTGTGAACTGGATAAGACCATGTTTTCTATTTGTTACACCAGACTGCCATTACTTGTCAGACAGGCTTCCATGTTTAGGAAATGCTGTTCTTTTTCCACTTTGTATCACAATAGGATGTTGGACAACACTGAATAAACATATGACTTTTATTGATTGGTCTATTATTTCGGGGGGCTTCTTGTATATTCAATGCAAAGGTAGCTGTGATCATAATAGTAAAAAAATTGGATCAAATTTCTAACTGTACACAACCACTAAACTTGTCAAGACAGACCAGGGATGGTGGCTTGAAGCGCTTTTAAGAAATCTGTATGAGTAGAGGAAATATATTCCTCTTACCCTTCTTTCACACTGCTGTGGAATGAAAATAATTTGTGAAAAACTGAAAATTAACTAGCAATCTTTAGCAAGCATAAATGTTCCATCTTCAGGCCAATTAAGCACCCACACTCTATAAATATTCAAAGCGTTTATAAAATATAGGAAATAAGCACATGATCACAGTTACAAACTTTCGTTTGCCTTTATGTGCTACACATGAAAAACACGAATGTATAGCTGTGTGGATCCTGGGACCATGGCAGGAATCCCATCATGCAAAGGTCTTAAGGAATTTGTAGCTGTGCACAAATAAACGTTTCTTACCCATGTTGCCAACAACATGGGTCAATATAAAATACATGTATTTGTATACAGCTACGAATTCCTGTACATAATTTCACAGAGTAATAGCACATCAATCTCATTAAAATCAGATCTTAGTTCTCGCTACTGCTAAACGTAACACAAAGGCAGTCGGGCACTACTTGCGCAGTTGCATTGTAGAAAGGGGCATGACAACTCGTTTACATCTCATAGGCAAGCTAGAATCTTCTCATCGTGGGGGTGGCCATCATACCAAAGACGTTAAAAGATGGTATTTTTTGTTACCCTGCCTGGCGCTCGGCATTAAGGGGCTAAAAGGACTGGTCGGCTCGGAGTCAGTGTAGTGAGTCATGAGTGGGACATTCATGACCTATAGCATGGTATCATCTCTGGTTACTATTTCCGATTCTCTATTATTATTATCATTATTATGATTGATTGTGTATCGGCATAATAACCGTGCTCGTGGGTTTTACCAACGTGGTAAACGTCTTCTAAAATCTTCCCACATAATGTTAACATGCCCTGTGATAACTTTAATACTTATCAAAGTGGCGTTAACCAAACTCACTCATAGTAAAGGGGAGTCATTATCCTTGGGGTGAAAATTCATTGTTTTTTCTGATTTAAGCTGAATATGTAGGGTGATGTCTGTGAATGTGACAGAGCCGACGTTGCTTTAGTCATATATACGAAATAAACAAGCAACAAACTGATTTCACAAGTAGTTTAGTTGTGCCTTTATCTCCCGTGTATGAAAGTGAAATGGAAGGATTGGACCCTTGTCCAGTTTCTAGCAATGAGCAAAGGGGCGCCACTCATGTCCGACCAATCAATTGGTGGGTCCCGAGAAGTCTTGCGCAGCCTGTCCTTCCGCAGCAGTAAGTCAGCACTGCCGGCCAACACAAACCGTGCATCACGTGTCACTCACCAGCAAACAGATACTTGTTATAATATAAACCCTCTCGAACCAGCAAATAACATCATCGGTTAGCCAGCAATACTCTGGATCAAAACAAACTCAACATTTTTGTTATCACCGACGGAACCCATGACAACGGCCTTCCAGCCAAGAACCTGCCTCGACCCCCTTGCATAGTCGTTTGCTTATACTGTGTCGACAGCAAAGTCCTTTCCTTCAGTGGTCGTCTTTTTCCTTCACGTAATGTCACAACAAATACCCCTTCTGAAAGAGCAGGTATCCTCTGATATTTCACCATCATGCAAACGGCATACATTCCTAAATGTAATCGTCAGTTAGCCTATATATCGGACTGTTAGTTCACAGACTGCCACTTACGTTCCCGAAATACATTTATGAAAAAGCAGGAAAATGAAGACTTGGTCCTTTCTGACTGAAAAATAACGACTTTATCTTTGTCATTGGTACTCTCTTTACTTTAGAGAGTATTTGTCACTGGACAACTAACAGGCACGACGTGGTGGTGAACTGCCACATATCCCAGTGTTTGGCTCCCATGTTGTATGCAGCTAATTGCTGCCTGTTTGGCCTTCGAAGTGAGCTGAACTTGACCATACAAGATTAACTCAGATTGTCATTTGGAGACTGATTCGGAACATGCCACATCGTTTAAACGAATGTTTGACCAATCGTGGTCGCATGACCCATTACTAATCAAGTCACCTCAAACATTCCTTTTTTTCACTACACACCTATGTCATCTGCCTTGTTTTTTTGCACCCTTCCAGTACAACGCCAACATGTTCTGTTGGTTGTCATGTTGACTTAGTTGATGCATGTCATCGTATCCCAATTGCGTGGATCGTTGCTCATGATGTTAATCACTGGATTGTCTGGTCCAGACTCGATTATTTACAGACCGCCGTCATATAGCTGAAATACTGCTGAGTGCGGCGTTAAACAACAAACGAACGAATGAACGAATGTCATGTTACATCTAGTCATTCCTCTTTATCCATTCATTACCATCACATAATTTTTGTACTCATCTGTTATTATCGAACATCACAAAATTCTGTTTGAGAGTATATAACATTTACCTTGTCTCTTACTCATGTATTATTCGTGAAAATGTTATGCAACCCTCGTTCAATGTATACATCGTTCAATCGCTTAAAATGTAAATGATGTAATTCGTTCAGTACGTTTTTATGGATAAATTATACATTTTTCTATCCCCAAAGAACGAAGTTTTCTTACCTAACATATCTTAGTTTGAATGAAGATTGTTTTTATTTAAAAAATATGTTACTATGAGCAATATTATTCTCATTTTCTGTCGTAAAGATGAAGGTGTCGAATTTCAATGTATTTAAGGTCAAGTTACCAGTAAACTTGAGCTACATATTGCTCAAGTTTACTGGTAACATGACCTTTAAATTACACAGAAGTGATACATATCGTTACACTATACTGTGAGGTAGACATTTTAAGTCATGTGTAAGAAATAGTTAAAAGTAATTATGCCAATTTTACCTGCATGTATGTCATGCAAATTGCTGCCATTTTTTATGTAATCCGTTCAACATGAAGGGTGAAATTCAAATCTGTCGTCAGCGATTCAATACTGTGATAATGCACATCACAATCCACAGTGTCCGATTTCATTGTATCGAGTAAATCGTTGAAACATCAATACTAGGTTCTAAGTTCATGTACATCTCGAGTTTTACAGAATTCTCACCTGCTTTTCGGAATTAATTTCACATGCCCCTGTTCAGTTGTCAAATAAGCATCCGTCTGCTTCCATTCATGGAGTCTGGAATTAACGCGCATACAAAACTCGTGCAACGGAAGTGAGCCCCGATTGGTTTAACTCATCACCACGTGACAATGCAGGCGAACACCTGCGGGAAATACACACCGCTTCAACCTTCATCTATTTGTGAATGAAGTCCCGAGTGTGCAGAGTGACTGTGGCCGTAGAATAGCCTAGTGGTTATAGGGTTGGTTCGTCTCGCTGAAGGCCCGGGTTCAATCCCCCCGTATAATGCCATTGGTACAATGTGTAATGCCATATCTGGTGTCCCAACGTTGTGATAATAATGTTTAAAGTGGCGATATACCCAACTAACTCACATTTTCTTGTCCACCAACTAGGACATGGGAAGTGCTTAATAATTTTCTTCGCCCCCGTACACTTAATCCGTCATCCAAGCATACACAAATCCTTCTTATTTAAACATATTACGAAAAGAATTTGATCATTTGTTTTGGTTTTCCATTGATTATTAATGAAATATACTCTTTAAAAATAGTTAGGGATACTGGGAAATAACTTAAGGAGATATTAGTTTCTAGTCATAGTTATATGATACTAATGAACGATGGGAACACGTTACATCCGGTAGTAAAATATGACAGTATAAGACGGTCGACGAGTCTGGCCTACTCCTCTTGCGGCGCCTGGTCCCAACAAATATGGATGCCCGGTATATTTATTTTACTTGACTCCTACAATTATTTTTGCGAAACAATGACACTCTGCATGTCTCTTGCTGCGAGGAACACAATAGTAACTGTACTTACAAACAAGCGTATAGTTGACAAAGTCATCTATATCCCCCGCCCATTTTAACACGTTATGGTCCCAAACCAGGTAACTGACCCAACATTTCTCTTAGCCCATGTCAAAATAGCTGCAATGGAAATTCTAAAATAAACATTTCTGAAACTCCTTAATATCAAATGGCACTAGTTCAGTATGCGCTTTATATATAGACATGCAATGTTTGGCAAGGAAATATTTTGTTATACTCCTTAAGTAAACCAATACTATATTAAAACTTAAATTCAACTTGTTGTCATGGAAACATAAACAATAAAATGTCTAAAAGTGCTATATATCAAAAGGCACCAGTTCAGTATGTGCCTTGTAGACATGCAGAGTTTTGTAGGAAAGTATTTAACGGTTTTTGAGTTACGCTCTGGAAACGAACACCACCCCTGTAGAACCTAAGTCCAACTTATTGCCATGGAAACGTGAAAAATAAAAATTTCTAAAATTCCTAAATAGCAAGAGGCACCAGTCCAATATGTGTCTGGTAAACATGCAAAGTTTTTGTTGGAAAGTATTTAATGGGTTTTGAGTTATGCTCCGGAAACAAACTCTACCCTATAGAACCTAAGTCCAACTTGTTGCAATGGAAACGTAAAAAATAAACATTTATAAAATTCCTAAATAGCAAAAGGCACCAGTTCAGTATGTGCCTAGTAGACATGCAAAGTTTTGTAAGAAAATATTTAACAGTTTTTGAGTTATGCTCCGGAAGCGAACACTACCCTATAGAACCTAAGTCCAACTTGTTGCCATGGAAACGTAAAACATAAAAATTTATAAAACTCCTAAATAGCAAAAGGCACCAGTTCAGAGGTGAGGTGAAATGGGGTTTAAGATTATTGCACTTATATAGCGACGTGCATGTACGTGTGTGTGTTTGTGTGGCTGCTTGTACTAGTCCGGACTGATGCCGATTTATAGTGCTAGCACACTGAGATACCATGCCGCAGTTTCACATGAATATCCACTCAGACACAGTATACTGACTCCGAGCCGACCAGTCCTTGTTTTAGCCCCTTAATGCCGAGCGCCAGACAGGGTAACAACAAGTACCATCTTTTAACGTCTTATGGCATGACGCGGTCGGGGATAGAACCCCGGACCTTCCGCTCTCCGGGCGGACGCTCTACCATTAGACCACGGAGGCGGTCACCAGTTCAGAATGTGTCTGGTAGACATGCAAAGTTTCGTAGAGAAATATTTAACGGTTTCTGAGTTATGCTCCGGAAACGATTTCGGGACTCACATACGCACACGCACACGCACACGCACACGCACACGCACGCACGGACGGAACCCATTTCTATATCGTTGGGGCGGGGGATAATAAAAAAAATCAGGGGCGGATGGGTCACGAAAAACAAGAAAGCTATTTTATCAAGCCTAAGATAGTATCATGGTCATTATTCGACGATAATGACGATCTATCACATGACCTTACATCACTCCACATATCTAAAGGGCATATACTTTATGATATCAACAGATATTTATATCGCAAGATGTAAGGCAGTATAGTCACCGACCAAACGACACCTTTATTGAACCATCTGACCACGTTTTGCCATGGGTGTTTACTGTCATCAACTATAAGGTTTAAACAAAAGTGTTTATTGAATAAGTTAGTTTCAAAGCCCCATTGCACACTTATTCGGTTATATCACAGCCTGACAGTTGAAATAAAATCTTAAAGTGACACAGGTCGAACAGTTTTCCCATTAACATGGGTAGGAAGCAATGATCATAATCAGTGAGAATCTGGGATTCGAACCTACCACCAGATCCTTGGAATGATAAGGGACGCAACTTTTGCAACGTATTATTCGACTGCGCCACTGGTGCAACGTTCGATCCTGCTCTCTCCTGTGAACATGAGTTTTCTGCTCTACCAGTGTTGCCGTGTCAGCGTTACGTCTCGTAGTGGTCTGAAAGCTCTGTCACAGTCTCCTGGCTGTCCACTGTCCACGGGATGACCGTCTTAGCTGATGACGTCACTGTGATAATATCAGATGGAGGATACGAGTGTAAAGGTTCCTGGGTGGCGGTGACAGGCGGGTCCGCCATTCCTAGGCCTGTCTGTTTTCCTCCCAATCTGCCTGAATCAGGCCATGCGCCTGGTGACGACCATTCGTCTACAGCCAAATGTCCTCAAGACGTGGTCATGCGTTTCTCCTTGATGTATCATACCAGCAGCTTGTTCTTCCTGTTGTAGGGTTAGTCTCAGCATGCTACTGGCCAACGGTTTGGTGTGAATGAACAGCGTATCTTTCCCTTATAATACCCATATCTTTGTAGGTTGGCATGATACCCATATCTTTGTAGGTTGGCAAAGTGCTGACAAAGATTCACTTCCAACTCAAGTCCCTTGATGTGGGTACGGTAGCACGTTCATTACTTAGCACATTGTTTTGGTTGTGTTTGGGCGATTGATTCTTAACCATTTTGTAAACCTATTCGGGATTTGGACCCAACGTGTCCAAATTTCAGTTTGATAGCGTTTCTTTTTCAGTTAACACAAACATTTTTGCTATTTTCGTCCATCATCCACAATCCTAGTAACTGAAAGGTACATTCCTCGTGTAGTTGTGAGTACAACCATGTTAAGTTGACAATTTTTCTGCCAATCTGAAGAAAATTGCACACTGGACTTTTGCTACACTTGGCCTTTTCTTACATAAAAATGCTTTATTAGACTGTAATTTTCAATGTTCTGTTTTATAATCACCTACATCCATACTGGTTTAATGGTGACCAGTGATAACATTTAAACATTCTTTCCATTATGTTGAATTTCAAAGCTACGTAAAACAGTCTCAGCCTCTAAAAATGAAGAAAAACAACAAGTGTGCAGAACTGCATGGGAACAATGTTGGAAAATAATTAAAGCTCCGTATTCCAGTTCTTTGTGTGCTAGGCACACCATGTTTTAATAAATACCCTGGACCCCTTCGCCATTACATCTCGTTTCGGAAGTGACGTCACCACCTCCATCGCTTCTACCTCTAACTAAGCACATAATGTCTCTCGCTCATGAAAGCTATTTGACTGAACGGCTTTTTTCAGCGTCGTGGTATTCGTCTCGAGGCCATGGTTTGTTTCTTTGTTGTTTAACGCCACACCCAGCAATAGTTCAGCTATACGACGGCGGTCTGTAAGTCATCGAGTCTGGATCAGACCAGCAAGTGATTGATATCATGAGTATCGATCTACGTAATTGGGATGCGATGACATGCATCAACCAAGTCAGCGAGCCTGACCATCCGATCCCGTAATCGTGTCTTACAACAAGCATGGGTTGCTAAAGAGCTTATGATCCTAACGCGGGTATTCGCGGTATTTATCAAAACACTGTATAGTCGAGGATGATCATTAATGTGGACTTTGATTAATCTACTTCATTGGAACCTTTGCCCAGAAACCACACTGACTAGGGACCACGTGACACTGGTCTGAACAAGCTAACCAATGCTATGCAGCGATACAGTACGTTATCTAGACGATATAATGCGTCGCGTCGAGTCGAGGCGTGTCCCTATCGTATACAAGTGAGATAAAGGGTCAATCAACTATGAAACAGTAAACACTCTTCTCTCGTTAATCAACAATGAAGTCGATCGCTCTGCTCTTCATATGCGTCACCATTGCCAAAGGTGAGATTTTCAAAATGTTCTCGTCAAGTTAGGCATCTTAATTTAATCACTTAGTTAGATCGGTGGTCGACATTAAGATAAATACCCGGTATGTATCATTTAAGAAAATATCGGTTGGGTGAAATGAAATAACAGGAAGAAGAAAACATTAAAGATGCTTCTCTTTGCTGGACTGACAAGATTTGAATTTTTAATAATCAAATTAACCAAGTGCGGACAAATAAATCATTCCATTTTTAAATTCCTGAAATTTTGAATTTTTGAGGATTCGTTAACCAAATTTTTAAAATGTATTGACCACATCATTCTGAAATGATACACATCGTTTCACGTATTGTTTCAAATGTCTGAACGTAACATATCTAATAACTGATACTGATCAATATTTTGAAAAGGGCATTGGTAACCCAGTCGTCGCAATGCGCTGCACAGAGTTATGTGCCTTAGGTGTGATAGGATCCTATGATCTTATGTTCGAACCCCATATTCGCCAGATTATGTTTGGGTTTGTCAGTGATATACCCAAGCTTGTGGGTTTCATCAAAGTTGTAGGCATCTCAAACCTGCAGCAATTTCATGCCACACTCTTCGTAATAATAGTGAAATAGTCATCACAACAGATCCACTATTCTGTCTGGTCACGTGTGTCTGACTGTATACACTGTAGGCATGTATGTCGACCACGGTGATCCCTACAAACCGGGCACGTTGGCAACTGGAAAACTCGTCATCACCAGCCTCGAAAACCACAGCCCCCTCCACGCCGTCGTCTACTACCCTAGCGTCCCTGGGGACTACGGTGTCGTCTTCTTCATCCCGGGATTTGACGGCATCATTTCCAGCGGGTTCTACTCTGAGTATGTCGGCGCTTTAGCTCAGCATGGGTAGGTGATGTTAAACAACTCATTCCGTAATAGAGTATGGGTAGGTCATATCAAGTATCTTAACACTGTACCCCAGCATGAGTGGGTGATATCAAGTATCTCAACACTGTACCTCAACATTAGTGGGTGATATCAAGTATCTCAACACTGTACCCCAACATGGGTTGGTTATATCAAGTATCTCAAACCTGTACCCCAACATGAGTGGGTGATAATAAGTCTCTCAACAGTGTACCCAAACATGGGTGGGTGATATCAAGTATCTCAACGCTGTACCTCAACATGGGTGGCTGATATCAAGCATCTCAACGCTGTACCTCAACGTTGGTGGGTGATTTAAATTATCTCAAGAATATATGTAGCTGAGGGTGTACAGGGCATATGAAGTATCTCAACTCTGTAGCTCAACGTGGATGGGTGATATCAAGTATCTCAACTATGTAGCTGAGGGTGTATAGGTGATATCAAGTATCTCAACTATGTAGTTGAGGGTGTACAGGGAATATCAAATATCTCAACTATGTAGCTGAGGTTGTACAGGGCATATCAAGTATCTCAAGTCTGTAGATCAACGTGGGTGGGTGATATCACGTATCTCAACTATGTAGCTGAGGATATACAGGGAATATCAAATATCTCAACTATGTAGCTCAGGGTGTACATGGAATGTCAAATATCTCAACTATGTAGCTGAGCGTGTAAGGGAATATCAAATATCTCAACTATGTAGCTGAGGGTGTAAGGGAGTATCAAATATTTCAACTATTTAGCTGAGGGTGTACAGGAAATATCATGTATCTCAACTATGTAGCTGTGGGTGTACAGGGCATGTCAAGTATCTCAACTATGTAGCTGAGGGTGTACAGGTGATATCAGGTATCTCACTATGTAGCTGAGGGTGTACAGGGCATGTCAAGTATCTTAACTATGTAGCTGTGGGTGTACAGGGGATATCAAGTATCTCAACTATGTAGCTGTGGGTGTACAGGGGATATCAAGTATCTCAACTATGTAGCTGTGGGTGTACAGGTGATATCAAGTATCTCACTATGTAGCTGAGGGTGTACAGGTGATATCAAGTATCTCAACTATGTAGCTGAGGGTGTACAAGTGATATCAAATATCTCAACTATGTAGCCGAGGGTGTAAAGTGATATCAAGTATCTCAACTATGTAGCTGAGGGTGTATATGGGATGTCAAATATCTCAACTATGTAGCTGAGGGTGTACAGGTGATATCAAGTATCTTAACTATGTAGATGAGGGTGTAAGGTGATATCAAGTATCTCAACTATGTAGCTGAGGGTGTACATGGGATGTCAAATATCTCAACTATGTAGCTGAGGATATACAGGGATTATCATATATCTCAACTATGTAGCTGAGGGTGTACAGGGCATATCAAGTATCTCAACAATGTAGCTGTGAGTGTACAGGTGATATCAAATATCTCAACTATGTAGCTGAGGGTGTACAGGGGATATCAAATATCTTAACTATGTAGCTGAGGATATACAGGGATTATCAAATATCTCAACTATGTAGCTGAGGGTGTACAGGGGTTATCAAGTATCTCAACTATGTAGCTGAGGGTGTACATGGGATGTCAAATATCTCAACTATGTAGCTGAGGGTGTACAAGTGATATCAAATATCTCAACTATGTAGCCGAGGGTGTAAAGTGATATCAAGTATCTCAACTATGTAGCTGAGGGTGTATATGGGATGTCAAATATCTCAACTATGTAGCTGAGGGTGTACAGGTGATATCAAGTATCTTAACTATGTAGATGAGGGTGTAAGGTGATATCAAGTATCTCAACTATGTAGCTGAGGGTGTACATGGGATGTCAAATATCTCAACTATGTAGCTGAGGATATACAGGGATTATCATATATCTCAACTATGTAGCTGAGGGTGTACAGGGCATATCAAGTATCTCAACAATGTAGCTGTGAGTGTACAGGTGATATCAAATATCTCAACTATGTAGCTGAGGGTGTACAGGGGATATCAAATATCTTAACTATGTAGCTGAGGATATACAGGGATTATCAAATATCTCAACTATGTAGCTGAGGGTGTACAGGGCATATCAAGTATCTCAACTATGTAGCTGAGGGTGTACAGGGCATGTCAAGTATCTTAACTATGTAGCTGAGGGTGTAAGGTGATATCAAGTATATCAACTATGTAGCTGAGGGTGTACATAGGATGTCAATAACTCAACTATGCAGCTGAGGACATACAGGGATTATCAAATATCTCAACTATGTAGCTGAGGGTGTAAGGTGATATCAAGTATCTCAACTATGTATCTGAGAGTGTACATGGGATGTCAAATATCTCAACTATGTAGCTGAGGGTGTACAGGGCATATCAGGTATCTCAACAATGTAGCTGTGAGTGTACAGGTGATATCAAATATCTCAACTATGTAGCTGAGTGTGTACAGGGGATATCAAATATCTCAACTATGTAGCTGAGGGTATGCAGGTGATATCAAGTATCTAAACTATGTAGCTGAGGGTATACAGGTGATATCAAGTATCTAAACTATGTAGCTGAGGGTGTACAGGGGATACCAAATATCTCAACTATGAAGCTGAGGGTGTAAGGTGATATCAAATATCTAAACTAATTATACTGCGGGTGTACATGTGATATCAAGTATATCAACTCTGTAGCTGAGGGTCTACAGGGCATATCAAGTATATCAACTCTGTAGCTATGGATGTACAGGGGATATCAAATATCTCAACTATGTAGCTGTGGATGTACAGGGGATATCAAATATCTCAACTATGTAGCTGTGGATGTACAGGGGATATCAAATATCTCAACTAAGTACCCGAGGGCATACAGGTGATATCAAGTATCTCAGCTACGTAGCTCATTGTGGGTCTCTCGACTCTGTAGCTTAGTATGCGTTGTTAATATTAAATATCTCAACTATACCACATCGCTGATCCACGCGGAGCTAAACTTCCGAATGCAGTAATGTTAAATTGTCTGTAGATTCATCGTGGTCGGTAGTGACTACATCTGGCCTGCAAGTGATCACCCAGGTTACGAGAAGATCAATGAGAAGCTGGGATTCATCACGGACAAGTACGTGGAGCAGTTTAACTGGGTAGGTGTCAGTCTGGGCTTCAGCGAATTTTTAGTTTTCTATCAATATAGGAGTGGCCCCATAACAGTCATATTGACATCCATATCAACAAGCATGGGTCTCACACTGTGCAGATCGTTATTCGTGTGAGGAATCGAACCCGGGTCTTCGGTTTGATGAGTAAACGCACTTCCGCTAGACTTATATATTCTAACAGTAATATCACAATGAACAAATCGACAGCGCGTACATTGACACACGATGCCTGCTCATGCTTACTCTGCCTTGTGAAGATCCGGGTTGGAATTGGTCTTCAGCAACCCATGCTTGTCGTAAGAGGCGACTAACGGGATCGGGATCAGGCTGACTTGGTTGATGCATGTCATCGTATCTGCTTACATCGATGCTCATAATGTCAAAAACTGGACTGTCTGGTACTGACTTGATTACTTACAGACCGCCGTGCAAATTTAAACGTCATTGAACTTCAAACTGAATCTGCGGAAGCTCCACATGAACATGTCCTATATATATCTCCAGATGAAGTCCAATCTACAGGGGTTGATCCAGGGCGTGGCGCCGGGCGTGGCCAGCAGGTGGGAGCATGCCGCGCTTCTCAGTCATTCCGCCGGGGCGGACGCTATGTTGAAGATGGTGGAGAGGAACCACACCCATTTCCAGGTACCGCGTTCATAGAAACTAAACACCAATCGGATTACATAAGAAGCACTATGTCACATTTGTCAGTTAAACAGAGGTTTGTCCGCACCATAGCTATGCTCTTGGGTTTCACCAAATTGGTAAACGGCTACAACCTGTCGCCGTCATATAATTATAACACTGTTTACACCAACGGCATGTTTAGAATTGGTCTTCAGCATCCCATGCTTGTCGTTAAACGTGACTAATGGTATCGGGTGATCAGGCTCGCTGACTTGGTTTCCCGTGTGCGTTGATCGATGCCAATGATATCAATCACAGGTTTGTCTGGTCAAGACTCGATTATTTACAGACCGGTGTCATATAGCTGAGTGCGGCATTAAACAACAAAACCAAAACAAGTAATATTTTCTCATGTAACAAATTAATGATAGTCATAATACGCTGATGTTAACCATTGTTTCAGAGTGTCGTGTTTTGGGAGCCCTTCAGTTTTCAGTTCAAGACACCGACCAACTACTCCCTCCCCGCCCTCATCACGGGGACGCAGCTGTCCACAAAGCGTGGGACCGTCGTCCCGTGCATCATCCCTGGTTTCGGCTTCGACCACTTCTACAGCATGTGGGGGGAACCGCCCAAAGTCCTCATGAACGTCAAGGTGATGCAGCTCAATGTCTTTCACTTTCCTAGGTGCTGCTGCTACTACTACTACTACTACCACATCTCCTACTACCATGCAGGGCCCCGCTCCACAAAGCGATCTGTCGAAAGTATATATTATCGCCCGTAACTATCGTTTGGAATGACCCGTGTTAAAATTTTCGAGGTTGCATGATCAGAAATCACAACCCGGCTGTCACTTTCATGATCTTGTAAGCGACGCTCTGATTGGTCGGATGAAAGGTCGTTCTGACGTGACCCCTAATGGGATGTCCTCAGATCTTTGTTTCGCGGTAGCGAGAACTAAGATCTGATTTTAATGAGATCGCTTTGCGGATCGGGCAGCGCATAAGGGTAGCCAGGTGGTGGAGGCGTTGGCTTGTCATGCCGAAGGCCCGGGTCCGATGTGTGAAACAACACTTGGATAAGAGTCCACGAAGATTGCAGGGGAGTCAGTGTTTGTCGAGTAGTGAGTGAGTGATTGAGTTGGGTTTTACGCCGCCTCTTGCAATGTTCCATAAATACAATGGCGGGCGATACCGGAAGTGGGCTTCACACATTGTACCCATGTGGGGAATCGAACCCGGGCCTTCGGCGTGACAAGCGAACGCTTTAACTTCAAGGCTACCCCACCGCCCCGCTTGTCGTAATAGTCGTCTATAATGATGAACGGGTGGCTACAGGCTGGCTTGATAGTGAGATAGTGTTTCCCGACGGCGCGGATCATTCACTTTATGCGTTTAGTGAATGGTTTTCCAGGCCCAGGTTCTATAGCTTAAGGCTACGGTATATAAAGCTAGAATACTACAAACCGCATCCATTCACTCATTCCCATGGAAATATAAACTGCCGCGCAAATGAAGGTACACACCCATGTTTGATGGTGGCTAAAACATATAATCAAACAGAAAATGTTTATTCGATGTTGGTGTGTTCCATACGGGTATGAAAAAATATTCATATTTTATAATTCCAAATTCTGTGGTATTTGAAGCGTTGTGTCAATAGCAAGATGTCTATATTATCTGATAACAAGTGATATTGGCCAGACAAGGAGAAACAGATTCTGTTCTGTTGTTTGTTGTGTTTTGGATCTCACGTGTGCAGTGTTTCTGCGACTGTTTTCAGCCTAGTAACGTTTTGATAACGTTTGTAGTGTTTTGGTAAAATCCAATTTTCAAGTGTATACTTTCTTTGGGCAGTTTAGTTACACTACTCTATTCTAGGCCTGAAAAAATATTCGTCTCTCATAATAAAATACAAGCACCACGAAAATATTAAAGTGTTTGTTTCTTGCTTTTTTACAGAACTTTGGTCACTGTGACATCTTGGACATTGGTTTTCGCACGTGTAAGTGTGATAACGTGACACAAACAGATAACAGTGCGTGCCTGCGTGCCTGCGTGCCTGCGTGCGTGTGCGTGTGTGTATGTGTGTGGGTGTGCGTATGTGCGTGCGTGCGTGTGTGTGTGTGTATGTGTGTGCGTGTGCGCGCGTGTGTGTGGTGTGGTGTGTCCGTGTGTGAGAGAAGGTGTGTGTGTGTGGTGTGGTGTGTCCGTGTGTGTGTGAGAGAGAGAGAGAGAGAGTGTGTGTGTGTGTGTGTGAGAGGGTGTGAGGGTGTGTATGGCTGTGTGTGTGTGTGTGTGAGGGTGTGAGGGTGTGTATGGCTGTGTGTGTGTGTGTGTGTGTGGCTGCGACCTGTCCTTGTTTTATCCCCTTATGCCGAGCGCCAGTCAGGATGACAACAAGTACCATCTTTAAATGTCTTTATGTATGAGGCGGCCTGGGATCGAACCGCCGACCTTCCACTCACCGGGGCGGTGCTTTATCAACACGGCCACGGAGGCGGTCTTGAAATAGTGAAACATGAAGGAAATGTCGGCTTCATGTATGTAACGCTGTGAGGAGGAGAAAATCGTTTTAAGAGATTCCATTATTGAAGGGTTAGGTATGAATTACGAGAATGGGAAATAACGAATAATTACTAGGAATTAGTCGATATATAATATGGCTTAAATATTGCCGTAAAACTTCAGAAATGCATTAATGTGGACTATTTCGTTTGGAAAGGGCACCGTCCAGATGAACGGTGTTTCACTGTTGTGAGTTTGGTTGCATCCTCTGAAACAACACTGCGGGGATTCCGTGATAGAAAAAAACAGGTCCCCAGAAACGTATGCGGTTCGTAAGAAGCGACCAATGTGGATCGTATGGTCAGGTATGGGGACTTGGCTTATTGCGTGTCTCTGTGCCTAGACAGCGTGGGTCGTTGTTCACATTATCAATCTCTGGGTTGTCTGGTCCAGACTTGATCTACAAGCCGCTATAGCTGGAATATTTCTGGTTAAACACCAAACAAAGACAAAACAACCTCTAATGTTGCTGTTTCTCCACAGTTTGCATCGATACCAAGACGTGTGTGGGGGGTAACGCCTCTGCCATCCCCTCCTACCACCAGTTCGCGCAGGGAGTAACCTCCGCCTTTCTCATCTCCACTCTACAGGGCTACACCCAGGACATCACCTACGTCATCGACCAAAATAAGATACCCCTTCCTCTTGTAGAGTTAAAATATAACATGTCAGCGCCATCCAGTAAGACATTCCGCTCTCCTGGCAGACGATGGACCAAATGAAAATGTCCCCATGTATTTGAACTATCTTAGAAATCCAGCTTGGGAAATAGATCTGTTCCTGTTCAAATATTTGGAAAATCCTTCCTGAAAAGTCCCCAACAGCAATGTTTCAGAGATCAAAGTCAAATATGTCTGTTTATGAAGCATTCTCACACGTTCAAGTGGACACGGTGATCAAGTTGTCAAAGGCACCTCTATTAGCTGTGCAGAGTTGCCTCACTTAGGTTTACCAGAAACCTATCCGCATGGGTTCGAATCCTAAATAACCCCGATTAGGTGTCAAGGTTTGTCAATACTGTACCCGTGCACAAGGGTTTCGTCAAAGTGGTAAACGTCTATGTATCGAACGTTCCTCACATATTACACATACAACTTTCATAAGAATAATTCATTTCTTAAATTAAGCGGTTCTAGTTTGCCAAAACGCGTGCTTCCTATTTATCTGTGCCGAATGCAGGACCCCTTAAAAAGCGACGCTAGAACTACGATTATAAAAAGTCTAAACGTTCAAGTATGCTCCAAGGAGCCCCAGACAAGGACATATTGGCGGCCGTGTGTACTGTTAGCAGCCAGGAGTTCAAATAATCTACCTCTTTCTCTCCACCCGAACACAGCCTCTGCCGCCATCAGATTGAATCTTGTCCAATTGATGCTAAAATAACTGTTGTGTGTCTGCTTTAGTCATCGCAGGTTGATAATTGAACATGCAGTACATTCGTGACCATTCAAGGTGTCTGGAGTATATATATACTGGCTCGCCCCGGGGATACCTTACTGTCGAGAAATCCCCAATAAAGGAGCTGGCCATTGACACTTTGTTTTGTTTTGTTTGGTAAGGCATGTTCACTTAACTATTTCCCTAAATTTATAATTTAAATTGTTTTATAATTTGTAACGTAAATGGAGCAGTATTATCAGCTGTAAAGGTATTTAATCTCATGTTATTGACCATGTATAAGGGCAAATATTAATTGGGTTTTATTTATTTAACGGACTTATCTGTCAAATGTATGTGCATTAGGTTTAGACAAAATCATCGTTGAAGTATTAACTCCACGGTATAGCATATATTGTATATCAAACATGTTCCGATATCAACAACATTCGTATAGTCGGAAAAAGGTTGTTAACAATTGGGTGTCGTGGTAGCAAGCTGTGTATTTTATCCACATATTGATATTTTAGTGTGACTCAGTTATTTTGTATATGTGAAAAAGTTGTGTAAATGCAGACAAACTACCTCACTTTGATCAGACCATTTATATCACACGGGTTATGTACATTATCTTTTAATGTAAGGATTCTATGATGAACCATACATTGCATGTATTTATTGTTCATAAACAGAATCCTGACTGCTTTAAATGTAATCATGTAATCATTTAGTTAATCTGTACAAACAATGTACAAATAATATAGGTAACTTTCTTGAAACTTACATAGGTCTGAGCACAATGCATTTGTAAGACAGCTTCAGCAAACATGTCTACATTACGAGCAATACCTAAAATGTACATATATCCATATATTATAACCATTCAGTAATGTGAATGGACATTTGTTAATGGGCCCGTTAACTCAGTGTATGTGGATGCTATCAGATACAGTTTGTTTGCTGCGGTAGTCTAGATAAACTATAGATATGACCCTCAAGTATAACATATACCAGCATGAAAAATGAATGATATATGCTCAGAAGTTACAGCCAACGCATGTTGTTATTAATATTTAAATCCGCGTACATTTGATACTGATATTGGGTTTAACAAGGTTTATACGTAAATAGGATATACCTAAAGGAAGTACCATTTTGAAAGGCGTTATCATAATAAGGAGTGGCTGACAATAAGTTTCACATAAGATTATGTAAGCTTTGTTCATAGGTATCTTTGTAGACTGACTTTAATATTGTTCTTAGTAATTGGTTGGTTTATCACTTGATACATGATACATTTGTATATCATAAAACTTACACTCTTATATATAATCATTGTATAATATCACACACTACTGTGATCACTGCTTCTTTTATGAAAACTGTAAATGTTCCATATGACTTTGTACTTTATATCTAAAAATATTTCTTATTTTAAATGTGAATTGTTGACTGTCGAGAAATCCCCAATAAAGGAGCTGGCCATAGACACTTTGTTTGGTTTCTTTGAAGGTGGTGCCCGATCCCGAGATAATTCCCCAAGGCTTATTCTATATATTGAGACGGTTTGAATAAGAAATTCTAGATGCCTGGAACCACCCCTTCAAACAACCGAGAGAAGCTGTGCAGGCCTGAGCCAAGGTCCCTCCTGACCAGTTTGCTTCATCAAGCTCCAGTCTCACGGTCACCATCATCGCCGATCCTTGTGTCACCTGCTACAACCACATCAATCGCTTCCACAACAGCAGCCTACTCCTCTACATCTCCACCATCCTCATCAGTACCCTCGACCAGCCAGATGTCAACACCCATGCCGCACATCAAACTACCACAGTTCTCAGGAACTGAGAATGCCCAAATGTGGTGGGATGACTTTGTTTACTTTTTCTAATTTCTTCTCTTACAATGATGAGAAGAAGTGTCGTCTGATTTTACCTTGAAGGTGCAGCCTTCACCAAAAGATTTATAAAATCATCAGCCTTTGATGTCAGTTTGTTACAGTTGGCCCAGGAACAGGAGGAATCCATCAACACCTTCATCACCCGGGTTGAGACAGCAACCATCCACCTGAAGCTGCCAGCATCTGTCATTGTGACCGTAGCTGTAAATAGCCTTCGACCCAACATCCGTCAGTGGGTATGTAACAAAGAGCCCACAAATCCACAGGAGGTCCGTCACCAGGCAGAGCTGGCCCAGAAAGCACTGGTGATCATGCAGTCATCAGAGGTCAACATGATGGCAAAAGTTTACCACCTCTCCAGTCTGGTTGCCACCCTAATCTCGAAGACTGAGGCCCCACCTGTCTAGGCTGCCTCTCCAGCTCCCCAGCCCTCATATCAACAGCAACAGCAATAGCAACAACCACGGCTGTCTAATCAACTGCCACCTCCATTTCACCAGGCCCAACAACAACGTCGCTACAGCCAGTAGGAACAACATAAAAAACGACCCCGCTTCACATCCCCTCCATTCCTCAAGCAAAGATTGGTTGTGGTATGTATTGCTCAAATCGTTCTGCATGCCCACACTGTCAAACAATTTGCTCATACTGTAACAGGGTAGGACTTCATTACAATGTTTGCATGAGAGCTCATAATTCACAGAATAGAGCTCCTTGGCAATAGGGACTCGCGCCTGATTCTCAGTTCACAGACAGAACACTTCTAACACTTTAGGTCACATAAAGCCTACATCACATCATATCAATGTATTATGTTCAGGCCATTACCACAAGCCAATGCAGGAACATTCATCCCAACATTCACGAAATATATCTGCATGTAATCTCTCCTTTGATTTCGATGAATCTGATCTTACACCTGAACAGAAACAACAGCTACTCTATTTCCTACAAACACAAAAATCTGTCTTTGCACACAACTGGTCTAACACACTTACACCAACACAAGATAGAGACAGGTGAGGCCAGGCCAGTCCGACTTCCCTTCTACCGTCAAAGTGCTTAAATTCGTAAAGAATGCTCTATGCAGATCAAAGAACTGTTGGATGCTAACATTATTAGGCCAAGTTCCTCTGAATGGCATTCACCAGTGGTTATGGTTAAACAACGGGACAATACTTTTCGTTTTGCAGTCGATTATCGCTGACAGAATTCTGTCACTAAGTCCATATTTTCCCTTTGATTCGTTTTGAGGATGTTATTGATGCTGTTGGAGAAAGTCATGCCAAAATATTCAGTGTTCTTGATTGTGCTAGTGGCTTCTGGCAAATTACACTCAATCTGGAGTCAAAATACAAATCAGCCTTCATTACTCCAGATGGTGTTTTTGAGTGGAATCGCCTCCCCTTTGGTCTTAAAAATGCTCCAATGGCATTTCAAAGTACAATCTCAGAAGCTTTGAAAGAAATGAATTGGAAGTATATTGTAAACTACGTTGACAATATCATCCTGTTTTCCAAATCATTTTCAGAACATTTGACCTATTTGAAGTGTATATTTTAAAAAATTAAAAACAAGGAGGCCTTACTTTGAAACCAAGTAAATGTAATTTGCAGCCAAACAAGTTCAGTACCTCGGTTACATTTTCAACAAAGACGGCGTGAAAGTCGACCAATCCAAAATTGAAGCTGTCAATCAAACCCCTCAGCCAAAGAGCGTTTATAATTGTTAGGCACTTTTTAGGCTAAGCAAGCTATTCCTGCTGTTCAGGAATAGCATCTGCACTCTATGAGCTTCTCAAGAAAGACATACAATTTCTATGGTCAGACAAAGCCCAACATGCATTCACCACACTTAGGCCAAAACTAACGTCTGATCCAGTTCTTGCTTACCAAAATCCTACTCATCCTTTCATTCTCACCACAGTTGCATCTAAGACATCTACTGGGTACATTTTAGGTCAAAAACACTCTGAGGGTCGAGGACGTGTCATTTGCTATGTTGGTAGGTCACTGCATCCAGCAGAACGAAAATGGTGTGTTTCTCAGCTGGAAGTGAGGTGAGGTGAAATTGGGTTTAAAGTCGCGTCCAAGATTATTGCATGTACGTGTGTGTGTTTGTGTGGCTGCTTGTATTAGTCTGGACTGATGCCGATTTATAGTGCTAGCTCACTTAGATACAGAATACCCTACTGAGACAGAGTATACTGACTCCGAGCGGACCAGTCCTTGTTTTAGCCCCTAATGCCAAGTGCCAGAGAGGGTAACAACAAGTACCATCTTTTAACGTCTTTTGGTATGACGAGGCCAGGGATCGAACCCTGCACCTTCCGCTCTCTGGGCGGACACTCTACCACTAGACCACAGAGGCGGTTTCTTAGCTTGAATGTTTGGCAGTTGTAGAAGGTATTAGGCACTTTAGAGTTTTTCTTGTAGGCAACAAATTCACGCACCATACAGATCACAAAGCACCCCCATGGCTACACAATATCAAGGCAAAAACAGGTCGTTTGGGTAGATGCTCCCTCATGCTACAGGAATATGGTTTTGAAATTGTACATAGTCCTGGCACATCAAATACCAATGCAGATGCAATATCTTGGTAGAGATTCAACTGGACAACTCTTCTTGCTAAGTACTATTGGCCTGGCATGTATCAGGACATTGAAAACTACATCAAGTCTTGTGATATCTGTCAAAGATCAAAATGTCAGACAAATGCCAAACCTGCTCCTGTGGTTCCTATGCCAATTAAGGACACCTTCTCTGGTATGCATATTGACATTTTAGGTCCCTTACCTGAAACCAAAGATGGCTACAAGTATGTTTTGCTTGTAGTAGATTCTTTCTCTCGTTGGACTGAAGGATTTCCAATGCGTTCTCAAGATGCTTATGAGGTTGCCAAAATTCTCTTCAGTGAAGTCATTACTCATTGTGGTGGCCCTTGTACCCTTCTTTCTGATAGAGGTTGTCAGTTCACTTCAAAGCTTGTAAATACGCTTTGTGAGCTGCTTGACATCAAGCACTATTATGCATCAAGCTACCATCCCTGCACCAATGGTATGTGTGAGCGCCGCAACAGCACCATTGAGCAAGTTCTCAGAGCCTACGTAAAGGCTGACCAATTCAACTGGGCAGAACTCATTCCCTGACATGGTGGCTATGCGTTCAACACCATGTCACTCCACTGGCTGTTCTCACTATCTTCTCTTCGGTAAAGAAATATATGTTCCTGTTGACACTGCCTTACTTCCAAAACCTACCATAGGTAAAACTGCTGAAAACCATCTCTGAACCCTGTTGGAAAATCTTAAGGTAGCCAAATCCATTGCCAAGGATAATATGCAAATCGGTCAGGAACTAAATATAGACTGCCAGGATCTCAAAGCCAAGCCCTGTTTCCTTCTCAGTTGGTGACAGAGTATTGATGACAGATCCTACAGTTAAAAAAGGTCATTCTCCCAAGTTGTCCCTCAAATGGTCTGGTCCTTTCATTAGCACTACACTTGGTCCAAATCACACATTCAAACTTCAGCATTCTTACACTGGCAAAGTCCACAAGTCTTTGATACATGCTGACAGATTGAAAGCATACACTGAACGTGCTGCAAATGCTGACATGCAACACGATGCACAAATGCCCTGAAGCTTATTATGAGTCAAGGTGCTCCTCCCCAGAGCCTCAGGTCACTGCAAATCCACCACACGTTCTTGATGATACAAACACGGTGCCCTCACAGTCAAACATGATTGATCATGACAATACATCAACTACCTCCACTCCTCCATCTGATACACCTACCCAGTCTCAGTGACACAATGCGGACACAAACGACATGCAAACCTTTCCTGTAGATTGCATTATTCGTTGCAAAAGTATCAACAATATCAAACTCTACCAAATCAAATGGAATATATTCTGGCACCACATGGGAACCAGCTTCCAATCTAAGCCAAGATCTCACTGATAACTATCACAAGCACAAGACAATGTCTGGGCATAGACGCAGGCATTGGCACATGTACTTCAAGTAATCTATTAGTTCTAATACCCCTCATTCTCTTGGGGTATTTCCGAGTGGTAACCATGGTATTTGCTCGCTTTACTGTTTTTTCAATCTTATGGTCAATAACGTGGCGGTGTTTTGCCTTGGATAGCGCGACAATGCCTTCCGTTGCTAGGGTTGCCTTCATTTACCAACGTCGCGTATTACAGGGTGTGGAGTGATCTCCCTTGTATCTACCTCGATTACATATTTGCCCATCTTTCTTTCATAGAGCACAAACGCAATAATTGGTCTGGATAATCGAAGCAATTACAAAAAAAGTCTTGATAAAATCCGGAATACTACGGATTATTATTCACACGATAACCTTATGTTTTTATTTTAACATCTATTATTATATGTTAGTTGTTCTAAATGTACAAGTAATCATGTCCTGTTTTGGTAAACATGATGAATATTTGTGGTAATTAGGAATATTTTTTATAAACATTACCAGTAGGAATTTCCTAAATAATCTAAAGTGCAAAATATTGTTTTCAAATGATCAAAATTATTTCTTGAACAAGTGACAGTTATCAATAAAAGGACAAATATATATTTTTTAAAAACTGTTGAAGATTAATGTTACAGATTACACTCTGATATGTTATGTTTTTTTCAGATCACACAAAAGAACCAGGAGCACCGTTGAGAGGGCCATCGGTCAACTCACACGCAGATTTCCTGTTCTCCATGGGGAAATCAGGTTAAAACCTGAAATGGCTTGTAAGGTAGAAATATTATGATCAACAAAGTTATTTTGTGTGCACTATATATTTGGCACACAAATAAGTTCAACAAAACAAAAATGTAACATAGCTAAATGACATCAGATATATAAAATAACAATTCCTAGAGAGGAAAGCAATGATTGAAAAAAGCACACAAGATTTTATTAAGTTACATAATTATTTCAGACATGGTTGTTTGAATTTATGTTAACAAATGTCATTGAAAATATGATAAGACAATGCAGTGGCTCATCATCTATTAAAGTTTGTACATGGACACATGAACTTATAAATATATTCACTTGATTTTAATTTTCAACATTTCCTCAAAATAAATCCAATTTGTATCGGCAGTACATTCTTTGCAACGTATCTTTTGTTTTTAATCATCTTAATTATCCCTCACCCTCTTAAATATGCAATATTCTAAATGCAATGTACTATTTCGCAAAAATGTTCCACAATAGTCTTTCTACCAGAATCTGTTGTATCATAACATGGGGCTTAGTATGTATTGTGACATTTAATATTCAAATATATAAATAATTCTTTAATCCCCAAACAACATGTATGATACTTTTAGCTAGTTTCATGATTTTCAATTTAAGGTATTCCTTTTTCAAAGTGAGGCATTGAATTTCAAGCTTTTTTTTTGCTTCAACAGAGTTTCCACGGTTGGTGAAGTGAAGGACCCTGTGACATCTGGCTCCTCGGTATACATGTTGGCTCCTTCTGGTTCCGGATGTGGATCTGTCATGGCGGTGTCATAAATCTCCCTGCAACAGAAAATATTAAAGTTTTGATTGTAATTTTCATATAAATGTTCTTTTCAATTTCAGCAAACCTGTTGTTTTTGTGTTATTATAATGAGGTCTTGATATTATCCTGATATACATTTATACTAAATTTTCATATAATAATTACATCCATAGCAAGGGCTTTTATAAGTTATTCATGGTGTAACGTTTATACAAAATTTCATATATTTATAGAACAGCAAGTAATACATATTAGGGTCCAGGAAAAATACAAAATATTAGTAGGTTCAGTTACAGTTTTTTTAATAGATGCTGTTCAGTTCAGTTTTTTTTATAGATGCTACCCTAAGGTAAACCCATCTCCCAAAGATAATATTCAACACAACAAAAGTTACGATCCCAATTCACAGACATAATATCCAATAAGAGAAAAGTTATGTCTACATAGTTTAATAGATTTAAAGCTTTTAGATAAAAACTAGCATAAGGTAACAAGATCCAATCTCCCAGACATAATATCCAATAAGACAAAAGTTATGTTTACATAGTTTAATAGATCTAAAGCTTTTAGATAAAAACTAGTCTAAGGTAACAAGCTCCCATCTCCCAGACATAATATCCAATAAGACAATAGATATATGTACATAGTTTTATAGATTACCTTTGAACTATTTTATTTAAGTAAATCTGTCATCACCTATATTAGAATAACATTCAGAAAATACTTCAATTTAGACTCATTGAGGATTAGCCGCATAGCTCGTCTATAGTGATACCATAATCTCTTTCCAAGCACCCAGTAAATATGTCAACAAGATAAGTGCCAGTTCGACTTTTTTGCTAGGTTTTCAGGATGAAAAGTTAACCCTGACAAAACCAAATTGATATGGATTGGTTCAAAAAAGAGATCACGATATAAGCTCTGTAAAGATTAGAATCTTGACTGGACTCCTATAACGTTTAAATTATTGGGAATTAATTTTTCTATTTGATTTGGAAGACTTATTGACTTAAACTATACAGATAAATTTGAAAAAATTGAAAGGGAAATGAACGTATGGAAAGCAAGATTATATCATAAAATGTCAGGGAATGCTTAAGTGGGAAGAAACTTTACAGAAAGTATTTACTGATGAACAGTGGGTGGGGTTTAATTTGATGGCAACAAGGTGTACACAGAGTGTAGAACTGAGATGGTTTCAGTTTAGGATTATCCACTACATATTACCTTTAAATAAATACTAACATAGTATTGGTTATAAAGATTCACCAAGTTGCAACTTCTGTGGTTTATATAGTGAAACTATTGTACATGCATGTTATGATTGTGAATATGTTGCTCACATGTGGGAGCTTGTTCTCAGCTGGTTAAAAACATCTGTGGAAGGAAGACTTGACTTCTGTAAAGAGAATATTTTATCTGGATTTAAGGGGAAGAATAACAACTCTCTCAATGCAGTTATATTACTTATCAAATTTATTGTCTTTAAACAATCACGAAAGGGTTTTCAGCTAAACTTGAAATATATTCAACGTGAAGTTATTAGATACTACAATATGATTCTCAAATTGCAATTATACAGATTTTTTTTCAGTTCTGGTCTTCCTTCCACAGACTTTTCAATCCTAGCAAAGAATGCTAGTACGATATGATATTTTATGATTGTCTATATTTGCAAAAGGTTTTGAAAGTTTGACGTAAAGGGATTGTTTTTTGAATAATGTATAATTGATGAAATGCTACACATTGTATTTTATTTGAAATGTGACTAAAGATATATTTTTTTAAAAAGAAAAAAAGAAAAGAAAGATTAGTGCCAGTCAAACAGGATTAAGTATTCCCCTCTGTCCATCCATTTATAACCATAGGGCACACCCCAATCAACCAATCCTATTCCTTTTTATTGTTCTTAATAGATAGACATGCAAGATGTTAGGCAGAAGGGGTTTGACGCTCATACCAAGCAGACCTTTCTCCCACAGCCCACTCTCTGTGGCGCCTTCAGCTATATTTTAATATATTGTAAATTATTCTTGTTTCTTGTGAATAAAATTGTAATTAGTCTCCTGTGACTCCGGCTCTTTACTGACTAATTCCCCCAAGAAAACCAGCACGCCATTTGGAAGGTTTTGTACATCAGAACAGAACCATAATAATGTATCTCATATCACAAATGTACCTGTCAGGAGGTGGCATCAGCAGCATTGTTGTGTCAATTTAGCCAGACACACCAGTTCACCATATCAATGACTGCATTGGTCACTGGGCTGATTAGTGCTGGTGCTGGTCCAACTCCTGTATAAACATTAAATCACAAACTGTAATTTATATATATTTTTAAACAATTATTATATATGTTCGTTTATATATGGAAGGGATAAGACAATGAAATTTCTAATCATCATCATCATCATCATCATCATCATCATCATCATCATCTTAATGTATTTTGGAAATAATATTCTTCATACAAAAATACACAGATCATTATGATTGATAATTGATCTATTGGAAATAACCTATTTATAATGACCATTGATAGAAGACTGATAGTTGTCATATTCTCAACAACAAAAGTTCCTGTGACACCAATATTTTAGAGTATTTTTCAAACAAGTAAAGTTTGGTTTTCAATATTGTAGTACATGTATGGAATCAAGTCACAGAAACGCAACTGCTACAGAAAAGCATGCATTCCATGCAAAAGTTGACTTTTATGCAAGCCCCATGCATTTCACTACCCACGAATGGGTATAAAAACATGTGCGTTAACGGGATTCCATATGCATTGTTTAGCATCGTGCTGACAACAACCAATCAGAAAAACAACAAAGTTACGCAATTATTCAACATCACGAAATGCCACGCCTGTCCGAAAATGAGCGTCTGCGAGCCATTGGTATGCTTGAAGCAGGATCGAGTCAACGTGATGTTGCAAGACAATTTAACGGCCACAGAAACACCATTTGGTGTTTATGGCAACGTTGGCAACAGACGAATGCAGTCAGAGACCATCCTCGGAGTGGCAGGCCATGCGTAACCAATAATCTACAATACAACTGGATCGGAACAACACACCTACGAAATCGATTCCAGCCAGCAACAGTGACTGCAAGAAGCATCCCTGGCCTTCGACGAATATCTTCACAAAACGTACATCGTCGCCTCAGATGTGCATGGATTGTCACCAGAAGACCCACCAGACGTCCCATTTTGACAGGACACCACCGTCAAGCACGTCTACAGTGGTGCAGACAGCGTCTACGCTGGACGGCCATGCAGTGGGGACAAGTTCTATTCACTGACGAGTCTCGTTTTCACCTCAGCCACAGCGATGGACGGATTCGAGTGTGAAGACGTCGAGGTGAACGTTACGTCAATCATTGTGTCAAGGAAGAAGATCAGTTCGGGAGCGGCAGCAAGACAGAGGACCCGTTTGATAGTGGTAGAGGGAAATCTCAATGGACAGCGCTACCGCGACGAGATCATCGACCCTGTTGTTCTACCGTTTTTGCGTCGTCATGGCCCAGGCATTACCGTTCAACATGACAACGCCCGGCCTCATATTGCTCGATTTGTTCAGGGTTTTCTTCAACAAAACAACGTGAATGTCATCCCCTGGCCGGCTCGCTCCCCTGATCTCTCACCAATCGAGCACATGTGGGATGAGATGGATCGGCGCCTTCGACGTCAACCACGTGTTCCACAGAGTCTCCAGGAACTTCGAAACATGCTCCAGCAGATAGGGACAGATATCCCACAGGACTTTGTGCGACGCCTGGTCCATTCCATGAGACGAAGATGTGTTGCTTGCATCGCAACTAGAGGTGGACACACACGCTATTGATTTGTAAATTGACATTTTGGCATGTTCATGGTTTTGTTATGAAATCACGCATTTTCTGAAGTCAGTATGGCAAATTAAACCATTTGAACACTTACAGGAGTCTTTTAACTTATTTAGTAAGTATATTATTTTTGATGCTATGAATTCACCAATCCTATGTTATGGATTAAAGATCTAGGGAACCAGCTACTGTAACATTATTGAGAGTGTCCATAACAGATTCTGCAAATCCTTTTTGAAAGTAAATAAATTCACCAATAACGACATGGTACTAATCTAATTCAGATGGAACAACAGAGGCTACCCATCCAAGCTTATTAAATACTAAAATTTCTTGATGATAATGGTAAAATTACATGGGCATCACATATAAGAATGATTTTATTCCAGTTTGGATTTGGTTTTGTTTGGCTACGCCAAGACATTGGTAATATTCAATATTTCATGGCAGATTTTAAACGAAGATTTTACGACTGCCTCACTCGATATTGGCACTTTTCCATGACATCATCAACGAAATGAAATTACTACTCACAGTTCAAGTCATTACTAAATGTGAAATCATATATCACTTGTGATATGTCTTCTTTCGAACATAGGCCAAGCCATGTTCCGGTGTAATGATTTCAGACTTGCTGTTGAACTGGGGCCTCACAACAACATCCCATATAATGAACGTGTCTGCACTTTCTGTTTTTCGAAGGGACATAACCATGTTGGAGATGATTTCCATGTTCTTATGATTTGTGACCAGTATTCTAGAGCAAGAAGAAACTCTTTTCCGAAGCGTCTCGTTACCCCTCCCTCTATTGAGAATATAAGACTTATGTCAGCTGAAAACGAACAAATTATAAAAAGCTTAGGTAAATTTCTCTTCCAAGTCATGACCATTCGAACACAGTGTTGAACGGTAAATCATTATTAAATCTACTCAGCATGCACATATATACACAGTATATTTCCATTGTATTATGGGCCGGTGGCCTGAAGTACCGAATAAATTTGTCTATCTGTCTGTCTATCTTATTTAAGGGAAAGTAGTAAGTGTCTTACAATTGTGCAAATATTAATATATTAAGGGGCCGAACATTTTGTGAGAGTGCTGAGATTATATTAAAAAAGTAGTCTGATCCCGAATATATATAAAAATATTTTTCTCAATTTAATGTATTCAGCCCACAATTAAAATGTTAATACTTCAAGATTTCATATTTAGCCCCAAGTCTGATGCAAGGGCACTGTCAGTAAAAAACCTCAAATTGGAAATAACAAATGTCCCAGTTTATGATAGTAATAGAATATGTTATGGCTATAGCAGAGGTGACTTAAATTCCACTGATAACAGGACCAATCACCAACAGTGATGATTTCATGCTCAGTGTTAGAATGTTGCATTAGATCTATATGCAGTGGTAAATACTAGTGACAATTTTGTTACTGAAAATCAGCTAGTTGGCTACAGGTACAGGCGATTTATTATAGGTGTGTGTGGGATTTGTCACGATTAGTGCACCTACTCAAAGATTTTGAGGATGTCTTCACAAAGGACACATTCGATGTACAGCCAATTGTGGCCGAATGAGACTTTCAAGTTGTATGTTCTGATTTGATTTTTTGCAGTGAATATAATTCTGATGTGGAAACAACATTAATGTCACTCTTATCTCAGCCTAGGATAAGGGCAGTAACAAGTGGAGGGGTTTTCCTCCCGAGCTAATACTGGCTTCAGTCAGAGGTTTTCTACCTTCATAGTACTCTTGACAGTACAGTCTGTATTGTAAAGCTGTTACCTTCGACATTCCCTAATTTCCACTACAATTAAATGGGAGGAAAATACACAATTTCTAAAATGAAAATTACCACAATCAAATAAATTGACAATTTATGATATAAATATAACATATTGTGCGCGAAATTTAACACAAATATATACATTAAATATAACACAGGGTGGGGTGGGGTGGGGGGAGAGAAGATTATTCTAATCACCCAATCTGCCCCACCCCATCCCCCATGAATCATTCAGATGGCTGTACAATATTTCATACAACTACACTGCACTTTACATTAATTAAAACATACATTTAGCAATTTATTGTAACACATATATAACATCATATTTGTTCCCCTACCTACGTTGAAACTACGTTCTTTAATGATAATAATAATGTTTCAGTCACACACACATGACATTGATAATGTGAAATAGTTCCGCCTGACAAAGTTATTTTAGTATTTTTAAAACTTTAAAAACATATCATAGTTTGTCAACGCAAAATGTACTGTGCAAAATATACCCCAATGTCATAAATATATTCTCCAAAACAACATTCTTACATTTACTGCTTCAAATTGCGAGGACTGTTGCTGGATTGTTAAAAACAAATACTGTAGTGTTTGTGAAACATCAAGCTCCTTTCCAGCGCGTGACACCTTCGTCACACTCTCGGTCCGAGTGTACAGAGAGACTGTGGCCGTAGAATAGCCTAGTGGTTATAGGGTTGGCTCGTCTCGCTGAAGGCCCGGGTTCAATCCCCCCGTATAATGCCATTGGTACAATGTGTAATGCCATATCTGGTGTCCCCACGTTGTGATAATAATGTATACCCAACTAACTCATATAATTTTCTTGTCCATAATAATCGCTGCATGGGAAGTGCTGAATAACTGTCCGTGATCCAAGCATACACATATCTTTCTTATTTAAACATATCACGTAAAGAACTTGATCATTTACAGTGTAAGACGGCCGACGATCTTGAAGAACGACAGGGAAAAGATGGGAAATTTCAAAGTTGACGTTTTTGAATCAGTAGTGTTTAATACTGCCACGATTTGTCAAAGATTCATTCACTCGAGGAGGCATACTGCTTATGAGTCTCCAAATGGCGATTTGTGGGAGTCTGGCCTACTCCTCTTGCAATGCCTGGTAATATTCAGACAACTTGGTCGGCGGTCTATGACAATGACGATGCGTAATAATGACACTCTGCTTGTCCCTGGCTGCGAGGAACTCACTAGTAACTGTACTTAAAAATATTTAAAAAAAACAAGAAAGTTATTTTATCAAGCCTAAGATTATTATTCGATTGGGGGCACGGGTGGCCCAGGCGTCTAAGGCGCCGCGATTCGCTGTGCAGAGTTGCGTCCCTTGGGCACGTCAGAAACCTATGATTGTGGGTTCGAATCCCGGTTCGCCCCGATTATGTTTCTAGGTGTGGCAGCACCTGCCCGTGCTCGTGGGTTTCACCGAAGTGGTAAACGTCTGAGACCTCGAATCGCTTCGGGCTTTCCTCCCACATTAAGCTGACACGCCGTGATATAACTGGAATACTGTTAAAAGCGGCGTTAAACCCAACTCACTCACTCACTCATTATTCGATGATAATGGTGATCTATCACATGACCTTAAATCACGTGACATGACGCCCCACTCCACATATCTAAAGGGCACATACTTTATGATATCAACAGATAATTATATCGCAAGATGTAAGGCAGTATAGTCACCGACCCACCGACACCTTTATTGAACCATCTGACCACGTTTTGCCATGAGTGTTTACTGTCATCAACTATAAGGTTGAAACAAAAGTGTTTATTGAATAAGTTAGTTTCAAAGCCTCATTGAACACTTATTCGGTTATATCACAGCCTGACAGTTGAAATAAAATCTTAAAGTGACACAGGTCGAACAGTTTTCCCATTAACATGGGTATAAAGCAATGATCATAATCAGTGAGAATCTGGGATTCGAACCTACCACCAGATCCTTGGCATGATAAGGGACGCAACTTGTGCAACGCATTATTCGACTGCGCCACCGGTGCAACATTCGATATTGTTTAACGCCACACTCAGCAATATTCCAGAGGTCCGTTCCACAAAGCTTTAGTAACTCTAATGGTTTCGTAACACCCATACCATAACATAGACTTACGACTGTCGTTGCGCTACGATCGCCTTGTGGAACAGGGCCCGGCTATATCTAATCTAACCCGGAATCCCCAAAAGGCCATTCAATATTGAAATAAAAAGAGTGAGTAATTGATTACGTTTAACGCCTTATTTCGTGAAACTCACGATCCAAGGATCACAATCAGGAGGAAGTTAAGAAAATAGGCAAAGTACGTTACGGTAGTTGAAATAAATCCCATTTAATTTGTCTATGTATTTTCACTGCAAATACGGAAAACGACAGTAAACGTGACCCTTCTTAGTTGTTGAGGGGCGGTGAGGTAGTCTCGTGGTTAAAGCGTTCGCTGGTCACGAGACCCGAGTCCAATTCTCTACATGGGTACAATATGTGAAGCTCAAGTCTGGTGTATCACGTAGTGATACTGCTGGAATGCTGCTAAGAGCGGCGTAAAACCATACTGATTCTCTCACTTTTGTTAAATGTTTTTGTTAAACATTTCAGAATTGTCGCACTTGTTACTTCGTTATGTGGGTCATTTGTACACTTTGCTATATAGGTCACTGTTGGGTTTTGTAAAGAATAATGTGAAGGGTATGTTGTGTACATAAATCAATAATGTTTTGTAGCATTTATTAACCCCCAAATAATAAGAGCATATTGTACAGGATACGATTAGAATACTAACATATTTTACAAGACAAGAGTCAGCATAGTATATAAGATAAGGTCAATATACCAGCACACGGCTCAAGAAGAGGTCAGAATACCCGCATAGTGTTTAGGATAAGGTGAGTATTGCAACATATTGTACAGAATACGGTCAGTTGACAAGCATACTGTCAGTACATAGAGATTATTATACGAGCATGTGTGTAATATTGATTTTACGAAACGAGTGTCAGAATTCTTGTATTTCCCAAGCGAGAGCGACTTTGATACATGAATTCATGAGTTTCGTAAAATCAGTATGACACATATGCGAGTGTAATAGTTTCTTTATTACCAATTACTTCTTAATCCTTTTGAGCCCCCATTCAAAAAGATGCACTGATCATCACCACAATGTGTCGAATGACGTCAACAATCTTCAGTTATGACGTCGTTTCTAGTGTGACGTCATTCCGCCCTTACGACACAATGAGATTTGAATGAATTAAACAATGCCGCCCGCATGACGGAAACAATGGATTGGTGCGCGAGAAATGATGTTTGCACTATTGCACAAACGATTTTTAGAACTCGGATATTTCTACTCCTATGGGTAATAAACAAGCATATTGTACAAGATACGGTCAGTATACAAGCCTATAGTACTGTACTCCTAGCCGACCAGTCCTTGTTTTACCCCTTTTATGCCGAACGCCAGGCATGGTAAAAACAAGTACCATCTTTTCACGTCTTTTGTTGATCGAACCACTCACCTTCCGACCCGTGAAGATTCCGGGATAGAATAGGTCTTCAGCAACCCATGCTTGCCGTAAAAGGTGACTATGCTTGTCGTAAAAGGCGACTAAGGGGATCGGGTGGTCAGGCTCGCTGACTTGGTTGATACATGTCATCGATCCCAATTGCGTAGATCGATGCTCATGATATTAATCACTGGATTGTCTGGTTCAGACTAGATTATTTTCAGACCGCCGTCATATAGCAGGAATATTGCTGAGTGCGGCGTTAAACAACAAACCAACCAACCAACCACTCTCCGGGCAGACGCTCTCTTCGCTAGACCACGGAGGCGCTTGCTGGGAATGTTACAATTGTTCACAATTCAGCTCGATCGACTGATGCTCAAAGGTTAGTTATCAGTAAATATGTGTCATCTCGCATGCATGTCAAGTGCCTTCAGCTGCAGGTTAGAAAAAAAGGTATGACATCGATACAAGAGCATGATAGACACTATGACTGTAACACTTATATATTTATCAATTCAAATCGTCCATCACGAGGCAATTTCATGCAAGTCGCTGTGTTGTATCCTTGGACAACGTTATTGACTCATCTTGTTCCGCTGTGGTGTAACTAAAACAGTTGTTGACTGTCATGTGAAATGCCCATTGAGCATAATTTACACTTACTTGGAAGAAACTACAATATAAACATACTTGTACTGTCGAAAGAATGAATTATGAAATGAAAATGTTATGCCATGAATGAGAAAAAAAAGGTATTGCGTCCACAGTTCGGATAATCCGGTCAATTGTTGTTCAGCATCAGGATTGAAATCATGAACTCCCTTTAATCCTTTAGAATGTCAAAATTGTCAGTCAGTATTGTCAGTTTTGCCCACCATAGGAATCAATGCACGCCCCAATTCCACGATGAGAAGAAGATGTATACGTCTAATCACAAACAATGGGATTCAACACCATTCTTCTCAGAAGTCCGGTGCTTACTGATCCTTATAAGGACAACCTTATAATTGTAATATAATTGTTTGGTCCCAATATTTGTAACAGTCGTGACGAAAACTCACATGCATGGTATGCCCGTGCAGCATGCTACCCTCGAGTATCTCCGAAAGCAGTATATCCAAGCGTTAAATTGCTTTCTTAAGCTCGGTTTTAAACAGTTATTCCAGGACATTGTGTGACCATGGCACGAAGGCGATTATCAAACGCCACAAGATGGCAAATAATCGGCATGCATAACGCAGGAATGTCTTGTAATGCAATTGGTCGGAATTTTGGGTATCATCACACTGTCGTAAGCCGTTTCGTTGGGAAACATGCTCAGACCGGTGATGTACATGACTGTCCCTGATCCGGAAGACCTCCTGTGACAACACATCGCGAAGACAGGGACCTTCTTCGTCTCATACGCCGAGAACCTTTTTTAACAAGTACTCGTCTGAAACAGCTGTGGTTGCCCAATCGTCGTTTCAGCACCAGAACCGCCAGGAACCGGCTGAAAGCAGAAGGACTGAGGGCTAGACGAGTCATAAAGCGTCCCTTGTTGAGAGATCACCACAAAGCTTCTCGTTTAGCATTGTGTATTGCGCGACAGAACTGGAATCTGAGAATTTGGAGACGGATCCATTGGTCAGACGAACGTCGCCTTCTGCTCCACGTCACTGATGGAAGAACGACAGTTTTGAGGCACCGGAACACGGCCTACACCCCTAGGAACATTAGCGAACTTTTGCATACGTCGGGGCCTCGGTATTGGTATTGTGGTGTATCTCTCGTTATTGCAGGTTATATTTGGTCACCATAAGGGGCAACTAAACAGGGGCTCAGTACATCCGGGACGTCGTTTCTCATTTTGGCAACCACCCTAATGCTACTCGAGCTCAATACATGGATGACCATGCCAGGCCTTATCGTTCGCATGCAGTCGTGGATTACATGAGGGCCAATGCAATAACGACTCTACCCTGGCCAGCAATGAGCCCAGATTTGAACCCCCTTGAAAATGTTTGGGATATTCTTGGGCAGTGCATACAGGCACGAGATCCTCCTGTACAAGATTTACGCCAGTTTGAAGGAGCATTGTATCAAGAGTGGTTGTTGTTGACCCATCAACAGATCCAACGTCTGACTGGAGGCATGAGACGTTGGGTGGAATGTGTCATCCGAGCAGGTGGCGGTTATACCCACTACTGATCTGTTTCACGTGTCATGTCAAGTAGAGACTTTAAGAACATTTTCACGTGAAACATCAAACGTAACTCGTTTACTTCATCCTGCAGCTCCATACCTATTTTAAGTATTGTCTAAGGTCAAAAACAGTACCTGTGTTACTATGATGTTTTTGTCAGTAAATATCAATCACAATTTACCAATATCTTCTTTATTTGTTGTCAAATGTTTGTTCTATCCGATGACATTGGTATCGCCCAGCTCCTGTGGCCAGTCATCCCATGCCATGATTTTTGCTCTTTGTCATGGTTCAACCTTTTTCTTTGTGTATAGTTTGACGGTCAAGGTGGTCCCACAAGAGTTCTTTAGGTGATAAATCTGGTTATTGTGCCGGCCAAGACGAGGTGTTTCATGGGGCCTTGTGTTGTCTTGTTGAAACAGGGTCTGTCATGTTCTGTTGCATGAACGGTGGTACAACAGGGTAGAGAGACTGGTCAATGTAATACTGTCCAGTGATGTTTCCTTCCAAAATCACAGGCCCATTTTAACTTGGCTTCTGATACTAAATTGACATTACTCATGATGCGACATTGACTTGGCTACAGATGCTGCCTTGACAGGGCTAATGATGCCTCATTGACAGGGGGCCCCGTGAAGATTCCGGGGTAGAATAGGTCTTCAGCAACCCATGTTTGCCGTAAAAGGTGACTATGCTTGTCGTAAAAGGCGACTAACAGGATCGGGTGGTCAGGCTCGCTGACTTGGTTGATACATTTCATCGATCCCAATTGCGTAGATCGATGCTCATGATATCAATCACTGGATTGTCTGGTCCAGACTCGATTATTTACAGACCACCGTCATATAGCTTGAATTTTGCGGAGTGCGGCGTTAAACAACAAACCAACCAACCAACATCATTGACAGTGCTACAGATGCTGCTGCCACCTCCAAACGGTTCAACATCTTAAATGCAACAATGTTCTCCTTGTCGGAGGTTGACACTAATTCTTCCACCTGCTTGGAAAAACTTGAACCTGCTCTCTCCTGTGAACATGACTCTGTCAGTTTCTGCTCTACCAGTGTTGCAGTGTCAGCGTTACGTCTCGTAGTGGTCTGCAAGCTCTGTCACAGTCTCCTGACTGTCTACTGGCCCTTCTGGCTCTTCAGTGTCCACGGGTCTTAGCTGATGACGTCACTGTGATAATATCAGATGGAGGATACGAGTGTAAAGGTTCCTGGGTGTCGGTGACAGGCGGGTCCGCCATTCCTAGGCCTGTCACTCTTCCTCCCAATCTGCCTGAATCGGACCATGGGCCTGGTGACTATCATTCGTCTACAGCCAAAAGTCCTCAAGACGTGGTCATGCGTTTCTCCTTGATGTATCATACCAGCAGCTTGTTCTTTCTGTTGTAGGGTTAATCTCAGCATGCTTCTGTCAAACGGTTTGGTGTGAATGAATAGCGCATACTTCCCTTTAACCCATAACTTTGTAGGTTGGCATGATACCCATATCTTTGTAGGTTGGCAAAGTGCAGACAAAGATTCACTTCCAACTCATGTCCCTTGATGTGGGTACGGTAGCACATTCATTACCTCACCCATTGTTTTGGTTGTGTTTGGGCGATTGATTCTTTACCATTTAGTAAACCTATTCGGGATTTGGACCCAACGTGTCCAAATTTCAGTTTGATAGCGTTTCTTTTTCAGTTAACACAAACAGTTTTGCTATTTACGTCCATCATCCACAATCCTAGTAACTGAAAGGTACATTCCTCGTGTAGTTGTGAGTAGAACCATGTTAAGTTGACAATTTGTCTGCCTATCTGAAGAAAATTGCACACTGGACTTTTGCTACACATGGTGTTGTAAAATTGGTCTTTTCTTACATAAAAATGCTTTATTATACTGCTATCTTCAATGTTCTGGTTAAAAATCACCTACATCTATACTGGTTTAATGATGAACAGTGATACAATTTAAACATTCTTTCCATTATGTTGAATTTCAAAGCTACGTAAAACAGTCTCAGCCTCTAAAAATGAAGAAAAACAACAAGTGTGCAGAACTGCATGGGAACAATGTTGGAAAATAATTAAAGCTCCATGTTCCAGTTCTTTGTGTGCCAGGCACATCATGTTTTAATAAATACCCTGGACCCCCTCGCCATTACAGCTTCGTTTCGGAAGTGACGTCACCACCTCCATCGCTTCTATCTCTAACTAGGCACAGAATGTCTCTCGCTCATGAAAGCAATTTGACTGAACGGCTTTTTTTTAGGTCGTAGTATTCGTCTCGAGGCCATGGTTTGTTTCTTTGTTGTTTAACGCCACACCCAGCAATAGTTCAGCTATACGACGGCGGTCTGTAAGTCATCGAGTCTGGATCAGACCAGCAAGTGATTGATATCATGAGCATCGATTCACGCATTTGGGATCAATGACATGCATCAACCAAGTCAGCGAGCCTGATCACCCGATCCCGTTAGTCGCCTCTTACGACAAGCATGGGTTGCTTCACGGTATTTATCAAAACACTGTATAGTCGAGGATGATCATTAATGTGAACTTTGATTAATCTACTGCATTGGAACCTTGGCCCACAAACCACACTGAGTAGGGACCATGTGACACGGGTCTGAGCAAGCTAACCAATGCTATGCAGCGATACAGTACGTTATCTATACCATATAATGCGTCGCGTCGACGCGTGTCCCTGTCGTTTTAACGTGAGATGAAGGCTCAATCAACTATGAAACAGTAAACACTCTTCTCTCGTCAATCAGCAATGAAGTCGATCGCTCTGCTCTTCATATATGTGACCATTGCCAAAGGTGAGATTTTCAAAATGTTCCAGTCAAGTTAGGCATCTAAATCAATCACTTAGTTAGATCGGTGGTCGAAAGTAAGATAAGTATGTTTTAAAGCGATTTCTTCAAATAAGTGTCTTGTGGGTGAAATGAAAAAACAGGAAGATGAAAACATTAAAGATACTTCTCTTTGCTTAACTGACTAGATTTGAATTTTGAATAATCAAATTAACCAAGTGGGGACAAATTAATCATTCCATTTTCAATATCCTGAAATTTTGAAATTTTGAGGATTCGTTAACCAAATGATTATAAAATATATTGATCACATCGTTTCACGTATTGTTTAAAATATCTGAACGTAACATATTTTTATAACTGATACTGATCAATATTTTGAAAAGGGCATTGGTAACCCAGTCGTCGCAATGCGCTGCACAGAGTTATGTGCCTTAGGTGTGATAGGATCATATGATCTTATGTTCGAACCCCATATTCGCCAGATTATGATTCGGTTTGTCCGTGATATACCCAAGCTTGTGGGTTTCATCAAAGTCGTAGGCATCTCAAACCTGCAGCAATTTCATGCCACACTCTTCGTAATAATAGTGAAATACGACGTAAGACATAACTCAGTCATCACAATAGATCCACTATTCAGTCTGGTCACGTGTGTCTGACTGTATACACTGTAGGCATGTATGTCGACCACGGTGATCCCTACAAACCGGGCACGTTGGCAACTGGAAAACTCGTCATCACCAGCCTCGAAAACCACAGCCCCCTCCACGCCGTCGTCTACTACCCTAGCGTCCCTGGGGACTACGGTGTCGTCTTCTTTATCCCGGGATTTGACGGCGTCATTCTCAGCGAATACTACTCTGACTATCTCAGCTCTGTAGCTCAGCATGGGTAGGTGATGTTAAACACCTCATTCCGTAACAGAGTATGGCTAGGTGATATCAAGTCTCTCAACACTGTACCCCAGCATGAGTGGGTGATATCAAGTATCTCAACGCTGTACCTCAACATGGGTGGGTTATATCAAGTATCTCAACGCTGTACGTCAACGTGGGTGGGTGATATCAAGTATCTCAACGCTGTACGTCAACGTGGGTGAGTGATATCAAGTATCTCAACGCTGTACGTCAACGTGGGTGAGTGATATCAAGTATCTCAAGTATGTATGTAGCTGAGGGTGTACAGGGAATATCAAGTATCTCAACTATGAAGCTCAACGTGGCTGGGTGATAGCTATGGGTGTACAGGTGATGTCAAATTTCTCAACTGCATACCTGAGGGTGTACAGGGGATATCAAATATCTCAACTATGTACCTGAGGGTGTACAGGGGATATCAAGTATCTCAACTATGTACCTGAGGGTGTACAGGGGATATGAAGTATCTCAACTATGTACCTGAGGGTGTACAGGGGATATGAAGTATCTCAACTATGTACCTGAGGGTGTACAGGGGATATCAAGTATCTCAACTATGTATCCGAGGGCGTACAGGTGATATCAAGTATCTCAACAATGTAGCTGTGGGTGTACAGGTGATATCAAGTATCTGAAAAATGTAGCTGTGGGTGTACAGGGGATGTCAAGTATCTCAACACAGTAACCCCAAATTGGTAGATGATATTAAGTATCTCAGCTATGTAGCTTAGGGTGTACAGGGGATGTCAAGTATCTCAACACAGTAACCCCAAATTGGTAGATGATATTAAGTATCTCAGCTATGTAGCTCAATATGGGTAGGCGGTGTTAAGTCTCTCGACTCTGTAGCTGAGTATGCGTGGTTAATATTAAATATCTCAACTATACCACTCGCTGACCCACGCGGAGCTAAACGTCCGAATGCAGTAATGTTAAATTGTCTGTAGATTCATCGTGGTCGGTAGTGACTACATCTGGCCTGCAAGTGATCACCCAGGTTACGACAAGATCAATGAGAAGCTGGGTTTCATCACGGACAAGTACGTGGAGCAGTTTAACTGGGTAGGTGTCAGTCTGGGCTTCAGCACACTTTTAGTTTTCTATCAATGTAGGAGTGGCCCCATACCAGTCATATTGACATCCATATCAACAAGAATGGGTCTCACACTATGCAGATCTTTACTCGTGTGAGGAATCGAACCCGGGTCTTCGGTGTGATGAGTAAACGCACTTCCGCTAGACATATATTCTAACAGTAATATCACAATGAACAAGTCGACAGCGCGTACATTGACACACGATGCCTGCTCATGCTTTCTCTGCCTTGTAAAGATTCGGGTTGGAATTGGTCTACAGCAACCCATGCTTGTCGTAAGAGGCGACTAACGGGATTGGGTGGTCAGGCTCGCTGACTTGGTTGATGTATGTCATCGTATCCCAACTGCTTAGATCGATGCTCATAATGTCAGTCACTGGATTGCTTGGTGTCGACTTGATTACTTACAGACCGCTGTGCAATGTTGAAACGTCATTGAACTTCAATCTGAATCTGCGGAAGCTCCACATGAACATGTCCTATATATATCTCCAGATGAAGTCCAATCTACAGGGGTTGATCCAGGGCGTGGCGCCGGGCGTGGCCAGCGGGTGGGAGCATATTGCGCTTCTCAGTCATTCCGCCGGGGCGGACGCTTTGTTTAAGATGGCGGAGAGAAACCACACCCTTTTCCAGGTACCGCGTTCATAGAAACTAAACACCAATCGGATTACATAAAAAGCACAATCTCATTAAAATCAGATCTTAGTTCTCGCTATCGCTAAACAAAGATCTGATGACACCCCATTACGGGTCACGTCAGAACGACCTTTCATCCAACCAATCAGAGTGTCGCTTACCAGATCATGAAAGTGACAGTCGGAATGTGTTTTTTAATCATGCAACCACGAAATATTTAACACGGGTATTCCGAAAGACAGTTACGGGTTTTATTATTATATCCATACAATCTAGGCCATCTATATGTCATTCCAGAATGTTCTTCTTATCAGTTTAAATTGTTTTAATCGAGAATACGTCAAAATGTGGTTCGAAGCGTAGTTGCCAGTTTGATACCAGTGTCGTAAAGCTCGAGAAAGCTGCCTTCTGATTGGCTAATGTCAATTTCTTATCAGTCATTTCATTGGTCGGTCAAAGTTCGCGAAAGGTCGTTCTGACGTGACCCGTAATGGGATGTCCTCAGATCTTTGTTTGGCAGTAGCGAAAACTAAGATCTGATTTTATTGAGAATGATAAAAAGCACTATGTCACCTTTGCCAGTTTAACAGAGGTTTGTCCGCACCATATCCGTGGTGTTGAGTTCCACCAAATTGGTAAACGGCTTCAACCTGCGTTACTTTGGGATTTCATCCCACATAAAACTGAATAGTTGAATAACTGATAATAATTGAAACACTGTTTACACCAACGGCATGTTTAGAAATGGTCTTCAGCATCCCATGCTTGTAAAGAATGACTAATGGTAGCGGGTGATCAGGCTCGCTGACTTGGCTTTGATGCATGCCATCGTATCCCTGTTGCGTAGATCGATGCCAATGATATCAATCACAGGACTGTCTGGTTCGATTATTTACATACTGATGTCATATAGGTGGAATATTGCTGATTTCGGCGTTAAACAACATAAACAAAAAAGTAATTTTTTCTCATATAACATATTTAAAAATATACACAAACAAAAAAATTATGCACACCTTAATATATTTCATTATTGTTTGGTCCCAATATTTGTTACAGGCATGAAAGATATAATTACGGGAAAACGTATGTTTTCGCGAGATGATGTAATCAGTCATGCGTGACCAAAGCTCACGTGCCATGCATGGTATGCCCGTGCAGCATGCTACCCTCGAGTATCTCTAAAAGCAGTATATCCAAGCGTTAAATTGCTTTCTTTAAGCTCGGTTTAAAACAGTTATTCCATAACATTGTGTGACCATGGCATGAAGGCGATTATCAAGCACCACAAGAAGGCAAATAATCGGCATGCATAACGCAGGAATGTCTTGTAATGCCATTGGTCGGAATTTGGGGTATCATCACACTGTCGTAAGGCGTTTAGTTGGGAAACATACTCAGACCGGTGATGTACATGACCGTCCCAGATCCGGAAGACCTCCTGTGACGACACATCGCGAAGACAGGGACCTTCTTCGTCTCATACGCCGAGAACCCTTTTTAACAAGTACTCGTCTGAAACAGCTGTGGTTGCCCAATCGTCGTTTCAGCACCAGAACCGTCAAGAACCGGCTGAAAGGAGCAGGAGTGAGGGCTAGACGAGTCATAAAGCGTCCCTTGTTGAGAGATCACCACAAAGCTTCTCATTTAGTATTGTGAATTGCGTCACAGAACTGGAATCTGAGAACTTTGAGACTGATCCATTGGTCAGACGAAGGTAGCTTTCTGCTCCACGTCACTGATGGAAGAACGAGAGTTTGGAGGCACCGGAACACGGCCTACACCTCCAGGAACATTAAACCGACTGTTGAATACGTCGGGGGCTCGGTAATGTTATTGGGTGTGTATCTCTCATGATTGCAGGTAGGATTTGGTCACCATAAGGGGCAACTTAACAGGGGCTCAGTACATCCGGGACGTCGTTTCTCATTTTGGCAACCACCCTCCTGCTACTCGACCTCAGTACATGGATGACAATGCCAGGCCTCATCGTTCGCATGCAGTCGTGGATTACATGAGGGCCAATGCAATAACAACTCCACCCTGGCCAGCAATGAGCCCAGATTTGAACCCCCTTGAACATGTTTGGGATATTCTTGGGCAGTGCATACAGGCACGATATCCGCCAGTTTGAAGGAGCATTGTATCAAGAGTGGTTGTTGTTGACCCATCGACAGATCCAAAGTCTGACTGGAGGCATGAGACGTTGGGTGGAATGCGTCATCCGGGCAGGTGGCGGTTACACCCGCTACTGATCTGTTTCACGTGTCATGTCAAGTAGAGACTTTAAGGAACATTTCCACGTGGAACATCAAACGTAACTCGTTTACTTAATCCTGCAGCTCCATACGTATTTTAGGTACTGTCTAAGGTCAAAAACAGTATCTGAGTTACCATGATGTTTTTGTCAGTAAATATCAATCACAACTCACCAATATCTTTTTCATTTGTTGTCAAATGTTTGTTCTATCCGATGACATTGGTATCGCCAAGCTCCTGTGGTCAGTCATCCCATGCCATTATTTTTGCCATTTGTCATGGTTCAGAAATAGGGGTGTGCTTAACATTTTTCTTTGTGTATAGTTATAATACGCTGATGTTAAACATTGTTTCAGAGTGTCGTCCTTTGGGAGCCCTTCAGTTTTCAGTTCAACACGCCGACCAACTTCTCCCTCCCCGCCCTCATCGTGGGGACGCAGCTGTCCACGAGGAGTGCGTCCGTCATCCCGTGCATCATCCCTGGTTTCGGCTTCGACCACTTCTACAGCATGTGGGGGGAACCGCCCAAAGTCCTCATGAACGTCGAGGTGATGTAGCTCAATGTCTTTCACTTTCCTAGGTGCTGCTGCTGCTACTACTACTATTACAACATCTCCTACTACAATGCAGGGCCTCGCTCGACAAAGCGATCGTAGCGCTACGACTGTCGAATGTCTATATTATGATATATTATGAGATACATCAGCTTCGCACTCAATCTCATTAAAATCAGATCTTAGTTCTCGCAACCGCTAATCAAAGCAATCTCATTAAATCAGATCTTAGTTCTCGCTACCGGTAAGCAAAGATCTGAGAACACCCAATTACGGGTCACGTCAGACCGACCTTGCTCGAACTTTGACCGACCAATGGAATGACTGACAAGCCAATCAGAAGGTAGCTTTCTCGTGCTTTACGGCACTAACTTCAAATTGGCGACAATTCGAAACATATTTTGAAATATTCTCGATTAGAAATTTGAAACCTGAACTAATATATGGTCTAGATTGTATCGATTCAGTCGTTTCGCCCGTAGCTATCGTTTGGAATAACCCGTGTTAAAATTTTCTAGGTTGCATCATCAGAAATCACATTCCGACTGTCACTTTCATGATCTTGTAAGCGACGCTCCGATTGGTCGGATGAAAGGTCGTTCTAACGTGACCCCTAATGGGATGTCCTCAGATCTTTGTTTCGCGGTAGAACTAAGATCTGATTTTAATGAGATCGCTTTGCGGATCGGGCAGCACATAAGGGTAGCCAGGTGGTGGAGGCGTTGGCTTGTCATGCCGAAGGCCCGGGTCCGATGTGTGAAACAACACTTGGATAAGAGTCCACGAAGACTGCAGGGGAGTCAGTGTTTGTCGTAATAGTGAGTGAGTGATTGAGTTGGGTTTTACGCTGCTTCATGCAATGTTCCATAAATACAATGGCGGGCGATAGCGGAAGTGGGCTTCACACATTGTATCCATGTGGGGAATCGAACACGGGCCTTCGGCGTGACAAGCGAACGCTTTAACTTCAAGGCTACCCCACCGCCCCGCTTGTAATAGTCGTCTATAATGATTCAGGCTGGCGTGATAGTGAGATAGTGTTTCCCGACGGCGCGGATCATTCACTTTATGCGTTTAGTGAATGGTTTTCCAGGCCCAGGTTCTATAGTTTAAGGCTACGGTATATAAAGCTGGAATACTACAAACCGCATCCATTCACTAATTCCCATGGAAAAATAAACTGCCGCGCAAAAGAAGGTTCACACCCATGTTTGATGATGTAAAACATATAAACAAACAAGAAATGTTTATTCGATGTTTGTGTAACGGGTATGAAAAAAAATATTCAAATTTTGAAATTCCAAATTCTGTGGCATTTGAAGCGTTCTGTCAATAGCACGGTGTCTATGTCATCTGATCACCAGTGGTATTGGTCAGACAAGGAGAAACAGATTCTGTTCTGTTGTTTGTTGTGTTTTGGATCTCACGTTTGCAGTGTTTCTGCGACTGTTTTCAGCCTAGTAACGTTTTGATAACGTTTGTAGTGTTTTGGTAAAATCCAATTTTCAAGTGTATACTTTCTTTGGGCAGTTTAGTTACACTACTCTTTTCTAGGCCTGAAAAAATATTCGTCTCTCATAATAAAATACAATAACCACGAAAATATTAAAGTGTTTGTTTCTTACTTTTTTACAGAACTTTGGTCACTGTGACATCATGGATAATAGTTTTCGTTTGCGTAAGTGTGATAACGTGACCCAAACAGATAAATAGTGCGTGGCTGAAACCTGTAGATACGAGTTATCATATATGCAATGTATCAACGTTGCTGTCGAGTGTATCAACCCACATGCACATGCACAAGATTGGTATCGAGATTGAGATAATAAAATAGTGAGGTAAAATTGGATTGCGTTCTAGATTTTTGAAAAACGCAAGTGTCTGTGTATGTGTGTGTGTGTGTGTGTGTGTGTGTGCACGCGTGCCTGCCAGCGTGTGTGTGTGTATGTGTGCGCGAGCGTGCCTGTGTGTGCGCGTTCGTGCCTGAGTGTGTGTGCGCGCGCGCGCGCGCGCGCGTGACTGCGTGTGTGTGTGCCTGCGTGTGTGTGTGTGTGTGTATGTGTGCGTGCGTGCGTGCGTGCGTGCGTGTGTGTAGCTGCTTGTACTAGTCCAGATTAATGCCGCTTTCATGATGATAGCCCACTGAGATACCAAGCCGCAGTTTAACATAAATACCCCACTCAGACACAGTATGCTGACGCCGAGCCGACCTGTCCTTGTTTTATCCCCTTATGCCTAGCGCCAGTCAGGGTAACAACAAATACCATATTTTAACATCTTTGGTATGAGGCGGTCGGGGATCGAACCACAGACCTTCCGCTCTCCGGGTAGATACTTTATCCACTCGACCACGGAGGCGGTCTTGAGATCGTGAAACATGAAGGAAATGTCGGCTTCGCGTATCTAACTCTATGAGGAGAAGAAATTCGTTTGAAGAGATTTCATTTTTGAAGGGTTAGGTATGAATTACGAGAAAGGGGAATTACGAATAATTACTTGGAATTAGTCGATATATAATATGTCTTAAATATTGCCGATGCGGCGTAAAACTTCAGAAATTCTTTAATGTAGACTATTTCGTTTGGAGTGAGTGAGTATGGTTTTACGCCGCTTTTAGCAATATTCCAGCAATATCACGGCGGTGGACACCAGAAATGGGCTTCACACATTGTACCCATGTCGGGAATCGAACCCGGGTCGTCGACGTGACGAGCAACCGCTTTAACCACAAAGCTACCCGACCGCCCCTATTTCGTTTGGAACGGTACCGTCCAGATGAACGGGGTTTCACTGTTGTGAGTTTGGTTGCATCATCTGCAACAGCACTGCACCAAACAAAGACAAAACATCCTCTAATGTTGCTGTTTCTCCACAGTTTGCATCGATACCAAGATGTGTGTGGGGGGTAACGCCTCTGCCATCCCCTCCTACCAACAGTTCGCACAGGGAGTAACCTCCGCCTTCCTCATCTCCACTCTACAGGGCTACACCCAGGACATCACCTACGTCATCGACCAAAATAAGATACCTCTACCTCTTGTAGAGTTTAAATATAACATGTCAGCACCATCCAGTAAACACTGGCATTTATCATTGAACTGACACTATCAACAAATTATTTTGTAAGTTATCAGCCTTTTTGTCTTGCAATCTGGGTGAAAATTTAACCATGAAGCCCTAGGAACCAAATGAGATGAGGTGAAATGGGGGTTAAAAATAATTGCACTTACATAGCGAGCACTTCTGCTGTGACTAAACTGAACAAAAAAGTTTGAGATCGTAATTATAATATTGATGTTTTAAAACTTTTGTGCTCAGTGTTCACTACAAAAAATACCCCCAAAATAATCATTATGCCTAACTTATTTTGTTCAGCTTAGTCCGGACTAATGTCGGTTTAAAAATGCTAGCCCAATGATATATCATGTCGCAGTTTAACGTTGATAACCTCAGCCTCAGTATATTGACTCCGAGCCGACCAGTCCTTGTTTTAGCCCCCCTTAATGCCAAACAGGGTAACAACAAGTATCATCTTTAGCATCTTTCGGTATGATGCAGCGGCGACTGAACCACCGACATTCCGCTCTCCTGGCAGACGCTGGACCAAATGAATATGTCACCATGTGTTTGAACTATCTTTGAAAACCTGCTTGGGAAATAGATCTGTTCCTGTTCAAATGTTTGGAAAATCCTTCCTGAAAAGTCCCAAACAGCAATGTTTCAGAGATCAAAGTCAAATATGTCTGTTTATGAAGCCTTCTCGTACGTTTAAGAGGACACGGTGGTCAAGTTGTCAAAGGCAGCGCTATTAGCTGTGCAGAGTTGCCTCACTTAGGTTTACCAGAAACCTATCCGCATGGGTTCGAATCCTAAATTCACCCCGATTAGGTGTCTAGGCTGAAATAATCAAGCTGTTTCTCTCCACATTAACACAGTCTCTGCCGCCATCAGATTGAATCGTGTCCAGATTGATGCTAAAATAACTCCTGAGTGTCTGCTTTAGTCATCGCAGTCAATACATTTCACTCACTGTCCATTTATGTGTATGTGAATGTGATTCCATAAGTTCATGTATATTATGAATTATATGTACGTGAATGAGTGTATATAATGTAACATTGTTGTGTAGTATAGTGTGTATAGTGTATATTAACAACTTTATTGCTTGCATCCTGATAAAGGGTAACAATCAAAATGAATGTTCTTGGTTTTCTTAAAAATAACTTAAGAGTTAGTATTCAAACACTTCACTGATTCATTGTCATATAGTATACCATGTAACCTTGGATCCTCTTGGTCAATATATCAACCAACCCTTTATCATCTATGGCAGTATATACTCAACCGCAAAAAAACGTCAACATGGATTGATATATGAAAAAGCTTACTTGTCCAAACACTGTAAACATACTTTGAGACATGTTAAATAGATGAAACTTGGCAAAACTGATCATCAAGGTTGAAAAGTGTCAAATGTTCTTAAAGTGAAACACAACACTTGTCTCTGAGAAAATGGCATCACAAGTATCTCGTGTGTCCGCTATGTGCATTGATGACTGCCGTGCAACGTCGATACGTGGAATGGATGAGGGGGTTGATGAAGGCCATAGGCACTTGAACCCACACTGAGCGGGACGCCTGAACGCAGTTTAGCTGCAGTTGTCGGACTTGGTCAGACGTCATTCAGACGTCTTTGAATCTCGTCCTACGGGTGCTCAATTGGATTTAAATTGGGGCTGTGGGCAGCCCACTGCATGGTTCTGATGCCATTCTGCTGGAGGAAGTCTCTTGTTGCTTTCGCAGTGTGGGCATGCTGCACCTTGTGGTTGCGGCGACGTGCCAAATGAGGTATGACGTGTGGTCTCAAGACGTCATCAATGTACCGAGCTGCTGTGACACCATTGCCTCTCGCTGGACCGATGTTCTGGAAGACCACAGTGCCGACCCTCTGTGCAACCCCACTCCACGAGTCCCTCTCAATAACACAAGCATCCGAATAATGTTCCCCGCGGCGTCGCCAGACTTTCTCTTTGCCATCTGCTGTTGAGATACAATAACGGCTCTCATCTAAGAAGAGGACTCTTCTCCCCTACTGGTGGCGCCCACTGAAGATGGTCCCGGCGTCAGAGTGGGTCCTCGGTGTGGCCTGTGACAGTGGAGGTGTCTGCTCGACAATCGACGACGCACGGTGTCCACACTAATGTGTCGCCGGTGTGTCCCCATGGTCTGTCGAGCAGTTTCCGCAACAGTAACAAAGCGATCTTTAAGATGCTGTCGCACAATCTTACAATCCTGACGTCGGGTGGTGACCCTTGGTCTTCCACTACGTGGTCGGTCATCTGTAGTGTTGGTGGTCTGGTACCGTTGCTGGAGCCTGTATATGGTCCTTACGTGGACTTGAAATGCATTGGCTACTTGCCGGGCGGTTTGTCCAACTTGCAATCGTTCAAGGGCTTGGTGTCGCTGATTTCTTGTCAATCTTGGCATCTGATAGCAATTCAATAACGAATGAATGTTATCCGATCTGGGTGGATATTTTTGGGCAAGAAATGGGGGAACGCATGTGTATTTCAATTTGCACGGAACTCACGTGCACGTTACTATGACCGTTGCCGTGATGCGTTTGGGCGATCGGTTTTATTGTCATCTGCTTTTTTTTTTTATCATCAAATTCAGTGTGTGAGTATGGTTTTACACCGCTTCTAGCAATATTCCAGCAATATCACGGCGGGGAACACCAGAAATGGGCTTCACACATTGTACCCCTGTCAGGAATCGTCTGTCTGCGTGACGAGCAAACGCTTTAACCACTAGGCTACCCAACCGCCCCTCATCCAATTCAATTTTTCAGGCAAGGTAATGTTAAATTTTAGAAACTTAGACAAAAATCCCAGATATTTAAATGCCAACTTTCCATGCAATGTTACTTCAGGTGACGTTTCTTTTGCAGTTCAGTATATATAAATTCCAACCTTGGATCATCTTCAAACAGTATATCATCTATTCTTGGATAATCTAAGCAGTTTTGATCTAATCTTGGTTCATCTTAGCCAGTTTATGATCTCATCTTGGATCATCTTAGCCAGTTTATCATCTAATCATGGATCATCTTAGCCAGTTTATCATCTAATCTTGGATCACATTAGCCAGTATAACCAGTATATCATATATCTTCTGCCATTATATCATCTATTCGAACCTTGTTTCTGCTATATGGTTCTCCAAGATTGCTCAATCTGATTCACTCACTGAGATTTTAGCCCTTCATTCAACTTTGTTCATAAGAAAAAGCCCTTCATGATATTTCCGAAATAGTACCATTCCAATACATATAACCAAAGACTGATGAAGATCACGTTGTTACAGTGTGGTATTCTTGCTGATTATGTGCTGTTGTACATGGATTGTTACTCAAGCTGGACTGCCTGGCCCAGAAGGCTGTGATACAGCTTTGCAAAACAACACTCACTCACAAGAAGCAACACGCTGACACAGCTGGAATACTGCTGACAGCTTTGCAAAACAACACTCACTCACAAGAAGCAACACACTGACACAGCTGGAATGCTGTGGAAACAACACTCACAAGAATAAACACACTGCAATGGTTTAATCTTTTTATTGACTACCATCCCTTACTATCAGAGTAAGCATCATTGCAATTATGCAGTCAATTATCAAGAGATCATACATTATGTCAGCATCACAATTACATGCCTAAGGATATGGTCACTTGAAACAAGGATGCCAAGACTGAAAACAGATTTATTCTTTCTAGAAATAGCCATCCATCAAATTAGCCTGTTCTTTTATGATAAGTGGTAATATCACCAGCACTAGACTCCTTTCATCGCATAAGATCTCAAACACAACTGAAAACATCTGATAGAATACATAATTCCCTCCCCTGATCTTAATCCTCATATTGATTGGTTGTTCATTTGCAGCTATTGAGGGAGAGACATTCTGAGCAAAGTTGGTGACTTCACTTCCAAAATGAAGCTATAGTGGCAGATGGGTTTAGGGTATTTATCTTAATAGAATGTAGATATAATACCCCGGATAAATGAGGATGGAAACAAAACACTTGAGGCCTACATGTCTCGAGTGACCATGTACCTACACATCTGCATTTTTCATGATTTATAACATCAACAACTGTTCAGTAATAACACTAGCTAGTCACATTTAATCAGTACCATACTTCTCATAAGGTCCAGCAATATTCACAAGTGTTGCCACTGACTAGACATGACATTTTTGCAATTGGTTTACCGAAAATAAAAAACCCAAATAAAATCTGAAAAGCACTATGTTCTGGTTCTGACAAAGGCAGGTTTTTGTTTTCAACATGATAAAGTTTGCATACCAAAGATTAAACTGCTTCTTTTACATTATATTTGTTCCACTGTCCACAGACCATATGGTTTTGTAAACAATGCATAAACCAAGAACCAAAAATGTCTCATGTTACCTTGGTAACATAACAAACATACATACATATATACATGAACATGACATGCTATCAACAGTTGTTTTATCTTCATGATTACAATCCATGAAGTAATTTCCATAGTGTCCCAGCATTATGCCCAGTGGTAACGAAAACATGATGCATACTACTCACATGAAGTTAAGGACCACTTGATTGTTTCATATTACTATACACTGTAGTTAATCTGTCATGGCATGACAGACTTCCTATAGTCACATGAAAGGATCAGGTGGTTCTTAACTTCTTGAGCAGTATACATGTATAACATGTAGAAACTGAACCAATGGTTCAACACAGTAACATGACCTGGCAAATTGGCATCATCGCAGAACACATTTTATACTCATGATCAAGGATTTGGTGAATGTGTTTCCTGTAGACACTCCTGTGAAACCATCACCATCAGTAGTTTTTGGCAAAGGGATAGCTACCGTTATCAAATGTTTATTAGTTCTATCAGATCTTCCACTTTGATTTGATTCTCTAAATGAAGATCTGGGGACACCTCCTCAAGAGGTCATGTCAGGTCAACTTCATAATCAACCAATCAGCATTGAGGCTTCCAAAGTCTTTGGAAAGAGTGAGCCAAGCATTCAGACAAGCATATCTGATTTTTGTACATCAAAACAGAATATTAACAGGAGTTCCGAATGCAAAAAATATAGTAGTGCTATTATATTGTTGATGTTTTACATCCAGATGTTTCTGAGCATCATGACATGTACAACCCAAAACATGTTGTGTTTCTTTGTTTGTTAATGGCGGTCTGTAAATAATTGAGTCTGGACTAGTGATTGACATCATGAGCTAGACCTACGTAATTGGGATACAATGACATGCATCAACCAAGTCAGCGAGTCTGACTACCCAATCCCGTTAGTCGCCTCTTACGACAAGCATATTCAGTATTTATGACAAGCATGGGTTGCTGAAGACCTATTCTAACCCGGCCCAAAACATCTACTATTGAGGATAAATGTGTTCTGTGGTGGTTTTCTTTTGCTAAAAACAAAATATCTAAATTAAGGTGGAAAGAAATGAAGCTGAATTGTTTTAGAAAGCTGACATCTAATTGGCACAAGAACCTACACAGCCTTCATTTAAACTGGGCTTTCGGGGTTCACCAGGTGCTATTGTCTGTTGAGGTGCCAATTACTCAAATTGGACAATCACTGCTTGAAGTTAACAACTCATGAAACACCAGCTCCTGAACATTACAGAGACAGTAGGAACAGTGTTAAACAATGTTGTACTTAGTCAAGGACAATCACTGAAAAGTGTGGAGCATTCACTCAGGATCAGGTCAGTCCAAACACCTCATGAAAGACAATACATGTGAAACCATTTCACATCTCAGTTGACATGGTGAAAATTGCAATGACAAATATCATAAACATGTAACAAACACAGCTGAGAATAATCTATCAGAACAACTTTGATTTTTCCTCATTCTGCTTAACCATGTTAACAGGTGGTTCAGTTATTGTGGAAGCATATGACATCATCCATTGTATCATGACATCATAGTATTTGAGGGAGACATCATGTCTGTCTCACAACTATGAGAATTCATGTTGGAAGAATTCTCAGGAAGATTACTGAATACATTATATAATACCAATAAACATGATGTGTTTTCAAATTTTTCAGGTTTTAGGAATTCAGTGTCTGTAAGTTTCATTTGTAATTGAAAGTGTCAGCAAGAGGTTTGAAATGTTAAAATTTTTCGGTTACAAAATATGCAACATGCTCAATGACACCCAGAGTGAGTGAGTGAGTATGGTTTTACACAGCTTTTAGCAATATTCAAAAAAATATCATAGCTGGGGAGACCACAAATGTGCTTCACATATTGTATCCATGTGGGGAATTGAACCTGGGTCTTCGGTGTGTCAAGCAAAAGCTTTAACCACTAGGATACCCCACCACCCACAAAAAAACCCAGAAGTAAACAAACAATCTCTATCTCCTAGATATGAGGGCTATGAGACAAAAAAGTTGTCAAATGTTCTTGAGGGGTATATGGTGTGATGTACCCTGTGTGTGAGCCTATGTACCCTGAGCCATCAAGCCCGCCTGTGAGCGGGCTACATGAAAGATAACTGCCTGCTTCTTAACAAATCAGAAGCTAGTGTTTTATTGTCAGGTCAGATAACAGGAAATGAGAGACCACACAATCTAGAGAAATCCTATTCCAGGAATACTGCTCTGGACGGACAAATGCACAGAGAGACAATCATTATCACTTGTTCTCTTTCTTCTGCACAATCATGCCAATTACATTTCCTCACAAAATTAACAAACAACAATGTGTAAGTTTGAAAGAGAAGACACATATAACAGAAATACAATTCAGAGCATGGTATAATAACATGAACAAAAGAATGATAATAAAAGAATACTTTCATCTTACATACAAAATTTTAAAATGAACACAGTGCTCATGACATGCCTTATTACTCGACATGCTTATGCCCTGAGTGTATATATATAGAGTGATTCTAGGTTTTCAGTTAAATGTTTCTGCAAAGCACTAAAACACATCTGACATAGCTCTCAGTGTCATGTCAGTGTACCCACATCTTCCCGAGGCAAGGGAGTTAACTGACTATAAAAGTCCAGTTTCCACCCTTGCTGAACTAGGCTGGAATTATGGAGTTTTATTTTGGCTGGGTAGTCTGTGCATAGTCCAATCAAAATTGCATAATGAAATCAACATCTGGTTTGTAAACTGCAGTGCTGATTTCTGTTGATTGCAGGATTGCTAAGCACGTGAACCGTCAACTTAGCGCGAACAGATATTTTCCAAATCATTTCATGTTTTTAATCTAGGTGCTAACGTGATCGGTCAGATTGTCTTCACTGGTCGCTACCATTTGGTTTGAAGCAAATGCTAGTGATATCAGAGGTGGAATCGTAAAAACCACTGGTGGCGCTACGATTGAGCCCAGAAATTCCAGCCTGGTTCGGCAAGGATGGTAAGTGGACTTTTACAGTCAGTTAACTCCCTTGCCTTGGGAAGATGGTGTACCCAGCGTGGTGCCTCTTAGCTGGTACCAGGATCTGCAGGTCGAGGGGTAGAATACTGTTCCGAAAAGAATCCACATTCTATCAGAGTGTGTAAGTAGAGGAGTAAGGTATCAGACATACCAATTGTACCCAGAATGATTATTCCTATCAAAAGTGGAGAAGAATAAGAAGAAACCTAGGACTCTTTGTTGCAGGAGAATTGAGTGAGTGAGTGAGTGAGTTTGGTTTAACGCCGCTTTTAACAGTGTTCCAGTTATATCGCGGCGTGTCAGCTTAATGTGGCAGGTCACAGACGTTTACCACTTCGGTGAAACCCACGAGCACGGGTATGGAGCCGACAAACCTAGAAACATAATGGGGGCGAACTGGGATTCAAACCCACGATCACAGGTTTCTGGCGTGCCCAAGGGACGCAACCCTGCACAGCGAATCGCGGCGCCTTAGATGACTGGGCCAGCTGTGGACTCACCTTATTTTCAAAGGCTTCACCATAGTAATTTGGGGCAAAAAGGTACAAAACATAAAACCAAATAAAAATATTTTCGTGCATTTTTAAAAAAGTTTAAACAAGACCGATTATTGTAGTGTGTGACCCCTTAAACATGTTTGACATGATGACTAGTCCGATAAACATTTACAACCGTCAAAGAACTTAAGTAGTTTTGTGGACCACGGCCAATGTCGCATACAAAATGATGTGAAATGAATGTCATTCTCAGGATTATTTCACTTGTATAGCAACGTGCATACATACATGTGTGTGGCTGCCTGTCCAGACTAATGCTGGCTTTAAAGTGCTAGCCCACTGAGATACAATGCTGCAGTTTAACATGTATCCCCCACTCAGACACATTATACTGACTCCAAGCTGGCAGTCCTTGTTTCATGCCCTTAATGCCGAACACCAGGCAGGGTATCAAAAAGTACCATCTTGTAGCATTTTATGGTATGACAGCTGGGAATTGAACCCCCAACCTTCTGCTCTGCAGACAGACACTCTATCCACTAGACCGGGAAGTCGGTCTTTTAGCATGCAAGGACTACCTGACAGCTGAACGCATCGAGTTGGCATTACATAAAATACTGAGATACCTGAGCAAAGTGGACACATAGAGAATCTCACCCAAGTGCCTTTTGATATCAAATATATCGGGTGTTGATATATTTGATATCAAAAGACATGAGGTGAGATGATTTTTATCATCCAACATCATTCTTCCAACTTTTTCAGTTTGTAGACAGAAATAAGCAGTGTCTTAAGTGTAAAAAGTACTAACAGAAGAGCCATTAGTGATGTCATTTGATTGTGATGTCATGGTAACTGATGACGCCACAATTGTCTGAAAAGCATAGTGATGCAATTTCATTGAAGCAATATCTACATAGTAGATACTGCTTGATCTCACCCAAGTGATATCTCCTGTGGCAGCAAGTTTTGGATGATAAATCATAAAACTAGAAACACTCACTGTAGACTTCTGGCATGACTTATGAAGAGATTCCATCCCAAATCAATGAAATGAGGCAACATGAGGACTAGGAATTAAAACAAGGTGTCATTGGGTTGAACCCCTGAAATGACATTTCCCGAAAAAACTATACACTACTTCCATAACTTGAAATATGTAAACAAACCTTGTGTAAGACAGGAAAAACCTACTAGGGCCACAGAAACGTAATCCTGGATTGTCCAGTCTATTACGAGTATGACTCCATTCTGTTATGATCAATATTCACTTCCATATGTCACTTCCAGGCTTAAAAAAATAAAAGAATTGGTTCTCAGTCAATGACTTTTGAAAATTTAGTGTGAAGGGATGGTGTGTTTTTTTGGTTTTTTGTGCTTGTTCAAACTAGTATGTAACCAAATAAACAGTTGTGTACCATCAACCTGGAAAAGGGCCTCCCCACATAAACAAGCATACAAACTCCTATTGCCACCATGACCATAACACACAATGCACAGTAAAGCAGTGCGCATGTAAAGGGAAGTATCTGCATGCTATATTGGATCACATTTTTTAAGTATTAGGATTTTTAAAGTTATTTGGAAAAGGGAAATAAAAACAAAACGTGCAGCAGACTTTATGATGATGCATGCGGTGCCTGAGAACCAAGACTATTATATTTGTAAGATCTGTATGAATTTTGGTGAAAATAGAAGGTGAGAGAAAGTCTGTGGGCAGTTTGTTCAAGTTAGAGATATGAGAGATGGAGATGGTCACATCACTTCCCAAACACAGTCATGGTGGCCAATAGGTCCAGGCTACTTACTGTAACAGACTGGAGATATAACACACTAGAAAATCAAGGATGCCAAAACTTCAATTCCCATTGCAAAATCATACAAATTGGCATATCTGAGAATTAGTCTCAGCATTGTAGACAGAATAATAACATCAATGATAAGATCACCCTGGGGCACTAGGGTTTCTGAACACCATATGTTTTGGTCCCTTCCATCTCCAGTTTTGGCATTTTTAAATAACCACATGAAATTGGTTGTGAAAACAGCATGAGAAATCTAGCATACTTTTGTAACTGAGTGTGTATTTCAACAATATCACAGTGGGGGACACCAGAAATTGGCCTCACACATTGTACCCATGTGGGGAATCAAACCCAGTTCTTCGGTATGATGGGCGAACGCTTTAACCACAAGGCCACCCAATCAAGCCAGTATACATGAGAAATCTAGAAAATCTCACCGAGTTGTGAGTTATGACTGTCAGCTGTGTGTCACGGCATCAAACTATACAGATCAATGCTTAAATCAACAACAAAGGACCATGAATCAGTGGAAAGATTTCTCATCAGGCCTGTTATCACCCACGTGACTACAGTCTGCGCCAAGACCTTTAAGTCCACTAGCCTGAACTTCTAAATTTTAGTGTTATCATATGGCATTTATTAGCTGATCATAATAGAACATATAAGCTTTACTAGGCTCATGCTTTGGACTAGTGGCTGAAGTCGCACTGTTACTGAGGGAGATGGGGAAGTCTAGAGGTCCAAACATTCACTGGTCACACTGAAGGCCTGGGTTCGATTCCCCACATGGGTACAATGTGTGAAGTCCAGTTCTCATGTCTTCAGTTGTGATATAGCTGGCATATTGCTAAAGCAGCTTAAACCATACTCACTCACTCACATGTATCATGATATGTAGACTAATAGTACACGTAGTAACATCTACACATTTGCCTTCAATCAAGTGACATGTATTTATTAATGCAACCTTTCCATATCTTAACACCAAGATACATACTGCCTCACAACAAGCAGCCTTCATGTGTTTAAAGACTAGTCATGTGGACTAGTTGAAACCTTATTTCACTAGTGCTCAGTTTGTAGCTAGTCCTGCTTGAATGAGACAAAAAAGTTTACTATGTTTACATTTTCTTTTAGTTTTTTTCAGTTTCAATATGTAGCAAATGTGTCAATTAGGACTGCAATCATTGGATTTTTACTTTGGATTTCTGGACAATTAAGTAGTCTCGGCTTAGTGGACTAGCGTGAATTTCAAAGGCTACAAAGTGTATAAATAAAGGCCTATTGCTCATAATGGCTTGAATGCCCATTCTCTCATAGTGGTGAATAAAAAATAATGACAACAGGATGACATGCAGAAATCGCACATCAACACTATATACAGCTTGTGTTGCGGCAGCGCTCCCCAAAACCAACATTAAAAATATTTCAATCATCCAAATTTGAAAAACAAATCAAGCAATCTCTTGCACCCAACCCATGAACTTAAAGAAACAGGAAATGAAGGTTACCATGGTGACATGTAATGTCGCATAACAATCAACTTCTATACAGTGCCCCCTACAGTTCTTGCTTGACAGAAGGCGCATCACTTTCGGACACCTCATCAATCTTATCCAAATGACCGTACCAATGATTGTAAGCCAGCAGTGCCACATTACGACCTCCAATTGCACTCATTTCTAGAGCAGACGCAGCAATCTCTACAGCATTCACATTATACAGCCTGTCATATAAAACAAAGGGAGGTAACTCCATATTTGTGCTGTATTGAGGATATGCTTTCCAGTTGATGAGCCTCAAGTCTTTTCGACCAGAGAATAATAATCTCACCTCTTGTTCGGTGGGAACACGATTCAAGAAAACTTTATAAACTTCTTCCTCAACGTCTTTCTTTTTTAAATGCTCCTTAAAACTAACTGGCCTTTGCTTTCCTACAGAGTTAAAGAACACATCTTCGTCAACTGTGAAAATTCCATTGGGCATATCTTTTAGGTTTTCGTATCCAAAGTATGAAGCATTAAGGTACCCCTGAACAAACAAAGCTATTGTTTCATGCAACTTTAAGTCTGGAAGTGGTAAGTGTTGTGTAAAATCTTCAAACTTAATGTTGGTCTGTCCTGTAGGAAGAGGCGTTGCTATGACAACAATATCATACTCCCGAGCGTTTTCCTCCTGATCCTTGCTTTCTGGGTCCGGGTTTTTATATGACACTTCATATGTAACACCTTCGCCATCCTTTTGCAACAGGATCTGTGTTACCTTCCCATTGATCAAGTTTGCTTTGGATTTCTTCAACAGCTTTTCAGGAACTTGTTTATTACCTCCCTTGACCGCCCATAAGCCAGGTTGCGCCCCTGCCATCGATACTGCACCTGGGTCAATGAAAAATAAAAAATAGTTTCTTCAAATATGAAACAGAAATCTACATGAGCACTGTTGCAAATAATCAACTTCATCAAAATGATTAATGATGGATTGATTTTAGTTTTCATCCAAGGAATTCTATCAGTTGTGATTGATTTTTTTTTCTAATATAAGATTATTTTCATTAATTTGTCGTAATAAATCAATAAATGGTTTCAGGACATTTACCATTCTAATTTGTCTTAGTTCAATCTGAAGTAGAGTACATGTAGTATTATTAAATGTCGAAGGTGTTGTTATTATGTGTCTTCAACATGAAGAGTTGAGGTGAAATTGGGTTTAACGTCGCGTCCAAGATTATTGCACTTATATAGCGACGTGCATGCACGTGTGTGTCTGTGGCTGCTTGTACTAGTCCGGACTGATGCCGATTTATAGTGCTAGGTCACTGAGATACCATGCCGCAGTTTAACATGTTTAACATGAATACCCCACTCAGACACAGTATACTGACTCCGAGCCGACCAGTCCTTGTTTTAGACCCTTAATGTCGAGCGCCAGACAGGGTAACAACAAGTACCATCTTTTAACGTCTTTTGTTATGACGTGGCCGGGGATTGAACCCCGGACCTTCCGCTCTCAGGGCGGACTCTCTACCACAAGACCACGGAGGTGGCTTCAACATGAAGAATGCAGAGAACATGGACAAAGAATGCTCATGACAGAATTCTCTCTTCCCATCAATTGGGATATCATGCTTTCTGTGTGTACAGTCTGTGTCAGATCCTTTGAGTCGGGTAGCCCAAACATGGTCCAGTAACATAAATGACAGTCAGGGAAGCCTGCAATAACCTGCTTCTAGTGGGACACCCTCACTCACCCACAAAGGCTGGGATAGCGACACTCTGTCCGTAGTTGTTTCTCATGATGGCGTGCACCATCTCCTTGATGAAGATATCGGAGAATCCCTGTTCCTTCATGACGTCCATGATGGTGGTGTGAGTGTACCGCACAAACTCCGGGTCCATCACCTGCAGCATGTCCTCCACTGTTGTAAATGCTATCCCCTCATTCTGCAACTTGTAGATTCTGCACAACAGGGAGAGTGAGTGAGTGGGTGGGTGAGTGGGTGGATGAGTGAGTGAGTGAGTGAGTGAGTGAGTGAGTGAGTGAGTGAGTGAGTGAGTGAGTGAGTGAGTGAGTGAGTGAGTGAGTGAGTGAGTGAGTGAGTGAGTGAGTGAGTGAGTGAGTGAGTGAGTGAGTAAGTGGGTGGGTGAGTTGGTGGATGAGTGAGTAAGTGAATGAGTGGGAGTGAGTGAGTGAGTGAGTGGGAGTGAGTGAGTGAGTGAGTGAGCGAGTGAGTGAGTGGGAGTGAGTGCGTGAGTGAGTGAGTGAGTGAGTGGGAGTGAGTGAGTGAGTGAGTTTAATGCCAGTTTGAACTGTATTTCAGTTACATCACGGCTTGATGTGGGAGTGAGTATTACTTTACGCTGCTTTTAGCAATATTCAGTGATGCTGGTATATGGATGCTTCGCTTTGATGAAATCAATGAGCATGGGTTCTGTGCTGACATGAATGAATGAATGAATGAATGAATGAATGAATGAATGAATGAATGAATGAAATGTAACAAATGTCAATTTGGGACAACACTTTCTTAGTAAAGTACAGATTCTTGTACTTTTTGGGGTCAAGTCTCATCTGGGATTTGAATCCACACTGCCAGGGAGAGGCACCTATTCGCCAGCACCGACTCAGCCACCGAGGCCTCCAAGGAATGAATGAGCCGGGTTTAACGCTGCTTTAACAGTATTCCAGTTATGTCACGTGAGCTTAATGAGGTAAGAAAGCCTGAAGTGATGCAGTTCTCAGGCGTTTACCACTTTGGTGAAACCTGCACCCAGGGGCATGGTGCTGACAAACCTAGAAACAATCTGTGTGTACAGGGAATTGAACCCACGATCACAGGTGTCTGGTGTGCACAAGGGATGCAACTCTGCACAGACGTGTTTAGTAATTCATATGTCATACCTTGTAAAGTTTTTGAGCAGGGAGTCTTGGACCCAGTTCTGGATTTTAACAATGTCATAGCCGTAACGCCACAGCAATTTTGCCATGGTAACCGCTGTCCATGTGCTAGTTTCAACTTTCATCCCATCAGATCCAAAAAATCCAATTCTTCCTTCAGATGCATCAATCCTCTCAAGACCTAACAAACACAAATATTATTCAAATGAACATACAAGCCCAAAATACAGTTCTCATCAACAAGAGCCAAGCTTATCAAAAGTCGTGGGGTGGATAACCATGATAACTTTCAGGTTTTCAGTTTTCATCATTAACACTAACCAGTGCTAACAAGAACATGGGTAAATTAGCGATGTGAGTGAAAAGCTTGTATTCATAGAACAGTTATTATACACAGTGTTCCCGATTACCGGTAATTACCAGTATTTAAAAGGAAAATTTAGGCTTGGACCGGTAATTCTTCTGACTGTTAGACCCTGTGGACCAGCAAATTAGGTATCTTGTAAATCTTTGTTGTTGAATAAAACATTGACAATAGTCAATAAATAATATTTTTCTGACAAAATCAGCTTGTCTGTTATCATCAGGGGTTCACACTGTCTATTTTTAGCGCAAGGAAATAATATTTTGCTATATATAATAATAATATTTGAAATAATAATCTATTTGAAGAAAATTAGTCTTGAACCAAAGTGAAATATTTAGAAAAAAAAGAGAAAATTGCGATTGAATTTTGTGTGAATGATGTCTATATCTAAATAAGTTACTTCAGAAATGAAGTTACTGATTTTGTCAGCCATGAAAAGAAATTGATGTTGAAAGAATTAAAACTAGGTAATTTTCATATGATATTTATATGTTCAAAGGTGGGTCTGACAAAAATTGGGTGGGTCTGGTAATTTTTAGAGTTACTAGTCCACTTGAACTGGCAGTTTCAACATGTTGTCAACCTTAATTACGAAACAAGTCCTGTTTTATGGGAGGTTCACGTTCATCCAATAGCCAATCACAAGGTTCAAATAGCATGGTGCTTCAACCTGGCTAGTTACACACAAGCTGGACATGACAGAAGGCGGAGATGAATGTGAGCTTAAAAATCTTTCCTTCAAATCAGCTGTTTGGGATAGTTTTGACCTCCCTGTTACAGTTTTGATGGACTCCATTTTTTAACATAATTTTTTCACTCATCTGAAATACAGCAATTCAGTTCGAGAAGTATCGAGAGTATCGAGATATGTATCCAATAATAACCATGGTAACCAGAATATTGTTGCACTAAAATTATTTGACAGATTATCAAGAGATATTTAGCTGAAAAATACTTCACAAAAAAATTTGAAAAACGACAGGCGCATGTATTCCAGTCCTTGGTTGTCGTTTTTTTAGTGCTTGTACTTGTTTATCTCTTTATCACTGTTTATGGAAACACTAGGTAGTGTTGTATAAAAACTTTGCGTACATTTTTATTATGTGATCTCTTGGGTGTGAAAATTTTACAAATAACATAAAAATGTCCAACATTGTGGGCATATCCTATTCTCACCAAACATGTTTGTAAAGTCAACCAAGTTGGTGTAAGACTTGCTGTACTCGCCAAACATGTTTGTAAAGCTGGCCATGTATTCATTGAGGGGGTGTAAGACAGCTGCACATGCTGTACTCACCAAACATGTTTGTAAAGTCGACCATGTATTCATTGAGGGGGTGTAAGACTTGCTGTACTCACCAAACATGTTTGTAAAGTTGACCATGTATTCATTGAGGGGGTGTAAGACTTGCTGTACTCGCCAAACATGTTTGTAAAGTTGACCATGTATTCATTGAGGGGGTGTAAGACTTGCTGTACTCACCAAACATGTTTGTAAAGTTGACCATGTATTCATTGAGGGGGTGTAAGACTTGCTGTACTCACCAAACATGTTTGTAAAGTTGACCATGTATTCATTGAGGGGGTGTAAGACTTGCTGTACTCACCAAACATGTTTGTAAAGTTGACCATGTATTAATTGAGGGGGTGTAAGACACTGCTGTACTCACCAAACATGTTTGTAAAGTTGACCATGTATTCATTGAGGGGGTGTAAGACAGCTGCACCTGCTTCATACTCGAAATCGTCAATGTTGATCGATCTTGCCCGTCCACCAACTCTGTCCTGCTCAAAGATGTCAATAACAGCTTCCTTTCCAAAGAGCTGGCGTAAATAGTAGGCTGTGGTTGTTCCCCCTACACCTGCTCCTATGATGCCTGAAAGTTATTATGTACTAACATGAAAAACATGCAGGGTCTTACACGACGTAGAAATGTGTGTCGAGAACGCACAAATGTATAGAATGGATGCAGAAAATAAATATTGCATCCTAAAGAATGCACAATAATAATCATTGTACCAAATTCTTGACCAGTAAAATAAAGGTCCTGTAATTAAAATAGTTATCAAATCAGACAGTACAGCACACTACTCAATTTTATCAGGACACTCATATTTCCTGTAAGGACCCTTGAATATAAATTCTTGGGGGTCCAGTTGTCAAGGTATAACCATTACTTGTACAATGAAAGCATTATACGTACTATTTAGTAATACATGTACTTATCTACTGAAACATGTCTTACATGTGTTACTTTGTAATTTTCCTACTGTACAATGTCTGTATTGAACAGCACATTATCATGATTAGAACTATATGTACTTGATAACCGTATAAAAGTAACAGTCAGCAAATTTTTCATCTTCATCTTGATAGGCTGTAGATAATGAGGTCTGTCATAGCACAATCAACATACCATGCTGCTTTAGATTTATTTACTAAACAAGATTTACTTGCACATTCAAAACAACTAAGGATAAACAGAATGACCAAGTCAAACAAGAATTGTGAGAAGTTGTCATAGGTTGTAAAAACTTCACTTTGAACCTCTATGCCGCTTGGATTAGATTAGAGCTTTGATTAGTTAACAGCCTGAGATGGACAATGCCCATTCATATAATAGGGGTGAGGCAATTAAGCATTTGAATAATTGTAGGCGAAATGAGGTGTAGGCGAAATGAGGGCAAGCCGCTGGAGTATGTTGACACACAATCAATCAACTCAACAAGGAGCCTGACGACATAATTCCTGTTTAGCACGTTTAGCAGGCTCCTATGACAAGCATTGGGTACTGGGGACCATTGGAAAGTATTTTAACCATCAATACACAGGGGATCTTGCTGGTACTATTAGCTATTGCTTGAACACAAAGAGATTACCATGATCATATGGTAAATAGTATTGCCATCAGGGTTGGCCATATTACATCTACAAAAACATCAACATTTTCTGTTATCATGTACCATACAGTCAATGCAACACTCATCATTCATATTTATCATTCTTTGTCAATGTAAATGTGAGTTTATATGTTGACATATTAACATGATTAAGTAATAAATGTTTGAAAATAGGAAAGACATTCAAGATTGACTACTGCATTTGCTGGTGCACTAACATGATTATGACTATTATGTCATTATTCAAATGACCGTGACATTTATTTATCTGGATATATAAATCATATTTTGTGGAATTAGCGAGAAATGAAGAGATGCCAATGATCTACGCCAACAAAATGTCCCGCGAAAACAGGTGACGATGCGATAACTGATCGCAATTCACCTCTAAAACGACAATATTTTACGTTTAACTGATGCAAATATTCATTGTTCGGCAAATATTTTATTAAAATTGAAACATAGATGCTATACCTATACGAGGAATTTCTTCTCCATCCTCTTGTGATTCTGTCAAGGAGAATAATCCTGTTATCAGGACGACATAAGTAACAGACTTCCACATTGACGCCATGTTAAGACAATGTGAAGTTGTTGCCGGATGCTTTTTTCGTAAAACCATTTAGTGAACTTTTTATATATATTTAGAAATAGATTACCAGAAATATTCAAATACATACTTAGTTTATTCTATGAGCGTCATTTTATATCATTATTTAATTATGGACGATCAGGAAATTCGTAATACGTCAAAAGGAATCTTAGCTTTGTATAATATTTCTCAAAATGTCTGCGCCCATGAGATGCATGAGAGCAATGTTTCATCACATTTACCTCCGAAATGTGTGTCATAAATGTTGGAGAAACTTACGCTCTGGAAAGAAGTTATTGATGTCTAACGCGCTGAGAGGATCTTTTATGATTTCTGCCTCTGTTCTAGGTCCACAGACCTCGGAAATAAAAATGACTGTAGGTGTTAACGTAATTAGCCTATGCCACGACCAGTGTTAATTACCATCTTCACATAACTAGGCCAAAAACAATAACATAATTAACATGGCAATCTAAATGAAAAAAAAAGAAAGAAAGAACTTTACTTTATTCTATTTTGGGAAAATTATATTATCAAAATGAATCAGGTCATATATCCTATCATGGATACATAAAGGGACAGTGTCATGTGTTTTTTAGACATGCATGCAATAATTTCCGAGTGTGACATCACACCTTTAGTTCCATCTTCCTATGGCAAACGTGTCCACTAGCCTGTATCAAAGCCATTTCTGGTGTCCCTAGCCGTGATATTGGTGGAATATTGCTAAAAGCGGCGTAAAACCCAACTCGCTTAGTCATTATTATGATATAGAACATACTTGTACATGTAGTAACATATACACAACTGCATACCTTATACAAGAAGGTACACCATGTACACAGTGTAGAAAATACAAAAAACATGTAGTTGCACCACCTGTTGTTGAACAGACACTGTACGCCATCACGCTATCCAGTTTACTTATCATTTCTATGTCTGAACATGTCACTGAAGTGGCAACACCCTGCAACAAATGCATATTGTCAATGTTTGTGGTATATCATATATTGAGAATGATAATTCAAACACAACGTTGTGTACCTGGTACTGTCTCTCTTTTTTGCAAAGTTGTGTTTGCAAATACCTATCAAAGACTAATATAACAGGTATGATATGTATACATATATCTTTGGCAGTGCAGTTTCTTTTATAGTGGGAATTGTATGGGGCAGAAATATAACTTTGGTCATATAACATGTACAAAGATGGTTTGGAGAGATCTTGGGGTATCCATTTATTGCTGTATGGCTGTATGATTAGACATGTGTATGGGGCATTTGATTGTGTGCTTATATCAATAGTCACCTTAACAGGCTCCATGGTCTAGTGGTAGAGCATCTGCCCAGAGTGCGGAAGATCAGGGGTTTGGTCCCTGTCCGCGTCATACCAAAAGACATTCAAAGATGGTACTTGTTACTACCCTGCCTGGCACTCAGCATTAAGGGGCTAACACAAGGAAAGGTCGGCTCAGAGTCCGTATACTGTGGCTGAGTGGGGTATTCATGTTAAACTGCTGTAGGTATCTCACTGAGCTAGCACTATAAACTCGACATTAGTCCGGTCGAGTACAAGCAGCCACACAAACACACGTGCATGCACATCGCTATATAAGTGCAATAATCTTTTACTGCAACGTTAAACCCATTTCACCTCACCATTGCAATAGTAACCATGGTAACAGACAATGGACCCTTACATGCTGTAGTATAGGGAATGCTCCCACTGTTGTTAGAGGTGGCACGAGTGATGATACTCAGATAGTAGGGAGATGTGCCCTTCCTTCAGGATTCCAAGGGCCTACCTCTGAATCATTTTTGATTCAAGTCCTGTATCATGTTTAACATGTTAAAAACAAACTGACTTGTACATGTATTTTGAAGCTGTAGGGTCACTGTAGATGGAGTTGACATGGATTTCAATTTCTTTAGTCTTTGAATACTACATTTGAGCACGTATACCAGTCAGCACATTGAAAGAATTAAAGAAGTTGAAATCTAACCCCCTGTCTTCATAGACATTTAACTATTTCATCATTTGAAAGTTGTTTGCAAACTCTTGTCTTTATTTTTTCAAGGAACCCTTTTCATGGTTAACCAGAAATAATCAATGTTTGTGTCTTTGCATAATTGCCAGCCCCCTGACCCGACCACCTTGACACACTCCTACCTCATCAAGAATGCATCCACGGTTGCCATGGATGCATCTTCGACAGTGTTGTCCCAAGTTGTTGCCAGCATCATCCAAACAGAGAAGGAATATACACAGGTAGCACCCATGTTAAACCTATGGATATAGTGAGTGAGTGAGTATGGTTTTCCAGCAATATCATGGCGGGGGACACCACATATGGGTCTCACACATTGTACCCATGTGGCGTGACGAGCAAACGCTTTCTCTAGGCTATTCCCCCGCCCGGGGTTCGATTCCCGACATAGGCACATTGTGTGAAGCCCATTTCTGGTGTCCCCCCCCCCCCCCCGTGATATTGCTGTAATATTGCTAAAAGCAGCGTAAAAACCATACTCACTCTCTCGCTCCTGTTGTGAGGGTGGTCTAATCATCATGGACTACATAATGATAAAGCCTATTAACTGCTTGAATGATAATATGCACATTTCCACTCAGGCAACTCACTCACTCTCAAGTAGTCGGGTAGAATACACTCTTAGAATACACTCTCAGTACACTTTTCTTATTTTAAGAGCTGACTAATATGAGGATCACGACAGACTGAGGACCTGACTGTTTATGTTGAAATGTAGAGTTATGTATGAGCTGCTCGTCTTTTGGCAGACTATGGAGGACCTGAGTGTTTATGTTGAAATGTAGAGTTATGTATGAGCTGCGTGTCTTTTGGCAGACTATGGAGGACCTGAGTGTTTATGTTGAAATGTAGAGTTATGTATGAGCTGCTCGTCTTTTGGCAGACTATGGAGGACCTGAGTGTTTATGTTGAAATGTAGAGTTATGTATGAGCTGCTCGTCTTTTGGCAGACTATGGAGGACCTGAGTGTTAATGTTGAAATGTAGAGTTATGTATGAGCTGCATGTCTTTTGGCAGACTATGGAGGACCTGAGTGTTTATGTTGAAAATTAGAGTTGTGTATGAGCTGCTCTTCTTTTGGCAGACTATGGAGGAGCTGAGTGAGTTGCTGGAGTTTCAGCTCCAGGTTCTGGGGCATGGGAGTCCTCAGGAGCAGCAGGTGTGGGATGACATCATTGCCACAAGGGACAGACTGACCACAATCAAACAAACACAGCAGGTACTGCATGTCTAGGGTCCCTCAAATTTTCAGTGATTACACATATTCCCTGTAACATATCCATATACAATAACATAGCGTTTATTACCTACATTTGGGTTGTAAATTGATATTGTTTTTGAGAGAGCTGTGTATATATTAATAAAAAACATCAAATTAAGTTTTTCTAACACAAATCTGTTGTTGCATGTGACTTCACAGTTATCTAGTCTGTCCCCATCCCCATGTGTCTACACTGGTAGTAATGTGGAAACCAACCATGATAAAGATAAGTGACAATGTATGAGCGTAACCATGGCAACAATCGTGATTTTGTGCAACAGCTGTTCACTTTCACATATTACTCAAAATGCTGGTATTGGTATTGTAAAACAACTGCATTATATATATGTACACGCTCTACTTAGTCAGATTTAATATGTCTAATAATATCTATACATATGCAACTGAACTTTGGATATATTCCCATTTTACTGGGATAAACCAAAACTGATTACCGGTACTTATGTTATGAATATTGTAAGTAATATGAAATATTTCAGTATCCTTGTCAAATGTTTAGTATAATTAAAGACCTCACACCATCCCTTCATAGGCCATTTAGTTGACTGCTGGGAATTTTTCATGGTATGTGGTCCTGTGCACTGGTCACACAAATCATTCAACATTAAACATTGTTGGTTGTGGAGAGTAGGTCTCTAGGGTGGATGGGTGACAGGGTGCAAGCTTGACCCCTGAGATTTGGTCGCATCCACTCTGAAACACGTCACATGTGGGGCCTCCTTTGGCAAGAAACTTTGTTTGAAATGTGCCTGTTCACCCACCAGCGAATGAGTACCTGGTTAAATGACATTGTTACACAACAACACAGTTGCCTGCTGATTGAATTTAAGTGTCAGTACAGGTATCCCTACCAAATGCTTGTTGTATGAGCTCACCTGGCTTGTGTCATTCATGTTATAACCCGACATTGAGTTGCTGCTCATGCTATCAACCACTAGTTAGCCTGGCTCAATAATCTACATGCTGCTGTGATATGTCTGTTTTGTTACTGACAGTGGCATAAAACAACATTCACTCACTCGATTGATTGTTTCAGGACCTGGAAACTCTGTACTCCAGTGTTGAGAAGCTGATGGACTCATCTGGGGAGGTGGCATTCTTCGCAGGTGAGAGCGTCAGATGTGTGTAAAGTATCCTCAGGTGTACTCCATTTCATTCCATGACAGATGTTGATGAAGATGTGAGGTGAGGTGAAATTGGGTTTAACGTCGGGTCAAAGATTATTGCACTTATATAGCGACGTGCATGCACGTGTATGTGTGTGTGTGGCTGGCTGCTTGTACTAGTCTGGACTGATGCCAATTTATAGTGCTAGCCCACTGAGATACCATGCCGCAGTTTAACATGAATACCCAACTCAGACACAGTATACTGACTCAGAGCCGACCAGTCCTTGTTTTAGCCACTTAATGCCGAGCGCCAGACAGGGTAACAACAAGTACCTTCTTTTAACATCTTTTGGTATGACGCGGCCGGGGATCGAATCCTGGACCTTCCGCTCTCTGGGCTGTTGATTAAGAGATAACCATTTCCAATCTTCAACGTTGACAGCTCTATGCATGTTTATATTCATCCTCATGTCTCTAAAGTCAACTGGGATGAGGGCAGCCCAGAAGCCTAAGGCCTGATTAGGCATCCTGATTCTCTGCAGAGTTGTGTGCCTTAGCTGTACCAGGATATGCTTGCACATTGCTGGCATGTTGTTGAAAGTGGTGCAAAACCAAACTCACTCATTTCTGTTTCAGGTGCACAGTACGCCACAACATGTACGGGAGAGCGTTTGTACAGTGCCAAGTCTCACATTGCCGAAGTCAAAGCCGCATCTAAACAAGCAGAAGACTTGCTTAATCTCCTGGAAGTAAAGGTCATTGAAGAGACGTCCAAGCAGGAGGAGAAGAAGAAGAAAAGGCATGCTGCTGATGAGGAACCACCAGCCCAATTCATTGACTTAGACCTAGAGAATCAGAGCAATGAGGATGAATCCTCACAACGCTCGGACTCATGACATCAGATGTCAAGTGGATGACTGGGGTGACTCAAGAGCTCTTGTAGGAGTCTGAGACCAATGAGGATTGGATGATTACAAAGTGTGACATGGTTGATTGGGTTGGATGATTACAAAGTGGGTTGATTGGGTGTTAATGAGACCCAAAGCAAAGATTGTTGCTGATGTTATCAGTCACTGCTCATGACTGGTTTGCCTGGCCAAGACTTAATGTTCACAGACTGCTGGAGTGTAGCTGGACTACAGCTGTGTAAAACACCATTCAATCACTTTTACTATGGTATTTACAGCTAAAAGCAATAAAAGTCAATCTGAACAGTACAGGTGCTTTCACATAAAGACAAATATTAGTCAAGAGTGAAATATGTTTCATGCAGTACTGCCATCCGATGTCACAACTAACTTCTATTGAGGACATCTGACATATTTTGCTGACGATGAAGTTCTTTCTACAACCAGAGCTATGTTGAAGGTCATCTGCCTTGATATGGATGTTTATGTTAGAAGTCTCCATGACAGGTAGTTGGGATAGAGTTGTGTCCCTTAGCCATGCAAGGATCTGCTGGTCTCAGACTTTACCCCCCATGTGAAGCCAATGAGCAGGGACAGGGTGCTTACAAACCAAGAAACATAATCATCTGGGATTTGAACCCATTACCATAGTTTCTTGCATGTCTAAGGGATGCAACTTGTGTGGGATGGTGTCTTGAACTAGGACAACTGAGCCAAATAAAGTACTCATGTATTTACTTACAAACTCTACTGCTAGATATTGGATGTTATTTCAAGTTTTTGTTATATAAATAACAACAATAATGAATATTGTAACAGTTTTATTCATAAAAAGAATGTAAAGTTTTAATAAGGTAATGAAAATATCTTTGACTCTGCACTCATGATTTTGCTTTCACACTAATGATAAATTGCACTCCATGGATTTCGTATTCCCTATATATGCAGAATTCTGTATCAAATGAAACCACATACAGGGCTGCTTTGTAAATAAGCAACTTTTTAACAAGCAGGATACATACAAAGTAGGCATAACTATATCTGCATAAACTACTAATGTCTTGTTATTATGGTATACAGAAAATAATATATATATATTTGTACTCAGTAAATGTTTTTGACGAAAAACTTGTTTGTGAATTTTGTCATTCCCTGCTGTAGTGCAACAAAACTTCTGTTCTTTTTGTATTTTCTTTGTAACCAGCTTATCCTTCTCAGCAGCAGATGGAATAAATTTGCGGACACATAGAGCACTTGATACAGAATAACACTTGTCAGTTGTATTAAAGACAGTGGAATAGTAACAGCCTGAACATGGCAGAATGGACAACTCATATCTCCTTCCAAATAATGAAAGGTTGGAAAAGAATACAACAAGATGACTCATAGGCAATGACTTTCAGTGTAGTAGTCCATTTGCAGTTAAGTTTAGAAAAGCATAAAAATCTAGTTCAGGTTATTTTACTGATGACTGCTTTGCCAAAGATGCATGAGTGAGTTGTGTTTATGCCACTTTTTACAGTGGCGGTCAGCATGTGAAAAGACTGAAATAATACAGGTCTTGGATGTTTACAACTATGTAAAACTCACAGCCATATGCTGACAAACCAACGATCACAATCAGGGTGAATCAGGGATTCTAACCCATGGTCATAAGATCCTCACTCACCAAGGGGACCTAACTCTGCATATCACATTGCAGCACACATGACTACTGTGCCGACATACCCTACATGAAGTATGAACATATTTGAGTATATTTTGTTTACATGTATGGAAACCATGGTGCTAGTGAAAGAAAGGTGGTATCAAGTTTCAGCCCATCCCCACAAAGGATACATAAACATTCAATATTGTACAGGTCAAATATTTTCTGCTAGTGACATTTTGATCTGTTTCGTGAACATTTTGGTTCACATGAATACATCAGTTCCTTGCTCTGCAAAGTGTTGATAATAAGGAACAAGCACTGTAACATTCTTCTAAAACAGTGTCTTAAATAACAGCACTACTATATGGTAGGGGGAAAATGTTTCAACAGGTAACATGGTACATGGTACACTTTGATTGAATCAACATAGAGTTTAAGTACTTAACTACATAATAAATAATGGCATGTCACTTGAAGCCCAAAAGGACCATCCATTTGATACACCATAGTGTATGGATTTGCCTGGGATGTTATTTTTTTCTTCATTTGTTCCAGGAAATATTGGAAAATACCAAATTTGCCTCAGTTTAAAAATAATAATCGATTGATGGACGTCCTTTTGTGTTGATCCTTTTTCAGAAAAACAAAAACAAACATTCTGTCTGACAATAATCCCCAATTAGAATTTAACCTGTTGGTGCCTAGTTAACTACATAATGTGGACTAGTAGTCTGACATGTTTACTAGCCTAATGAACTAGTCCTTACTTAGTTTTTGTTCACCATTTGCTGTGGAGCTAGCGAGAAAATGAGAAAATCTGGAAGAGTGAGACATACTTCCGTTCAATGACAATAGTGGTAACCTGATAGCCATACTTTAGAGTAATGTCAGTTGATACTGATATAAAGGTGTCCATCCAGAAGGCTTGGACAATTATTCCTGTTAATTCATGTTAATTTTCCCCAAATGTAAAGAAGAACACTATGTGTATAAGTTGTAGCTGAAAGTCATCACAAAGATGGACAGCAAATCTCAATGAGTCTATCATCAAATAAGTGGCTTTATCATGACTTAAGTCAAGTTTATATTGACCTACTGACAAAGGAAACAAATTACATACAGCAAGCTACTGTGTTTGGTGAATAACAAATCAGACATTTGGGACTAAGGTTTAAAAAAAGAGAAAAGAATTGGTCCTCAGGCAATGGCTTTTTTAAAATATAGAGCGGGAGGGTGGTGTTCTTTTTTGTTGTTTTTTTGTTCAAACTAGTATGTAACCAAATAAACAGTTGTGTACAATCAACCTGGGAAAGGGCCTCCCTACATTATGTAAGTGAGTGAGTTGGGTTTAACGCCACTTTTAACAGTATTCCAGTTATATTGCGTGTCAGCTTAATGTGGGAGGAAAGCCTAAACTGACGCAGGTCTCCAACATTTACCACTTTGGTGAAACCCACGAGCACGCTATGGTACTGACAAACCTAGAAACATAATCGGGGCGAACCAGGATTCGGACCCACAATCATAGGTTTCCGGCGTGCCCAAGGGACGCAGCTCTGCACAGAGAATCATGGCGCCTTAGATGACTGGGCCACCCCTTGGGCAGCACTTCAGTAGTGATATTACTTGCCTTAACTGGTATCTAAAATAGGATGGGTGGTCATGCATTAAGCCTGTACAACATGATTGCCGATTTTGCACACAGTTAATAAGTTGAAAAAGCAGTAAGAAAACATTCCATATGGGTCACACTTTGACGTAATCAATTCTAATCCCTCGGGCATGGTACCAAATTGTATTGTTCATGCTGATAATCAACTGATTCTGAGTAATACAAATCTGTAAAAATGCTGATGCGGCTTAAAACAGGATTTCATCAGTATAATCATTGCACTGCAATATAGACAGCCAATCACCAAGAGGTTTATAGTAATGGTGCAGTGGGATTCCAGCGTAAGAAATGAAAGGTACTTCAGGTTTTCTGCAAAAGTATTTGAATATAAGGACCCTCAAGTTTCCTGCTTATTTTCGAGACTCTCAATAATGTCAAATATCGTAAAGCTACTCTTCACTGTTGTATCTTGACGGTGAGGCATATACATTTGGACAAAACACTTGTATTAACACAGCATTATCTACAAAGTTCATGAAAGATGATACCAGTTATTAGAATTCTAGAAATGTTTCCAAAATAATGCCAACTGTTTAAATGGGAAACACAGGAAAATCTGTAAAAGACAATAACATCAGTGTTTTATATGTCATACTATCCTTGGAGCAAAATCATCTCAGAAAAGGAGTAAAAATAACAAAGAAATCATAAGACATGTTACTCCTGCTAAAGTAATGTAGCTCATTCCTTGAAAATAGTCTCACTAATCTTCAGTCCATAATCCCTTCCAAACATGACCATGTGTGTAGTCTTTTAATGACTAAACAATAATCACAGTGAAGTGGGTTTGCTCTGAAATATACAAACTGCAAGTGTTTAAGAGGCTTTTTCAAAAAGTCACATTTTTCCCCCAATGTTTTTATATTTAAGGTTTTCAAAGGGAGGCATCCAATTTTAGAACGTTTCAAGTCTTCATGAACTTTGTACCTGAACTACTGTATTACCGGTAATCTACTTGACACTTCACACGGCAACGGACATTTCCTGTAACAGAGCTTGATACGTCAAGGGACATGTACTGGAATATATATACACAGATATCTGAACACGCCGATGCATTATGCAACAAGTGTGCAATATTTACAGCAGCTGCACACGAACACAGCACTCCGATACATTTCACTACTGAAGAGCATATAATCATTTCATTCTGAGAATTTTCTAGAATCTTCAGGACAGAACTACTCCACTTTTCTCTAGCATGTTGCCCGGGGCTAATTCACAGCTTACATTTAAAGATCTAGCAGGAATACGTTTTGAAAGTGAATAATCTATTCACACAGTACCATTGTCATAATTTTACATAACTTTCTGACAGTCTGGTTGATGAATCTGAGATACAGAAACTAAAAATTGTGTTACTAAAGTATTTACCGTAGTCGACGTAATAAGCGCCCCGCTCTAATAAGCGCCCTTGGCGATATTTGCTAATATACTGGCTAGTGAACAATCCTTATTGGCACCCCTTCCGATTGATCAATGTACACAAGACTTATTTATTCATGCATAATACGTTTGTTATATGCACCCTTAATTATGGGCAATTAAATTCTGGAAAAATATATCTGTCATATATAAACATTTCAGGCTTTCAGCATAAACCACGAAACTTATGATCTTTCAGCTCTGTTCTTTTTCACCAAAATAATATTCTAATAAGAGCCCCCTCATTCTAATTTTGAGAGCGCCCTGGGGGCTTATTATGTTGAATACAGTCATATGGCCGATGTTCAATGAATCTTCATTCTGATCAAAGTCAAAGATATCACAGATTTACTGTTTTGATTTTCAACTTTCAACTTTTTGGCAATACCTTGTTACCTAGCAATAATATCAGTAATTAAATACACTGCTGTGGTTTACGACAACAATATCTGGAAGTGTATTTAGGCGTTGTTCATAGGAAAGGTGTATAGAAATGATAAACACCAAGACTTAGTTTGTCTCATTGTTTCAGTCCAATGTCATAGGAAACCTGTGAAACAAACATAAATAAAGTTTCAATGTATATATTTCTGTAATGATGGAAATATTTAAGACGAAAACTTAATCAAATTTCCCAATTCTGTATCTTCCTTATAATGACATTCCATATATACATATGTATATACAGTTCCCCTACAACTGGCTTTAATTCATAAACAGGGCCCTTAACATGCATATTGTTTACTTTTTAGATGAGAATATGAATTTTATCAATGTCAGCATCAAAGCATTTGTTGGTGTAGCATGAAACAATATCAGTAACCATGGACAATATTTTTGCAAAAAACATTAATGACACGTAATCACATTTTCCTACCACCAATTGTCACCTTCACCTTGATTCATGAACAATATTTTTAATCATATACAGATGACCACCTTCTCCATAAAAGTATATCACTACCTCATAGATATCAAATCCATATTTTTTCCACAGCCTTTCCCAACCCACACCCATTTACTTAAAAAATTGCAAAAATTATTAAAAAATAACACTGACACAAAAATAAAGTTTGGTAACAAAATATCATTCATAACAATAAAAGTTACAATAGAAAGTTGACATTTGATCAATATGGTTTAAAGAAAAACCTCATCTTGTTACATAAATTCAGGTCAAGAAAGACGGACAGGTACAGAACATCTATCAGGACTTCCCCCCTCTCCCCCCACCTTCACATCTTGAATGTAAGGATAAAAAACATAATAGTCTTGGATCTCAGGCACCGCCCACATCATCATAAAGTCCGCAACACTTTTCGTTTTTATTTCCATTTTCAAAAAATATATAAAAAATCCTAATAATTTAAAACAATGTGATCGAATATAGCACACAGTTACTTCCCTTTACACACACGCACTACTTTACTGTGCACCTTGTGTTATGGTCATGGCGGGAATAGGAGTTTGTATGCTTGTTTATGTACACCTTTTCCCAGGTTGATGGTACACAACTGTTTATTTGGTTACATACTTTGAACAAGCAAAAGAAAAAACACACACAGCTCTGTAATTTTAAAATTCATTGCCTGAGAACCAATTCTTTTATTTTTTTAAGCCTAACTGTTGTATTTAGGCCAAATATGAGGACATATATCATTATGTATATGATGGAACTGGAGTTTAATGCTTGTTAGTTTCATATTAAAGTGAAGAAATTGAATCAATAAATTTTCTTTCTCTATAAAAAAAATAATAATCTCAAATATCAAATTATGCTAGGTAGGTTATTTTAGTATAAAAGGTACATAGTTATGAATCGTAGCATATATAAAATGGTTGTTTCAACAAACAGTAGTTTTGATTACTGTTTAGTCATGATTTTTCAGGGCAAGCATTGACACTAAGTAGTCATTGTCCACTCTTGGGTGTGACATCTGTCGTGTTTGTTAATAGTTAAGCGTGTATGACTTTAAAGGTTTGATATATGTCGATGTTGGAATCATACCTCTTTGACCAGCATGAATAATAAAGTAGCACCCACATAACAAAATAACAGCAACAACCCCAATGTGAGTTATATCAGAGCTCCAGATAAGATGAGTAGGATAAGATGAGTAAATTACAGTAAACTACGATTAAAACAAACTCAAAGGGACCACTAAATTTCGTTCGTAACAACCGTAGTTCGTTATATGCAAATACACAGCATATATTCAACAAATGGCCGGGACTAAAAAATAAGTTCGTTATATCGGTCAGTTTGTTATAAGCGCGTTCGTTATAAACGTAGTTTACTGTATGTACAATAAATCACCATAACCCAATTCATTTAGAGTTACTTGCATACAAATATCCATGTACAGATTAAACAACACTGTGTAATTGTAGCCTTTTCAGCATGTGTTCCCGTGTGTCTTCACATTTACTGGTTAAATGCTAACATCACATGTATGACCTCTACACAGTGTTTATTTGTTTGTTGTTTAACGCCGCACTCAGCAATATTCCAGCTTTCTGACGGTGGTCTGTAAATAATCAAGTCTGGACCAGACAAGACAGTGATTAATATCATGAGCATCGATCCACGCAATTGGGATCGATGCCATGCATCAACCAAGTCAGCGAGCCTGACCACCCGATCCCGTTAGATACCCAAAGAAAATTATAAATACCTTAAGTGAATGTGGGTAAATACTAACTGGCTTTTATCTGGAGCCCTTTACTTGAACAAATGTACTTAAGTAGAATATCTTAAGTATTTTTGTTTTCTATTTCAATATCCTCACATCGGCAAGTGAAAACACTCAGTCCAGTATCCACACAACACTCATTCTTCAGGATGCGTAGTCTCACTTTCAAAGGGGTTTCACAGGGGATTAGCACTAATCATCAATACTCCATTGTATGCAAAACAAGTCATCTTGAGGGTCAAATACAACTGGGAGTCCATAACATTTTAAGGAACCATGATAAAGAAAAAGAAAATGCTACGTTTGTTAGAAAAAGGGGCTTGTTATTTGATCATATGTTCTCAAAACAAAATCCACATCACATGGAATATACACTCCACAAAATCAACACATTTTCTATGTAAACACTAACAAAATAATTACCTTGGTAATCTCTTCAAAGCTTGCTTCAAAGAAGGACATCTTGTCACGTTGAGTTACCTCCCATTATCTCCCTCCATCTCCAAACAGGAGGCAAACAAAGTAAAATGGCACAGTGTCGTAGAGTGATTGTACAGACGTTCTGGTATGATACACAAAATATATCCTGGTATTTACATGATACACAATACTGAGAATGGTACAGATATTTGTTTCCGTTTTCTATTGAAGTACAATACAGTTGAATCAATAACATGTTTTGATAGATGTATACCTCAAACAGTACATGTTCTGTCTTGTAACATTGTCCTCTGAATGAAAACTCCCTCTCTTTTGGTTTTGGATAGAAAATCTAAAATGTGAGTATATCTTAGAACAATCTTGTATCATTCACACAAAAACAATGTGTTTATAAACCTGCATCACACTCTGTGTATTTACATTATGCTTAGCAACATACAGTGAAACCGTGTTTGTCCAAGCAACTGTTTGCAGAGAAATTTAGTGAAAAAAAGAAGAAGAATTTCCAGATTTAACGACTAATGTTTACAGAGTAATGTCCTTGGATTTATATGAAGAAGAAAGTGAGTTTGCATGATGACGGTTTCCTTGACATTTAGATACTGTTCCCTATGGAAACAATAGATTCATATGTCTGAACTCATGCAGTTTATAGCTAGGCCAATCACAGCGGTTGTCTGAGGAAAACGTTCTAGAAGGAGCTTTTTGATTGGACAATCATTGATGCTGTCACAGTGTGCAATATAAATCATTATTTAACTAAATCAAATCTATCAATAAGATGAAACCATGTATTCAGAACATCAGGGTTTCATTGTGATAACATGCGTCCATAATGTGAGTCTGACAATAAACAGCACTAGATTCAAGAATATCAACATTACACACAATCATACAAGACACTCACGACATGGTAAACAAATCATTGTACCGTAATCAACATAATTGGCACCCTGGGAGTTACTACCTGTCCAAGGCCAAAGCTGGTATTGAACTTTGATCTAGGCAGTTTCACTTAGTTGGAATTCTACATAAGTTCACATTGGGGACATGACAAGTAGCACTTAAGTAGCACTTAATTGTTTTGCTTATTTTCAAAGACTACACGATGATAAGCCTGATAAGATCATCAGGAAAAACTATTTGAAAATCGCAATCATTAATTCCAACAACAAATTCCCTGCATGATGAAGGTTTGATGAAGATTTTAAGATTCCTGTTTCATACAGAAACAACAAATGCATATGCTCTGCATGAACATGTCTAACTTCATGTGGTTATATCTGGGCCAATCACACTGGTTGTCTCTGGCTGGTACAGTGCTTTCCCATCTGTAATACAGTAGAACACGGATAGAGCGAACAAATGGATACAACGAACTGTTACAAAATCCCCGATTTATCTTCTCTATGTTATCATATAAAATGTGCGTATAAAACGACTCTCTACAGTGAACTAACGTATATAGCAAACTGATATCTGATCCCCGACAAGCCCAAATACCACTAATTAGTGACGTCTATAGCAAACTGAGAAATCTCACTCAGTGTCAAGTGTCAGTGACAATTGGCTGTATGCAATCAACACAATCAGCGGTGACGATTTAAACTTGTTGAACTTGCTTTGTGCTAATCTTACCTGTAACTGTACTAATCTTGTCTGTAAGACAAACATAAATGTATCCAAGATGGCGGACGTTTCCGAACGAAAACGTATATTACAAACTGATTTCTCCGTTTCCTTGTAGTTCATTCTAGCCATGTTCTACTGTACAAGATAGTCATATAAAATAATATGCTACCTTATATAGCAGAGAGGACACAGCCAATTCTTATGTCACATGACTAACTAGACCATATATATAATCTGAGCATTTGGGTATTGCTTCAGGATATGACAACAGTAACTACAGGGGATGCTGGTATATATACATTTGTTGTATCGTGTGAGGGCTGCTACTAAGTCGAATACAACAAATACAAGGGATGTCAGTAGTTGTTTTGTTGTATAGTGGTGAAAGGTGCCAATTAGGTTGACTAGGATAATTCTAAATGCCCGTTTAGCATATAAAAGAGTTCAAATAAGAAAACAACTTATTTGACAAATCCAAAACTTAAGCATTTCCAGTGAAGAAATGATTAAATGTACCAACGTTCATAGTCACTGTAGCGAGAAATATTCTCTGTTCTTCAAAGTGACTCAACACCATCAAATTTACATAACAAAACATAATCAGAACAAAACGGCAGTACTCCCTCAAATACACTTAAAGAAGGGTGTAGCTCATCCTAATGACTTAAAACAACAAATAAGACAATATGAGACTTTGATCATACATGAAAACTGTGAAAAGAACCTTAAACAATAACTAGTAACAAACATAGTTCCTTGTATACACCAAAGGTCAAATGTCTTCTTCAGGACACTTAATATGTCTGTTTTGATAGTGGGCAGAAGTTCTGGATTGTCTCCTTTTCTCAATTAACACCTACTTCAAAGAATTGTTTAATGACTCGCACGTGGTTCATCTCCTACAGTGAGCAGAGCCAGACCTCTCATACCAAAAACTATTTATCAGTTATCAAACAACAGCCATACTAGGAAGCAACCATTTTAGTTTGGGGAGGGGGGGGGAGAGAAGGAGATTTTTGTCTGAGATCAGCATTTTTTATTATTATTGTTATTATTATTTATAATAAACATTAAGGATAAGGTAGCTTCCCAGAAATCTAACTGTGTAACACTAATGAAATAGTCTTGATGTTCCAGTGGAAGAAAGTGAGTGCTGAAAAGTATGCAAAGATTTATACATAACTTCTTGTTAATATTTTAGGTTCCTGAGACATTTTCTTGAACTTCAGTGGCCTACTCAACAAACATAGCATTCAACATATTCAACACAGAAGGTATTCAACATATTCAACACAGAAGGTATTCAACATATTCAACACAGAAGGTATTCAACATATTCAATTCAGGGGGCCTTCAACATGTTCAACATGGTATAAAATGCATAGTTGACAGACTGAACTGGTTGTGAGTGTCATGTCCTTGCTCTCATTGTTTGAGCTGACTTGGGGTCGGAAAAGAGGCTTCGGATCATGAGGACTTGGGTCAGGCCCACCGATATCATCACGATGAGCTGAAAGCCTGACAACAGGTTGACCCTGGTGAAGTTATTCTCTTGGATGTTACGATCCCGAGCTTCAAAGTTTTTCAGTAAATTTTGAAGCTGTTGTGATTTCTCAAGGTTTGTTTTGACGTTGGTCATTATTGACTGAAAAATACAAGAAAGGATTATTTAATAAAATTAAAACGCTTCATGCATGTCATGCACACAAGAATACTGCCACTAATCTATAAATAAAGTAGACAGATTTATATAAAATATCTAAGCGATGATATAGCTTTAAGAAAAAGGGAATTGCAGATTTGGGAAAAGGTGGGTGCACTAAATATATAAACTAATGAAAAAATAATAATTTTGGAAATCAATTTGCATTTAACCAAATATTAGTCAATAATTTGTGTCACCAAATGACTTATCAAAAATGTCCTTTAATACGTCAACATGATAAGTAATAATATGCTTCAAACAGTCAGGTGTGCAACATCTTCCCGAGGCAAGGGAGTTAATGACTATAAAAGTCCAGTTTCCACCCTTGTCTATGCATAGTCAAATCAAAATCGCTCAACGAAATCAACATCTGGTTAGTCAACTGCCTCCCAGATTTCAGTCGCTTGAAGGATTTGCAAAGCATGTGTACCATCAACTAAGTGTAAACAGATATTTTCCAAATATTTTCATGTTTTTAATCAAGGTGCTCACATGATTAAAGTAAGACCCGTTTTATTACCATATAGATCTTGTTTATCGATCTCTTCCCTGGCCATCTGGTCACTTGGCCCTGCCATTTTGTTTGAAGCAATTGCAAGTGATGTCAGATGTGGAATCTGATTGTTCATTAGGAGGGCCATAACTCGTAATAGCCATTGGTGGTGCTACAATTGATCCCAGAAATTCCAGTCGCAGGAAAGTGGATTCAAGTTACAACCAACTTCCTTTGACTGTAAACTCAATTATTAATTTGAATATCATGTCACCGAGACAGTGTCAAAGTTTGACACTAATCACTAAGACCTAGATTGAAAATGGGCAACCCTTTAAGACAAACCAACAATGACACACAATGACAGTCGGTGAGATCACATTTAAATTTCCCCTGAGAACGTCAATAAAAGCACCCACACTTCCCGTAACCATAGCAATAAATAATCAATCAGTTGCAAATTCTGTAAACAGAGAAACTAGTGAAATAGATACCATATGTTTCATAACACAGGGCTATATATTATGTATACCATGATAAGCAGCGGTTTCAGTATAGTATGCCATTAATACTTTCTAATGCTGAATAATTTTCTAAAGGATATCAATGTCATTTGTTTTGCATATCAACAGAGCATATTGATTGCCTGGAATATCTATGTGCACAGGGAAAATGTGCGAAAATAAGGTCCTTTTAAGCAATTTTATTATATGCAAGGCCTTTTCCAAGCCAACTCTGATTTATGTCTTTTCCAAGACAACCTCTGAACGTCCAGGCCTTTTTCATGCACACCATGTTCCATTACACCTGTACACACAATCAGCTGGATGAGTGTTTGTTTGTTTGCTTGTTGTTGTTAACGCCACACTAAGCATTATTCCAGCCATACAACGACGGTCTGTAAATAATAGAGTCTGGATCAGACGATCCAGTGATTGACATCATGAACATCGGTCAGTGCAATTGGAATACAATGACATGCATCAATTAAGTAAACGAGCCTGACCACCCGATCCCGTTATTCGCCTCTAAAAACAAGTATAGACACCTTTTACGGCAAGCATGGGTTGCTGAAGACCTATTCTACCCTGGATCTTCACGGGTCTGGTAGGTGAGTGAGTGAATACTGTGTAACCCCACAGACAGAAATACTCCATCTATATAACTGCAGCCTGTTTATTATTGACTTGGGACCAGATAATGATAAAGAGAGAGTTTAGAGGTGATTTCATGAGCTTGATCACCGGTTTGTTTATACATTTTGTTCCTCCACTCTGAATACAAAGTAGCTTAGTTGCTATTTTTAACCAACAAATCTAGCAATTGTCTGGTTCCTGCAAGGGGGAAACCAGGAAGTACTCTGGCCAATATTTCTCACGGAGCATTTGCCACAGACTGCAGCCATCTACTCTACACACAGCTTCAATGTACGGTTTGACAAAATTCATGCAATAAGAAGTCCCTGATTACATTTGTTTTCGAGATAAAGAAATCAATTACCATATTTGACGTAATAAGCGCCCCGATCTAATAAGCGCCCACGGCGATATTTGCTAATATATTGGCTAGTGAACAATCCTAATTAGCAACCCTTCTGATTGATCAATGTACACAAGACTTATTTCTTTCGTGTATAATACACACTCATGTGTTATATGCACCCTTAATTTTGGGCAATTAAATTCTGAAAAAATATCTGTCGTGCATAAACATTTCAGGCTGTCAGCATAAAGTTTAACCACAAAATTTATCTTTCAACTCTGTTTTTTTTCACCAAAATAGTATTCTAATAAGAGCACCCTATTTCTAATTTTGAGAGCGCCCTGGGCACTTATTACGTCGAATACGGTATGCCTGTCTGAATGCTTCACTTGAGAATATGGAAGCCTTGACACCTTGTGTGCATATGTCTTCATGAAGAGAGGTATCAAATCAGATGTTTGGGGCTCCATATCTGTGTCGTTGGAACTTGATCTTTGTACGAAAGTAACATATGGATCAGAACCATCTGAACTAACTTTTGCATCCTTATTTATGCTATGTTTAACTTCATCAACCCAGCTGCTTTAGAGAGGACCAGCGGAGCTCCAAATCAATATACATATCTATTTAGCTGCCGCTATGAAAATCAGCCTACCAACAGGCCTAAATGACATTATTTTACAGCTACAACAGCAGCATTGCTTAAACAAGGTGACAAATATACCCTGCAACGTTTTCTTCAGCATATCCATATGGTATATAATCAGATGTACAGCTTTTGTACATACACTTCTGGTAACAGCTCAGGTAACCCAGTGTTCCCGCTGGCTTTTGAAAGTCAAACTGCCAGTAATTGTGGACTGGCAACACTTAAAATCACCGGTCCCCCCTTTCTTTGCCAGTCCCAACTTTCAACAAATAAAAAAGTAACTTAGTTAGATCTTTACATCATTCACACAAACTTCAGTCACACTTTTCTCTTTATCTTTTTAATATTTTGAGACCAAGTCGCAACAAATGCATATTTAACCTAGAAATAGACCCTAATGGTAACAGACACGCTGACTTTGTTCGAAAAATGTACTTATATGAATATCGCCTATGTTTTGTTCAACAACACAGATTTATAAGTACTTTATTTGCCGGTCCACAGGGACTGGCAGTCACATGAATTAACGGTCCAAACCTAATTTACTGGTAAAAAACTGGTAATTACCAGTAAACGGGAATGCTGATTAACCATGGAAACATCCTGAACAAAATACAAGTGTGATCACAATATGTTACTGTAAGCTGACAAATAAACATTAGGAGGTTTTGTCCAACATGAATCTGACAGTCCAGATTATTCACCAAGAGGGTCTTCATGGGTGTAAAATGTCCGTAGTCAGTCAAATTTGGGGCCTTTAGTCCCTAGTAATTTTTTCCCTGGCATAGTCAGAAAAATAAACACTTGGATAGAGGACAAGCTGTCAAGTTGAATCTAAAATCTTGATGCCATCGTCAGTCTGTCAGAAGGGAAACATTGAGACAGCTGGTTCTGATTTCGTTTCATTACTACAATTAACGTCGTGTAAATACCAAACACTGACTGGTTTTGTTGTGTCGTCAGATCAAGTTCAACATGACTGTAACAAGATTTTTCGCATGATTATGAGAAACAGTGAAGTTGTAGTTTATGCTTAGCAGTTTTTAATGGACTTTTTACCTTAATCTTTTATCATAAAACAGACTCATTTTATGTTCATGATAGTGCTTTTTAGTTGTTTTCTGCAAAACAACATACTTCATCAGGACCTGCACCCAACAGTTGGAGCATGATGTTATCAAACCCTCAACATCTTGCTTACAAATAAATCCATAGCCGTTGCTGGTAAACCTCAGTGAATGCATGACCACATCATTAAGAACACATATTTCTTTAAAAACAATACCCTATCCTATGACAATGATTGGTTGATTAATTGATTGATTGATTGATTGATTGATATGTAATTTTTAAAAAAAATCAGTAATCATCATTAGCAGGAAGACTTTATGGTTTTGATGAAATTAAATCATCTGTTGCATTGTATTTTATAATCCAAACTCCTCAAAATGTGTCAAACCCATCACAGGCAAAAATCAATATCAAGCATACGTGGCAATGCCCGTAGTGAGGTCAATATCTACCGGATTAATTTGCGTAATTCAAAACGGATTGTTGATATTCCAATATCTGACGACAGATCATGACGAGACATAGTTTTAGGTTGGAGGTCCGGGTTATCTACCGCACATAAAATCTGAAGGACCAAGTCAAGACCTTGACTTACAATTACATACAATGTATTTTGGATAAAACTTGTAATGTTATTCACTTTATCATGTTTATTGTATTGGCAGAATTTTGGTCCCAAATATTGTAATGATTAACAGTTGGCATCTCTGTTTCAGACCTGTTAATATGATTATAGATGAAGCCATAATGAAGGAGTGTTAGAGTTGGGGCCTGTCTTCCTTTACCCCAAGGTATTCGACACTCAAATCGGCTAATTTGATGAAAGTAAGAGAGCTTGGTTTAGCATCACTTTGAACAGTATTGTGAAAACCCGAAGTGGAGCAGGTTCTGGACGTTTACCACTAAGGTGAAACCTAGGCATGAGTATGGTGCTGACAAACTTATAAACATAATCAGGGCGAACTGGGATTCAAACCAACAGTCATGGGTTTCTGGCATGCCCAAGGGACTTAACTCTGCACAAAGAATTGTGGTGCCTTGAACTGCTGGGCCACAGGTGGCCCACATCAACACTGAGAGTCTGGTTACCTTAAAGTCCTCCATGGTCATGTCCACCAGTTCGGCAAGCTCATCTTTGTCTGGCTTCCAGTCATCCTCCTCTTCCTCGTCAGTCATTAATTCAAAATATACAACCTTTTTGGATAACCGACTGAATGTATTATCCAGACAGAACTTGAAGTCCCCTGTTCCCTTCACATCAAACCTGAAAGAAGAAAGAACACATGGTTAACACTGAACTTTAGTGAGTTTTGTTTAATGCTGCTTTGAAGTACGTCCATCATATCGTCAACTTACTGGTAACCCAGGATAAGGTGAACCAACTAACAAAACACGCTGGAGACAAGTTTTTCAGGACAAATGACTTTTTTTTATAATCCCAGGCTCCATCTCCAAGAATATCAAATGGATGGTCATTTACGTCAACAACCGGTCCTAAAAGAGCTGCAGACTGCAGATTTGTTGGATATGGCCTAAGGGACACAACTCTGTACAGTTGAAATTAGAGTGATACAACTGGTTCATTAAATATTATTATTGAACTCATCTGCGTTAGACTCATATTATTTCATAGTGAGTGAAAGAGAAATTACATTTAATCGTAGCAGTGTACAAAAGAATTTTAAAATCAGGATCAATGATGGATGCTATTTCGTAATTTTGACACATAGTTGTCCTAAAACTGTGTGATACTGTAACTGGATTCTGTCTGGCCTATACATTACATGGTTGTGTTTGTTGGTTGTTTAACGCTGCACTCAGCAATATTCCAGCTATATGACGGCGGTCCGTAAATAATCATATCTTGACCAGACAATCCTGTGATTGACATCATGAGCATTGATCCACGTAATTGGAATATGATGACACAACTCTGCACAGCACATTGCGGCACTTTAGTCACCCTTGTCACCAACAAACATCAAGTGATGAACTAGTAATACCTATGGACATTCTCAGTCTTGCGGCCATCAGCTGCCAGTAACTGTCCCTCTGGCGTGTGAGCAGAGAACCCAATGTCCAAGTCTCCACCATCAATCACCTGAAATAGCAATTCTCATCTTAATGCAGATAAACAAAACCATGTCGTGTGAATTAAAACACATTTTTGATGGTGCAGTGGTTTTAGAATGTGGACAATTTTTGCTGCTGACACATGATAATGTCTTTTTATCAAACACAAGCCAAACCCAAATTTCTGTTGAAAACTACTATAAATATTTATACAATATATTTGCCACCAGCCAACCATTCTGATTCTCATGTGTTTGGAATCACAAATACAGGCCAATTCATCTAGAACAGTGTCTTTTCCACAGTCTAATCAGTGTTCGAAAATAAGCCGGAAGTCAAGTGGTCCTTGTCATGACTTCAGTGTTAAAGGTATATATTTTTAGGGTCCCAAGATTCAAATACTATAGCAGCAAGACCAGGACCCCATTTAATTTCAAACACTACTAATTATTTGAGTACACTTATTTGCAAGACATACAGTTGTTTGTGTCGTCGACAACAAATACATACATTGGGCTGGAGCCGGTACTTGCAAGGAAAATACTGAATTCTGGTTGTTATGTATTTATACATCAACCTTTTGTTTATATGATATTATTAATGCATGTATCAGCAGGGTCAGTCACTGCTAGTGTTGGGAACCTATTGGGCTGCCATCATCAATCACTGGTTTGGCCAAAGTGATCAATCCATGGATATTATTAGACCTGCCTTGATCAGTCTATCCACCATGACAGACTTCCTTCTAGATAGCCAAGTTCAGACGTTTGCACAATGTGTTGTTATGCCAGTGTTATGTAGCCTGGTCTAGTGACATTTATTCAAATGTGGCTGATGACTATATCATGTGGTAGCATGTATATTCAGATGTAATAAATCTACTGAAAACGTATATACAGAGCTCTACTATATCATAGCCACAGTGTAGTAAAATGCATCAAATTACAAAGGTTATTTAAAAGCAATTTTATCCCTCGTTTTATAGGTATTTATCCCCGAAAAACCAGATAAGGGGGTTAAAAAGATATAAGTAATTTTTTCATAATTAATGTTGATGACTAAATTTGCTTAATTTAATACTGCCTTGTATCTAGTCCCTACCTTTCATCTTGGGGTTACCATGGTTACTGTCTTCTGGGGGTCTTTTGGGGAAACATGCTATCCTTTCCCCTTTTGCTGAGCAGGAAGAACAAGCCGTCAAAACGAAAGATTATGTCCTGTTATGGAACTCACTTATCCATTTACTTGCGATCATCCATAAATGTATTTTGTTCCTGCAATTCAGATCTAGATTTACTCGGACACCGTGGTACCGCGGCATTCATTATATCGCAGCATTTGTGATTTAGCTCATGCGAGACACGCATCCTAACGACTATCTATTAATGCAAATCAGTAGCCAGGAAGTGCTCGCTTCCTAAAAAATTTCAATTTCCTCAGAACGTTCCATCTGCTGTAAGTAAGCATTTATTATGACATGGATATTACTTCTGGCACCTTTTAAATATTGCCTAACCCCATCTATCAATGGACTACTTTGTAACCTGCAGTTTCCCAAGTGAACTTATTCTATTGACCTGAACTAGATTGTATGCATATTGATGGTGACAAATATGTGACACAGTCAGCACGTTTTTCCTGCTATGTGGCCAAGTTTTAGGAGATCAAAAGGGCTGTAATGCCATACTTAACAATATATTCTTCACTAGATGACAAATGATAAATACATACTGTTGTCATTAAAGGAGTGCTTTATATATATTTATTGTTAACTTTTAACATTTTTCCACTGTTTTTGACAAAATATTTTCATCCAATTTTTTCAACAAAAATCTTAAAACATCTTTTCTGATATTTTGTTGTTGATTTTTTCTTACTTTTCATGAAACATACATTGAAGACCTAGTAATTATTACACATACAAAACGTTACTTGTGCTGTCTTTGCACTTGTCTGCATAAATCACTGAAGTCCGGCATCATCATACTTAGTGGTATGCAGAAATATGTCCTGTTTTGGCAAGAATGCAGTACACCAGACACCTTCTGCCATTTTGGTAAGGGATGTGCAAGAGCTCATTCCTTAGTAACAGTTTCTAAGTTTTTCAGATGCCATTTTTGTTGCCTCTAAAATAACAGGGAGTTTGGGAGGCTTGCCCCCAACTCAATGACTTGAATTAAATGCTTTCGTAAAGATATGAAATGTTTAATTACCAAAGAAGATACAAAATATGTGTTTGCTCCGGATGTGACTGAAGTGGTTGTCACAAGCCCTGATGGAACTTCCAATTTTCAATGTTTATGCATCACTTTGATATTCAATTTCAACGTTTAATCATATACAACATACAACATCTTCCTGAGGCAAGAGAGTTAAGAGAGTTAACTGACTATAAAAGTCCAGTTTCCACCCTTCCACCAGTGGCTATTACGAGTTATGCCCCTTCTATGCCTCACCTATGGACCAATCAGATTCCACCTCTCGTTTCACTTGCATTTGATTCAAACAAAATGGCGGCGCCCAGTAAAGACGATCTCATCATTAATCAAGATCTATATTGTGATAAAATGGGTCTTACACCGCAAAGTGCATAAAATCACGCGAGCACCTTGATAAAAACATGAAAAGCCTTGGAAAATATCTGTTGACAACAAGTTGGCAGTGCACATGCTTTGTAAATCCTGCAATCGACTGAAATCTGCATGACGGTTTACGAACCGGATTTCGATTTTGATTTGACTGTGCAGACTCGTTAGTCCAGCCAAAATGTAACTCAATAATACCAGCCTAGTTCGACAAGGGTGGAAACTGAACTTTTATGGTCAGTTAACTCTGATGACCATACAAATGCATGTGGGGTAATTTTTTCTGCTTATTTTGAGCTTTATTGCCCTATTTTTGCAAATAGTGATGGTGTTGTGTGCAGCTTTATTAGTAGCATCAAACAAACACGGTGGATAGGTGTCCGATATAATGCATGTGTTCCCCTGTTTTTGTCCAATTTGGGCTTCCATACACAACTTTTCCTTGTAGCGCGATTTGCTTCAGTTCTTTCCCTTGTGAAGCTTTCACTTGGAGTGAACAATGTACATAATGAACCTGTATGCATAGTTATATGAAACAAATGATGTGTGATACTGAGAACACAAATAATCACAAAGGTTAGTGAGTGCATTTTCTTACGTTTAGCATATGTAACAAGTATTGCGATACCCTGACATTGCAGGCTACCTGTCATAAACTTATATAAGTCTTCTTCATTTCATATTCCTTATAAGTTAAGTAAAATCAAAATTCAAAGAAAATGTAAACATGATCTATTCTAAGTGAACTGTTTCTTACAAACTGGCAGTGCTTGGCTTCGACTTAACACTTATAGTATCCTGGGTATACTGTATCATAGTGAATGGTCAGATCTTTCGATTGCTGTAGATCTATATTATCAGCTGATTATTGTTATTTGTTGAGGGTCATCACTTAGAAACCATCAAAATACCGAAGATGACAGCAAACACATTTAGTCCAATTATAGAAAGTCTTCATGCAGACAAGTTTCCCTTTGGCAGAGCCCGAATCAAAACGTTGACAACTGTAGTCTATAGAAATCACATCTGACCACTCATGGCAGTACGCGTAGTCGCACTGAAGGGTAGTGACGGAAACTAAAACTTGGTTCACTTACTTGATATTCTACTTCTATTGTTGTGTCCACTTTTATACTCTGAAAGAAACATTCTAGCATCCCCGGCTTAACTTCGATGGTAAAATCAGAATCGATGCAAGTCGCTATCGGTATTAATGCAGTAATAACCAGCAAGAGACGGACAACTAGAATGCACGCCTCCATCTTGGTAACAGGTGCGCTATTTTTGTATGTGACCTTTGACACGAAGACATCAAATGAAAAATGACTTGAAAATAATGGAAGAGTATACTTATTTTCAAATCAATAAACTATAAAATCATTTATCTTTACAAAAATTAAAAACTACCGTGTAATTAATTTTATGCAAATATTTCGGCATTTCTTCAGAATGAGGCCCATTTCAGCACTGCTATTTTGCATATATTGTGCCCTGCACGAAATAGTCCACAAATTCCTTATTGATGGGTGTTATTTGTAACGCCCTTGTTGGCTGAATGACAAGGAGGTGCTCAGATTAGACATCTGACATGTTCGTCTGAATAACATATGGATCAAATATTTATTTCTATGTGTGTGTCCCCCCCAACAAAACATGTCGCCGAATATTCTTCCGCGCGTGCAAGGTGGAGTGGCTTTCTAGAAATTGGTTTGTTGTGCAGGTGTGATGTTACGAAAATTATTTCCCAATCACACTGTTTGTTGTTTTAGATGTTTAAAAAAATCATTGACATTGTAAATTCAACTTATAAACATGACATTGGGTCATCCGTTTATAGACAAGCGCCTTCATTTGGACCTTGTGTGGAATCTCCCGTATTGTTGTTATAGAATTTTTAGGAAATAGTAAATTTTACACGACATGTGTAAGCTGAATAATATGTTTATTTTTATTTACTTTGACTGATGGCACACCAAAACCATTTTTCGTGCACGACCCCTTTAAGATGAGAACACAATATCTCTAGAATGGAAACGGAGGAGGGTGATTACGTGTCAGTTGAAGACAACGAAATTTGTACAGTAGAAAGTGGAGGTACCTTCTACTGGAATACTGACTTGGGACACCCCGAGTTTGTAGAGGGGACAGTTTCTTTCGTTACGAATGAAGATAATTCTTCCGTCGGTGAAGTAGAATACGAAATAGGCGATTCTTCTGAAGAACAAGAAAATGAGGAAGAAGAAGAGGAGGATATGGAACCTTTGAGTTTCGAACTTCAACAAGGCTTCAGAATTTTACGTGAACTTATGGCAGATGCAAACAAGTCGGTCACTTGGCACTTCTTAGAGTCGGTCGACGATTCTTTTCCAGAAACTCATGACTATTATGACCGAATTAAGTCACCTATGTGGCTGAAGAAAAGTAAGTAACTCAAGTTATATGATAGTTAGTTGTGCTGTCAGTTGTTTATCAATGAGTAATACGGCACTGATTTCAAGAGGAATTCCCTCAAATTTTGGGAAAACCCCTGATTCTATTTTTGTCATTTCCAAATAACCCTCACTAATATATATTTGTTATTTAAATGTTTTCATATTGAGTATTAAAGTATGAAGTGATGTTATTAGTATCTGAATCATGGATGTCAGGAAGGGGAATATGATGAACTGTTTGTTTCCAGTGAACAACACTTGCAAATCAAAAGAAACTTTATATGTCAGAAAAAAAGAGGATTAAACCTGCAAACTGTTTACTTAAAAGAAATCGATATCTTTTTAGACCGACAAAATCGCTTCTATATCCTTAACGAATCCTGAATATCCGATTAATACCAACAGACAATATTTGTGTGCACACACATTCAACATATTCAAGGTTCCAACATTCAAATTTGCACATTTCTTTATTAAAACAACAGTAAACATTGTAACTCATTTTGTCAATAAAATACAAAACCTGTAAACATTTAAATTTCGGGTTGGTTTTGTCTACCATGTTGACTGTCCTTATTATAATCATAAACTATGATAAAGCAACCATGCCAACTGTCATTGACATTCCCCCTATTAGGGAATATTTAACATGTTGAATTTCCTGAACTATACATGTCAACTGTATAAATTAGCGTCGCTCAAACCTAAGACATATCCCTAATGTTAAATGTGAAATATGTAGGGGTTCCTAGATTCAGTCACCACAGAAAATCTGAAGGATCCCCCTTAATTTCAAACACAGAATGACCTGTGTCCACAAAGCATCTTCAACAGTCATATTGTGGGTGTGTATAATCTATCACCAACATGATGAAGCTCTGTAACTATGAATTATTGGCTGATTGTAAAATATTGTATGCAGTTTCATATATAAAAAAGACAATCTATTTCTGTTTTGCGCTGTTTTTCTGTCAAATATATTATTAGTGCCACAGAGTTTTTATTCTCACAACTCAGTTGCTTAGTAAGGCCTTATTTTCTTTGTAGCTGGTTTACAACAAGCCTGACCGACCAAGTAGCCTTGAAATTTAAAAATATAATATGCAGCGTTAGAAATTGGCTCTAGTCTTGTAGTTCTTGCCAAACGATTAGTTGCCAATGGTTAAGATATCATAAGGATGAGTCGAAATTTGCCATTTTTGAGGATGTTGCTATTTATAAGGACTAGTGGACTAAAACAGTTAGCTTCCATGGTTGAATATGATGACTTTGACAAAAAGATTTTTGGCTGATTGTTTAACAATTAAGTGAAAGTAATAAAAAATGCACAAGTTTTATCACCACTGAATGTAAGAAATGGTTGGGGTTTTTTCATTTTTTTTCATTTTTTTTTCCACCAGGTACATTTTAGGCCAAACATGTTGTAATTAAACTTGTAGAAATTATAAGGCCTGAGTGTTAGCTCCTTGGGTCACGTCATCATGATCATTGTGCTGTTATGACTTTATCATTGGATCCTCTCCATGGTCTCTCCATGATGAGGGAATTATCTGAATAGAAAGGTTTTTAGCTGTTTGTTTAAAACATTGCTCATCAGCATATAGATTAGGGCTGGGATGGGTAACTTTGGTCTGGTGGATCCGGAATAGGACCCAGGTACCCACACTACTACCTGGACCCATGGTTAGTCACGTGATATATTGTTTAATGACAAAAACTCACTATAACTCAGTGGGTACACTACAAGTTGTTAATGTTCGCATTCCTTCTGACGATGCTCACATTCCTTTTGACTTGTATATGATTGTGTAAAGATATAGTTTTTCAGTCAACTTCAGTGTATGCATGATCTGATCATTTGATACATGTATCTGACCAGTTTTTCCCCGGGCTGCGATAAACAATTCCCAATCAGACATTTTGTTCCCAACTACCTACAGTGGGTAGCTCGGGTAATAAGGTTTAGGTACCTTGGTAGTAACTTTGGACTCATCCCAGCCCTAATAGACATGTCATTAAAGTAATGAATATAGAAGTGGAATTCTGTTACTAAAGTGGCTTCTTATATTTGCTCACATGGTATTAATCGTTGTTAGTGGTACTTTATCCCAAAATGTTGACATGTGATTGGGTTCTAGATATTGTATCTGCAGGGGTAGATATAACAACAAATTTGTAGCCAGCAGAGCTTTCTCCTTCCTCAAACTATAAACTGGCTCACTACTAAATGATGGAGACCCCGAAGCAGCTGAACCTGAGGTCGCATAGCGACTGAGTTACCTAGGGTAGCTGAAGAAATTTTAGGATTCCTGTTGTAAATAACATTACAAAATGGCAGCCGGTTGTCATTCTACTGAGATGATCGATATGTATCTTTCTTTGACTTAACAATGACCTCAACCCCCTAAATATTTTCTCATCAAAATAACATGATTCACAGGTTGCATCTAATTAAAAAAAATAAATATATATATATATATACACACACAGAGAAGTGTTGAATTTTTTACTGGCCAGGCAGGCCACCTACTTTACGTTTCAGCAAGCCCTTCGCAAATTTAACTGGCCACAGGCCAAAGGACCACCAGTTAAATCAACACCTGTATATTACTGTGCTAATGTTGGTTTTAGGCTTGGTTGTTGCTTCATAGTTGTTAAATCTAGACACTCTTTAAATAAAGTAGGAAAAGTGCAGTGTTTTTTCATATTTACCTATGTTTAAATTAGTCTTTTGTAAGCAGAGATTTATCTAAAAAGTATTCCCAGAGGACAAATTTTGGCCCTACAACCAGATGTAAAACTTTCCAAATTTGGAATAAAAATGATCAATTCAGCATGTTCATGATATTAAGTTTTAGTTTTGCAAAGTTGACCTTTATTTCTCTGATAACTGGACTGAAAAAGAGAATTTGGCTTTTAAACCCTTATTTACATTATTACAGTGAATGCAAAGTTCCCTAAATCCCTAATTTGGATACAAAATGTATTTTTCCCATTTTGCTTGGTCATGTTTATGATGTTGGCACAGTCACTTCATTGAAATGCCATGATAATAGAATGCACATCAGCTCACTTATTACTGTCATTTAAACAGCAACATTGAGCTTTTGGTATTATAAAACTGAAGAGTTGTTAAGATATTAATGTAAGGGAGTTGTGTTTAATGCTGCTTTGAACAGAATTTCAGATATATTTACAATGTGATGGCCTACTGTTCAATGATAATCCAGAATGATGTACAGTATTATCTGTATTAAGCCCTCCACTCTTATAAGCCAATCTGTAACTAATCTTTATAAGCGACCAATACTTATAAGCCTGAAAATGAGTATGACAGTCTGCATTTTCTTGAGTATATTACATATCTTTTAAAGAAAACAGCAGGGTTGATGGGGTATATAATTTTCCTCGTAACTGTTATTTGAAACAGTTGCAGTTTTATTGACTTTTGAACCAAGTTTGTTCACTACCAGTTGGGGAGCCTAGCGGTTAAAGCCTTTGCTCGCCACGCCGAAAACCCGGGTTTGATTCCCGACATGGGTACAAGGTGTGAAGCCCATTTCTGGTGTCCCCCGCCGTGATATTGCTGGAATATTGCTAAAAGAGATGTAAAATCAAACTCACTCACTAATTCTCGATCTCTGTCAACAATTTTAACTCATCTTTCTCATGGTCTATGAATATAATTAGCTTCCCCCTTTGTCAAATTTCCAAGTGCCCATGCTTATGATGGTGAATATGGTAGGTCAGAGACATTTATCTACAAATGGGTTATGTGTTGACAAACCACATTCATCATCAGCATGATCAGGTTAACCTTCTACCGCCTCACTGTCAGTTTGGGTTGTATGCTCCCAGGGAGCTGAGAATAAAAATTGATTGCACACTGGTCCATTGACCGGGGTAATAACATAGTGCTTTTGAGCATGCTTTAACGTGTGTATTTGGCATAATATAAAAATGCACATTATTATGAGTTTAAGGTGATGTAAAATCCCAAATCACTCACTCACTCATCAAATGTGAACATAACATTGTCATGGATAAATCTCTTACACATTGTTTGAATTTTGAAATTAAGATGGGACCTTGAGGTTTCCTTGTGTAGTAATAGTATTTGAATATGAGGAGCTCCTTAATCTTTACCTTTTGTCATTAGGGCTAGACAAGGACCTCTTAACTGTCTTAATTTTGAACACTGATTAGTGTTATAAAAAAGACCCACTGACTTTCATGATTTATTTCTTACACTGCTTACATTCCATGTACATGATATAGTTGAACTTCAGAAGGAGAACACTTCTATAAGTATTTATGGCACTTATCAGCGATAGAAACTAACACTTTTAGTCCACTAGTCCAAATAATGATAACACATAGCAAAACCTTTAAAAAGGGCACATTTCTTTTAGTCCTTATGATACGTTAACTATTGAGCAGTTTGGCAAGGACTACAGGACTAGTGCCAATTTCTAACTCTGCTCATGGTCTAGAGGAATAAGCATGATAAGGTATGCAACAACATCATATTCATGTTTAATGCTGTAATACTTAAAGTATTTATTATCCGTGTAGACATAGAGCATCAAGTGTTCAATCTTTGGCTTCTGGTTAATTCAATTTTCCTTTCCCTTTGTGTAGTGGATGAGAAGTTTCGCCAGCACTGCTATGAGACCATCACTGAGTTTGTTGCTGACTTCCGCCTCATGCTTGAGAACTGTTTCCGCTACAATGGCCCTGACCATTATGTTTCCAAACGTGGACAGAGACTGGAAACCATGCTGGAACAGAAGTTGGCGCTGTTGTCCCGGTGAGTCAAGTGTTGTCAGTCTGGAACAGCAGTACTATCAGTAGAGTTGTCATTCAAAACAGGGACCGCCTCCGTGGTCTAGTGGTAGAGTGTCCGCCCGGAGAGCGGAAGGTCCGGGGTTCGATCCCCGGCTGCGTCATACCAAAAGACGTTAAAAGATGGTACTTGTTACCCTGTCTGGCGCTCGGCATTAAGGGGCTAAAACAAGAACTGGTCGGCTCGGAGTCAGTATACTGTGTCTGAGTGGGGTATTCATGTTAAACTGCGGCATGGTATCTCAGTGAGCTAGCACTATAAATCGGCATCAGTCCGGACTAGTACAAGCACACACACACACACGTGCATGCACGTCGCTATATAAGTGCAATAATCTTGGACGCAACATTAAACCCAATTTCACCTCACCTCACCTCATTCAAAATGGACATGCTGATGATTCAGTGTTATCTCTCAAACTGTATTAATAAGTGACGAAAATAGCCATGCATTGTCATTATAACTATTATTACTATTAGACCTTAAAACCCTTTTAAGATTCGGGTTGGAATTGATCTTCAGCATCCAATGCTTCTCAGAAGAGGCGCCTCATGGGTTCGCATGGTCAAGCTTGGTGATTTGGTTGATGTATGTCATTGTATCCCAGTTGCGTAGATTGATGCCCATGATGTCAATCACTGGATTGTCTGGTCCAAACACGATTATTTACAGACCGCCGTCATATAGCTGTAATGTTGCTGAGTACAGCGCTAAACAACAAGCAAACAAACAAACTTCTTGAAACTGTATATTAAGTATTTTAAATATCAAGGAATATGTTGTTATGTTTTTCAGTCTATCAGGGTTTTACCTTTACTCACAATTGTTGCCTTAAAGGGGACCCTCGATAATTAAAGGTCTTGTAGGCAATATGAGGGTCCTGTGTTTTAAAAGAAGTGAAATGGCGTAGTGTACGGTAAGTTTTGATAATTACTTCAGAGCCAGGAATGAACCAATGATCATGAGGACAGTTGTCATGATAGATGGTTGAAATCACAGAAACACGTAACTGCTCTTAGTTCTCTGCAAATACAATGAATATTATTGTGCATCCCTCGAGACGCAGTATACCCTCTTTCTGTGTCCAATCTGAATATCTGGGCGTACTGGGCACAAGTTTGTGCGTCGTATGAAACTCTGCTTATCAATATCAACCCAGGAAAGCAGATTCTGTTCCCATATGTTAGGGCACGGGTGGCCCAGTCATCAAGGCATGCCAGAAACATGATCATGGGTTTGAATCCCCTTTTGCCCTGATTATGTTTCTAGATTTTTCAGCACCATACCCGTGTACATGGGTTTCACCAGATTGGTAAACATGTGCACCACTTCGACTTAGCTTTCACATCAAGCTGTCAAGCTGTGATGTAACGGCAATACAGCTCCAAGCAACGCTAAACCCAAATCACTTACTCACTCACTTACTCATTTATCATGTGACAGGTAGGAAAATTGGTAACTTTATTGGCAAAATTGGAATGCTGCGTTGAGGTCTTGCTGAAATTGATGAGGGTTAGGGTATCATGGTTGGCATGGTTGAGGGAGCTCAACTGGAATGTTTTAGTAGTCCAAACAAGTTTCAGTATCTTTCTAGCAAATAAGTAGCCGCGATACTATTCACTCACTCAAAGTATCAGTATTTGAACCACAAGATATATAACTTTGCTTTGCCAGAGATCTGCGAGAGAAGACCAGTATATCTGCCACCTCAGGGGGAGCCTCAGAGGAGTCCTTCTCAGCATCAGGTAGGTGGAGATGATCATACCTAGACTCATCCTTGATTATCCAGTGTATTGTATCTCCATTCTGATTAATACCATGGATCCATTTGCTGCCATAAGTTTGTTTTGGAAGAGATGTAACTGCCTCCATCTCTCTATACACTAACATAACACTGTCACAGAACTTCTCTCGCCCATGAGCTTGATATCAAAAACCAATCAAAGGATCAGGTTGTCAGGCTTTGTGACTCGGTTGATACCATGTCATTGTACCCTGACGGCATGGAATATTGAACCAATTGATTGTTTGGTCCAGATTTAATTAATTTACAGGTCACTGTTATATAGTCAGAATATATTGCTGAGTTGGGAGTTAAACAACAAACAATCAAACTAAAGCCGTGTAAAAGTAGTAAAACCTGACTCATTGATTTTGAAATGTATAAAATGGCTACAAAGATGGCAGAGTGACAAAGTAGTGTTGGTGGGGGATGCTGTTGGTTTAATATATTTTAATTCATTACATTCTTAGGGGCGGTCGGGTAGCCTAGTGGTTAAAGTGTTCGCTCATCACGCCGAAGAACCGGGTTTGAATCCCGCATGGGTACAGTGTGTGAAGCCCATTTCTGGTGTCCCCCGTCGTGATATTGCTGGAATATTGCTAAAAGCGGCGTAAAACCAAACTCACTCACTCATTACATTCTTAACACGAAGAATTTTTAATCGTCAGTTTATCAAATTGATGGACATTACTTTGTTTAGTGTAAGTTTATGTTTATGATCAGTAACACTATTTTAATTCCCTGAGAATAGTAAGCAATGAAGTGTATGATATCACTCACTCACTCCTGTTTTCTAGGTCTTCGTCGTCGCATCAAGACCATCGTTCCGCACGACTCGTCGGCGCTGCTGAACCACCTGCGGGAGGAGGAAGTGAAGCAGCAGCGGGAACAGCGGCGCCAGCAGATTGCCGACCGCAAGGCGGCCCAGGAGGCATACCTTCACAACCTCCAGGAGTGGGAGGACCAGCTGATGGAGGAGCCGCTCAGGTCACAGATGAAGGCCATGTGGGAGGTCAGTAGTTCTAACAATTGGTTAAGTGTTCAGAAAGCTATCAATTATTGATTAATCATTGTTTGATATAACTGATATATGTGGCTTAAGGCCAGACACGGCACCTAAAATTGACATAACTGCTTCAATATGTCAAAATCAAGGTTTTGATTTTTTTCGCATATATAATACATGTACTTTGTGATGCAACATTTTTTTTACGATATTGTGTACATTTACTGAATAAAAAACGTTATTAAAATCATAATGTGTGGTATTGTTTTTAAATATGATCGTAATCAACGTGGAAAAACCTGAACTTTCACTCATGACAACGCCCCCGTAGCTGTAACGAACCCCTTCATGTTATACATCGATAGAAAGCTGATCGTTTCCGCCATGTTTCTGTGCAAAAACATTCTAAAAATAGATATTCCACGTGAGGCTATCGTCACTTTTCCCGCGAGTGATTTTGTACGTAAACTACCATTTAAGGAGAAATATCCCATAATGCAACATTCGGGAATATTCGTTCGATCCAAATAAAGTAAAACATATCCCACAATGCACCATTCGGCTTAGCAACAAAACTTCGGCCTTTTCCGGTAGGTATACAAAATGGCGGCTGCTCAGCGAAAAGTTTGACAGGTAAACATCGTTTTTGATATTTTCTTGACTGAAAATTGTTGTATTTTTTAAAAATGAGGGCAAAACACGGGGCACAACACGCCTATGGTAAGAATAAGAGGCGAAGGGCAAGTCAGTTGAAGGAGGCACGTTCGAAATGCGGTGTTAGAGTTACGACCCGTGTTGACAGCGCGATCGACCCTGTGTCAGATTCTGACAGCTTTGACGTTTTGGATACATTGGAATCATCCGGGGACCACGCCGTTGAGGAAAAAATCCCCGTTGGAGACAATGAAGGTGAGAATTCTTTTTCATTGAATGCAACTTCACGCAGCGACATAAAATTATCAAAATTTAAAGCTGGTGAAAATATCAAATCTCCCGTGCTTGACAATGAACCCAAACCTCAATGGATGTTAATTGACATGAGACAAATGAATTTATTTTTTCAAGAGATTGATTGCCCATCGTGTCACGAACAGGGGTCTTTGTTGTTTGAAAAGAGCGACAATTTTGATAGATTTGGATTTGCTGTAAATATTATGTTGACATGCCAAAACTGTCAGATGTGTGTTGACAAACATTACACTTCACAAAGGTCAGGTAATAAATCGGGTACCAATCCCTTTCAGGTGAATGACATTTTTATGCTCTTTCTGTCAGAGGTAGGACTTGGACATGCTGCTATGAAAAAGTTTTGTCTGGTTTTTGGAATGGAAGGTCTCCATCCAAAGACATTTCAACACAAACAAAACATTCTTTCACAGGTTGTTGTTGAAAATACTGAGGAAGTTTTGACTCAGAGTGTTGAAATTATCAAACATGCTTATGGTGAGCAACAGACAGTTTCAAATGATGTACCTTTAGACATTACTGTCAGTTATGACGGATCATGGCAGAAGAGAGGCCACACTTCAAATTATGGTGTTGGGGCGGTTATTGATGTTTTGACAGGTCTAGTGATTGATTATGAAGTCCTGTCAAAATACTGCCATGCATGTACCCTTCATATCAACAGTCTAGGACAGGACACCACAGAGTTCAGACAGTGGTATGAAGGACATGCTGGTAGGTGTTGCCAAAATTATGAAGGTAGTTCCAATGCCATGGAAGTTGAAGCCGCTAAGAGGCTATGGTCCCGTTCTTTGGAAAAGCATAATATACGTTACACATGTATACTTTCAGACGGTGACAGCAAAACCCACAAGGCAATCAACGACCTTCAACCCTATGGACCAGACATCAGTATTGACAAGGAAGACTGTGTTAACCATGCTCATAAAAGGATGGGCACTGCTCTTCTGAAATTGTCAAAAGAGTTGAGATTGGGTGGTAGGGGCAAAGGAAAGCTGACTAAAGACAAAGCTCTTAAATTTCAGTATTATTACCGCTTTGCCATCACTAACAATGTTGGTAACATCGATGGTACAAGGAATGCAATCTGGGCAAGTTTGTTTCATTGCATGTCAACCGATGATTCTCCCCATCACACTAGATGTCCCACTGGTCCCTCAAGTTGGTGTTTTTATAATAGAGCACTGGCTAATGATCTTGAGCCTCCTGCTCACGCAGACAACATCAGACATTTTCTCGATGCAGAAATTGCAGAAAAGATGGTACCTGTGTATCAAAGAATGTCTGATGAAAACCTCCTTAAGAGGATGGTGAAAGGCAAGACACAGAATGCTAATGAATGCTTGCATTCTGTGATCTGGTCCCGTTGTCCGAAGACCGTCTTTGTGGGTGCAAGGCGGTTGCATCGGGCAGTGGCGTCTGCAATAGCTTCGTTCAATGAGGGTACTTGTCACATTACTCAGGTAATGAACAAGCTTGCAATAGAAGCTAATGAAATAACAGCAGCTTCTGTTGAAAGACTTGATAATGTGAGAACCCTCAAAGCAAGGAAGCAAAGCCAGGAGACATCTAAGATGGAACGTAGTGCAAAGTGGGAGGCTAAAAAAAGGGACCGAGTTCATGTTGACGCAGCTGAAGGCTTGTTGTATGGTGCTGGGGAGTTTTAAGTCCTGTTATTTCTTTGTACATGCATTGTTTTATGTATCTTGAATACATCCCATCAGTAAACTAAGATTTTGTAAGTGTTTAATAGGTGCTTTAGGAAGAAAACCATATACAAACTTATTTCCTCATTTTCTCCATTAACGTCATTTCGGATCTTAGTGAACATAGGTCTCAACCGTTATTGGCCCGATTTGAATGAAATTTGGTGTACATATAGGCAGAGGATTACTTTACACAATAACAGAGAGACTTTTTAAAATTTGTTGGCCATTTTTATTTTAAAAAATAAATTATGTGTAAAAATCAACCTAAAATATGTGAAATTTTGAAAAATTATTTTAAAAATATATACCAGTCTTTTTTTAATTTTTCTTTCTGTCATTGTACCCAACACCATACAAGCTTTGTTATACAATTGAAATTATATAAATATCTTTATTGGTCTTAGAGAAAAACTGAAACTCATTTCTATCTTTTTCAGGCTTGCGGCGGCCATCTTGGATGTTTCCATGGCAACCGGTGGCAACATCACCTGGAAAAGACTCCATTTCAATTGTTAATATGTATACCTCAAAGTTGTAACCAATTAAAACTAACAAATACTTGTGAAGCATTTTGTCAATTGTAAGGTGCAGTGTCTGGCCTTAAAGCACTCACTCACAATTATGACAACCATCATACGTAATACAAAGAGATGGGCTATATTATATTTGGTGGGGAGTGGGGACACAATATTTCTTCAGTCAGGAAATATACTTCTTCAAAGAAGTAAAGGAACACCTGATTCTTTCATATTACTATAGTTAATCTGTCATGGCATTATTCTTTCCAGATTCTTTCATATTACTGTAGTTAATCTGTAATTGCTGGACAGGGTAACTATAGTAATATGGCAAAATTGGGTAGTCCTTAACTTCTTTTGAGTAGTATATGAAAACAAATTCTGAAAGAAAGACAATTTATTTTGCACCCACAACACATTTTTTTCACGACATCCATCATTTCCAATGACTGATATTTTGTTTTAAAGCCAGAGGGCAATCAATTTTTCCAGCATTTTCAAGAACAGATTAATTTTAGAAATGGTTGACCCCTAATACATGTCTTAATTTTTTTTTGAAATGGTTTGACTCTGATTGAAGCAGTATTTTAGCTCTGAGTGTCATAAGTAGAACATGTAGAAGACTCTGCTCATGTGATGTTCCATTGTGGTCCTAGATTCCTGCAATTGGTCACTTCCTGTTCCTGTGTCAAGAGCCACTGAACTTGGAGGAGGTTGCCCACTACGAGCTGGAGTGCAGTTTTCTCATGCCCAGGCAGAGCTCCACCATGCAGAGGGTCATGTCCTCCCTGCTCTCTACACCCTTCCAGAGGACCAAGTAAGTGTACTCCCTGCGCCCCACTCCCTTCCAGAGGACCAAGTAAGTGTCCTCCCTGCTCTCCACTCCCTTCCAGAGAACCAAGTAAGTGTCCTCCCTGCTCCACGCTCCCTTCCAGAGCACCAAGTAAGTGTTCTCCCCGCTCCCTTCCAGAGGACCAAGTAAGTGTCTTCCCTGCTCCCCACTCCCTTCCAGAGGACCAAGTAAGTGTTCTCCCCGCTCCCTTCCAGAGGAACAAATTTAGAGTCCTCCCCGCTCCTCACTCCCTTCCAAAGGACCAAGTAAGTGTCCTCCCTGCTCCCCACTCCCTTCCAGAGAACCAAGTAAGTGTCCTCCCTGCTCCCCACTCCCTTCCAGAGAACCAAGTAAGTGTCCTCCCTGCTCTCCACTCCCTTCCAGAGAACCAAGTAAGTGTCCTCCCTGCTCCCCGCTCCCTTCCATAGAAACAAGTAAGTGTCCTCCCTGCTCCCCACTCCCTTCCAGAGGACCAAGTTAGTGTCCTCCCCCCTCCCCACTCCCTTCCAGAGAACCAAGTAAGTGTTCTCCCCGCTCCCTTCCAGAGGACCAAGTAAGTGTCTTCCCTGCTCCCCACTCCCTTCCAGAGGACCAAGTAAGTGTTCTCCCCACTCCCTTCCAGAGGACCAATTTAGAGTCCTCCCCGCTCCTCACTCCCTTCCAAAGGACCAAGTAAGTGTCCTCCCTGCTCCCCACTCCCTTCCAGAGAACCAAGTAAGTGTCCTCCCTGCTCCCCACTCCCTTCCAGAGAACCAAGTAAGTGTCCTCCCTGCTCTCCACTCCCTTCCAGAGAACCAAGTAAGTGTCCTCCCTGCTCCCCGCTCCCTTCCATAGAAACAAGTAAGTGTCCTCCCTGCTCCCCACTCCCTTCCAGAGGACCAAGTTAGTGTCCTCCCCGCTCCCCACTCCCTTCCAGAGAACCAAGTAAGTGTCCTCCCTGCTCCCCTCTCCCTTCCAGAGGACCAAGTAAGTGTCCTCCCTGCTCTCCACTCCCTTCCAGAGAACCAAGTAAGTGTCCTCCCTGCTCCACGCTCCCTTCCAGAGCACCAAGTAAGTGTTCTCCCCGCTCCCTTCCAGAGGACCAAGTAAGTGTCTTCCCTGCTCCCCACTCCCTTCCAGAGGACCAAGTAAGTGTTCTCCCCGCTCCCTTCCAGAGGACCAATTTAGAGTCCTCCCCGCTCCTCACTCCCTTCCAAAGGACCAAGTAAGTGTCCTCCCTGCTCCCCACTCCCTTCCAGAGAACCAAGTAAGTGTCCTCCCTGCTCCCCACTCCCTTCCAGAGAACCAAGTAAGTGTCCTCCCTGCTCTCCACTCCCTTCCAGAGAACCAAGTAAGTGTCCTCCCTGCTCCCCGCTCCCTTCCATAGAAACAAGTAAGTGTCCTCCCTGCTCCCCACTCCCTTCCAGAGGACCAAGTTAGTGTCCTCCCCGCTCCCCACTCCCTTCCAGAGAACCAAGTAAGTGTCCTCCCTGCTCCCCTCTCCCTTCCAGAGGACCAAGTAAGTGTCCTCCCTGCTCCCCACTCCCTTCCAGAGAACCAAGTAAGTGTCCTCCCTGCTCCACGCTCCCTTCCAGAGCACCAAGTAAGTGTTCTCCACGCTCCCTTCCAGAGCACCAAGTAAGTGTTCTCCCCGCTCCCTTCCAGAGGACCAAGTAAGTGTCTTCCCTGCTCCCCACTCCCTTCCAGAGGACCAAGTAAGTGTTCTCCCCGCTCCCTTCCAGAGGACCAATTTAGAGTCCTCCCCGCTCCTCACTCCCTTCCAAAGGACCAAGTAAGTGTCCTCCCTGCTCCCCACTCCCTTCCAGAGAACCAAGTAAGTGTCCTCCCTGCTCCCCACTCCCTTCCAGAGAACCAAGTAAGTGTCCTCCCTGCTCTCCACTCCCTTCCAGAGAACCAAGTAAGTGTCCTCCCTGCTCCCCGCTCCCTTCCATAGAAACAAGTAAGTGTCCTCCCTGCTCCCCACTCCCTTCCAGAGGACCAAGTTAGTGTCCTCCCCACTCCCCACTCCCTTCCAGAGAACCAAGTAAGTGTCCTCCCTGTCACCTCTCCCTTCCAGAGAACCAAGTAAGTTTCCTCCCTGCTCTCCACTCCCTTCCAGAGAACCAAGTAAGTGTCCTTCCTGCTCCCAACTCCCTTCCAGAGGACCAAGTAAGTTAAGTGTCCTCCCTGCTTCCCTCTCCCTTCCAGAGAACCAAGTAAGTGTCCTTCCTGCTCTCCACTCCCTTCCAGAGAACAAAGTAAGTGTCCTTCCTGCTCCCCACTCCCTTCCAGAGGACCAAGTAAGTGTCCTCCCTGCTCCCCACTCCCTTCCAGAGAACCAAGTAAGTGTCCTCCCTGCTCTCCTCTCCCTTCCAGAGAACCAAGTAAGTGTCCTCCCTGCTCCCCTCTCCCTTCCAGAGAACCAAGTAAGTGTCCTCCCTGCTCTCCACTCCCTTCCAGAGAACCAAGTAAGTGTCCTCCCTGCTCCCCGCTCCCTTCCATAGAACCAAGTAAGTGTCCCCACTCCCTTCCAGAGAACCAAGTAAGTGTCCTCCCTGCTCTCCACCCCCTTCCAGAGAACCAAGTAAGTGTCCTCCCTGCTCCCCACTCCCTTCCAGAGGACCAAGTAAGTGTCCTCCCTGCTCTCCACTCCCTTCCAGAGAACCAAGTAAGTGTCCTCCCTGCTCCCCACTCCCTTCCAGAGGACCAAGTAAGTGTCCTCCCTGCTCTCCACTCCCTTCCAGAGAACCAAGTAAGTGTCCTCCCTGCTCCCCACTCCCTTCCAGAGGACCAAGTAAGTTTTCTCCCCGCTCCCTTCCAGAGGACCAATTTAGTGTTCTCCCCGCTCCTCAATCCCTTCCAGAGGACCAAGTAAGTGTCCTCCCTGCTCCCCACTCCCTTCCAGAGGACCAAGTAAGTTTTCTCCCCGCTCCCTTCCAGAGGACCAATTTAGTGTTCTCCCCGCTCCTCAATCCCTTCCAGAGGACCAAGTAAGTGTCCTCCCTGCTCCCCACTCCCTTCCAGAGGACCAAGTAAGTGTCCTCCCTGCTCCCCACTCCCTTCCAGAGGACCAAGTAAGTGTCCTCCCTGCTCCCCACTCCCTTCCAGAGAACCAAGTAAGTGTCCTCCCTGCTCCCCACTCCCTTCAAGAGAACAAAGTAAGTGTCCTTCCTGCTCCCCACTCCCTTCCAGAGGACCAAGTAAATGTACTTTGTTCCCCACTGCCTTCCAGGGTGACGTTGTACAAAACAACCTTAACGCTACGAGTTTTGTAAGTCTGTGTTAAGGTATGTGACTTACGATCACCTTAGTGCTAAGATTGTTTTGTACACCGGTACCTCGAGGACCAAGTAAGCATCCTCCCTGCTGCCCACACCCTTCCAGAGGACCAAGTAATGATATTCTGACAATAATCAATGCTTTAGATGTAATCGTACTTAATGAACATGCTGAAGTAACCTCAAAATTAGCTTTCAAATACAATGCTGGAGTGAGCTACACCATCAGTCCTACTGTGCCAAATGATTTGAAGCCATGTTTGTGTACAAAAACAGCGACAAATCGAGAAACACCAAACTGAGGTTTTTGGAAACGATGGGCAATAGGTTAATGAGCAAGTACACATTGCATCGTTGCATGGAGGTTATTAAAAATTGTTCCAGCTTAGATACCTCATTTGCAAGTTTATCAAATTAAGTTTATCGGGTTTGTATATCACATTGATAACACTATCAACTATGTCATAATACTACTTACTGCTCAACATTTACTCCCTCACTCACTTGGTTGTGCAGTATGTTCAGCGATTTATCTTGACCTGCTCAGAGGCTGATAACTGGCCCAGTCTGCAGCAACTATCACTATAAATTTCCGAATTTGATCTATAAATTTCCCTGTTCATGTCATTACAACTAATGTTATAAGTTGGCAGAGATGACTTGTATTAAACTGACAACAGGCCAATAAAGTGGAAATGGCTCTAATAAATAAAGTTTCATAATTACATTGAATACAATGTTTAAATACCTGTTAATATCATAAACTAACAACTTTTAAACAATCCCAATTTGCCTTCAAAAGGCACTTGGTTTGGAGTCCTAGATATATCCCTGTGCTAGATATCTTAACAGCACTATCTGCCCTGATTATTCCAGACTTGACAAGCGGACCATGATGCCCTACTGTGTGTGGGAGGAGAAACTCCGCAAGAGGATAGCTACTTGGTACAAGGTGCTTGATGACAATCAAGGAAATGCTTATAAGGTAGGTCCTTGGAGGCCAGAGGCTGATTAAGAATCTCCTTGTTACGGATAACAACTTGGTTTGAGTCCCTATAGTGGAACTATGTATGAACCCAATCTTTGTTTCTCGTCATATGTCTGGAATATTGCTGAAAGCAGTGTAAAATCATTCAGCGATAGAAACTAAACTCTGTCAGTCAGTCCATTTAATGATATAAAGGAACATTTTTAATAGGGCTGGGTAAAAAGGTCGATGATCAGAATTATCGTCGATGGGAAGAAATATTAACGATTATCGATTTGATACTTTTGTGATGAAATAAAGTTTAGATTACCGAAACAGACTTCTTATTGTCAATAACGTCAATTGTTGGAGACAGCAAGCAAATGTTTTGTTGTATCTCAAATGTCCACAAAATAAACTATGCATAAATGTGTCACTGCTCACCAATGGCGTGAAATATGTTGATTTCTTTCGGGATTTGCTTGCACATTTGCTTAAAGTTACTTCTCTTCTTGATAATTGATCGATATTTATTTAGCAGTCATCTATCTCTATAATCTATATCGATAGCCAGCCCTAATTTTTAGTAATTTCTGGTACTTGTCTCAGAGATACGTTAGCTAAATTGTGAATTTAGGTATGCACCATAACTGCTTTTGGGCTGGTGCTAGTTTGCAACCCCTACATGCTCTTTCACTTAGGAGCGGTCGGGTAGCCTAGTGGTTAAAGTGTTCGCTTGTCACGCCGAAGACCCGGGTTCGATTCCCGACATGGGTACAATGTGTGAAGCCCATAACTGGTGTCCCCCACAGTGATATTGCTGGAATATTGCTAAAAGCGGCATAAAACCACACTCACTCACTCTTTCACTTACTGGTAGACCTTTTGAGGGCATATTTTAAAAATGTCTTATCCCCATGGGCCCCGGGCAGAATGAGTGGGGATTCCGGATTAGAGTTTCCCCCAAGCAACTTATACTGGTTGTAAGACGGAATGGATCGGGTGGTCAGGCTTGGTGACTTCACGATGTGTCATATTAAATGTTAATCACTGGGTTGTTTGACCCGGACTCTTTTATTTACAGACTGATTTCATATGGCTTGAATATTGTCATTTACCCAAATTTTGCCAGTTACACATTCGAGTGAAACAATAATTCTCTTTGCAGGCTGCCTACAAGCTGGGTCTAGATGTTCACTTCTTTACTGTCCTAGGTAAGTACAGATTGGTGACAGGATCGGGGATGAGATTGGCTTCAAACGAAGAAAATGTTTCTAGGACATTATTGTGTCACTTTTAATTCTGATCGTCTTAATTTCTATTGACAAAGAAAAAGATATTTTGGGTTGCTCTAGGCATTAAGGAAAGTGCCAAATACATTATGTACCAGAAGTACTGAGCAATGGCCTACTTGGGATATTTTTAGAATAGCTTCAGTTACAGCAGTGTTGCTCAAGTCTTGCACTATGTAATCTGTGTGCCCAACCATTAGCCAATTTTTATGTGACCAACTTGTTTGATTCCTGCATCATAGGAACACACTGTTAGTCATGCTTGACAACTGATATGGCATTAGATAGCCCATATACTTTCAAGGTTCCTAAATGTTTAGTATTGGCTAACTGTCTTTTATATTTCTTCGATTTTGGTCTTAAACACTTGGCTTAGCCCCTAAAACATACTGTGCATTTCTTTTGTCCCTGGTAGGAATTCTGTCATAGAATAGGTACCCAGTACCCAGTGCTTGTCCTAGTAGTAGGCAACTAATGCAGGTTGAATGGTTACAGTGTATGGATCTGGTTGATTGTCATCATACCCTTACAACATGGAAATTTGCTCATGCAGTCGACCTCCTTGACCCAGACACAATTATTGACATGCAACCAAGATATGGCTGGAATAATTTACTGCAGCTTGAAGCAACGTTCACACTATCCACTTAGTTTGCTCTTAATGTCATGCATTACAATTCATGATTTCTGTTTGTTTGATCTTCAGGAAAGAAAGACCCTCTTGTGAAAAAGAGTTTCTATGAGCTGTCCTTTTATCAGAAAGTGTGGATTGTTAAAAGCTTATGTGACAACTGTATGGTGAGTGTGTAACCTGTATCATATCTTATCATGCACATTCAGGGATTTATTGAGATCTGCTCAGATTCCCAATTAGGAGTTCAAAATGTTCCAACACTTGTTCATATAGTTATAATTAATGTTATGGCTTGGTGGAGGTGACTTGTATGACTGATAAAAAGGAAATGGTTTCAGAATGTAATTGTACATGGTAAAATACAATGGTAAAATAGACCGCCTCCGTGGTCTTGTGGTAGAGCGTCCGCCCGGAGAGCGGAAGGTCCAGGGTTCGATCCCGGGCCGCGTCATACAAAAAGACGTTAAAAGATTGTACTTGTTGTTACCCTGTCTGGCGCTCGGCATTAAGGGGCTAAAACAAGGACTGGTCGGCTCGGAGTCAGTATACTGTGTCTGAGTGGGGTATTCATGTTAAACTGCGGCATGGTATCTCAGTGAGCTAGCACTATAAATCGGCATCAGTCCGGACTAGTACAAGCAGCCACACACACACATACACGTGCATGCACGTCGCTATATAAGTGCAATAATCTTGGACGCGACGTTAAACCCAATTTCACCTCACCTCACCAATGGTAAAATACCTCCAAAATGAAGAAAATAACTTTTACAGAATCCCACTTTTGACCAAAATATATTTTTTTCTCTGCATTTCCCTGCCTAAGGGATGATGGCTTGGAATCACTGACATACTATCATGCACACTTAACAGGCATAATCCTTTATTAGAAAAGAATCAACAAAATGATATTGTGTAACATGGCGACTCCACAAAATTACGTTTGAGGAAAGGGGAGATAATCATCTAAAGATCCCCAGACTAACATTGTTGTTTCCCTTTGACCTCTCAGTTCTAGTTGAGGTGCAATTAGAACAAACAGCCAGAATCTCCTCTGAACATAGTGAAACAGGCCACATCAAAGATGAAATGTTTAATGAGTAGAAGTTTGTCATAGTTAGTTGTCATACCCTGTTATCCTTCAATGGTAAAATATTTGTGTGGCCAGGGAAGTTCCTCGGTGAGGTGGCCACCATGGAAGACCACTTGTCGGCCATAAGTATATGTTTGCATGGTATATATATAATATTGGTGCCCTGGTGTGCTCCTTGTGATTCCTCTTTACATCCAAGAACAAGAGCACTAGTGACCTGTGAAGATCCAGGAATAGGTCTTCAGCAACCCATGCTTGTCGTAGAAGGCCACTGTGCTTGTCGTAAGAGGCGACTAACGGGAAACACACAAACTTCCCTCACTCATGTGAACTATTTTTTCCTGTGCAGGAGACACAGGAGTCACTACGTGATGCCATTGAGGCCCAGGCTGTGGAGGAGCAGCGGAGCTACCTGCTGGGCGAAGACGCCAAGGGCAACACGTACATCCACTTCCCACAATTCTGTGGAGCAGACCTGCGTGTGTACCGACAGGATCCATTTCCTGAACCTGAGTTGGAAAGTGACGTGGATGAGGAGGAGGATGAAGTGAAGGTGGGATATTTTTTTATTTGTTTTATTAACATTTGAAATGTTGAAGGAACAATAAAACTTCACTTTTTATCGAAGGTCTCTCATTGGAATTTCAGTTCAGAATTCATATCCAGTACCCTATGATTCGTAATATCTCATTGTTAAATATTGATCATCAGGGCCGTATTTCACAATAGGATCTTACTTTAACTTGAGCTTCAAAGTACTTTAACTTCCGATCATCGAAGTGCTCAGGTCACTTTGTGGAACAGGGCCAGGTGGTTTAAATGTGTAACATAGCTGATATTGTGTTCACAGACTGTTCTCTTGATTTCTACCACCAGTGGCTATTATGAGGTTATGTCCCTTGTATGTCCCTCCTATTGACCAATCAGATACCACCTCTCATGCCACTTGCATTTGCTTCAAACAAAATGAAGGCGCATTGCCAAGACAATCTGATCTTAATCAAAGTCTATATTGTGATGAAATGGGTGTTACCTCACAAAGTGCAGCAAATCACATGAGCACATTGATTGAAAACATGAAAATATTTGGAAAATATCTGTTGCCGTCAAGTTGGCGGTACACATGCTTTGCAAATCCTGCAATCGACCGAAATCTGCTGGGCAGTTTATGAACCGGATATTGATTTCGTTATGCAATTTTGATTGGACTATGCATAGACTCGTCAGTCTAATATAACTCCATAATTCCAGCCTAGTTTGGCAAGGGAGATTTAACTGACTTTAAAATTCCAGTTTCCACCCTTGCCCAACTAGCCTGGAATTCCTGGGCTCGATCGTAGCGCCACTAGTGGTTATTATGAGTTACTTCTAAGCCTCTCCTATGGACCAATCTGATTCCATCACTTGCATTTGTTTCAAACAAAATGGCGGCGCCCAGTCAAGACGATCTGATCGATTATCAAGATCTATATTGTGATAAAACGGGTCTTAAATCGCAAGGTGCATCAAATCACGCAAGCACCTTGATTAAGAACATGAAAAGGTTTGGAAAATATCTGTTGACAACGAGTTCGCAATGCACATGCTTTGCAAATCCTGCAATCAACCGAAATCTGCACGGGGGCTTACGAACCAGATTTCGATTCCGTTGCGCGATTTTGATTGGACTATGCATAGACTCGTTAGTCCAGCCAAAATAAAACTCCATAATACCAGCCTAGTTCGGCAAGGGTGGAAACTGGACTTTTAGAGTCATTTAATTCTCTTGCCTCAGGAAGATGTTCGTCTGTCCTTTTAAAGACATTTGTTTGTGTGACCTATAACTTGAAACTACTGCATAGATTCTTTTCAAACCCCTTCTATGCCAGTAGGAGTGGTGCAGTGTGAAGTATGATTTCAATATTTGGATTCTTGAAAAATACAGCTATTTTTCATTTTTTCACTTAGAATTTGTAAATTTAAACATCTGTGTGACCTATAACTTGAAAACTACTGCATGGATTTGGGGGGAACAGTTTCCATACTAATAGAAGAAGTGCAGTGCAAAGTTTGCTTTTGATATGTCGATTTTCTGAGAAAATATCCCTAAATATGAGTGTGACCTATAACTTGAAAAGTACTGTGAGGATTCTTTCTAATTGGGGGTACAGTTTCTATACCAATAGGAGAGGTGCAGTGCAAAGTTTGATTTTGATAAGTGGATTTTCTGAGAAGATACTGCTTTTTTTCATGTTTTGAACTTAGAAATATGTTGGAGTCAAGATCAGGGGTGATTTTTGCCTTGTTTAGTCTTATTTTCTTCTTATTGTATTACATTTCAATTTGAAATGGTCCTTTTATTTTTTCAATAGTCTAGAGCAGTCTGTTTATGATCATAAACACTGTCAATTTATGTGTGTTTGTCAACAGAGTGAAGAGGAGGAGATGGAGACACCACCGGTAAAGAAGAGGCGAGTTAATGGCAGCAAGAGTGCAGCTGGAGGAAGTGCTAGAAAGGTAGGGGGATTCTGGAAATACCGAGTGCCTCTGTGGTCTAGAGGTAGGGCATCCGCCCGGAGAGCGGAAGGTCTTGGGTTCGATCCCCGGCTGCGTCATACCAAAAGATGTTAAAAGATGGTACTTGTTGTTACCCTGTCTGGCGCTCGACATTAAGGGTCTAAAACAAAGACTGGTCGGCTCGGAGTCAGTATACTGTGTCTGAGTGGGGTATTCATGTTAAACTGCGGCATGGTATCTCAGTGAGCTAGCACTATAAATCGGCATCAGTCCGGACTAGTACAAGCACACACACACACACACACACACACACACACACACACACACACACACACACACACACACACACACACACACACACACACACACACACACACACACACACACAGACACACACAGACACACACACACACACAAAAAAAGTTTGGGTGCTCTCTGCTGGTTTTCTTTTCTAGGTCTGTCACACAGACTTCTCTATACTTTAACATGAACTGTCAAGATTTAAAATTGCTTTTTGAAGAGTGCCTTGATGACACTTTACATGCTAAAAATCAAGCCTTTCTCCATTTTGTCTGTTTTTTATGGGGAACACTTGTTTTCTTAATTTATTTTTTTTCATTCAAAATAGCTTGTCTTAATTCATTTACCTATCCATAACCACATAATTATCTTTAATCAAGCTGTCACGGATATGTTCTTGTTTAGGCCCCTGTTGGAGGACGTTCAAGTCGGAGATCGGCAAGGTTACCTGACACGGACGACACAGAGGCAGACAACACACCAAGCGAGATCAGCACTGAGCCAGGGTCAAGGTCACTGACTGCCACGCCCGAGATTGTGGACATGGAGGACGAGTGTCTGTATGCTCGGAGGACACGGTCAGGAAGAAGTTCCCGGAAAAGCCTTTACCGGAATGGGATCACAAGGGAGCTGGAACGGGCCCTGCGCAAGATCGGACGCTGTAAAGTTGATGACAGAGGGAGTGATGAAAGAGAGGAGAGCATGGCCAGTGATTCAGAAAGAGACTATGTCAGTGCTACAGACAGTAATCATAACAATAACAATTGTGCAAGTCAGCCAGACGAACAAGATTCATTAGACTGTGTGCCATCAGGAGGGCGGAGTAAGGGCAGTTCTGTGGAAAGGGGGAGTGGGGTGTCTAGAACTGATTCTCCAAGTCTGACGTGTGACTCGAAGCAAAATGGTGATAATATAAACATAATAAAATATGAGCCCGAGATGTGTGATGTAAATAGTGTGGATGTTAAGGTGGAGAAATGTGAGACTGACCTAACAGACAGCAACGGTGGCATGCAGTGTAATGGACGGACATGTGACACGTCGGAGGACAGCAAGAGTGCAATAGCCAATGGTGATATTCCTAGTGACAGCTTCACCAGGGATGGTTCTGCTGTCACGGAACATCAGGAGGGGAAGGGGAGTTCTCAGGGGAAGGGAGAAATGAGTGAGGTCAAAATGAAGAGTCACGAAAACGAGAACGTCGTGTTAGACGATCCGAAATCTGACTCAAGTGCTCAAAATGTTCATGGTGCTGATAACTCTACAGATTGTGAAAGTGATATTAAATGTAACATCGATGCAGTGAAATGTGAAAGTGAGGTAGGGGAGAATGGTCAGGACTGTTCCAGCGAGATTGGCAAAGATGATGACAGCAAGCCGTTCATGAAGGATACTGATGCCAAGAAGCAGAGCAGCTCTGAGGTGAAGACAGAACCAGGTCAGGATGAGAATGAATGTGGAGTGTCTGTGAAGGAGGAGGCCATGTCAACGGAGGAAAAAGTTCAGACTGATGCAGCAAAGATTGAGGAGGAGGAAGAAGAAGAAATAGTAAGGAAATTAGTAGTGGCATATAAACCTGTTAAACCTTGTCAACTTGAACTTCATTAACATGATGTATCATCCATTGGTGCCAACCATAACAATTTTGGTGTTATAATTATGCTTTGGGGCTGAAACACTTTATGCTTCTACTCATCCCAATTACGATTTTTGTTATTTTTTTTCACGAATTATTTACATAAAGAAATATCACAGAGAGCAAATTGTTAATGCTCCAGTGACATGAAGCATTCTACAGCCAGACTATGATGACAATGATACAAGTTGTCTGATTGGTTGTAATGTTAAGACACACTCAAGTAATGTTTTTGCGGATGTAGACAGGGAACTAAATGCATGTACACTGATAATACTTTGGAACGAGTAACATCACATTGTTTTTCTGAAAATAACTTATTTTGTGTAACATGATGAATTTTAGGAATTTGTGGAGCTTTGACAACATGTTTCACTTACGTCTAGACATGCTAGACCCAACAAAATTTTGAAGCGAAAACCCACATCATTGTACTCTTTTTCACATGAAATTATGCTTTTTTACCCCACTGAATACTCCCAAGATTCAATAAGGGTTGGCAGGTCTATCATTTCAGCTGTATCGTCCCTTCAGAAATCTCAGAATCCTCATCAGTGCTATTACTTGACCTGCTCAGGACAGTCCGATATTTATTTAATGGTCCCCAGGACTACAGGTTTGACTGTGTATCAGAAGGAAGAGTGATGTTACTGAATCATTAAAGCCCTCCGACATTACATGCAGGCTGAGCTGTGTTACCGTGTTTACTAATGCATACAGTGTCTGAGTCGGGCCATGAGGGACTCAGGCTCGGCAATTAGCTGTGTAGAGTTGCATGACTTGGGCATGCCAGAAAGCTGTGTTGTGGGTTCAAATCCTAGATTCATTCTCATGATGCTTCCTTTGTGTTAGTAATGGATGATATCTGTTTGCTGCTGCAGCTGCCCGAGTTGGGATCATTTGAGCTGATGGCAGACAGCGTGGAAGATCTCCGTGTTCTGGCAGAGAAATTTGCTGAGCAGCCTGAACCACCGACTGTCAGCACTCGGGGAAAGAAGCAGAAGGTAAAGTACAGTTTAATGTCTGCATACTGGGTCATTCCTCTCCATCAGTAATACAGACTGGGTCATTCCTCTCCATCAGTTATACATACTGAGTCATTCCTCTCCATCAGCTATACAGTCTGGGTCATTCCTCTCAATCAGTAATACAGACTGAGTCATTCCTCTCCATCAGTTATACAGACTGGGTCTTTACTCTCCATCAGTTATACAGACTGGGTCTTTACTCTCCATCAGTTATACAGACTGTGTCTTTACACTCCATCAGTTATACAGACTGGGTCTTTACTCTCCATCAGTTATACAGACTGGGTCTTTACTCTCCATCAGTTATACAGACTGGGTCTTTATTCTCCATCAGTTATACAGACTGGGTCTTTACTCTCCATCAGTTATACAGACTGGGTCTTTATTCTCCATCAGAATTACAGACTGGGTCTTTCAAACTCCTGGATCAGCCTCTGGAGTCCTATTCAGATTTTACATCTAGAGAAAAACTTAATGGCAGTTTGTTTTACTAAAATGAAAGTAATTGTTGGTCACTGGAAAACCTCCATGTACAAATAGCTGATTGACTGAAACAATGTTGTTTGTTGTAGTCCAAGCCGACACCCAGAAAGCGATGTGAAGTGGAGCTCCACGCCCGTCTTCTGTACCTGCTGAAGGAGCTGGAGCCCTGGGAAACCAAACTGCTCCAGGCCCGACGGAAAGCTCGGGTCAAGATCAGGAAAGAGCTGGATGAATTTAAGGAAGAGGAGTTTAAGAAACAGGTGAGGTGGTATTACTAGCTGTTTATGCGGGTGGTATGAAACAGGAAGTTCGGGATATATGAAAATATACATTTTTAAACTTATCCTACTTCACTCTATGCATTTCTCTTTCTTCTTTCAACTTCTATGTGGAAACATGCCTAAAGAAAGATTTTCTGCTTCTTAAAACAATTCATAAAAAAAACCCAGCATCACCATGGTCACCTCCCAGCAATCTGGGTCATGCATGCTTTCTTGCTGGTTGATGCATGCTTTTCTTGCTGGTTGACCCACACACACTGGAAACATGGTTTTACCCAGCCAATTCATTCTCTTTCTAATCGCCACCTTGTGGTGACATGTTTATACACCTAGTGGATTCATTTGGTTTTTTTACCTTTTTTGTCCATTTTCCCTCTTCAGCTGGCAAGTTTTTGTTTCTACTAGTTGTTTTTCATCATAGACAACAGTCCAATTGCCATCCCGCATGTCTTGCTTGCAGATGGGTATTTTTGTCATCAGACCCTCATGATATCTGTTCTGATAGGTGCGATGTACTCAATGCCGTGAGCAAGATAGACTCTATAGATAGACAACTTTAACCAAGAAAATTCTGGTGAAAAAGCCAAGCCTATCAGCGAAACATCAGCACCTTTGACGAATGTAGATTTGTCAAACCTGCGCTGCCCCGTTTTATCTGTTGACAATGATGGTGTCAACTATAGTTTTTTGAAGTCGTTTCTTTCATGACCAGGGGCCGAAGACCTGGGTTCGATTCCCGACATGGGTACAATGTGTGAAGCCCATTTCTAGTGTCCCCCGCCATGATATTGCTGGAATATTGCTAAAAGCAGCATAAAACCATACACACTCACTCACTCACTCACTTTCCTGACCACTCAGCCTAGTTTGAAGACTGTACCTTTATCAGCTTTGGTGATAAAGCCTACAGGCTTGGATGTACAGAAGGAGCTTTTGGCGACCAAACCTGTTTTTTGGTCACAATCAACCGTGACCTCTCTTACTGTTACGATGTCTATCCGAGATTGTATTGCTTCCTCGTCACCTTTGTCTTTGGTCGCTGAGATTGTCAAGCCTCCGCCTGAGGACATACCTAAGACTGCAACCTTGATCGTACCCCCTTCAGTCACTCCTCATTGCTCCCTGTCTACTGCCAGACGTTCCAGATCGCCGATCCAACGCTCTCTTCCATAGAGGTCTACACCGGGTTGCCGAACAGATTCGTCGGATTCGTCTCTAGATTCGTATAGATCTTTCTCTCAAGGATATTCTCATGAGGATCATTGATCCTCTGATGGAGATAAACCTGTGAAGTCTCAGCATTCGACGGACAAATTGGCTTCATCAGTTACATCCCTCAACTCTAATCCACGATTATCTAAGGTTTGGCGTTCTAAGAAGATCCCTGGATCAACATACTTCGAAGGTTCGACAAACATCCCAGGATCAGGAGTCCTCGGGGATACATCATACTTTGAAGGATTGACAATACTCTTAGGATCGACATTCCAACAAGGTTTCGACGAACCTCTACAGATCGACTATCTTCCTTAGAACGCTACTCTTCTAGGGATTGGTGGTCTAGAAATCGATCATTCACTCCATTGTCTTTCAAGGAGAGATACTTTAGACTCCTCACGTATTGGTTCGGAAGATGAATTTTATACAGACTCTATTGGACATGACATTTGTTGTACCTGACTCGTTCTTCTTCTAGTCATCCTAAGTTGCTCTAATGAATATCATCATCAAAGACAAGATTTATTTTTTAACCCTGCTTCGTAGAGTGCCTACACAAACCCTATACATGTGGAACACTAACAATACTACAGAAACACTCTTCTCCCGTGGCGAGGATACTCCTATAATACTGCTTACCCGGATTATCATCCTCAGCTGGACTACTATCCTTCTCCTCGCCAGGACTTTACCTCTCCTAATTGGCACAGAGACAGCCCTTGTCATTCAGCTACTATACATGGTAGTTTGTCTACAATACACCGCTCAGGTTCTCTGTCTCTGCCTCTGGTTTGACGTGCACCTAATGTGACTACCAGATGCTCCAGTAAGCATAAAAAGAGATGCCAAGTTGGTTGGTCTTATCGTCCATGGGAGATAGCTCTACACCTATCTTGTAGAATCGATTGGCCAGATACATTCTGAATCGATGTAAGCCGTACATTGTATTGTTTGGCTTTACAATTACCCTCACTCATGTATAAACATGTTACACATATTGTACCCGATTTCTTGTGTTTTCCTCTGTTCACGCATCATGGTCACAACACTCTTTGAGGGTGTTTCATCCCTATCCATGAACTTTGTCTTATGTCACTAGGCAGTGTTACTTACCGTAATATTGTAGCCCATTTCTGGTGTCCCCCACCATGATATTGCTGGAATATTGCTAAAAGCGGCGTAAAATCAAACTCACTCACTCACGACCTAATATTGTTCTGCATCACTGTTTAGCTCCAGCTTCCTCATGTATATCTCACATTTTTTGTCTTTATAGACTAGGGAGTTGCACCCCACCTACAACTGTGGGATAGTGTGTGAAAGGGTCAGTTTAAACAATTGTAAATATACAATTTTTTAAACTTACCCTATCTCACACGCTATATGCCCACCCGTCCATCCCTGCATCACAATTTCTTTAGCCTATTAAGCTCCAGAAAGAGTTGGGTGGGGAAACCCTTCAGTGCGTGTGGGTCAACTGGCAAGAAAGGCATGCATGACCCAGATTGCTGAGTGGTAACCATGGTGATGCTGGCTGTGTTCGAGTGAACTGTTTTTTAAGAGGCTGCAAATCTTTGTTTAGGCACGTTTCCTCTTAGGTTTGAAATAAGAAAGAGAAATGCATAGGGTGAGAAAGGATAAGTAGTATGAATATACAATTTATTGTAAAAATTACAAATTGGTTGATGCTAAACGTTTTCCAGGTGTATATGTTCAAAAATACCAAATCTTATGATGGGTATGGCCCTTGTCTTTTGTAGGATGTGGAGAGTTGGAATACTGAGGAGTCCGCCATATCATCCAGCGAGGACACAGATGAGGATGCCGGGAAGGATGACCAGGTGGAGGTGAAGGTCAAGAGGTCAATCATAGCACCAACACCAATTTTAACTGACAGCCGAGACAGCTTGGCTGGCAATGTTGAGGAAGAATATGAATTGGATGTTAGTTCTCGTGGGCGGCTACGCAAGCGGAGAGTTATACCCAACAATATCGAGGACCAGGGAATTAAGAAGAAGAAAGTCATCAAGTCTGGAGAAGAGCCCACTTCTCCAGCCCACATGCCGAACATACTTCAGAAACAGATGAAACCAATGACATCTTCAACAGTGATATCAGTTGCTGGGGCCTCCCCATCTATCCAAGGTCTCTCGGCCAGTAAGATACTCCGTATGTCCATTCTAAATCAGACTCAAGGCAAGACCAGTCTGATTTCACCAGGAGCATCTTCTGGAAATATCAGACTAACGTCGTTGACAAGCGGTGTGTCAGTTACGCAATCATCTCATCCAGTTATTCAGAGCCTTCTCACAACTCGGCAACAACAAGCAGCAACAGCACCATTACAACAAGTGAGACCCAAGCCATCAGCCATGCAGACAATAAGACCCCAGTATGCAGCAGCAAAACCAGGAGTACTGCAGGCATCTCAGAAACCATCCCCTGGGAAACAAACTTTAGAGGTTGCAGGAGGTAATGCCCCAGCAAGTACCCAAAAGATCCTCAACTCCCTACCTGCCAGTGTTATACAACAGTTGCTCAGACACAAGGCTATAAAAATTCAAACCACAGGACCAGGTGGGACGACCTTGTTCCTCACCTCTGCTGTACCAACCTCTACATCTCAGCCCAGTGCATCACAACCACAACAGATAGGAGTCCAACCACAGCAACCAGTAACTTCATGTCAACCAACACAATCTGTGTACACCAGTCTCCCTGGATCGCCGGCAGATGTGAAGGTGGCAATTCCATCTGTATCATCAGCTCAGCATGTAAACCAGTTCACAGTGATCAACCAATCTATGACTGCTTTGCCAAATGTAGTTCCTTTCTCTGCCTCACCTAACATAGTTCCTTCACTGAATCCAAATATCATAAGTGGAGCAGGAGCAGGAGCAGGAGCAGGCACCAAGCCACAGTTGTTGGTAGGAACCGCCCCTGTTGCATCATCACCTAAACCTGTGATGTTAACACAACAGACAAGTCCCAGTCAGATATCCCCAAATCCATCTCTGACACCTGATCCGATGGAGCAAAGTAGTGCAAAAGCATACCTCACCACCAACATTGTATCTCCATCTAAACAGAAGTATGCTAGCAATGTTACTGTAAAAGCCTTACTGGAGAACAGGGCCTCCTTAAAGGGCCCAGATTTACAAAGTATCATTAACAGAAGTGAAACAGTTGATGGCATGGCTAGCCTGTTATCCAGCATCAGGACAACTGAGGCTCCAGCACTTACCGCGAAGACCAACATCAATCTCTGCAAGGTTGTACTTCCTGCCACTGGGGGCCAGCTGAAACCCCGAGTTGTGAAACTACCTACACAGGAAGCCCTTGATTCTGCCCTTCAGTCTGTTGTGACATCGGTCCGCACCTCATTGCCGACAGCTCACATCAAAGTGCCATCGCCGGTCACCTTACCTTCTATACAGCCTCGTCGTAACGTAACCAAGACCATTCAGAGTATGAAGGTCCCAATCCCTGCTGCGCATAGAGTTGAATCTACTTATTCACCCATTACTGTAACATGTCCCTCCAGCGTTAACCCAAGTGCCTCCGAGTCCATCACCAGTCTCTCACAAGTTACCAAGTCGCCAATTAAGACAGAGTATGTTGTACAGAATCCAACAGCAACAAGCTCTTCTCAAAAGAACATGTTGTTGAAAGTTGTGCCTCAGAATTTCCTCACTTCTCAGGGTCTAGTTCAAGGTTACCTGACTCCGCAGGGCTTGGTGATACCACAGAACAAGCAGACTGTGTTGTCTGGAGGTGTGCAGATTGCATCCTCTGTCAATCTGGGTGGGGCTGCATCAACCACCAAGACTAACCAGGTACATGTTGCTCTCAGTAATTCAGGCAAAGACACGGTGAGTCAGACAGCTCAACTAGCTGCAGTCAAAGCAGTGCAAGATCCTGGAAAACATATACAGTTGAGCTTTTCTCCTGGGAAGCAAACAATTTCACCCGCTTCTGTTCAAGGACTCTCAGCAGTTAGTATTGCACAAGGTTTGAACATAATGGGTAAACAAGTAACTGGAGATGGTAATCCTCAACAAATGACAGTTCAAAATCAACCAGCTACATTGGCATCTGCTTCAAATGTGATCAAGGCTGTCAAGAATACACCTCTGTTATCCAAGGTTGCAACTCCAGCAGCTGAACTTGTGAAGCAGATTGCTGCAGGACAAAGCACCATGATCCAAGGCACCAGGATGATGGTCCCAGCAGCATCCACTATTCAAGGCAAAAGCACAGTGATGACAAATGTTGGTGGGAAAGTGCCTGTGTCTGGTCAGCAGACTCCAGCTGTCATTCCAGCATTGATGGTTGGCCAGCCAGCTGTGGCCAGTACTCCTATCACACCTAGATTGCTTGTTCCAGCACAACAGGTTGGTGGGACTCCTGTACAATACGGCAAGTCTATGAGTATAAATTCATCTGATGTGACAAATAAACAATCCAACTCTGTACAGCTTACAGGAAAAGGTCAGACACCCTTTGTGTTGTCACTTGGCAGTGGTCTTCAGAATGTTATTCTCTCCCCTCAGAAAGAGGCATCTAGTCAGTCAGCTAGTCACATACAGAATGCCACTCTCCAGATGTCTGCTCCTCAATCGTATAGCAAACCAACAGCAGTACCACAAAGCGTTGCAACCTTACAACTACCTGTTCAATCAATGCAGCTCAATCAGCAGCTTCTAAAGCTGACACCACAACAGTTATCCTCTGCTTTGCAGATCTCCCCACAGCAGACTCTCTCTGGGGTGCAGGTTATCCAGCCACAGCAGCAGCAGCAGCAGCAGCAGCAGCAGAAGCAACAGATCTCAGTCAGTGGATCCGGTCAAACCGTAGCCTCAAAGCAAATCATACTGTCACCACAGCAACTGGGCAACGTTGCCATGAAACCAGGTGTCAAGATGGTGGCTCAGCCGTCAGTAGGTGCTGGTATAACTGCACTGATTAACAAGGCTCCTCAGTTCATACAGCAGAAAATGGCAACAATCCAAGTTGCAGCATCCCCGGGACAGCAAGATGTGAAAGCCCCTGTTCTACTTCAGCAGCACACAGCACCAGCAGCAGGCCATATTGGAAAGGTTCTTCAGGTTGGTCAGCATCAAATGCTTATCAGCAAGTCCCTTCCACAACAACCTATTTCATCCGCTTCAGTTCAAACATCAAAGCTACAACCTTCATTTAAAATGCCTCTCTCCAACATTCAGCAAAATCCTGGAGTTCAATTTGTGTACTCACCAACTGCGAATACAGCAGCCTTGGCACCTGAACCGATTAGTGCATCCTCAAGCCCTTCAATCCCCAATCTTGGCACCAACAGAGTCTCCATCCAGGCAGCTCAGGCCTCTACTAAAGCTGCACTCCAGGCTCATCTCAGTCAAACCAAGGCTTCAACCAACATCCCAGGAACTAAACCAGGAACGTCCACGCTTTCTTCCATGCTGGGTCATGAAAAGGTGAAAGTTGTGGCTAAAACATCTCCTACCAATCTGATTGTGTCAAATGCTAATATTGTCTCACAGGTGGTTCAAGCAGCTGAGGCCAAGTTTCCAGCTTCTACAGTGGTTAACAACATAATACAAGCTGCCAAGGCGAGTGCTGAAGGAAGCAAGGTTTCCCCAACTAAGATAGTATCACCTCTGCTTGAAGAAGGAGAGGGAGATGGAACAGGCAGTAAGCAACAGAAACTTCTGTTATACAACATTGGAGGACAGTTGATGACTGCACAGGGAGTCCCTGTCACTGTAGAACAAGGTGTTCTCAAAGTATTGCCACAGGCAACAATCCAGATAGGCAACCAGATGCTCACAATCCGATCTCCGTCCTCGGCCATGGTAGAAAGTCCAAGTCCACCAAAAGGAGCTCCTCATGATGGTACACCCAAAACATCTCTGAAGCCAACACAACCAGCATCAGCCCAACAAGGAACTAATACCAATGTTCTTGTTCAGGCTAACATAGCAAGTGCAGGCCTTGGCCCGAGTAGTGTCATCAGTCCAAGCATCCAGTCTGATGGTAAATCTTTGCCGAGTAATCACTCCCGAACAACTACCCTGTCACCAGTTTGTACATTGGCCACGGCCGACCAGCTCACGGCACAAAGTCAGCAAGCGTTTCCAGGCACACTTGATAGTGGTGATCTGCTCTATGGAGTTGACAACCAGCAGGAAGGATATTCAATAGCAAATAATGTTCAGACTGGACTACAAATGACACAGACAGTAGTTGGGCAAACAGATTCCAACAGTACTGTAACAATACGTTATCCGGTTTCTGGTGAGCCACAGACCGGGCAGTTGATGTCAACTGTGGTAGATGAGCCACAGGCACATCTGGTGACCTCTTCCAGTGTCAGCAAGACTAAACCAGTTCTCCAGAAAACAGGCAGCAGAGAGGAAGCTGCTCTGAACCTGTTGAGTCTTGCAAACATGTCGGACAGATAAACATGAATGATTGGCAGATTATGAACTGTTGAACACTGTGGCCTTTGATACTGGATGTTGATAGTTTGGTGTAATAAGACATGGACTATATTGTGATTTCCGAGCAATACTAGCTGCCAATGATGTATTATGTATGATTTTGCAAAATCTGTACCATGTAATCATTTTCTGAAACAGTTGTGCATACATATTGATTATGTAGCAAGTATTACCTGTGTGTCATTCATGGTTTCACTTGTGTCTCAGTTGTCTCAGGCTGCATAATTAGGACTCTCTTGTTCTAGACCTATACAACACACATCACAGACCATAGGACAAGGGGTGTCATCATTCCATTGTCTATGTACTCAAATAAGGGAACGTCACCATTCCATTATGTATGCAAACTTTGTTCATTTGCATTAAATAGCTAGCACCTTGGATAGTTACCAGATATTTTACACCTTCATGTACATACAAGACATAATTCTCTACGTTAGTTCATGTTTTCTTTATTGTACAGAGAATGTCAAATGACATTTAAGCTCGGGAATCAATGCGATTCCAATGGCTAAGTTTAACTGAGAGAGATGTTAGAAGTTTGATCGTACTGTAATTGATTTTAAGGTTTACTTGACCATGTCCTTTGCCAATGAAAACTGAGATTGTTAGATTCTGTTGTTTGGGGATCAAAACTCATATGCTGACAAAACGGCTAAAATTGTATCTAGCCATTGTTCTTTAGCTCTTGTTTACCTGGCCCTGTTCCACAAAGCAACCGCAGTGCTAAGATCATCACAACTCCATTACTTTAACATAGACCTGCGATCATCGCAGTTCTAACATCGCCTTGTGGAACGGAGCCCAGAAATTGATCCAGCATGTAACTTACAGCACCGCTAGCGGAAACCGTGCCCTGGGATCTGCCCTGTAAACTAGGAGGGGCAGCACAGCAGGATTGGATACAGATGTGAAGAAATTAAGTCTTAATTCAGAAAGTAATCATGATAATTGAGTAATGAATTATGGAAATCGTGAAATATATGTCAGTATTTCCTTATTTTATGATTTCATGTTATCAGTTCATTGCGAAATGTATTGAGCTGAGATGTTGATGAATTAGTGTTACAGTGCGCATGGGAGTAAATAAGTATGTTATGTATGTCAGGAAGTAGCTCTGAGAATGTTGGTGGGGAATGCCCCTATCATCTAACATGCAGTGTGTCACTATTAAGAGCGGACTTTGGGGGATCTATGCTGGTTGTAAGAGGGGACCGAATGGATTGGGCGGTCAGGCTCAGTGATTGCATGTCATTGTACCCCGACTGTATGGATTGTAGCTCATAATTTTGATCACTGGATTGTCTGGACTCCTATTAACAGGTCGGTATCATGTAGCTGGAATATTGCTAAGTGCAGTGTTAAACAACAACCAAACAAAACACTTTTCAGAGTTGCTTCCTTTAAATGTACCTAAATGTCCTATGGCAGTCGGTTTGAATTCCAGATTCCCCATGATTTATCACCCTTGTTACATCTACGACCTGTGCCACTTCAGGCTTTCCTCCTACATTAAGCTGATATACTCTGATATAACTGAAATACTGTTCAGATCAGCATTAAACCCAACTGAAAGTGTTGAGGAATCCTCACTCAACATGCACCATACCTGTGAGCTTTATCATTATTATTATTTTTTTATTTTTTATATTTTTTTGGAGGGTGGGATAACATGGAATTAGTGGATTATTTAGTGATTTAAAAAGTTTTAGAGCTCAGAAAACTCTGTTGAGACTGGTGAAATCTTCAGCATTATTTATCAGTTTAGTATGTCAGAGGTCAAGGTCAGAGCAAAGGCATTTGAGACTAAAATGATAAGAAATAAGATGATAAGGATGATAATAATCCATGGTTGTATTGATAATGTTATATTTTTGTCATTTTGCTCTCTAGTGCCTGTGGTCTGGGGTGTATAGCTGACTATTAATTGTTAATCCTCTGCTGTTCATCTTCCATACTTCATAAGTTTGTATACACTAGTTCCTCCATCACCTGTGAATATATATGGCCGCTTTGTGGAGACTGTCGTCATCTTAAACCATCAAATCAAGCCATGGCCGGGTTCCAACAAGAGGGAAACCAGGGAGTGCTGACCAATACACTCTCAGATTACATGGCACAAATAGCAATATTGCAAATACATGTGCAGCCTTGTGGCCATACTTTCTACATGTTTGCTTCAGTACAGGCACTGGTAGTGTATGCACAAGGTTTTTGAACAAAGGGGCTCATTTGACAGCCTCAAAACATTACTATCTATGAAGTATTGACGATGGACATAGAATATTATATTTTCTTTATAGCAATAAAGTGCATGCAGCCCTGCTTGTCCTTTTACAATACTGTGTATGTGGTGGCTTTAAGAGGAAATTGCTGAGCCTCATCACAACCCGGAGAGATAGTGGTAATTGATTATCAATAAGTTTGCAAGGCACCAAGACTGTATATAGTATTTATTCATACACTACATGTCTGACATTGTCATGATTCTGTTCAGTCATAGTTAACTTATTTGCTAGCTGAGTACCTATTTTGATTATTTTAAGTTTTCTGTTGATATATTTTTACTTCCTCTGCGAGATAGCAGAGTGTATTTTACCACTTTCCACTGCAGTCATATTGTGAACCATCTTTGATATTTTGGAATGACTGAAATGCAATCTTCTATAAAACTACTGTGTGTTTGTTAATTCTTTTAGTTCCTTTTTGTTTAAACTTGACCATAAGCTCCTTCATGCTTGAGGTGAGAAAGAATTAGTGTGAAGGTCAGGTGACATGCCCTACATAACTGAAATACTGTTCAAAGCTGTGTTAAACCCATCTCTCTCTCGCTCCCTCCTCGTGTTACCTGGGTTTCACCAAAGGGATAAACATCCACGACCTACACCACTCCTGGCTTTCCTCCCGAAATACTATTCAAAAACCTACTGCATGACAATTCCAAAGCCTGTTTCTTGGTTGTTCCACTGTGCTGGAGAGATTGCTACAGATGTAGGTTTATTGGAAACGGGACCATCCCGGTGTCAGTGGCCTCCAATAGAAGGTTACTCACAGGGTAACTGGCTGACTGGCAGCTGGAAAAACCAATACAGACTGTCCAAATAAAACAAACTTTACAACACGGCTAAGTTAACATTACTTTCTGATGAAATCGCCAATCCTCAGCTTCAACATTAAACTGGGTAATATTTTTTTACAGAGGCAACAATTTAAACACATTTTGTGGAAACAAACTATAGTCAAATTTAAGGTCAAGGTGAGGTGAGACTCAAATTGGGTTTAACGTCTCGTCTAGGATTATTACACTTATATAGCGACGGGCATGCACGTGTGTGTGTTCTGTGGCTGCTTGTACTAGTCCAGACTGATGCCGATTTCTAGTGCTAGCACACTGAGATACCATGCCAAAGTTTAACATGAATACTCAACTCAAACACAGTATACTGACTCCGAGCCGACCCTTCCTTGTTTTAGCCCCTTAATGCCGAGCGCCAGTCAGGATAACAACAAGTACCATCTTTTAATGTATTTTGGTATGACGCGGAGGGGATTGAACCCCGGATCTTCCGCTCTTCGGGCGGACGCTCTACCACTAGACCACGGAGGCGGTCTATTTAAGGTCAAGGAAATCTGCTGTGTATGCATGATTATCCATTGTATTCTATATCCATTCTATTGTGATAAATATCCCTGGACCCATTTACTGATATTGTTTGTTTCGGAAGTGACATCACCATGCAGCTTCATCTCATATCAATAAACTGCCACAGAATTTGTTTTGCTCATGAGCTTGAAATCAACAACCAATCAAAATGCCTCGGTGCAGATCTATACTAACGGAAAAAAGTAACTGTGCTTCATATAAGGTGGTGTAAATGTCATGTTATTGAAAATAACCTAACATTTGGTCATTCGTCGGATCAATTTTTGATCATAAATTCATTAACAAAACCCATACCTGGTAACAGGTAGTCAGAGCCACATGCCCTAAACGAAGGGTGGTGTAACAATTCAATTAAAGTCGGTATCGGGTGTCACCACCATTTGGGTTAATATAGGTGAAGCAGCGGCGCACTGAAGACACCAGATCATTGAAAACAGCCAGGGGTGTGATTGGCGCAGCTGAGCTTGCGTTACCGACTGGTTCTGGTCCTGTGGTTGATGTCCGTCTACCGAACATTGGGCATGTTCTATGGCGGAGAGGTCTGGAGAAATAGCCGGCCTTGGCAATACAGCAATGTTATGCTGCCTCAAAAGGTCTGTTACAATACGTGCAAAACTTGGGCTGGTATTTACAACGATGAGTTGTGTTCTCCCATTAGTTGTGATACCAACTCATACCATAACACTTCCACTCCTAATCTGACGACGATGAGTAAAACTTTCTGGAAGCCTATAGACCCTTGCACGACCACCAGAACTGTCCAGATGAAACCTGTACTAATCTGTGAACATACTGCCCCAGTCTTGTCTGCTGAACTTCAGATGCTTTCTACACATTGGGCTAGGCGTGCCTGCCGGTGACGTTGAAGCAAAACTGGGCTTATCGCTGGAAACCTCCCCTCTTTTAGAACGTGTCGCTCTGTCTCCTGTTTGGCATCAGGTCAAAATATCGGACAGAAAACCTAATTCCTTTAGTTCTGAGGCATAACCCCAACCTCCAAAAAAGCAACAAATAACACAAACAAACAAACAAAACTTGTTGAAAAACATTTGTGGGGTTATTATAAATCATGCCATTCTATATTACGCACTGCACTAGATGGACTTCCACTTAGGTAGGTTGATTTTGCCGTGGAAACTAGCAGGGCCCTCAAACCGTCTCCCCACACATCCCACCCCTAAACGTAAGAAAATATACTGAACAACAAAAGTCCCTGTGACATTGAATAAGATTTAATGCATAGTTATGTTTTTTACCAAATCTGAAACAATTTCGGTTTGCAACAGATAAAGACCCCTGTAAGTGTTCAAATAGTTGAATTTGCCATACTGACTGAATATGCGTGATTTCATAATAAAAACATGAACATGCCAAAATGTCAATTTACAAATCAATAGAGTGTGTGTCCAGCTCTGGTTGCGATGCAAGCAACACATCTTCGTCTCATGGAATGGACCAGGCGTCGCACAAAGTCCTGTGGGATATCTGTCCATATCTGCTGGAGCATGTTTCGAAGTTCCTGGAGTGTCTGTGGAACAAGTGGTTGACGTCGAAGGCGCCGATCCATCTCATCCCACATGTGCTCGATTGGTGAGAGATCAGGGGAGCGAGCCGGCCAGGGGATGACATTCACGTTGTTTTGTTGAACAGAATCCTGAACAAGTCGAGCAATATGAGGCCGGGCGTTGTCATGTTGAAAGGTAATGCCTTGGCCATGACGACGCAAAAACGGTAGAACAACAGGGCCGATGATCACGTCGCGGTAGCGGTGTCCATTGAGATTTCCCTCTACCACTATCAAACGGGTCCGCTGTCTTGCTGTAATCCCACCCCATACCATAACGCTGTCGCCCCCGAACCTATCTTCAATGACACAATGATTGACGTAACGTTCACCTCGAAGTCGGTACACTTGAATCCGTTCATCGCTGTGGCTGAGGTGAAAACGAGACTCATCAGTGAATAGTCCCCACTGCATGGCCGTCCAGCGTAGACGCTGTCTGCACCACTGTAGACGTGCGTGACGGTGGTTTCCTGTCAAAATGGGACGTCTGGCGGGTCTTCTGGTGACAATCCCTGCACATCTGAGTCGACGACGTACGGTTTGTGAAGATATTCGCCGAAGGCCAGGGATGCTTCTTGCAGTCACTGTTGCTGGCTGGAATCGATTTCGTAGGTGTGTTGTTCGAATCCAGTTGTCTTGTCGATTATTGGTTACGCGTGGCCTGCCACTCCGAGGATGGTCTCTGACTGCATTCGTCTGTTGCCAACGTTGCCATAAACACCAAATGGTGTTTCTGTGGCCGTTAAATTGTCTTGCAACATCACGTTGACTCGACCCTGCTTCAAGCATACCAATGGCTCGCAGACGCTCATTTTCGGACAGGCGTGGCATTTCGTAATGTTGAATAATTGCGTAATTTTGTTGTTTTTTCTGAGTGGTTGTCAGCACGATGCTAAACAATGCATATGGAATCCCGTTAACGCACATGTTTTTTATATCCATTCTTGGGTAGTGAAATGCATGGGGCTTGCATAAAAGTCAAGTTTTGCATGGAATGCATGCTTTTCTGTAGCAGTTGCATTTTTGTGACTTGATTCCCTACATGTACTACAATATTGAAAACCAAACTTTACTTGTTTGAAAAATACACTAAAATATTGGTGTCACAGGAACTTTTGTTGTTGAGTATAAGATTTTTATCCGACGTCGAACTTTTGAACTGGTCCCTTACCAGGTGTGGGTCTTGTCACTGAATTTGTTATTGTGAAACATTGATCAGACGAATGACCAAAGATTTACACCACTTTACATGAAGCACATTTACTACTTACTTCGGTTAGTATATATAGAAACAAAGGATGTGTACGTTTGTCAAATGTGAAAGTTTGGGCTAAATTGCCTCCGAAAAAAATGAAATTGCCTGGCTGGTGTTGTTGCTGTAGCTGTAGAAATATCTAATTACAATACAAAATCCCAGCCCCACGCCCCGCCCCCTAACGCCGCTTTGAACTCTGTTATATTTTTAATGTGGGAGGAATACTCAAGGGTGAGAGGCGCGGGTTGAGACGTTTAATACTTTGATGAAGGACCGCCGACAGACCAGGGGTCATAATAGGACTGAATCTGGGATTCTACCCGTTTGACAAATTAAACATTGTGATGTCATCGGCTTCCATAACGTCACAATCAAATGATACCACTAACCTCTATAGCTGGTTAGCTGTACTTTTTACAAACAAGACACTCCTTTTTTACTGATTACAAACCAGGTAAGTAGCAAGAATGAATTTGCAAGATAAATAGAATATTATCGTTGAGTCCTTTGATATCAAATAAGGGACGGTCGGGAAGCCTAGTGGTTAAAGCGTTCGCTCGTCACGCCGAAGACCCGGGTTCGATTCCCGACATGGGTACAATGTGTGAAGCCCATTTCTGGTGTCTCCCATGGTGATATTGCTGGAATATTGCTAAACGCGACGGAAAACCTCACTCACTCACTCACTCACTCACTGATATCAAATAAGTGAACACTCGTCGAAAACAGTTGAAAATCATCGGCAAGTCTAAAGTTTTAAGTTTTAACCGTCTCGTGTTGATATCAAGCGATGCTTGCGTGAGATTCTCTATATAACCACTTATATTAGTTTAGTTCGTAAATAACATAATTATCAACATAATGATCAACAGACACGAGACATGCTTGATAAGGGCGAGTCGTCAGGTTTATATTCACGACAACAAACTCCCAAGATAGTCAATATGAATTAAATAACGTTAATACGTTCTTGAAGGTATATCGACTCTGTACCGAAATGCTTGCATGTACCGAATCAAAATAACCATGATCTAATCCAAACGTGTCGTGAAGTGAAAAGGAGATATTGATTTGTTTCAGTGTCTGCCAAATCTCATCTTAATATTTTTTGTCTACGTTCCGTGTGATGATATTGCCTAATTTAGCGTTAATCTGCCATTACGTCCAGACATTTCCAGCTGACGGCAGAGAT